AACCCAGAGCAAGAAGCTTAACAAGAAGAGAATGAACTAGAAGAATTTGTCAGCAATCTTATAGATACAAATATGCAAACCAGCAAAGTAATCAATCAATTCATAAAGATCTTAAAAACAGTAAAGAAGTCTATAATCCTGGCTGGAGCTAGTAACTATCTAGCATGAAGCAAAGCCATTCTAAAGATAGCTTATCAAGTAAATACTGAAAAAATTATTCTGGAAAGACAAGAGATCTCACCACAGCCAGAAAACTCAAAAATTTTATAATACTGAAACATTCAGAATAAATGACTATATAGCTTAATTAACAGTATAATATCTGCACAAGCCAGAGAACACTTTAAGAAATCAGATAGTCTTAGTGCTTACAAACTCTGGAAAGCTGTAAGAACAGTCTTTCAAGAGAGACCTGAGATACAGTAGAAAAGCCTATTGACAGAGTTAGTGAGAATAATACTACAGTCTACTGGCTCAAAAAGAAATTATATAGAAAGATTTCTAGTAATTTATAGAAAATTTAGAAGATTAGAGTTCAAGCAACTGGATCACACTTTACATGATATCTTGAAGATAAATATTACATCTTGATGAAGAGAGTTCATACAGAACTGATTTGATATGGCATGCCAGAGCAGAACAAATCTACTGAAGAAGAATTTGGAAGACTTACTGAAGAATATTCTTCACTAAATTCTCAAGAAAGACCAGAAGAAAGACAGATCTACAAGACTAAATATAAATGCAATAACAAGCTCAGATCTTCAAAGATCTTATAAGAATACAAACTTCAAATTCAATCCAGAGAAGAGCTTACCACAAAACTAGAACTGCTATACCTGTGGCAAACCTGGCCACTTAGCTAAATTCTGCAAATCTAACAAGAATATAAAGCCTAACAAGTCTAAGAAAGACTCTAAAGATAAAAGCAAGAAAGCAACAACAGTTGCAATAGACAAGATTCATTCAGTTTATAAAGCAGTCTTTTCTACAAGAGAAGCTCACAAATTTACAAACAGATGAATTCTTGACTCTGGAGCCAGATTCCATGTAATCTCATATATAGATCTAGTTCAAATAGACCCAAAGAGCTATACAACACAACTGCTTATGGCAAATGATTCAAAATCAGTCACCAGAGAATTTGACACAGCCAGTATTTAAATCAACAATGGTGAATTGAGTATTGGGAAGGTTAGAATCATGCCTGACCTCCAGATTAATCTTATAAGCTTTGAAAAGCTTATACAAGATGACTTTACAGTAGAACAGCTCTATATTAATAAAGAACACATCTTTCTACTAGAATCAGCAGATAAAACACAGAGCTTTGAAGCTGTACTTAATAAAGATGACATTCTAGTTTTACAAATATCTAGAATATGCAATTTACTAGCATATGTGTTTTCAATGCCTACAAAACTTCTAAAGCCCTGCTATGTAACAGTAACTCTAGAGAATAAAGATGATGTGCTTTTAGCACTAAATCATCTGGCAAAAACACCAGAAATCAAGAAGAACACAATGGCCAATTGGCACAAATGCTAGAGGCATCTCAACACCCATGATATAGCTATTCTAGCTAGAGATCTGAGAATGGCAATGTGAATAAAGAGAGTGAAGAAGCTAGAGTTCTGTAAAACCTGTACTAAAGCTAAGCAAGCTTACAATTTATTTGAATCTAGAACACACTCTATAAAGTCTGGAGCTAAAATTTTTATTGATATTGCAGGTGGCAGCTGTACTCTATCTACAGACTCTAATTCTTCAAGCTATAATAAAGTGAAGTATTTCCTACTTATAATAGATAATACCACATAATACAGATGAATCTATCTTCTGAAGAAGCAGATAGAAGCTCCAGAAACTCTGAAGAACTGGATTAATATAATTAAAGCATCTACTGAACAAGAAATTAACACTATACTGTCTGATGAACCTTCTGAATTAATGAGCTAACAACTGGCTGAATTCTACAGAAGCAAGAGTATACAACAGAAGATTATATACTCATATACATCTTAACAAGATAGAATAAGTGAACAAGAAATACAACTTCTCTGTAAACAGACAAGAAGCATACTTATAGACTCAGAACTACTCAATAAGTTATGAAGTAAAGCTCTCACTACAGTCTTCATGATGGTGAATCTATTGCCTATCTCAGTGCCTCTATATAAATGCAAGAACATGAAGCTGTTGACACTCTTTAAAGTCTGAACAGATCACCAACCTTATTGCAGATGAGTTTATAGATGAGAATGTGACATCTACATGAAGATTTTGAACAAATTCTTAAAGCTCTAATCTAGATTCAAGAAGATCAAATTTGTAAAATATCATGGCATGTACATCTACAGGCTTTGAAACCCAGAAATGAACAGTATAATGATCTCACAAAATGTTATATTCAACAAAAAATTGGATCAAACCCCCACAAATTTACTAACCAAAGCCAAATATGTTGAACTTCTAAAGGAGTACAATTATATAGATTCATTAAATAGCTGGCAACACAAGCTACTAGCTTATCTTGTGAAGAAGAAGCCAGAAATTATGAAGAAGCTTGTGAACAGTAAATTAAAGACTCTAGAGCTCACATACCTGGACAAAGAGCAAGAAATTCTCTCAGATACTACAGAGAAAGAAGAAGCAAATAAAGCTAAGCTTCCAGTATTCAGCATACACACAGACATATCAAAATTCATCACCAAAGCCAAATACTTCAAAAAGTAGCTTTATTAAAAGAAGACTCTAGATGTTAAAGTCTTCAAGTTACAAGAGAAAGATATCTGAATTCTAGTCAAGAAGAAACCTGAAATGCAGATTCTCTCTAACAAATAGATATTTGATAAAAAGTTCAACAATACAGATGATACAGTACAATTCAAAGCCTGTTAAATTATATACAGGTTTGAACAGCAAGAAGATGTTCACTACAAGAAGATCTATACAGTAGTTGTTAGTGAATCTACAACAAGAGTCTTCTTCACTATCTCAACAGTCAAGAACTGAAAGATTAGAGTCTTTAATTTTGTGACAGCTTTTTTAAATAGCACTCTTTCAAAGAATAAACATGTATATGTTTAACTACTCACTGAATTCAAGCACAGGCAGGGTAACTTAGTAGAGCTCTTATATCAGAGACTCTACAGATTAAAGCAAGCTGCTAGACTTTAGTATCAAGCAGCTACTAACTATCTGAAATCTCTAGGATTCCAGATCTCTTCATATAATGTAGAGTTACTCTACCATAAGAGGAAACAAATCTATCTAATTCTACACATTAATAACTGCTGTATAATGAGACTCAATGAAGCTGAGATAGAATAGCTTATTGAGAAGCTTCAGAAATGCTTTAAGATCAAGAAGATTACAGAACAAGACTGTTATCTAGACATGCAGATTTAAAAGCAGCCAAATGAAGATCTTTTTATGAACCAGAAACAGTATATTAAGAATTTACTGAGCAAACATGAAATAGAAGACTGTAAATCTTCCAAAATGCCAATAAAGAAAGAAATAAGCATTGAATTTGTGTCAGATCAGACTCTCAAAAATAGAGTTAATGAACAGATCATGTCTACAAATTACAGAAAAGATCTGGACTCTCTATAGTTTCTAGTTATGTGTACAAGACCAGATATTATATTCACAATAAATTATCTGACAAGATTCAACAGCAGGTCTAATAAAGAGAGCTGGACAGTATTCAAGTAGATTCTACACTATCTCAAGAGCACAAAATTAAAAGAAATAGTCTTTAAAAGAGATATAAATTCTGAAGGCTTGAAACCAGCAGCCAGTTTGAATTCTGACTGGACTGAAGCTGACCCTGTATACAAATTCACCAGTAACTATATTATTATTATGAATGGAGCTCCAATATTGTGGAGATTACAGTGCCAGATGTCTGTCTTGAAATCTACAATCAAAGCAGAGTATTTGGCAGCTAGTGAAGCTGCTTGTGAACTGGTTTAGATCACTGACCTGTTGATAGACACCAGAGTAATTAGTGAAGGCTCAGTAAAGCTAAGAAGCTCTAAATTAAGTGTTGACAACAAGAGAGTGATTAACTTAGCCAAAGCTGAAGCTATAACATGAAGAGTACATCATATTAAGATTCAGCATCATATGCTAAGAGACTGGGTGTAAAAGAATAAAATCTTGATTGAGTATGTTAAAAGCAATGCAAATAAAGCTGATGAGCTCATAAAGACTTTCATAATGGATCTCTACACTCAATTCATAAGCACAATAGGGGTGACAGGTTAATACAAGAAAATATAAAGATTTATCAGTAAAGTCAATGAAAATACTGTATTACAGCAAACAGAGCTAAGCCTAAAGAAGAAATAAATCTGAATTTTGTAATTAATTTTTATTACAGATTTGAGAGATTTGGAAGCTTTGGATCTTTGTGGCTCTTGCTTGCTGCTGGAGCTCATTGCATGAGGGGGTGTTAGGTAATCCAACTAGCACCTCACTCACATGACCCACATAGATTAGCTGAGATTCCCCTTTAGGTAGCTTAGTGAACGACAAGCATACAAGTCCTCCATCACAAACCCCTTACACGGACGAACAACACCCGCGAGGGCCCAGGGCCTGGGCTCGCGAGCTGTTGGGAGTACATGTGTCCTCGCGAGGCACTAAGTCACGTGCTCGCGAGCACACATAAAAGGCCGCCACTGCGCGAACCCCTTGTTGGGAGCCAGTGGCAATCTTGTCTACAAGTCATACATAGCTGCCAATACCAGACCTTTTACCTCGCGTACTTTTTTCTACGTACAATTCCTCCTATAGATTCATTGTCACGCCGATCCACACGTACGATCCTCACAGATAGTTGCTGTGTATTTAATAGTCTCACATGTATATTAGATTAGGAATTGGGTGTAATCAGAGAATGTAGTTGAGAGATGAAGGAGGTTTCAAAATAGTTAGTATCTTTTGAACATCAGAAGCCGAGCGGATGCCATTATGAGAACTCAAGTCAGTTAATACTGATCCCAGGCACCTTGAGGTGGAAAATGAGATTCCTCTGATTCAGCTAGAACAGGTCCTCCAACAACATCCGCGGTAGGCTCCTCAAGAGGCCCTTTGACATTTTCTAGCGGCTCAGCGATAGTATCTTCAGGAGGACTGCCTGGGGTAAATTGCGCCTCTTGACAGGGTTCATCTTTGCCCCTCCCCCAAGTGCCCCAGATATCTGGAGGCGGAAGAGGAAGTTCCTGTGGGTCAGCTGGAATGGGGTCTTCGGCATTTTTAACATATAGCTGCTCAGCGATGGCTTCTTCGGGAGAATTGTCCGGAGCAAGCTGCCCTTCTTGACATGGTTCCTGCTGGCTAGGGTACTCAGGGTATACGGCATGGTCTGCCCTGGGTGGAGGTCAGTGTTCCGGCGCTTATGCTGCGGGGTCCACCAACACAAGCAATCCTTGTGGAGAGGTACGGAGTACTGGACACATTTATGCCAGTAGAATAGAGTACAGCGGCAATGGACCAGCTGAGTTGTTGAGGATGTGGTGACAGGAGTGATGTGGTCATACCAAGGCTGCCATTGGCTTCAGTGTCTGCGCGTAATTTAGCTTATGACATCCAATCAAGAGTTGTGAATATCAGATTGTCAGCCTTTGTCCAGACTCCTCCTTTCATTGGCTGGGGCCTGGGTTCCGCCTTCCTGAAGCACCGTCGCAAGATATGAGGGGGGAGTGCCAAGACAAAATTGGTGCTTTGGCCCCGCTACCTGAGTGTGTCTGATATGACACATCATTTTCTTTTCTTTCTTTCTTTCTTTTTCCCTTTTTGCAACAGTCTCAGCTTCCGTTGCCTTGTGGTCTGGGAGAGTCTTTCATGATTCGCCAATGGGTTGCTCAGATCAGTGGTTGATACACTAAGAAGCATTTCTTAGAATGCGGACCAGTCCTTCCAATGTCAACGCAAATTTTTGATGCAGGCCTTCAGCCCAATCACCTTGCGAACCTCAACTCCTCGCCAGGGTCCATGCACCCCGGGTTGGTGCCTGCCTTAACAGGCGGCATGAGCTGCAAGGGCCGGCTGCCCACATCCAGTCAATGGAGTTTCGCAAGGCCCCGGAGACAACACAGGCTCTCTCCTTTGGGTCTTTTTACATGTTAGACACTTGCAGAGTAGTGAATAGGGGCCTTCCGAGGCTGCCAAGGGTGCCGGCTTTTGCTATGCCACTGCGAGATGACAAAGGCAGTAGTGCCTTCCTCGTCTGATGGGCTGCTTCTCCACTCATCTGAGTTGAGGCAGCAACCCCGGAAGGGAGCAATCCAGCGTCATGGAGGGGGGGAGAGGGGGGGTTGGGGGTGCTCAAAGACTGGCGCTCGCTGGGATGGGACCGTTGTTCCATGTGGTGCAGCCGGGCTACTTCAATCTTTACCTCATTGATTGCAGTTGTGCAATGGTGAACTCCTGTGTCTGAACAAGTCCCTGTTCACTGATAGTTAGTGGCTGCTGATTTCAAAGGGACAGCCAATCTCATTCTTAGTAACAAGAGGCTCTGGCCACTTCTCCTGCTGGTGGCTAAGGGATGCGGATGAATGGTGGCATAAATACCAGCTTCCTTCTCTCAGTGACCAGCTAAAAGAAATGATGGTCGTTTACTCCGTACATATACAAGTCACTCACTGAATTTTTGCATATACTCTCTGTCTGTTAGCCAAGCTCAAAACATGTCTTACAACAGGTTCATCCAGTCCTTTAAGAAAATTCCAAAAGACTTGTTCCGTTTGAACACTAGCACGACTGTGCGCCTGCGAGCTCAGCCGGGCCCTTTGAGACCGCAGCGCAGCTTTGACCTTCTGACGATCGCTGGAAAGGCCCAGCCGAAGGCCTTGAATCCTGACACATATGAATGTGACGATAAGCCCCCCTTACTGTAATAATGACAAGAGTTCTAACGTTTTTGTCCAGGGCCAAATGGTGCTTCAATGCGCCCGAATTCTGTAACGCAGCAGAACCTTGTCCAGTCGTTCAAGGGATCTACTGTCTATGTTTATTCAGTTCCTGCCGGTTTGTTGCAGATTCTGTTTTATTAGCCTGAGCTGATCTGAGAGGAAACAGGAACTGAACACTCCGATGACCTTATCCTTGTTCATGAATTTGGTGATCATTACTCATTGCAGGCGAGCAGAGAGATGACAGTAGAAGGTGAGACACGCTACTTAGCATCTAGCTAGGAGAAATACTTATCAAACCAGAGTTGAACGCCAAAATCACGGACTTTCTGAACTCGAAGGGGGAATGTTTGACCAAGGAAGAGCGGCAGCAGCGGTATCCTCAAGCAACCGAATAAGGTTGTGACAAGGACTAGATTAGGCGGCTAGGCATGGTGGATATGCTACAATCCCTGAAATAGGAGGTGCTGCTGTGCTCATGTTTTCAGCCATATTTCAACAGTCAGCTATTATGTTTCTATTTCACGTAATACTTGCTAGTGACAATAGTACTGGATACACTGCCCACTCCTTGCCGCCTGGACAGAATGAGCAGCTAGGTAATTGCTCAGAGGGACTACACTAACACAATTCATTGTCCCAGGCAGAACCAAGATTGTAGCATGATCTGTCACTTGCTCATCCAGTCCTCAGAATCATCAAATCCCGCCTCATGATACGGATTCTTATCCAACCATTCTTCGGCGGCAATGACATGACCAGACTCAGAATAGAACTTAGTGAGAGCCTCGTTCAACGCTATGCTGGATTTAGTAATAGTATTTCATCATTATAATACGCCGACATACCGGCCAATGTCATGGGATACGATGGTTGCAGGGAGAATCGAGACGCCTGTTCACGGAATAGAGTCAAGGCATTTGGGATGGAAGTCCCTAATAAATTTGTTAACTCCATCCGGCTTTAACGGTCAAAGGTCCGAACCGACCTTGCGGGATGCAAAGATAATGGGGCTCAGCCGTGGGCTTGCCACTGTCGACACCATCCAAGTAGTTATCGAAGGATCTTCGCGTTATCTCTTGCATAAAGTGCGTATTCGGCATAAACAAGGCTCCGTTTGAAACTACAATAGCATGAGTGAAATGGATAGACAAGAGAGTGGGCAGAGAACACCAATAAACTTACCACGCGGTGCAACCTTCGGACGCACCAGTCCATCGTCTTCAGAAACCTCAACTCCATCTTCATATTCCCAGTCGTCTTGCTCTAGCCGTCTGTCATAGAGATCTGATCTACGGTGGATTTGAAACCGGTATAATGTAGCTGGAAATACTGAGTGTTGAGACGCATATGACAGGCTGCGACGGTTCAAAGGGCTTGCACTAAGGCCAGCCCTCGCTGAAGTGGTATGAAGGAAAGCTCGAAACATTACTTCTTAGAATGTTACTTTTGTGTAGCAGGTCACTTATAAAGTATACAGGAGGTTGATCTTGAGTTTTTGCCTGAACAATTTCCAGCCAGACTTCGCTAGCACGTGACCCGATTGGAACCTCGTAATCCACCACTGAATGCCCGCTACTACTGAATGCCTCAGCGCAACGCTTCCTTCCAGCTTCAACCTCAACAGCATGGTCAACGAAGAAGCAATTCAATTAGCTCTTGAAGAATTGAGGTCGCAAGAGGTTCAAAATTACACTGAGCTTGCAAAAATGTACAATACTGACCGGCGAACGTTGGCGCGACGCCATAAAGGCAAAACAATTGCATTCTCCGAAGCAATCTCACGGCATCACAAAAAACTGACAAATTCGCAAGAAAAGACTCTTCTTCAGCATATATCTTGTCTTAGTGCTCGCGGCCTTGCTCCTACGCCTCAAATCATTTGAAATCTTGTGGTTGAGTTGACAGGTGAGCCAGTTGGAATCAACTGGGTAAGCCAGTTCTGCAGCTGCTATAAAGACCAGGTGAAGAGCGTTTATCTCTGTGCAATTGATTCAAAGCGGAAGATTGCAGATAACTCTATACTTTGAACTCTTCTATAATCATGTTAGTTTTGTTATTTTTTTGTTGTTTTTGCAGTTGGAGACTATTCAGTGCTAATCTGAGCTCTTTTCTACTAGTTGAATGAGATTATCAAGAAATACAACATTGAACCATCAAATATATACAATTTTGATGAAAAGGGCTTCCTAATTGGCCTTGGGAACTGTATAAAGCAAATTGTTCCATCAGAATCACTCAGATCAGGAAAAATCACAGCAATTCAAGATGGAAATCAGGAATTCATCTCTCTACAAGCTGCCATCTCTGCAGACGGAACTTCCAACCCTCCGGCACTGATTTACAAGGGAGGAGGTGATGTACAGAACAGCTGGCTTGATGAATACAATCCTGATGAAGAAACAGCCTATTTTGCCTCATCTCCAACTGGCTGGAGTAGTGATGATTTTGGTTTAACATGGCTGGAGCAAATCTTTGACCACCATACAAAGGCAAAGGCCGGCCGTGGAAGAAGACTCCTAATACTTGATGGGCATTCATCTCATATTAATATGAGATATGTGGATTACACAGACAATAATAGGATCCTACTTGCAGTCCTTCCGCCGCATTCAACACACCATTTACAGCCTCTTGATGTAGGGCTGTTCAGAAAACACAATTTCTGGAAGCTCTTTCATGCTGCTTGGAATAAGTCCTTTACAGCAGAGAATATTGCAGCGCTACTGGAATTTATCCATTCAATCCTAATAAGCTCTTGAATAACTTCAAGAAGCGGTCAATTACTCATCCAACTACTATTATTCAACCTCTCACACCTACTACTGCCCGAGGACTTCACCGGGAGATCAAAAAAGTACACCTTTGCCAGTCACTTCTCTCAGAGAATATTGAAAAGATTATCCATGCTAGTGAGAGACTGGTTGTTGAGAAGGAGCTATTACGCCACAAGAATTAGTCTCTTACCAAAGCCTTACGCCATGACAAGAAGCGCCGTCAACATGGTAAGGCCATGGGCCTTTTCAACAAGGAACTCCCTGGTCAGGCTCAATTCTTCTACCTAGCAAGGTTGCTGCCGCTCGGGAACATGCCACTGAACTAGAGCTTGAGAAGCAGATTAAAAGTGCTCAGGCCGAGGAACTCAAACACCAACATGCTCTTAAGAGGCAGCAAAAGGCTCAGGAAGTGGCAGAACGCAAGGCAGTAAGAGAAGCAGCCCATATACAGCATGAGAAGGAGGCTGAGGAGAAGAAGGCCCAGAAGCGCAAAGCAGCCAAAGAGAAGGCCTCTCAACAAGCAAAGCAGCAGCGGATGAAGGCTTCTGCACCTAAATCTAACACCCTAAGCACTATACAAACTTCCCTTTCTGGTAATTTGACAGCGTCAACCTCTGAGGTTGAATCTCACACTCCCTTGCCTGATTTCCTACAAAACCAGCAATCCAGTCGCTCCAGTCGCTCTATTAGCCCAACAATCCTTTTTTTCCTTAACCATACTAATTTCTATGTTCCAGAGAATACACTCTTTTAATTCCTAATAGCTAATTAAATTTAAATCCGTGGTTGTTCGTAAATCCATCAAATTCATTGAATTCGGCCGTGTTGAATGGGGCCGGCATTCAGTGGTAGCGGGCATTCGGTGGTGGAATACATTGGTATTAGCAACCAATCACCGATCAAGGTATGTGTTGACCGTTGCGCATGTCCAGGCTATTTCTCTCTGGGATGCGTGAGATATTGGCTTGCGACTATTGGCAATAGCTTGTCTAGCACCTTTAAATGTGTTTAAATGCGTCAAATTACTAAAAAGGTTAGTATACGATCAAGGGCAGGAATCAACATACCGACTGCTGATGATAGATTCCCATTACCAATGAACAAATTGCAACCAACTCGATACCAGGATACCTGAGTTACAAATAAAAGATGTCAAACATATGTAAGGGACACAACGGTCAGAGCAGAATCCTTTTATACATAGTCTCAAAATGAAGAAACTCTGGTGGAGAGCCCTAGCATGTCCGAGACCCGGAAGCTCAACAGCTAACACAGCCGGGACAAAACTACAAGAAAACATGAGAACAGATCAAAAACCAAGGTTGGATGATATATGGAATCTTTCATGAAGAACTGAAGGTTTTTGTGTTGCCCGCTTCACTTGTAGCCACGCAGAGCTATCCCACATGGCAATCATACATACTACTGATAGCTGAACAAGTTGATGTGGAAGATATACTCCCAAAGGCCCAGTTAAGCCTCCAATTGTAGTTGAAGAAGGGATTATCAAACTTTGGTATGCAAAGAATGCCTAGAGATAGAGTATTCAAATGTTGATCTCTGCAGAAGTGGGTGTCATGGACTCCTGTCCGTCTACATTATATCAAAGCAGGCTTGCCAAGTACATATGACATGCAATCCCTTTATTCAGTCTCTGTAGGCTCCGGATACAGCCGCAACCATTCTTCCTTTGTTAAACATTTCCCCCTTCCCCCCAAAAAACATGTGATTTTAGTATTCAAATCTAAGGCAGTTAATACACAGACGTGCATTTCTTCAGACTTCTGGCTCACCATCTAAAGTCATCTCTTTCCGTGCTTGCAGGGAATAATGATCCTTGAACTCGTGAACAAGAATCAGATCATCTGGAATAGGGCTCCCTATTTTGCATCAGAACTTGACCAGGTACATATGGGTCAAGGGTCTGCAGTCTCACAAACCTGCAGGTATTGAATAAATGCGAATTGAATTTCCTCTGAGGGCGTCAACAAGCCTATGCATCTTTGGAGTATTGGGTCGCATCGAAGCTCCATTGGGTGCTAAATACAGAGGGACACAGGGTTAGAACATATTAGTCTACTACTTCCAAATCATATTGATGGTAAGTTCTCACCCATGTACGTGGTTGGGCTGAGCGCCTTCGGCCTGACATTTCCACTGTACGTTAGTAGGTCGAAGAGGCCCGTTGGCCTCTGAGGGCCTGGGTATGCACGCAGACGAACAGCTGGGCCATTGTTCAGGCGAAAGAGCTCCTTTGGGATTGTGGTATAGGATTGGATAAATTTCGACATGGTACTCTGGAGCTAGAGGTTTGAGCTTGAGGTTGAATCTGCTGTCTGAATACTCCGTAGTTGTACTTGTATTGAATGAGAGAAAACTGAATGGATGGTGTTGATGCAGATCAGCTTCTGACCAATGAACATGATCAGCTCTTTCAAATCAATCGATTGATTATGTCACTCCACCAAACCAGGGCCAGTCTCACTTGCTCATAGGTTTCGTGTGCCTATGGACCCGTTGGGTTGTTGTGGAGTTACAGAGAGAAGAGTGACGGACGCGTCAAACCAAGGCAGCCATTGGCTCCAGCGTCCGCGCGTACTTAATTGAGCTTATGTCATCCAATCAAAAGAGAGGAGGCACGGGAAACCGAGGATACAGGTCAAGGGACCTCGTAAATAAAGTCTCCGGACCTCGTAAAGGTCACGTGACGCTTACTAAGGAAGTCGCACCTTCAGTACTATAAATACCATACGTGTACTCCGTACTCTGCTGTTTGAATTTTCAAATTATTTACAGTTTTCTTCAGATATATTAATTGGTTGGGAATTGATTGGGAATTGATTGGGAATTGATTGTCAATTGATTAGCAATTGATTAGCAATGTCTGCTTCATTTATATGAATCTAACATCTGATGACCAACCTTTTTGGTCGAAAACAGTTTCTAATCAATTGGCAACTGATTAGTAGCCGCTTGCCAACCAATTGTGGAATAACCTATCTTTGCCTTATAGCAGTCCTTTACCCGGCAGAAGACCTCCTTATAGTGTAGAACAACAGACCCCAGCATCTGTATAATCAGTTATTAACTGATTGGTAACTGATTAGCAAATGATTGTGTTACTTACTGTTGTGTACTCAGGCAGGACAATCTCTCCACTGGCAACACTCTTAAGATACTATTGGTAGTAGGCCTATCAATTCAATTATTTTTTAATCAATTTTCATCAGATTCCATCAAAATAACACATTTAACAGCTAAATCTACTCACATTATCGCGTAAATGAGCCATCTTCGCCGAAAAGGGGGGGCCGGCGAACTGCTTGGGAAATGCTTGGTAAAGGTAAGAAAAAAAATCTTACGTGACTTTTACGAGGTCCACTTTGGCTTACATAAGGGGTCCGGGTCATCTGCGTCCTGCGGGAAACCCACAATCACAAAACTAATCTTTGTCCAGACTCCTTTCATTGTCTGGGACATGAGTTCCACCTACCCGACAAGGTAGATGAGAAGTGGAGGATAAGAGGTGAGATATAACATAAAATTGGGGAAACAACACGCTGTTATACCAATAGTGGGAATTGCAATGAGGGCTGAGGGATTGAAGAGGGTGAAGTGACTGAGAAGCTAATATTCATCTCAATTGCTTCTGTCCCCCATAAGACTACAACATAGTAACAACAACGCATCAGCAAGTCTAGTAACTTCAAAAACTTGAGCTCTTGACATATATATGCAGAAGACCAGCTACTTTTGCAAGCTTTAGCAACTGATCCAGGGCCAATGCCTTATATCTGGGTGCTTTTCGGGAATCTTGTAGTCATTCGAGTATCAGAGGCGCAGGCACGAGTAGTGCTTAGGGAGCTCGCACGTGAGATGGATCCGCCCGGGAGCTCAGTTGTAGGGTTGTTATTGTCCCCTGTACTGGCCTTTTGCACGGACGTCCTTTCCTGGCCCACCGGAACCGTCGCCACCGCCCTGGGGTTACGGCGCATAACTGCGTGATGGCGGGAGCCGCTGGATGGAGTAGTATCCCGGGCGTGCAATGTGGTGGTGGGCAAGGCCGATGGCGGCGGCATGACGCTGCAGATAACAGTCGCATCTGAGCGTGCGGCATCACTGCTTGTGGCAGTGGGTTCCATCCTGCAGTACATTAGCACGCTAGGTCAGCGCGGATAATGAGCGCGAACGCTCACCAGGGACAGCTTGCCTCGCTTCTGAGATGGAGCCAGAGGCTGGTGTACGGCCGGCCTGTGGCGGCAGCAATTCCTGCAGAGCCAGATCCCCGGCTGCCACTTCAGCATCATCTACTGGACGGGGGACCTGGCGATTGGCAATGGACCGAGGTACAGCCGTGGCCCCATCTCCACAACCAGCTCACACTCTCTCCAGCTTGGAGGTCACTTGGAGTCGCGCATCAATCAGCCTGATGAGCTAGACAGAGGACCATCCTGCCATGTTTCCCACTTACCAACAGCTGAGGAGCCTTGGCTCTGTTCAAGATCAGCTGAGGTCACAAAACACAACCCCTCACTACCACCGGCCTCGATGGTTTGGCCTGCTAAAGGAGCACTGTCCACTGCAGAGATCCTCGCCAGCTCAATGTCAAACACATTGAGCGGGCTGGTAGTGTCCTGCAGCCGCCCATATTGCACAGGGGTCCCAAATGAACCAACTGCATCTGGTTCTGCACTTGGGTGAGCCGCAGGCGTAGGGACTGGAGGCTTCGGGGGACGAGCATGTCAAAAGGATGGGGCCACAGGAGCGGTGTGAGGGCTGGGCTTCCAGCTGGCAGCCACAGGTGGGGAGGGAAGGGGGCTGATAGAAGTGGATGTTATCAAGCTGGACCACCATTGCTTGGGGGTTAGGCAAGAGAAAAAGGGCAAGAGAAAAAGGGCAAAAGGCAACAGAGGAAAAGGGGCCGGTGAGGAAAGGGGAAGTGTGCAGAAGAGTTGGGGGATTTGGGGTGGGCACACAGATACTCACAAGACCATGAGCATCAGAGAGCGGGAAGACTTTATAGATAGACAACAGTTTGCGATCGCCAGAGGCTCGAGTTTAAGCCTTAGATGACTCCAGTCCCACCACAGCTCCAACATTCGCCAACCAAGTGCATCCCACAGCCTGTCGCATTCACTCTTCAAGCAATAATCTGATCCTTGTTCGGCTGAGACGCACGCCCGGTTCCAATCCAGGATAGAGCCACAGTCACCATTGGCCTTTCCAGACCACACCTACCACCAATGCCACCTGGAATTCCCGGGAAGATCCAATTTCCGCAAGCAGAAAGGGGGCAACAGTCTCCACCATTCAGCTCTGGACCAAGAATCCAGAGGCATCTCAAGACTCGCCAGCGCCCGCCTCTCTTGCACTGCTTGGCCACGGGGGCCAATACAACACCAAAGTAACCAACGCTGGTGGGGACGCGCGAGAAAATGGGGCAGTGAGACATCAGTGAGGCATTTTCCCCCCCTTCACTGGCCTTTGGATGGAGCCAGCGGGCCATCCCTGTCAAGACCACACTGTACTGCGGGCGGTTGGCCTAACCAGGAACCTGAAATCACGTCCATTGAGCCATTAGCCCCAGGAGGAAGACGCCTGCACACTCCAAGTGACTGAAGAGACACCAGCAAATGGCCGAGGCAAGCAGGTGCCAGGCAGATCATCAACCATCTGAATCCAGAGCTGGGAACCACAAGCGTTCACACCACGGACGCAGGGTCAAAAGTGTGCTGAAATGAGGCAAAATCGAACGACCCGGCCAGCGCGGACGCCTGCGTAGCCTCTGTCCCGCTACTTCACAAGCAGTACAGGAGAACCGAAAATAAGCAAGCCAGAGAAAGGCGGGGGGGGAACACCCTTGGGTGCAGCAGCAACCGGCCTCGGCATCTCACTCAAAGCCCATCCCCCAAACAAGCGTGGGGCAGAACAGTCAAGTTGCGGAGTCACCAGCACTCAGCACAAGCAGGGATCGGGTGGCCGCGGGTGGCAATCCCAAGGCAAACCCGGCGAGCGCGAGAGCGTGAGCGTGAGTGAAAAAGAAATGCAGGTGGGTGAGGCCGTCAAGCAACACACTGGCCTTTTATAGATGTAGGTTGCGGTTCGAGCGGCGGGCGGCGGAACTTTCCACGCCGAGCCTAGCGCCAGGCGCCAAACCCGATCGGGCGGCGCTAAACCGCAACGGGGCAAAACGGCGGCTGGCTGGTAAATGCGAATTGTCCATATTCTTTCTTTTTTTATTTTTATTTTTATTTTTTTTTTTTTTTTCAAAGCTCAGCTCAACTGGAAGCTGTCTCTTCCGTGACCCCGAGGGAATGCTGTGGCTTTTCATGCCACGCGACACTAACTACACATGCAGACCTACTTCAATGGACTCGTGTTTTACAAGGCGTACATCACCATTCAGTCATATCTCATTCACGATATCTATTGGAAGCTAATAAATATTTACTATTGCAATCATAACTTTATCATTACATTGGGAGTCTTAACAGCAGGTTACTGATGAAAATGCCTGTAACCCTTCCAATACACCAAAAAATACTTCTGCGGTGTTCACGAACCCTGCCATCGCCACATCTCCGTTAAGACAGGCCGGATCGACGATAACCGTTTTACTCTGCATTCCCCTTCGTACAAAGTATTGCCCATTGTGCAAAGACCAATCATTCCTCAGAGATTTCTGGAGTTGTTTGGTTGCGAATTCTCGAATATCTTTGAAAAATGCGGGCGTAGTTGATAATTTATTGCCAGTGAACTCAATGTAATCAGGCGCTCTGGCGGCGGACGGATCGAAGAGCGAAGACACAGCGAAGAGGATGAATTGTTTGAAGTAACTCACGTACAACACCAATGGAATGGCACTCTCTGAGATGCGGTAAAGGTAATCGATGAGTGGTAGAGAGGCAAGAATCGTTTCCAAGAATGAGATGAGTGTGAGTAGGACTGACGCTTCCTCGAGGAGTCCCGGATGATCAGTTAGGAGTCGGAGTGCATGGTCCACGGAGGCGAAGTACGCGAGTATGCATTCCACAATGAGAGAGATATACCGATGATGTGCTGTGTCCACGTCTAATAATAGATCCAAGAATATACGGCTGGTCGACTGTAATAATGGTCGTACTAAAATCCAGCCGACTGGATTGCTAAAAGCGTTTTCAACGTAGGCAGGAAACACGCATTGTAAGAGAAACGAACGGAGATATGGTTGTCCATGATCTTTTTCACTGTACGTGTGGTCCATCGCTTTATAAACCTGGTCCACGAGATAAACCTGGTGGCCATCCACCGCTGCTCGCTCACATACGTTCTGAACAAACATAACAAGCTGTTTCGCAATTTTAACAACTGACAAACGAGTACCATAGCTCTTCATCTTGGCAACCACATAAGTCGGGTCAGAAGCAGGGAGCGGAAATGTGGTTGGGTCCATGAAAAATTCGTCTATGGGGCATATACTCTGGGAATGTTGTTGCAAGAACTCGACTACCCGGTGAACAAAGCCCACATAGGAACCATGGCCTGAGCCATTGGGACTTCCAAGCTCCTCATAGTTCCGCCGCATTTTGGCCATTAAAGTTCTAATTATCTCACAGTATTCGCTGCGCAAGTACACGTCGGGCTGATTCCTCTCCTCGAGCTTGGTTAGGTGCTCCCGCATATTCGAGAGAAGGCACGAGAGAAGTGATATTCTCCTCTGGCAAAACTCATCCAATGATATGGCATATCGCTCACTCGCTTTATGCACTGAAAACGGCAAGTTGTCCAAGAGAGGATCCCCGTGGCACCCGTTGAGGATAGCAGTGGTCAAGCTATGCTGAAATTTAAGCAACGAACCCCTTTCTACTAACGATTCGATCCAGTGGTTGAATATTCGAGATCGGCATTCAGAAAGGGCACCAGAATCTTTACAAATGAGGCTTGCAAGGAAATATGGCATAAACCTCCTTGTCTGGTCGGTCATTCTCAGGGATGCCCAAGATTCTCCATCATAGAGGTTAAGGTAACTATCCCATTGTCGCAATCGATGTTTGACAAGAACATTTGCAACCTCTACCCATGTATCTATTGCAGTCGTGAGCAGAGAATCGTCGGGCGTCTGGTCCTCTCCGAAGACACGCGATACAAATCGAGAGAGCGCAGGCCGAATAACAGTGTCTATGTAGGTAATCGCAGGGTCCGCTACGTTCATCTGCTGATCGTATATTTCTTCAAATCCGGTCCAATCACCATAATCTTGACTGTCCTCACTGGTATCAACCGACACCTGGGACCTCTGGGTCTGCGGCCTTCCCATGGCTGTATAAGCATGCAACAACTCTAAGGTTTGGCACACAACTCCGTTCAGCCGCCTCACTGATGGATTGAACAAGCCCAGCAGCTTCTCGATAGGAAGCTTCTCCATTAATATCATAGCGTGAGACATAGTCGTGGCTGTCTCCAGCGCTTTCTTCATGCCAGTTAGAGCGCTGTTGATGAGGGACTCTATTTGTCTCTGATTTTTGGTGATTGCATTTTCAATGGATTGGCGAGCGAATGTAGAAGCCAGGACAACTGCATTCTCCAGTTCTGTCCGAGCAAGCGAGTGTTGCTTCAGCATTTCCACAGTAAAGTCGCTATGCCAATTGGCAAACTCCACAAGACCTGATCCTTCCTCTCCTGTGGACAATTTGAACCTTACCAGCCTAGACCAGGCATGAATATTAATACTGCACGCTTCTTTATGAGACGTTGCGGGATGTACTAAATGTCGAATGGTTTCTGGACGTGGTCGACACCCGTCCGGAACTGACCAATAAAGTGTACATAGGAGATCATGATGATTTCGCAGAGCGTCAAGATCTTCTTCACGCAGAGGCTGGTCCTTTGGATAAACTCGGCCGTGGTTTGGTAGCAAACGCCAGGCGATATTTCGGATCTTCTTTTTATCTTGGAACGTAGTCATGGAACGTAATGCCGTTGCAACAATTTTTAAAAATATGTGGAAACAAGTGTCACTTGAATCGACATCGAGGGCTGGCGACTTATCAAGGTCGTTAAGGAAGGTCGGGGATCCATATGTAGGTTCATTTCGGAGGTTGTGGAATAAATTCCGTGCAAAGAAATCGAAGAGGTTTTCAAGTATAGGAATGCAATGTTGCCATCCCCACCCTTTTATCAAATGGAAGCAGCGATGAAAAAGCGCTCTAACATATCTATTGAAGGAGGGGCTTTGCCCACCACCATCAACTTTATATATCTCAAAGACCTTTGATATCAATTGAGCGACGACACCCCAGTGACTCTGGCAATCTTTGAATCGGAGGCCCACTCGGAAAATTCCTAATTCATCAAACTCGTGGAGAGGCAGGAGTGAAAATAAGCTTCGCCAGATCCTTTCTAAATCTCGAATATCTTCGAGGCACCGGTCGAGAGCCAATGCCCAGAGACCTTTTGAAACAGGGTCACTGGCCATTGGTTTTGTGGGTTGAATCTGAGCGTAAATAATGCGTCGAGTCACAAGGTATGCATCCACAAGGGGGTATTCCTGTCGAATTCCTGCCTCTCTCTTCTCTAGACGCTTGTTTTCCTCGAGAAACTTTCTGATGCAATACGTTCCGGAGTCACTTAGCAGCATTTGAAGAACACGACTAGCAAAGTCGCTCATCACATTACCGATTTCAAGCGCTTTTCTCGATGCAATAAGTTCGTGCGATGCAATTTGTTGGATTTGATTCGCAAGCACCAGGTTGAACATTTCGATCTGAACACTGTATTCGAGCTCTTCCAAATTTTCGATGTCAGGGGTATATGATCGAGTCCCATCGCGTAATATAGAAAGAATAGACAAGCACCTCTCAACACAAATTTTCCTATCAACGGGGTCGCTAAAACTAAGTGTATCGCTGGCAAACAGGATGACAGATCTGTAAAGTTGTAATAGTTGCGTTCTGTGCGAAGGAGAGCTAGCCTGTGCATGGTCATGCCTTGCACCAGACCTCGTCGGGGTGACCACGATTCTCTCCAGCAAGGTCCCAAGTTCGGAAGATAATGTATCATTCCATGTACCCCATCGATAGACATGATTACCATCGAATATAGTAGATTGACCGCAATTCCTATCAAGATCCCGAGATAACAAGTTCAATGACCGGGCGAACTCACCGCTTCCAATAAAAGTAGACTCGTGGAAATAAGTGCCGGCCTGGAGAGGGAACGTGTCGAAGTCAACGGTATACGATTGTAGCGTTGGATGAAGACCTCTTAAAGGCCGGAATTCGCCTATCTCAGCAGATTTCACAGAATCCGCTGGAACCACATTGAAGTCATGTTCAAGAGGTTGACGATACTCAACCGCCTCCGAATCGATGTGTTGAGGTCTTCGCTTCCTTGGCTCTCTGGGCAGGGAGGTGTTAGTTTTAGGGAATAGCGTTTGGGTTATGCTTTTGCCGCCCTTAGGTGGAAGTATGGACTCGGTTCCCCTAGGCATTGGGCGACCGTTTCGGGAAAGGAATCTTGCTAATGGAAGTCGATCATTTCTGTTCAGCTGTCTATAGTCCGCATTCAACGTGGAGAGCGTCTTTTGGAAGGAGAAAGAAGCGCCTCCGCCACTAAGATATGCTTTGGAGCTGCTGTCCATTTCCACTGGCCTTGGAACACGTCGCTTAAAAGAGGAAACAACGAATCCATGGCGAGGTAGTCGGCTTTGTTTGGCTTTGGGTGTCGTTGCCGGTCGACTTCGTACCGAATCCATTTCATGTTGGTGGAATGTCCGGTCGATATTTTCTCTACCACTCACAGCAGCATCCAGACGGTTAGAGGGAGAATCGCCCATTGGTACATCAAGAGAATCATTAACGTCGCTAGGGCCACGCTGAAGAAGTGTAGGATCGGAATTGCTCGGTATTTGTAAACCTGGGGGGCATTCTTTCGTGCTTTCCCAACTGACAAGGCAATTCTGTGCTATCGTCCCGTTTCTCCATGCACGTAGCGTTTCATTAATATCTTGCGTGTCATCCCTATTACCCAATCGGAAAAATTTGCGGCTCTGACTTTGTCGTGCATAATTGCACCTTCTTCGGGCACAACGAGCCGCAATCCGGAGGAACTGGGGTTGGCAATGTGAAGGTCTGTTTTTGAGATCCGGAGCATCAAGTATACCTAGTCTAGGTATCCTGGGGACCTTGTTTTCTGACCGGTCTCGCCTACTTATAGTATCGGTAATCCTTGCCTGTCGCCTGGGTTTGCGGGTTGAGCCTTGGGTTCTCCTAGAAGTAGAATCATTTTCTCTTTTCCTGCCCCCCTTAGGGCCTAATGACACGCGTTTATCGGATGATATATAATGACGCGGTGCAGGAGGATACATGTAATCAATTCGATTGTCTTCCGGAATATCATCTTCGTCGTCTAAATCCATCACGAGACTCTCCAGTCCGTTGGGCCGTCTGGAGGTTGTATTCGGGTGGTAAGAGGGCTTCACGGATCCCGCGAGCTCTACATCAGAGCCAGAATCGTCAGATATCAGAAAGGCAGTTGCACGGGAGCCACCTGTATTGATCCTCTCATTGCCAGTTCTAGATATTTTTCGAGCAATACCCTTGGCATTTTCTCGTTGACGGTTGGCGAATTTCAATGCTTCCTTTCTGGATGCCTCTTTGGCTTTCTGTTCCTGTTCTTGAAGATCAAGTCTTAGCCATGAGGCGGGAAGGACGCCCTTAATTTTTCGCCTTATTCTTCTTAATTCGGTAGACTCCGCTTCTGAGGTCTCTGGAGTCGAGTCACTGTCGGCCTGCTGAACCGTTTCAATGTCATTTTCTGATTCGGCTTCTGACAAAAGCTCTGCAAAAATGGTCTGTACACCGTTCGACCTTGAGCGTGTCTCCGTGGTTGGGGTGGCAACGGTGGGGGGTGTCATTCCAGGAGGAAAGCGAAACTCATTTGCATCTCGTGGACTTTGAAATGATTGTGCAGACGAGAGGCTGCCAGAAGGCGGTGGTGAGAGAGGTACATCAAAAATACTGGTTCCTTGAGAACGGCTAATAACATTATCGACCACAGCGACCTGGTCCTGGCTGGATGAAACCTGGACAGTGGCCCTGGCTTCTTCGTTGCTATTTGAAATTTTGCGGCGTTTATTGCTTTGCCAGGCTTTATCGTGTCGTTCTGCTCTGGAAGGGCCGTATGTTTTTCTGCTGTACTTGCGAATAACGACTTGAGGTTGGTTCGACGAAGGACGTAGCGGAGGACGTCTGGTATCGGTCGGTTCTACTGGTCCAGGAGACGAGGGTGGGAAATGGAAAGAAACGTCCGGACTGCTTGAAGGCAGAGCGTTTGCATCTTGATAGAGCTGGTTTTGACTCTCATCTGAATCCTTTTGAGGTGCATGGTCAACGATGTTGACACGGACGGGTTGTAAGCCTCTTGCTTTTAGCAGCCTTTGATACTGAGCATTTTCCAAAAGGTATGGATGCAATTGGATAGCATTTCGTTGTCTTAAAGACCTGCCGTGATGCTCATGAATACCTGGAAGAATATCGTCGGGTATTTCTTCGAGTTGTATAACGTCTTCGTTTGGATGTTCTTCGACCGTTGCAGCTCGACTTTGGTCCAATTGGGCGCTCTTGGTTGACCACGGGGAGGTGATCGTGGATGGGGGAGACGAAAGGGATGAGGACCCCTCTCCGTCACCATCAAAATCATCATTCAACGTTGTGAAGGCCTTAACAATAGGTCTGGCCGGGGCTCGGGCTGGTAGATGCTCGTCAAAGTGTAGTTCATCCGGCGATGAGGGAGGTTCACTCTGCTCAGACCTAGTAAAACTGGCTTGTAGACGGGCAATGTTCGAATCCTTATTCGCCGTTGTTGATCGAGCAAACAGCCCAGTATCGCCTTGTAATGGGTCATCATCGTCTAATTCCTCGAGTTCAGGCCCCCGAAGAATGTCCAGTTCATCCTCGTCATCAGAGTCGGGGACGTAGCCACGCTCCCGCCATTGTTCCATTTGTAACAACCCATTTCTTTATCTCGTCATTTCAGAGTACGTGATGGCGGTGTTGAGGATGTGACATTCAAATTGCTCTGATTTCCGTCAATGCTGTTGGGGACGCGTTTGAAGACGCGCCGGCACTATCAGGAATTGATGAGCGCGTTCATTTGCCAAGACCTGATTTATTACATAATAAAACTAGTTGATAACTATGATGGACAACCCAACTGAGCTACCCAAAGGGGGGATTTCATCTAGCGAGCCGTGAACGGCCGAAATTCTCCAGTGCTGCGGACAGTTGCGCTGCCGTCGAACGCGAAGCAAGCCCTCTCTGGGATCAAAGCAAAGGCAAGATGAGACTGTCGCCCGGTTCACTAAATGGTTAGCTAATTAGCTACAGGAGGAACTAGTGCGGCTTTCGGCCGCCGCTGCAGCTAGCAATGGCACGAGGCAGCGGACTTTTCCCTGTCGCCCTGGCTGTGGGCTTCGGCATTCTGAATGGTAACTACACATGTACCCGCCGAATCACAATTTCAGTATCTACTCCGATCTATGAGGATTGATCGTTGCTCCTTATAGGATATATCGTTTTCCAACCGGCTTATGCGGATCGCGAGGCGAAAAAATTCCAACAATCCCAGTTAGTTTATCCCTTTCCCTGAGACTCTCCGGCAGAAGCACAGCAAGAGGGGAAGAAAAATGGAAATATCTTAGGCCTGACAGAACACACCTCCATACAGTCAAGGTAGCACCTCCGGAGTTAAAGAAGCCGCGTTATCTACCAATACCGAGATGTCTAGCCTTACAAGCCAATCGACGTCCGACTGCGCGTCGACGAGTACAGAATCCCCGAAAACCTCCTCATTGGAAAATACCAATAGTTGGTGGAGTAGAGGGAAGACAAATGAGGATTCGAGCACAACTTCTTAGGAATGAACAAGAATTGGGAAGTTTGAACAAGCCGCTTGCGGCTGGATTGGACAGCATTTGACTAGCCATTACTGCACCACCAGCGGCATTCCTGCGCTCGCCGAAAAGGCTCCATACAGGAGGCCATTAGGTTCATAGAGGCTGCCATTCGGCCGTATGCTACGCAACAAGCGGCTCTAACCAGGTACAGGTTTATCTTTGAATCCTGAAGCCTGAAGGAAGAGACGAAAGGGGAGAGAAAGAGTTGAGAACGGATAGCCCTATTGCTCCTCTCGACATCGTTGGACACCAAAGAGCTGCCAAATGTGCGCAGCCTACATTGTATCATAGAAGGAGATCATAGACAGGTGATCAGTTTTAATAACCGAAACGTGTGTGCTCCGTACCGTACATACTATCACCTCGTCACATCCATATACTCGAGCCAATTTCCATCGTTTCCGCTAGATTAATATAGTACGGCAGCCAAATAAAACCCAGACACAGATGCTCAACAATATAGCTAGTAGACGGATGTTGCATAATCTCATAGTTCCTCCACAAGTCTACCATGTCCCTGGCCACTAGGGATTGCGGTACGGCTTCCAAAGACTAGGCCGGCAGGTGTTCCAAGCCACTCGTTTGGTACGCCCAGCCTGCAGCCATCTCTGTTCATGGCATATCGCACCATAGTAGGCTCGGGTTGAGAGCCTTCCTCAGCCTCTTGAACCCGTGGAGAAGCTTCTCCTGCCGTTTCTGCAGCGCTAATTTTGCCTCGACGTTTCGGTGCCTGCTTTTTGAGTAGTTTGTTGATAGTATCCATCTAGAAAGCCCGTCAGCACACAGCCTAGTTAAGGACTCTCGCTAGTTCAATGATGCTTACTTTTTCTTCTTCGTTACGTTTCTCGCTGAGGTTCTTCCTCCGTCGTGCCATTTCAGCGCGGCGCATTGCGTGCTCCTCCGCTGTCAAATGCTTTTTAACTTGCGGTTCTATCGTTATCACAATTTTATCAGTTTTCCGCTAGTGCAGTGTAATTCTTCGAACAACCTACTTACCCATAGGCAATTGCAAGAAGTCCCCATACTGTAAGCGCTCTCTTTGACGTTTGGTCATTCTGCTAGTGTATCCTGGCGAGCTTGCGCGGCTGGCTTCCATCGGAGTGGCAATTTCATCCTCTTCATCTTCCTCCTCCATCTCTTCATCCTCTTCTTCTTCAACCTCCTCTTCGTCCTCTCCTTCTTCTTGGAGAATGGTGTCTTCACCTTTTTCCGCTTCAGGCTCTGAGTCCAATTCAGAGAGCTCTTCGTCGTCATCGTCGTCTTCTTCCTCTAAATCAACATTCCTGGCTTCGACGTTTCTCACCTTAGCTGCTGCTACCGGAGTCACGGTGACAGTTGGTCTCGACCGATGGTGGTGAGAAACTGGGGGGACATCATCCATATCGATATCGCCTTCAGCATCAACGTCCGGATCAGGATCACCTTCAGCGTCGATGTCTTCGTCCGCTTCAGCATCTGCATCATCGTCATCATCCTCCTCCTCTTCGTCATCTTCTTCATCTTCTTCATCTTCATCGACATCATTCGCTGCATCATCACCATCGTCATCATCATCATCTTCTTCTTCTTCTGCTTCTATAGCAGATTCCAGATCATCATCTTCTTCGTCGCTATCAACCTCGACAATTTTCTTTTTAGATCGACTGCTTCTTGGCCCAGTGATGACCACTGGCTCCGTAAATATATTGTGAGGACGGGCGTCTGCGCTAGACGTGACCTCACGGAGTTTGCTGGCTGGCATTTTTACTGTTAAGCGAATCGACCTCTTGGTTTCTTCAGGTGGGCTTGATGGCGATCGAGAGACCGTAACTGAAGGGGAAGACGGTATTCCTCCCGTGGCTTTCTGTGGCCTTGACATGCTACCCGCGGAAGGCGCGTTGCTTGGTGTTTTGGTCAGCGCAGCTCGCGAGCGGAGGGTACGACCAGAAGTCATGGTTTTAGATCTCAAGCTGTGACACAGTGTCTGGAAGATTTACACAATGCAAAATAGGGAAATTCAAAAGAACTGGAAAGGAAGCGACAAAGAGACAGGGCGCAAGGGCCTCAAAATTGAGAGAGTGGCGAAATCATTTACAAAAGCTGACGGGACTGACAAAAGGAGCAAAATGGGGAAATTGGCAATGTGGTGAGGGTGAGGTTCGCTTCATGGAAACAATAGCGAGGTAGAAAGATTTGCCGGGAAGTGACAGCCATCCTCGTTGGATGCTGATGCTCCAGAGGTGGCATATGCGTTAACGCATCCACCGTGTCTCATTGGTACAAAGCCCAATGACCGTCGCAGATGCTGATGCTACCTCTCATCTCTCTAGCGACAAGAAGAGCCTTGTCTGGACCCTTGCGTGTGCAGGTGCTCCATTCGCTGTCAGAATAGGTATGAATTGCCAGGATCTCCAGGTTTCGAAAAATAAATGAAGGCCGATATTGGTAGTCCAGAGAATGGCCCGACGCGGAGGAATTTTCCGGACCAGAAAGCTCATGGAACTTTTGGTGCAAATAAGAATAATAAGACTTAACTTACCGACTGTTGCTTGGGGTCTGTGGTTGCCAATCGTCACTGCTTTCGCCAGCGTCGTTTGGAGTCGAAATATGGTGGTACGGAGGCACGTCCGTACCGTCTTCCTGTTGGCGAAGACGCTTGACTGGCCGTTCTGCCATGGATTTTGAACTCAGCGGTGCCAATATCAAGCTCAGGTCGGGCCTCGCCACGCTATGCAAATGTCCTGGGCGACCAACAAAATTGGTTGGATGCGTCTCCTCCCGCCTCTTTGGTCGCTAGTCGTTTGCTGAAGCCCACCAGGTGGTGGAGGTTACTTCAAAAGCCCGGCTATCCAAAATCAGAAGGAAAGATATGAGTTTCCTCAACCTGCTCTTTTATAACAAAAAAAGTAAGATCTTTTGTCAAGCTTTAATTGTCGATTTCTGATGCACACGACAGACATCGCTTGCCGTCAAGCCGTTGGAGCAGGTCGGGATGATAAATTACACGAAGTATGACGCAGAGGTATTTAGTACTTCACTACTCCGTACTCCGTATTCAATGTTTTATTCGCAAATTAGAGGTATACAGTACTCCGTACTTATTATATTGTTATGTACGGAGTATTCCGTAATATCCATACGTCTCTCCTGGTGTGAACTCCGTGGGACTTACGGCCTCAATACACGCTGTTTCCGATGCATGACATAAGCAGCCGAGGTAAACTCTCCTCGTTCAAGTGATCGCGCCGTGGAGGAAATCATAAATGCACCGAATCCAGGACTCCTGATGCTGCCGGCTTGAAATCATTTCATTAGATGTTCTTGAGGATTCAGTCTTGAAGAGCCGGTATGCCTGATCCGAAGACTCCCTCCATTCCGAGCTGGCAACTGGCCGCAAACCGTGCCGCGAAAGCCCAGGAGGATACTCCTCCAAGCTCCCCTAACGAGAGCCCATCAGCAGACAAGGAGACCTTGCTCGAGCAAGCATCGCAATTCTTGCAGGATGAGTCGATACGTAATGCTCCTACGGATCAGAAAATTGCTTTTCTTGAGTCCAAAGCCCTAAAACAAGACGACATCAAGAAACTTCTCGGTGCATCGACGCATCCAGAGGCGGCAGAGGACAAGAAAGAAGAACCGGCAGCCACAAGTCCAACTTCAGAGGAGCAATTTACATCGTCTAAGAAGCCCACGTCTGAGAGTCCCCCCATTTCTTCGTCTTCGATACTACAGCAGAATTCTGCTCCCACTCGCGATATTCCCCCAATAATAACCTATCCCGAATTCCTCGCCCAGGCTTCAAAGCCCCCTCCGCTCGTAAGCCTCCAAACGGTCCTATATACGTTATATGGCGCTGCGGGTCTCGCATCTACTATGTATGGCGCAAGCGAATTTTTAATCAAGCCCATGATTGCCTCCCTTACCGGCGCGCGACATGAACTTGCAGAAACAGCACAACGAAACCTTGAAACCCTAAACGAGAAATTAGAATTAAACGTTTCTACAATACCCCCAGCGGCAATGAAATCACGAAAACACGCATCGTCGGACGAGGGAGAGGCGGGAGAAGCAGATTCAATCACCTCAGACCCAACAGAGCTTTTCCACAGGGACATCGCTACCCAAACCAGTCCAGAACTCGAGAACCCCCCTTCGACGTTACCGAAACCAGACTCTATCACGGAATCCCAAAAGGCACTAGACACCCACGTCTCCCGCCTTAGCTCCATATCCTCGCAGCTCAACGACATCCTCTACGCCGAAATGCAAAACGATCTCTCGACCAACAACGTCAAGGACCGTATTTCCAACTTGCAGACCTACCTTGATAGCCTAGCGTACAGCTCCCCATCCTATCTAAGTTCGTCTTTGTATGGAACGTATGGTGATGACTCAAAGGGGGATAAGCAGGGCATGTCAAGTGGAGAAGCGGATGCAATAGCCGCATTCAGAGCAGAAGTCAGGAGCGCCAAAGGTGTTTTGTTGAGCGCAAGGAATTTCCCGGCCGGAGTACGCGGGGGCGTCCGTGGGATGACGAGAAGTGCGACTGCTTCGCAGGGTGCGTGATCACGTTAATTATAACTATGTCTGGATGGTGTTTGGTTTCGGTTTTTCAAGGAATATTTTACGGATCCGATCTGATGTACTATTTCCAATATACCATTCGCTATTTTTGTCGACAGTACAATCTATTATATGTAGAACAAGGCATCGCATCGCAAAGGTTAATCAATACAGTGTCAATTCATACTTCCGTCGCGGCGCTGATTATCTCACGGATAACGACACCTAAATTGAAACAATTTTGCAATTCCATATATCTCATCTATGCTCGTCCACCTTACCTGGGAGAAACGAACCGGGTCCTAAAGATAGCGAAATTTCAAAGCCAAAAAAATTAAGTAACAAAAGCAGAAGTGCAAGACCACATAGGTGCCAGCGGTAAAATGTCCCGATTATGGGGTCGCCCTGCTCATGCCAATCAGGCGCTTCACACCAACCTAAACATGACACAACACATTAGAATCGTGCGTCGTAGAGAAACGGATAAGCGAGAAGCATCTGACGAGCCCGAAGAGGACTTACCATCCAGTTTCCACATTCATCAGTCTTGTTGGTTAAGATGTCCAAGTGAATTGCTTGCGCAGTTTCATAATCCTTTACTTGAATCGCATGGGCGAGTTCGGCCATACTTTCAATGGTGCTAGGCTGCAAGAGATCTTCATTGTTGAGGTGGTCAAACAAAATATTCAAGCGGCGCTCTGTATCGTTGACCTGAGCTTTGAAGGCTGCTGGTGCGCGGGCCTTAACACGCTGCATGTCGGAAGAGAGGATTTCGTAGATAGGTTGAGCGTTCGCCGGGATGTGAGATCGGTCACCAGGTGCTGCAATGGACGTTAGGAACTTGAATATATAGAACAGTAGTTGTTAGAAGACCTACGATATTTTTGAGCGGGGGGTGCCTTTTTTTGCGACTGGGCAGTACTTGGCCGGGATCCTTGTTGAGAAACTGGAGGTGGTGGGGCTTGCGGACCGGTTGGAGGAGGTGCGTAGGGACTTTGCGCTGGTGCTTGCTGAAATGGCTGTGGAGCATATGGCCCTGGAGGTGGTGGCATAGATGAGTGGGGTGGAGGTGCGATTGGAGGCTGTCCATGCAGTTGACCGGTGGGCTGGGACACCTGGGCCGGAGCATACCGATTCGTGGGTGGTGGAACGGTGGGTGGCGCATTATATGGCGAAGGTCCACGGGGGATTGGGGGAGGTACGGCCATTCCTGGGCTTGTTTGTTGCGCCAAAGGAGGGGAATACACATGAGTACGGGATGGGGGTCGTTCCGCCGGTTGCAAACCATGAGGTATTCCGGCGGTGGAAGGGGACGCCATTCGCGGCGGAGCCGGGCCCTTAGGAGGTGGAGGGGGAACGCTATCCCTCGGTGCAGGCATGGTGGAAGGCGGAGGGGACGTGTGGGATCCCGGTTGGGTTAGGGATGGTGTGTTCGGGAACGGCGAGCTAATCACAGAGCTACCTGTCACCGGCGTACTGCGACGCGGAGTTGCAGCTCTTCCAAAGCCTTCAGGAAGATCATTCCAAGCAGGTATATTCGTTGCTCGAGTATATGGGGCAGCTACCGAGGGGGACTGACTTGAAGCTCTTGGAGGCGGCGCAAGACCTGCTGGTCCACTTTGAGGTGGTGGAGCCAGCGGCTGGGGAGGAGGAATAACATTTGATTGCCGTGGCTGCGGCGGCTGGTACCCAGTAGTAGGCGTGTAAGTCGTGCCTCCAGCTGAGGTGTAACTAGTAGTAGTTGTAGGGGCATATGGGTTAGTCGGTTTTGACAAAGCTGGAGGTGCAAACTGGTTGACCGATCCCGGCGCCGGGCCCTTATGTGTTGGAATTTGAGCTGGCTGGAAAGTACCAGTCAGTGTCGGCGCAGTAGGCGGGTGACGAGGCGCCGGCGCACGGCCTGTTGCTGCTTTGGAAGCGGGCTTCTTTGTTGCAAACTGAATCCGGCTTCTAGCAACCTCTGCTTCTGGGTACGATGCTGGTAACAGATCAAGGTACTTTTCAGCCACGTCTAAACGACCATGGGACGCCACTACATCAGCATATTCCAGGTATTTCTCGTATAGGGAGCTGAGCTTCCAATCCGAAGACTTCTGTCGCTCCGGATCTTGGAATTTCGACACGTGACGGAATACGGTCACTTTTTCGATGAAGCTCTGAAGAGCACGAACATGAATCGAGAAGCTCGTGTCATCAGTCGCGTTCTGGATGCTATAGGCTTCATTCTCCTTTAACTCTTGAATCCAAATCGAAACAACCTTTTCGAGTTTTGAACTAGCCAAATAGCAAAAGGAAGCATCTTTTCGGGCTTGCTTTGCCTTTTTAGACCTGTAGCTCTCTTCCAGCCGGTCACCCAAAGCCTCACACAGATCAGGGAATTCTTTATCGTCGGCAAACGTGCAGATAGCGGCTATGGCTTCTTTCCAGTTGGCAAGACCTGCGTTATGAACGACATCCCACAAGTTCTTTCCAACCACAGAGGCAAGGAGACGAACAAAACTGGGCCCTTCGGATTGTTTCGAGAAGTACGCTTCTTGAGCTTTTTCGATACATTTCTGACCTCCACAAACTGCAACCATAAATGCATCTGACATTCGATCCTCTTGAAGGCACACGTCCAAGGCCTTCTCGAACTGGCCGAGTAATAGGGCCCTGGTAATGGCCCTGTCTGCTTCAGATTCGGAACCTGTATATATCTGGAATGGGTTATTGGTTTTTGCTCCCTTAGAAGAAGCTATCTCGTCGAGGAAGCTCTCTCCTTCGACGTTTGTCTCAAAAATTGAAGTTATTCTCTTATGTTTCTTGACCCCTTCACTTTTCGGAGAAAGCTGACCTTCGCCGTTCGCTTCCTTCTTGTCCAGGCCCAGCTTCGATAAACTATCAGCGGCCTCATCCACTTCGTTGGAAAATCCGAGATAATTAACCAGCTGTTTTCTAGGGTTATCGGAGAGCAGAGTTTCAATAACTTTCCAGTCGGTTTTCTCTTCTTCACACTGCGAGCTGGCGATCCGAGATTCACAAATACCGCGAAAGTCCCCGGTTTTCACCGAGCTCTCAAAATTTTCAGTGGCGCTGCCCACATTAGGATCAACATCAAAATGGCTGATTGTGATCTTTGAAGATCGGCTTCCCGAGCTCAAACCCGCCGAAACCACTCTGCCACCGAATCCGAATGAAGCCGTCACTGGTCTCTCAAGCCACTTGGGGGCTTTGGGGAGCGAGAAAGTTGAAATTTGAGGGCGGGTTTGCGCTTTCGCAAAAAAATCTTCATCATTAACAGCTTGCTCTTGGTTGTTTCCTGCTTGCGATGCATCCTGTCGAGTGTTCTGAATAGTCTGGACCACAATCTTTCCATCAAAGGAGGCAGTGGCAAACATATTCGGGTTATGTGGATTCCAGCGAGTCTGGAATGTCCAGTTTGTCACAACTGGGAATTCGCCGTATGCATTGCCGGTCTGAGGATTCCAGCAAATTGTTCGGTTGTCTTTACCGCAAGATAAGAGCAAATCTGGATCTTGTGCGCACCAAGAAAGTGACAACACACCGGACTCGTGGCCTCGCAGGACCTAAATCAATTCAGAATATGTGTATTAAATTTTCCTGAGAAAAACCTACCCGTTCTGGAGCGTTCGAATTTCGTAGATCCCAAACCAAAATCAAGGGGTCGGTTTCGAGGGGTATAGAAGTTATTAGTTTGGTCGGCTACATTAGATCAGTTCAAAAGTTCCGGCTATCAGCGTGAATGGGAGTGACACTACCTTCTCCGGGTCCCATGCCACAGCGCTGACCGCTTTCCGGCCAAGATTATTCAATGTAAGACTTTCCTTCTTGGTCTTCACGTCCCACACTGTTACAAAGCCAGCGCTGCTTCCGGTGACCAAGATATGAGGCACTTTCTTGTTCCAGTCGAGGCATTCGATATCGTCGACTCGTGCAGCACCGCTGCCTAATCGGAAGGCTTGGTCGACGTTATTCAAATCAGAAATGAATAACTGTCCGGAGTTAGCGAGTTGCAGGTAATTAAAACGCAGTGTTAAGAGACGCTTGCCTCCCCCTTTCCTCCGCCCGTAGCAAGTAGATTCGAATGCCTCGGGTTGAACTGCAATGCCTTGATTGGCCCAGTATGTTTAGAAGCGCTTGAAATAAGTGCATCACTTCGAGGAATTAGAATAGAGCCCATATAACCAGAATATATCCGCTAACCTTGCACCGTTGAGGAGTTTATCGGCGTCCCACAGGTCTAAAGATCCATTCTCGAGAGCACCTGCGATCACTCCTCGAGTATGGTCTTCCGATTCTGCCCACGCGATATCGTGAAAGCTATGGCAAAAATTATAGTCAGCAATTGCGAGCTATGCGACCAACGACCACCCAAAAAGCCCGGGCTAAATCGTAACGCACCCGGACTCCGTACTGATCTTCGCTACCGGCTCCAGTTCTTGCCCCAGCTTATCATTATCCAAGTCCAAATTCCACAATTCCAGGAACGTTTCGTTGGAGAAGTCTGCGTCAACTGCGCCCGCGCGTGTACCAGTAGCAATGAAGGGAGCAGCGGACCCAGGAGACCAGGTGAAGGTCGCCGTCCGGGGTATCTCCCTTAGACGCACCATGGCGGACGGTCGAGGGCAACCAGTGCAGGAATGGATGGAGGGTGTACAGGGAACAAACGACCAGCTTATAAATTAGTGCAAATATATGCTTAAAGAAAGTAAAGTACAGGACAGCTGGCGGGATGCAATTCAATTGTATGTCCTCGGGTTGACGCCAGGGGGCCAACTTTCCTCGTCCAAAAAGGTGGCCTTCTCGAGCGACCACAACAGATCCACTTTCGAAGCGGGCGCAGAACTTTGGTCACGTGATCCCGGTTCCAAATGGATGTGAGAGAGTTCAAGGGTCCAGTGGTGATCAAGGGTTTACGCTGTGTTCAAAGGCTGGCTGGCGAAAGCACACTATTAGAAGGAAAATATATACTGTACACGATTTCGACACTTGGAGTGAAGGCCTATGGGTTAGTGGGGGCTGTGAAAGAGTTGGCCCATCATGTCAGAATCATCGAGACTGAAGAGTACAATTTACGTCGGGGGACTAGATCAGGGCGTCACAGCGCAGACACTCGCTGAGGCCTTCATTCCCTTCGGTGAAATCGCCGATATCACACTGCCTAAACCCGAACTCCCCTCGTCCGCTGATCTCCATCGAGGCTTTGGATATGTGGAATTTGAGTTAGCACAGGACGCGAAAGAAGCAATCGACAATATGGATCAGAGCGAGCTCTACGGGCGGATTATCAAGGTCGCAGCTGCGAAACCGCAGAAGGATAGCAACGAAGGACTTGGAAGCAAGACTGCTATTTGGGAGCAGGTATGTGTTCACAGGGGTATCTTTGATGTACCTAGTATCTAACAGGATACACCACGATCTAGGAGGGCTATCTTGCACAACACGCCGTCAGCGAGGAGGATAAGCAGGCCGCTGAACAGGCAAGGTCGGCCGTCAATAGTCGCACAGATCCAATGCAAGGCCTAGAGGGCCTGGATGTCGCCGGACCAAATCCAGCATAAAGCTAAGGAGGATATATTGGCGCTTCAGATTTTCGATTAACTCGGATTTTGATCCACCAATGCTACATCCTTCATGCTTGGAATGCTATATTTACAACAAGTACCACCGGCGCTTCTCTCCTCGCATAACAATACACATTTGAAGATTGCTGGTGCGTGTTTCCAAATACCGCCTCTCTCGAACAACCCGCCTGGAACCCCAGGTTTCCCGACCAAATCTCAGTGATCCTCTGGCTTTGAGCGGCTTAGACGAAGGGTCTTATCCGTCATAAACTTCCTGATGCTGGAATAGATGCCGGCGCCGACTGCGACGCTGTAGAAGGGGGGAATCAAGGTCAGCAGAAGATATCTCCTCCAAGTATCTCGAGATCGGATCTTACCAAAGGACGAAACCTATACACACAAAACAGTATTAGTATATGAGGCAATCCCAAAAAAAGGCAATGGATCTCTATCATGGCTTACCAAGAGGAAGTAATTCCGGAGGAATCTTCTTCAAGGTCCGTAGACGTTGAGAGATGGTGTGAGCTAAGTGCCAACGTTAGACTGCAAGTAGCATTCTTCATATATCCAATAAAGCGTCTGGCGAAACCGTACCACTCTGTTCTTCCTTCTGCAAAGCTGTTAGCGCCCACAATCCCACCAATTGATATCCAAGGGTAACTGGGAACGCACCGGGATAGGCCGAAAGACGGGGCGGGAAGCCCTCATAGCCAAAACTCGAGTAGCATACATGTTCACGGACAGGAGCCAATTGCTATCACTGAGGCAAGATGTGTAGAATCGAGGTTTTTCTGCGGTTGTTTGACACCAAACTGTGTCCAACGGGCTTTTGGAAGTGGTGGAACTCGGAAGTGGTTTGATGGTTCGATTGTTCGTGATGTGGAAATGATTCGCCACCATTGGTCGACGGTCTTGGCTTTTCCGGTCGGCTCACGGGACTCCCAACTCACAAAGCATTCCACCAACGACAAACAACCTCACGAAGCTCCAGGTCATCAACCATTGACTGCCAATCCAGAACGTCTTTTCTTAGGGCCAATCCTTTATTTTCAACCGACAAGATGTGGGAAATCCCAGATGCTGATCCCGAGGAGCCCGTCGAGACAAAGCCCTTCAAATTCGTGACAGGTATGTTGAATGTCCCACTTCCTAAACCACCCGGCGATTGCAAAAAACCAGTACTAATTGACGATAATACAGCTGGTACGTACTTCCAGAGACAGTTTCGTGCAATCTCCAGATGAGATAGCCTCGAACTCCACGACCAATTCTTCATTTGCGACATATTAACAGCCATTGCCAGGTTTTGACGCTCGCTTCCCTAACCAAAATCAGTACGTTCCCAATCGCACCCAACTTTCAACAGGTTATGAGGAGCGCATCTAACAACAAAATTCTAGGACCAAGCACTGCTGGCAGAACTATGTCGACTATCACAAGTGCATATTAGCCAAGGGTGAAGACTTCAAGCCCTGCCGACAGGTGTGCCTCAGCCCATAAAATTCTAATGCTCGTGATGGCGACTGACCATAAACTCCAGTTCTTCCTCGCTTACCGATCTCTTTGCCCCAAGTCCTGGACTGACCGATGGGATGATCAACGCGGTATGCATCCAAACTCCCACTCTTCTCCAATAACTAGCCACAACATCACTTTGACTAACCAAGTGTAACAGACGCCGGCAACTTCCCTGTTCGTCTTGACCGATAAAGGAACTTCACCCATATGAAAAAAGACTCATGATGAAAATGCTTGTATACAGCTAGTCTTGCACAATACAAATGGGCAGAGTGTTTTTCGAGACCACTAAATTTACAGGAAGTGTATATAACAGTGTGACAATAAGTTTTCAATTGGGAATATCGATACTGTCAAAGTTCTTAACCATCAAGAATATCCACCCTGTGATTCTGTAAACCAAAAAAAAAAAAAAAAATTGCAAGTCAATTTCATTTCAAGGTAGACATGCAGTCTTTGAGCACTATCAGTGAAGCTCACCTCAGTCTATATCGCTAAGTTGCTGCATGAATCGCTACTTGCTTTTGTATCCCACTACAATCCCGGTGGGTTCAATTCCACAGTGCAGTTATATATGTCACCATGCTAGTGTAGCAAGGCTAATTCTAGGCCATCAGATATCTCATCTATCCCGTCCTTCCTCAATGAAGTGTCTTCAACCCTCTTGATGTATACCGAAAATATAAATATTAGGACCCTTTTAACGCCAGAAGAGACTCGCCAACGGGGGTATTTGAGTAGGACCTGGCATAAAATCATAGAGCACAAGGGTCCAGTGCGTGCTAGGCATTAGAAGTATCAAATGGCCAAATAACATAACGAAATAGATAAACATGCATAGCCAACCTCTTCCTCTCTATAGGTTTGGGTCTATGGAAACATGCCAATAAGGCCCATGTGCCAGCTCCTTGTTTAGGATAAATGATAACCAAAGGATAAAGCATATAGGCCAAAATCTGATTTAAATGTGGTGTAACTAAAGCCTGCATGCTAGAGGGTTGCTTTGGTGTCACTATCAGGCCGTTTCAACGCTCTGTAAATCTTCTTGTGTTGCTCCAAGAACAAAAATGTCGCGACTGTGTGAGGTCCCAGGCGTGTAAAGCTCGGAATCCAACCGCGGAACATCCATGAAAATCCTTCTTTCTTGAATATGTCTCTTAAAAATCCAACGATGGTATGGCCACTGGACTCTGCGGAACTAGCGCCCATGATCCGAGTTTTTATAACATCGATGGGGCTGCAGAGCGTGGTCGCAACGAACCCTGCCATGACAGATGCTGTAAGATGAGTGGTGATATTGTCGGCCATCCCGAAGTGACCCATGCATATTTGTTTGAACTCGTCGTAGGACGCCAGCTGCGCTGCAGTCATACCGAGTGCTCTCAGAGAATTGGGCCAGACCCCGCGAAACAAACTAGCCGCTCCCTCAGTACGGAGCATTTGCGACATTCCGTGAAAAGCATGTCGATAATTCCGCCGTTTCTCAGGAGGCAAAGCCGCATCGCGCTGCATCCGGACGTTTGTGACATCGGCAGGATTTCCAACCAACCCACCCACGAAGCCGGAGAATGACGCCATGCCGATCAGTGTTAGCAAGGATGGAGGGGACGAAGAAGATTGTGTCACACGAGACTTGAGCTCTTCATAGATCCCAAATCGAGTAGTCGAATATGTTATTTGCCGTAGAAGGGACGCTGACAACTATATCCACAAAATAGTTATTAGCGAGAAAGGTGTATAATCGCCGTCAGAAGTCAAAAGAAGTCGACATACACCATTGTAAAGGCCCAAAAATCCATTTGACCTGCAGATGTGAACTATGGTCCTCATCATTCCCGTGGGATCCCCGGGTCCACGAGTTTGCAATCGAACCTATATATGTGAGCAATCAAGGATGGATGTACTGGGACAATAAAATAGCTCAAGTTACCTTGACTTCAATTCGAAACCAAATTAGAAACAACCTATGTCAAGGGCAAGAATAACAGTCCAGAGACTCACCGAGATCCAAAGGATGCGTCACGGCCGCTGCGAAACATGATGCTGACCCCCCAAACCAGAATGGATAGTGTATTTTTGGACTTGACGAACGGGCAGCACCGGTTTGCCCGGCCCTGCCTTTATCACTGCTTCCCATCTTGGTGTGAAGCGGCAAGCATCATGCCACAAAAGGAGGGAAAGAAAAACAGCAAGTTCACTCTGTCGGCCTGGAGAGGATGCTTGTGGCCAACGAGCGGAATCCTCCCAGAACCTTGAAGGCGTGAAACCCGAATTTCAGGTACGGTATCTGGGTACAGCCGAGTTACGGATAGATAAGGATACTCCGCAGATTCGGTGGTCAATTCCGGTGTACAAGGGCGTTTGGTTGGGTATTGTCACCGCTTAAAGCTTCAACTTAGGTAATAAATTACACTGGCTCTGGTTTGCGGGTCGCTGGTTCACCAGCTTTGACTGTTAAGGCCAAGCAATTCGATGGATTGAATTATTATTATTATTATTATTATTATTCATTATAGTCTTATGCAGTCAGAGGCTGTGTGAAGAGTAGTCATACTGCCAGGGTTCGTCTTGTATAGAGAATCACAGACTCAAGAAACAGTGTCTGAGTCCAAAGTATGGAGTGGGCAGGATCTGACAAGCTCCCGCAGAGGAACAATAATCTGAGAGTGACCAAGCAATGCTAGCGTACAGTCGCGACATTGGTGTACCAGGACAGTCGTCTTCTAGTCAGGCACAAGTACTTGCCTCGCATCGCACTTTTGTTGACGCATTTTCCGGGTGAAAAGCCTCACCAACACGATATGGCAGAGGAGGCTGAAGTAGGACACGTTCTCCAGGCTGCTGCTTTCCATTCCAGTTAGCAATAGTGACTGGAATACACACATTCTAAGAGCTTCCGTGGAGCTGGTCAGCTACGTCAGCGACATGGCATGCATTATGCGATTCGAAGTTCAAGTGATGGCCAACGGTCGCTCTAATCCAGTTGCGCCTGTTTTATTGGGGAGCGGTGAAGAAGCCGGTTTTCCTGGCTGGGATAACTTAAGCAGTGAAGAATATTACCTTCCTTATAAGCATTTTCCTCAGGAAATACGGAGTAGACCCGAGTCACTGGCATGGTGGTCGTTGCACGGACTGGGACGGGACTGTTCAAAAAAATAAGCCTGTCAAGGGGCTAGTTATTGGATTACCTAACAACCTCACATTGCTAGTTAACTTACCCACTAACTACTCCGTAGTTAGCTGGATGTCATTAAAACCCTAGGTGCTAACTAGCGCAGCACCAAGTACTCCGTAGGAGCTGTCAGTATCAACGAGTGATGAAACTTGGCGAGGTCAGACCTGGCGACCTAGCGACGTGTATACCCTCGGGCTTGGGTAACCCACAATCTTTGGGCCAGGGCAATTAGCAACCTGGAACGAATTGTGGCGGGCGAGCTGTCGCTGCGAAACATGCGGTTAATCGCCACTGGGAGAGCGCTCCGAGTGAGCTACGAACGACCCGCCGTCGCAATTGCTCGCCGTCCATGGTGTGGCCAGTTCTTCCCCCGGGCCTGGCAAGTTTCACGGAGTACCAGTAGCTCTACAACAGCTCCACAATCCTCTGCAAATGCCCCGGACGCGCTGAAAAATGTTTTTCAGCGATCAGCAGAGCAAGCCCGACAGGCATCTACCCTTCCGGTCGCCGACAAAACATATGCTCGAGACGAATGGACCAATACCTCGCAAACCATCCTCTCCCACGTCGGACGTCGCCTCTACCTTGACGAAAACCACCCTCTCTCGATCACGCGCAAGCTCATAGAGAGCCAGTTTACCGGCCCTGAGTTTGGGAATTATGTTGAAAAGAATCCTATCGTTTCCGTCGCACAGAATTTTGATGACTTAGGCTTCCCAGCCGACCACCCCGGTCGTAGCCGAACGGATACGTATTATATCAACAAAGATACAGTCTTACGAACACATACCAGTGCCCATCAGCGTGCATATTTTCAGCAGATGCACAGAAATGAGAATATTAAGCCGGAAGAAAAAGGATACACAATAGTTGCTGACGTCTACCGTCGTGATGCGATTGATAGAAGCCATTATCCTGTCTTCCATCAGATGGAATGTGCAAGGCTCTGGAAGCGCCCAGTCACAGCGGCTGCCATTATGGAGGATTTGAACAAACTCGCACGCCACGACGTTCCCGTCCAGGATCCCAGCCCAACTGTCCATCCCGAGAGAAACCCTTTGCAGGACAAGCACCATACGCTCGAAGTGGCCGACGCCATTGTTGCTCATCTGAAGCGTTCACTCGAACTCCTTGTCATCAAGATTTTCTCTGCTGCTAAAGAGGCGGCTGGCGACGACGCGAAACAGGAGCCTCTCAAAATGCGATGGGTCGAAGCCTCTTTCCCATTCACAAGCCCTAGTTACGAGCTAGAGGTATTTTGGCAGGGCGAGTGGCTAGAGATCCTTGGTTCCGGGGTTGTCAAACAGGAACTGCTCATCTCATCGGCCGTCCCGGAGCATATTGGATGGGCCTTTGGTTTGGGATTGGAGCGGATCGCCATGCTCTTGTTTAACATTCCCGATATCCGTCTATTCTGGTCTCAAGATCCTCGATTCCTGTCTCAATTTGAAGCTGGCAAAATTAGTCGATTCATGCCCTTTTCTAAGCATCCTGCTTGCTACAAAGACGTTGCATTCTGGCTTAGACCTTCTAGCGCGGCAAGTGCTGCGGGAGGTTCCGTGCCGTTCCATGAAAATGATATCATGGAAATCGTTAGAGATGTTGCTGGAAGTCTAGTTGAAGATGTTAGACTGGTGGATGAGTTTACCCATCCGAAAACTGGGCGCAAAAGTTTATGTTACCGCATCAATTACCGGAGTTTGGAGAGGACACTGACCAACGAAGAGACCAACCTTTTGCATGAAAAAGTGAGAGAGAAACTGGTGGACAAAGTTGGTGTCGAGTTGAGATGAAAGCTATTCAGCTTGCGAATGTTTGGTGCTATGACCCCGTTTCCACTCTACGCAAAAACATAGACTTGGTTTGGCAACCTATGTATGTATAATATGTGTCTCATTTTCTCAGTGTATGAAATTTGGAAAAACTAATCAATCTTTGCATGAGAACTCTGTATTTGTAGACTTAGCTTCTTCTTACTTAGAATCAAGGCTGGAATGCATGGACTAGACAAAAGTCAGAACTATGCAGTATATCGTGTATTATCAGCCGATTTTTCTTTTTCAATGCGCCTTTTTATCAGATGTTCATGATAAACCCATTACAAGACCCGCAACCAGGTAAATCCAGTACTCCATTGCAACAAGGAGAGGAGATGAAGAAACCAGACCAAGAATAAACAAAGGGAATATGCGCAACGTATATAAACCATGAAAAGAGAAGAACCTTCCACAGTAAACGCCGTACCACGCTGAACCTTTTTTTTCCAAATGTACAAGAAGATAGTGTACAGGCGGCGAATGAAACCCGAGTACCCAGTTGTTCGCAGTATAGGACACACATTCAGAATACAAGCCCCAGAACTAAAGATTGTTCAAGACTAGCTTAGCACATTATTAGACATTTGCGAGGTGTTGGAGGTTTGAAAGGAAGATGCTGTTCTCGATGTGAACTTAAGCGTTCTTCACAACGCCAACCTTGGCAGCCTATGTGCGGAATAGTCAGCAACTTTGGATCAACATAAATTGTAGATTTGCTTTTGATGGGGAAAATTGAGTCTCATAACATACCCTGAGGACGCGGCCGTTGAGGATGAAACCCTTTGTTTGGACATGAAGGATATCCCCATCTTCCTTTCCGGGAGCCGGGGCCATGAAGGTCGCTTCGTGAAGTTTGGGGTCAAACTTCTGCGGTTTGCCCTCGACCAGTTCGCTAGGGTCGAACCTCTCCAGACCATGCTTTTTCAAAGTATTCATAATGACCTTTTCTGTCATCTTCAGGCCATCATAAAGATCAGCCAGGTCTTTATTTTCACCGTTGTTCAGCTTTTCAGACGGAACAGCTTCGAGAGCACGCTCAAAATTATCAATTGACTCAATCAAATCAGCTCCGAAGCGTTGAATAGCGAACGATCGCGCAGCATCAACATCTCGCTTTGTGCGTTCTTGAAGGTTACGAAAATCGGCGACGGAGCGGAGATATTTATCCTAGTTAACGAAGAAGTTAGTCAAGATCATGGAGCACACGTGGGCCGCTAAAAGAAGACATACCTTCAAGTCAATGATTTCCCTTTCCTGCTTTTCAACCTCCTTTCGCAGAGTAGCTTCGGCTTCCGATAATTGGGATTCCGATGGCTTTTGCTCTCCGTTTTTTCCATCCGCGGAAGCGTTTTCTGCGTTCTTCTGCTGCGACTCTGTGGAATTGAACCTCTGACATACTCTTGAAGGTAAAGGTTTTCCGAACTGTGTGAAAGTCTGTAAGAGTGGTTGTTTTCGGGATAAAGGAGAGCTCGAAATGGAGCGGGTCGTGAAGGCGGACCTTGCGGCCTGGGACTGCCGGATTAAAGCCCTTCGAAACATTATGCGTAATTCTAACGGTCCTATTTTCCAAGTCGAGTTCACACCAACTTCTATAGAGACTAGTCAAAGCGTTTCAATCATGTAAATTGATATCCGGAATTTGACAGCAACGAGGTCAAAAAATAATCTTTGATGGCCCCGGGCCGGCGAAACTCGACCGCCGGACCCAGCAAACTCTAACTTAACCACACCATTCGTCCCGCTGCCGCCAACCTCCCAGCACGAAAGCCAATCTCAGAAACAATCTCAGAATCGGAAGATCTCCTTCATTAAATACATACGTATTACTACTACTGCTGACTGCCATACAGAAACAGATCTCTTGCGCGAAAGGGTATTTCCGGAACAAACCAAAAAACAAAGATAAATTTTAAAACCAACACTCATCGTTCCCGAACGGTGGAAAAAAAGGGTTCCCAGTGCTCAGCCTAGACCGCGGCGCCAATCCTATGAAGAATAAGAAGGAACTTCATCAAACATAGGCATCATGACTGCCATGTCATCATCGTCGAATCGAGTCGACTTGTTCAGTTTTTACTGCATTCTTAAGCCGAAGCTTTCATATCAGGAGAATAAGCGACGGCGGGTAGATGCGGAAGAGGACTACCAGAATTTGCCATTCTCTCCATATCCTTTTCGATATTGGCAAACAGAGCTTGTATCTCGGCGTCTGCATATATCTTGATGGATTCCACATCTTTGCGAGCCGTCTTATGTTGGTTGTGGGTATTGTGCGAATTGTCAACGTGAGTTTTCTTTTCCGTACCAGCGGGCTCTGGATGAGATTCCCGTAGAACCAAGGTCGCCGCTAGATGCTCGAGGAGCTTTTGTCGTACCAGAGCCCGCCGCTGCTCCGCATTTTCCAATTTGGAATACCACTCGTCAATGGATCTGTCAAGCTCAAAGAGCGCTTCCTCCTGCTTTAAGATCCCCTCCCTTGAAAATTTCGATACTCTGGGTGATTTGAGATATAAGATCATCCGTTGATGCAAGCTATGTCGGCCGGCCCGAAGGGAATTGTACGTCTCTCTGAGATAGTCACAACGCTTTTGCAGTGCTCGAAGCTCCTTAAAGATTCGATATTAGCTGCGCCCAGGAATCTTCCCAAATGCATGGCAGTGGAACTTACCCTCGAAAGTGACTTGACGTCACAGCGATTAAGTACCTCGAACTTTTGTGCTTGATTGTGAGCTTGCTTTTGTAGAGCCTCAATTTCGGTGCGCGGAAGTACTCTCAACGCCTTGTATACAGGGATTCCCAAAGGAACATTGGGGATTGGAATTCCTGGAAGCTGCTTCGTCACCTCTCTATCATCTAGCCGAGCCTCAAATGCTGCATGCTTCCTCGGGGGTTGACCCCCCCATTTCAGGACCGAGTCGTGCGATAACCCTCTCTTGTGGTTACTGACGCCCGCCGCCGGTTTCTCTGATCCAAACTCAAATGCGGTGGGTCGATTCGGTCCGTCCGTCCTATTTTTCTTGTGGCATGGAGATGCTGATATGCCTAACGGAGATGCCGCACGAGTGGATGCATTTTCAGAGCTTGATTGGTTGGCGGAAGAACAGGTTTGAGCAAGCAGGTTTGAAGAGCTCGTCCAAGGACTTTCTTCGAGCGGCCTGCTGCTTTGCGAGCCTCCTGTAGTTCCTGATACAGGAGTACTTGAACTATCCCCACCGGATGAAGACACCGGCATGTTCGGGATCCGAAGTGCCAACCGTGGCGATTTCGGTGGAACTTCAGGGGGGTCATCAAAAGCTGCCCTCCTGAGATTACTTGAATTCAATGGCTGGTGTCTCTCACTCTGTGACTGAACAGGACATGTTCTGTTCTTATCAATCCTCCGTGATGGGGATGAACTCTCGCCGGACTGTTCTACATTCCTGTTGCAAGCTTCGCCCACACACCCAATCATGTGTGTTCGAACGATACCGGCTCCTGCACAGGCCCCTGGCGCACTATTCGATCTTTCATGGATCGGATATTGACCTGGAATTGTTGCTTATGCGAAGTTAGACACATTCCCCAAAACACTTTAGCTTCACATACGGGAGTCAAGCGATCTTTCATCTATCGTCGCCAGTTGCTTAAGATCAGGAACACTTATTTTATGAGAACGGCTGAGGCCTCCGTCCTTAAAGGGATTTCTCATCATCTTTCCTGAGTCCGGGGTGCTACGCCCAGAACTAGAGACAGTTTTCTTGAGAGTTGGCCACAGCTGATATTTCGGCTTTGCAGGCGTAGGCTGCGCCTTGGGTCCGGAACTCTCTTGCTTTTTCAAGCTTTCGTAGCTTTTCTATGGCTGCGTCAGTTGAATTCGGTCAACGAATATGGGGGGTTCCAGGTCAATTTTCCTTACTTGGGGTGATGTGCTTCGTGCGATGATGTTATTAAGACCAGCAAAGATTTCAGCCTCCGGCGGAGGATGCTCAATAGCTATCATCGTGATGAGTGTGAATGCTAAGTTGAGTGTTAAAGGGCTGCGGTGTGCCACAAGTGCAATGAAGAGAAGTTTCTTCCAAAACTCGGACGGATTCATCTGCTACACGGGCGTACTTATGGCAATATGGTGCCCCACTCTTGATATCAGTGCCTTTAATGTTCGTATTAATATCTCAAACAGCTAACCTTTTTAGGAACAGTCACTCATAGATCCGGACGTCAAGAGTTATCAAGATCTCCTTTCGCCGCCGGCCTCCGCAAGGCTAGCTTGCAGTCCAGGGGCTCATCACCTAAGGTCATCATTGCTCCACTAGTGCAGCATGCATGGGTCTCCGGGATCCTTGTTCCTTTGATACGCTACTCAAATCGTTTCCAATATCGCTATCACTATTTCGACATATGGATGTATGAAACCTTTTGGGGATGATTTTCGCAATTTCTGTTTGAAGAACATGTCGATGATTCACTGAGCAGGTTTACCTCGTTTGAATATGCTGTAAACCACACGTCAGTTCCGGCAGCCCGAATGCCATTTCCAGAGTTTCTTGATTCTGCTTGGCTCTTTGAATAGCCTTTCAAACGCCTGAATGGCCGCAATTGCCGTTCCACGGAATATGCATGTTTGTGGGCTGCATCCCAGGTTCGAATGACCTGAGATTCTTCTACGAACGAAAATGATATGCATCATCTCCATCTATCATTCGTACATGCGTCCATGATTGTGGGCGCATGGATGGATTACAGGCGGCTCAGCCGTCAATCCCGTGTCTATCAGCTTAAAGAAGCTGTCCTGTCAGACATGATCCCTGCTAAGTCTTTATACTCGCCTCTGTTGACATCTGCAGTTCCTAGGCCGTCCTAGACCAAGAAGGACTTGGCCGGCGTGTTTCATACTTCTTGCCCAATTACGTGCGCCTCCGCCCGAGCCGGAAGAGTAGCACCTCTCTGTCACTTGACCCCGCACCGTCTTGGCCGGCTCATCCCAAGAACGGATTATCACCATGGCGCCCACAAGCGGTCCGCGCTGGCCCGAGAAGTTTCGGGGATACCAATGCGAAACCCGTTGTGCTGGGCGTGGGAGGAGTTGATATCGTCGGGTTTTCTGCCCTTCAGAGACATCAAAGAGCGGAATGCCGCAATACCACCCTAGGTTGCTCAGCCGGCCCATTCCCGAGCGATACCGATTTAGAAGCACGAGGTTTTCCCTCTTGTCTTCAGCTAGAGGTTCTAGCCCGGACATTTCGAAAGTGTGGAGAAATGCCATCAGCCATAATCTGACACGGACGATCAAACAGGAGTCCACCAGGCTATATTCGGCGAAGCCAACAGTCCCCGTGGATATTAATTGGTATAGGTCCTTTAATTCCCCGCTGCTCTGCTGCTGATCCTCTGTTGTCTACGAAGGAACTACACTTTGAGGTGAAAGTATGATGTTGTTGATTGGCCCGAGCCACCCGCTCACCTTGAGAGCAATAACAAGGGCCAGCCTGATCTAGAAACTCGAGATAGAGATCCAGAGAAAGCGTAAAGGTAAAAGTCTAGACGTAAAGGGATATTCAACAAAGGTTCCCGTAATTCGAACACCCGATGACAACAACACTGTAGCCAGAAAGTGAAGCGACGGAAGGCTAAATCACTCGCCGCTCTTCTCAGCCTGTAGAAATCTCAGCGGCGAACGCCTCTCTTGGCCAAAATGGATCGCTCCATACTATTTTATATACACTAGGTCGTGTCGGGAAGTACTAGACTCGACCGGTCAAAACTCCTGTTTGAGGATGTCTTGAACCGAGTCACAGGGCCGAAAGAGAAGCCAGGCCTGATGATGGTCGCCTAGCGTGGCTGGATGAGACCAGCATACGGAGAGCATTCCTCTCTTCTCGCCTCCACCAGCGCCAAACTCAACTCGAAGTTGCAGGTTGGGAGTTTTAAGTTCGATGCAGTTGATAAAATTGACAACTTACCAGGATTCGTGCAGGAGACTAAAGAAGCGTCTCAGGTGTCAAAGATACCGAGCCCTTCAACCTAATATTCTCCCGATGTCTTTCGGCCTTAGTCGCATGTCAACTTGCCCGAGTCCGCTAACCTTTGTGGCTGTTGGATGCCGGGAATATATTGACAGCATGCAGCCCAGGTCAAAAGGCACGCGCCAGCTTCTCACAGACAAGGCAACGAAGAAGATTTCCAACCCGGAACGGCGGGAGTTTTTCACGTCATACCACCAATACGGGCCGTGTGGCCGGAACGTCCCAACAAGCAAACCGGACCAAGCAATCCACGAGTTTGGCGTTCTGCCAGGTTCCGTATCCTTGATCCTTTCCGATTTATAAGTCAAGGTGCTGCGATATGGAATTTGGTTGTGGGTAGGTGCGCAGGCCACGAGGCCATAATCTAGGATATTCATTTGACAGGCCTCGTGGCACAGAAGCATGGATCCCTTCTGACGAGGGCCCCTGTCGTGCCTTACATACGGGAATGCTTCCCCTTCAGCAGACAACCAGGAACGGTGGGACTCACGGTGGCTTGCCGGTTTTACATCAAAGGGAGCCCTCGTCTGAAGGGTCCAGGTCGTATTATTTAGCTTTTGCAAAGCCTTCCACACCGTCTAGATACCCACAGTTTCCTTCCTCAGGATTCTTGACCTTGCCGAGGGACCTGGCCGACTCGGAGTGGGGGAATGGACTAAACTCAGATCTCCTTGAGCGTGAGGGGAACATATTGCTTTAGAAGGCGCTAAAGTTCAGCTAACCGGTCATGATGGCTAGCTTCCCACCTCCGTCAACAGCCAAACGCTTCGCTTTGCGTCTCCGTTGACCAGGCCAGAATTGCTTTTTACTTACCAGACGTGGCATGTGAAATTTCTGGTGCCCATCGCCGGTGTCTTTTTGGGGCGGTCGCCGAATTTCACAGCCACCAACGCAAAGATGACAAGCCATTGCGGCGCCTGGAGTCTTTCGCTTAGTTCATGACTCCAACAATCTGCATACCCAAAAATGCAATGAATGGGCGGCATTATTGAATTCTGAAACATATCCCTTTTTTTTTTTTTTTTTTTTTTTTTAAATTATTCTTCTCCACGGAGCATCTGATGAACTCCTGCATCAACGCTCGAAATAATATTGCAGGACTCTTCAGGTCATCAGCAGAACCGTGCATGTCCGTGCGCTGTGTCCTTTCTCGACAACCCGCGTCTCTCAGCCATCCCTGCTATTTAACTAACTTCGAGCCTATTGGGCCCCTGTCTTCGAAATCTGGGGTAACGAAAAGGAAGTATCTGTTCTCGCCAGCGACAACGCTCTTTTGTGCCTCTTCTGAACCTAGCATTTGAAGAATACAGCAGCATGTCCGGCCAAACGAAAAGTGGCATGGGGACTGGATAGACGAGTGAGCGAGTGAGTGTAATAATTGGCTGGCCTCGACCGAAAAAGGGAAAATGCCGGCGTTCAAAAGCATGCCAAAAAAAAAAAAAAAAAAAAAAAAAAAAAAGGATATTGGCCTACGAGCAAGAGCAGCCAAATATGGGAGAGTTCGCCCTCTTGCTCGACGGAAATAGTGCCGGAGAACCTCATGGCTTTGCCCGTTGCTTTCCTCGTTTAACTATCCGGGCCAATGGATTCACGCGACCTTAAATACTCAAATGCCAATCTTCTCAAATTTGGAAACTCAAATACTTGAAAACGAAGGATCCTATATGTATGTATGTATGTGTACGGAGTACGGAGTACATACATAGGGACTCCGACATACATATCGATATTTGCCCCTCTCGAGACGCTAGTCTCAAGAGAAGACCTTTGTTTTTGACAAATTATAAAAGAAGTCACGATAGACATTTTCAAGCGTCTGCACAATGAAGATCATTTGTGCTTGATGGAGATATGCCCTTGCCTCGAAAGGTGCATAATTGCAATATTATACATAAAAATATGGAGAAGATCTGGTGAGTCGCAGCAGGAGATCTGAAGAAAGCCTCCGAAAGGCAATAGTGGCCCTCTTATTATTATCACTGTGATTCCTGCGCGCAAAGATAAAGCGATCCAAATGTACGGCTCTGCTTTCACAAGCAGAGATCAGCGAGAAGCCCACCCCTCGCAGCACGCCTTCACACTCCCTCGTATAAGTTGCCATCACCGGCGTTTATCGAATTAGTTCGTCCCGACTTATCCGCAAGAATGGAGAACTCAGTGCTCCGGGCGGGTGAGGAACCAGAAATCGGAGAACGTAAAGATTCCATGGGAAGAAACGCTTCGAGAAGAATGTTTCAGTTCATAACATCCAGCCACTCACTAGTAACGGAGATTTGCATACTAGTCTTTGCCCATCATCAAGCCATCTCCCCAACTTATTTCAATTGAGCATCCGCGCCGCTTCCTTCTTATTAGTAACTAACGTGGCCATTCCTCGCGTGGACCGTCGTAGTCTGGCATTCAGCCAGCTCCACTCCCTCAAATCAGCCGTTCGAAGCGGCTGAATGGCTTGCATTGGACGGAAGAGGAGGGACAGGAAACACGCATTTCGTGCATGGCGATTCTGGAAATGAAAAGATGGAGCAAACACATGGCAGCGTTAGCCAGTCTCCACCAAGATGAAAGTTACGAGCGACGCGGTGCAGCTCCGTATTCCCCAAACCAGATCTTCAATAGTCTCCCCAGCGACTTCTCGCACGTCCAAAAGGCTTCGAATTTGGAGTGCTACTTTGGGAGCTTGACCCCACTGCCAAATTTTGTTTCCTATTGTTTTCTGCTTGGAAAAGATCTGTCCCCTTTGAAATCAAGCATAGGTTTTATCGAAAACCTTTTTTCCCACAACCCTCATCATCACTGTCGTCAATCCTCTGTTTGGAGTAAGAATCAGAGTTTCTTCCCGCGAGCGTGGACACACAGTGCGTCGATCATCTTTTTTCGAAAGAGCTTCTTGATGCTCAATGATTCCCATCCAGGCCGATCATTTTGGGTTTCCACTGGCCAGCTGAGTTTCGCTCACCGCTTCTTTGCCTTGGTGCTGATCAAAAGCCAGGCGGTTTCTTGCAGCTCAACTTAGCGTTGTTTCTCCCCCGAAAACTCCCGCGGGTCAGAAATGCCAAGGAGCCGGGCGGCGCGCTGCGCTTGGTCATTCCTGTCCCTTGACGGTTGAGCTGGTTCGAGACTTGGGAGCTTTTGAGAAACGCTTTTCGTATTCTTTGTTCTCTTTCCCATAACCGGGGAGCGCGCTTCAAAGTTGGGTGTCGGCCCTATTCTCCAAGGATTAATTGGGTCGAACAACCCAGTGCACATCTGACAATCACCCAGGACCTGGACCATGATTTCTGACAAGGTACGTCGTGCATGACGCCAAACTGGCCAACCCGCTGCTTTCTCTTGCTGCCAAAAGCAAAACCAGCCCAAGAAATTAATCGCAGAATCAGCGAGAATCATTGGCTTTTTCAATCGCGTAGCTCCTTATTCGCTGCAGGTTCCGTCCATCAGTGCAGAATCGCCGAGCCTTGGGCGAACCCGCGGTGGTGCGACCCATTCTGAAGGATGTTTGTGATCACCTGGTCGATGGGGGACGCAGCAGAGATCCCAGGATCAAGGTGACGCAGCAACGAGGAGAAGGGGGCAACGCATACTCCGTCGATATGTAGCTATTGCAACACCTGGCATTGCTCCTTGTTCGTTCCATGACCGGATTCAGTTCCGTCTGCAATTCTGCAAAGCACCTGTGGGACTTTCAAATGCATGCGGGTATCAGGATCCCTCTGGAAGAGGAAGAAAGTTGCGGAAAGACCTTGTATTATAGGCAGAGGTACGCAAATCCCTCGGTCAAGAGGAAAATTACCCTTGTCAAAATACATGTGAGCACTACGAGGAGAATGAGGACAAGGGCATGGATTTATTTTCAACTCGAATACAAGTCCTAGGGCATAAAATGAAAGGGGAAAGGGAAAAAAAAAAGAAAAAACCCATCATGAGTACTCCGTACTTGAAAATATGGTCCATGAGAAAACTGAAAACGCGCCCAAAGCCGGTCCGGTATGTACAAAATGCAACAATAACTCCATGCAATCAACATTCATCAGCATCAGCATTCATACCATAATTTTCAGACCTTTTAACTACCACACTTTTTCTGTTGCTTCTCTGCCGGCTGAGTGTTCAACCACTGCAAGCAAACAGGCTTTTCGATGAGCAAAGAAGAGCTTTCTTCCTTTTCTACTTTTCCAGTGTTAGGATCAAGTTGGAAAGACTTGATGTTATTTGAATCTTGTCCCTCGGTGATCAACCACTCTCCACTCGGGTGGATAGAAAGGTGCCTAATATTCACGACTCCGCTGTTGAAAACCTCCAGGAGCTTCAGACGTCCGGATGACTCGTCGATTTCATAAGACGCGATCGAGTTTGCATTTGGAAACACAGTGTCGAGTCTGTTTGACACATAGAGGTGCTTGCCGTTCGGATGAAGGATGATCTCGCCTGCTGCTGGGCCTTTGTCTTTGGCATGGTCCTCTGGCAGGGTGGAAATAGTTTGAATTTCAGTGAGCTTGAGGGCTTTGTCGGTGTATTCGACCGAGAAAACGGTCAGGGTGTTCGATAACTCCCCGACGACGTAGTAGAATTTCGGTTTGTCGGTGGCCGGATAGAAAACAGCATGGCGTGGGCCGGTACCAGGCTTCACCTTGACTGGGTCAATTTCGGTAATGGGATCCTGGCCTCCGCCGACGGTGAACATGCGGATAATATCAGCACCCAGATCCGTCACTAGGACGACCTTGCCGGTGGGTTCAAAAATCACATGGTGTGGATGAGGCGCTTCTTGTCGCTCTGGGACAGCCCCTGGCTCTGGGAGCTCAAACTCCCAGGATTTGGCCCAGTTGACTTCTCCAGTAGAAGGGTTCGTGTTGTAGGCGGAAACGCTTGCGGAGCCACTGAATCGAACGAATTAGTTCGACCAGTCCATCCAAAAAGAAAAAAAAAAAAAAAAAAGAGAGAGAGAGAGAGAAAGCAGTCAGTAGAAACACATACTAATTAGCTGTGACGATAAGGTTCTGGTTCGGGCTGATGGCCAGATGCACAGGAGCAACCATCCCGGCTGAGGTCGATACCTTGCGAAGCTGCCCATCGTCCTCGATGGAGTAGCTTGTGACGGCGCCCTTGTTCTTATCTTTCTGGGTTGTCTCCTCAACTGTGTAAAGGAACTTTTGGGCTTTTGAGATTTCTTGCCACGAGGGAGATGGAGCAGAATCCTTGTTGGTAAACAGTTGCTTCAGCTCACCGGTTTCATTGTTGAACTGGACTGTGACGATGCTACCGCCATAACTACCAACAAAGGCTAGCTGCTGGGCCATGACAGCCTGCAGGAACAACGGTAGGAGGATTGCTGGCTTCATTGCCAGTGTGTTAGCGATGTATGCAGTCGACTTTTAAATGCAGAGCGGGCAGGCGAATAGTTTTATGGCCAGAAACGATTCAAAGGGTGTGGTATAATTAGAGGTTATGCCAAACAAACAAACTTGGTTCGCTGATTGCTGATATAAAACCAACCTGGATCTCGAAACAAGTAGCTTGTAGGAGATACAAAGAAGATTTTCAGCAGCTTGCCCAGAAGGATGAAGAATGTTTCCTAGTGCTGCTTGAAAAGCGTCCTCAACGCTGTAGATATAGCTACGCGACTCGGAAGTGAAAGTTCAAGTTGCAGCCATGCAGTTAACCATGAAGAAAGAGATTGCAGAACGTAAACATTCAACCGTGGAAGAAATGCTGGAAAGGGTGAGCCCTCTCTTCACTTTATTTAAATAACCATGGTTTTGCTACTGAGGACCGGAAAATTAACTGGTGTCAAATTTCGCTGTGGTGAAAGAAGGGCTGAGCGCTGAAGCAATCAAACGGCTGATCTCTACCCAGAGCCGCAGTGCAGCGTTTCACGTCCTGGGGCTTCATCCAGCTTGATTGGTGAACTGCGCCTGGTTCTCCATACAATGGCAGCTAGCTGCGCCCTTTTTAAACAACAGTAATCAATGAATCCACTCGAGATGGACTACAGAGTAACAATGGCGGTGTTCTTGTCACTATTGCACGGGATCAGTCACAGCATTGTGGGTGCAGGTGACAATTTGCCCCGAAAATGGTGAAAAGTGCCGCTCTCGCTGGGATACAGGATAAATGTGAATGTGAATGATCAAGCGCTCCTTTTTTTCCCCCCCCCTCAAGAAATAATTACTTGGTATCTAAGTATGTAGTTAACAGCTTCAGGAGTTAATTATATGCAGAGTACTCTGCTACACTGCACTCCATCTGCTTGATTTAAATCTTTTGCTGGAATGAGTTGTAAGTGGTTATTGGCGTCAAACAAATCAACTTCATACAATAAAACATCAGCACCGGCAACCTGCCACAATCATTAATAGTTAAACACTAATTCGTGAATGTATACTCAAACACATCGTTCTCCATCCTCTTTTCTTTTTTTTTTTTTTTTTTTTTTCTTGTTTTTTTGAAGTAGGTTTGTTTTTAAGAAGCATTTTGAAAGCAACAAAGAAGCAAAGACCTCATTATCATCAATTTCCAGGTCGACAGTTTGTATCAGATGTCTCCAGCCCATTGGAATGTAGGTAGTTCGAAGACTTATTCGGAACAAACCTGCGACTTGAATGCCAGGAAGGCTATTAGCAGACAAAAATTTTCCTTTTTTCCACACTGTACCATGGCCGCCTTCGAGTCCACGTCGGTGAGACTGGGTAGAAACATACCGGGTAAGCCAGGCATCGATGCTTAAGGGCATTATCATCTATTCAACCCATTCCCTCCCCCCCCGGCAACTGCTTCGGCTCCGTACAAAAGCGAGTTCTTATCGAGGAACAGTCTTCTCTTGGGAGTTTTCTGCACCTCGGCCACCGCTACGACGAGGACGACAAAATCGACATGGACTGCCCAGGTAAACGGGATAATAAATCGTACATTCGGGAGGACAGACGTAACGGTTTCCGCAACGGTGAAGAGGACCCCAGCTTCTGTGGCCGCAAGTGTGAACATAATACGCCTTTTGACACATGGGAGGCGTTTAAAAAAGAGGGACGCGATCGGTGGTTTCAGGGGAAGGGAAAGGAAAAAAAAAAAAAAAATTTAGACAGAGTGAGGTATCCTTAGAACCTCAGGCTCGATATCATAGAGATGGGAGGTCTATGGTCACAAACAACCCGAAATCTTCAGAACTGTATCAGCGAATGACAGGATCATTTGGTCATCAGGCCCGCTCAGAGACGTAAAGTGAGCTCCGGGTGTTTTATACTTCTATCAATGCAAGCCAACGTATCGCAAATGGAATGCCTTGATGCCCTTCCATCTCATTCCCTGGCTGGCTGCAGGACAGTCCGAATGAAAAACACGGATATATATGAAGAAACAACGTTGATTTCAAAATGACCATTATTGAAATCGACTATCTTTGGGCATTCAATTGAACCCAACAGCAAGAGTGAGGCGACTCTATTGAATGACGGTGACGAAGAGGGAAAACGCGGACAGGGAATTAGCGTTTTGTTTTTAATTTTCCAGAGGGATGCGAACGAGAGAGGGTGATGCGAACATTTTGGTTCCATGGAAAATAGCATTGGGTATCTACTCGAAGCCGAGCTGCCGCATTAACAGGTCCCTTTTCGTTTTCAGTAACGGGAAATCGCATATTATCAGGCTTGGTGAGAAGGCATCCGCTGATGCCATGCATTCCCAAAGCGGCGTGTCGTTGCACCGTCAAACTTGGAGCGAGCATGGAGATAGGTTGGAAGTCATCGCCGATGATTGCTCAGAGGAACAGCTCAGGAAAATCCACATTTTCATGTCTCAAGGACAAAAAGTGTCTATTATTAAACCATATCTTTGGCCAATCTACTGATTGGTCCAGAATCGTCGGTGAACAGTCAAGCACTGCAGCCTCAGAACATTTGAATCTTCCGACGCAGAATTTTTTTCTTTCACTTGGAAGGACAAGAATATGCTGCAACAAACGGGGGTGTGTGTGGATAAACTGCCCACAGAGAAAGGCAAGGGACCCAAATGATGAACCAGGCAGCAAAGCTTGTGCTACCACGACAGCCAATTCAGCGTGATTCGCAGCCCTGGGCAGAGTGCAAAAATCGGGAATAGAGCATTGCCATGTCTGTACAACGAAAAAATCAATCTCTGATGACACGCCATACATCTCTGCCGGGAGGGGCAATGTGCGTGCGCGTGTGCTTGCAGCCGAAGATCGGGTGTTCGTAAAGACGATCGCTGCAGCATAGGAAGATGATATCGGGAGCATTTGGACTGGGCCACCAATGACTCGAAGTAGGCAGGTCGACGTCGAGAGTTTCTTACCTTACCCTGGTGGGTGGTTCTCGTGGCATCAAAGAGAGCACTCCGTCATGGGCGGGAAAAAAAGCATAGATAGCACAGGAGGGCACGAAAGGGATGGAAACAAGCCGCCATGCCGCTTACTGTCTTGGTTGCGTCAGAGATGCAGTGGCGCAATGGTTGGCCTTCACAGACCGCCGCGAACTTCGAAACCAGCCAGCAACCGCAGGGGAATCAGATGGAGTCTCCTCCGTCCAAGGAAGATCCACAGAGGGAAACGCTTTGAAAATTGAGCTCTTCCGCTTTCAGGGTGGTATTTTGGGTTCTCCCCCGCACTCCGAGTCTGAAACCACTCGCTGTACGCGCGCTTGGCAGAGATATCTTAGAAAGTACCTCATGCTTGTCCTTAGTGAGCAAGTCCAGCGTTGACAAGGCATCCTTGGTCTTGCACAGTCAAATAAAGGCCCACTATGTGAAGTGTTGGGGGATCGTGTTACATACGATAGTTACAGGTCCTAGAGTTGAGATGCACGGCTCAGTCTTGCTGCACAGTGAAGAGCTCCGCTAGAAAAGCCATGAGGAGCCCTGCTCGGTCATGGCTCAGTAGTCCATAGATTCAAGAGTAAAAAAGGAGCCGACTCGAGCTAGGGCCAGCGTCAAACTTTTAGAGTGGGACGCGTTACTGACCATGGCTTCGCCACTCGGGAGCCATGTCGCAGAGACGCCTCGAAGGCCCTGGAGGCTTCAAGACAATCTGTTCTGTCGGCTCCGGTTGGAAAAGAAAAAACAAAAACCAGCAGGGAGGCAAATCCGAAGCGTGCGCGTGCCGCTGGAACGCTAAGCAATAAAGGAGAGTGGGCATTGGGCTGCTGCGCCTTCGCGGAGAGACGGAGCAAACGGGGCTTTTTGGGAGGCTCATCGCAACACACACACACACTGAAGCCGCCGCCGCCGCCGCCAACGACGACGACGACGACGACGACAACCGCCATCATCACCATCAGCGCCAGCTCGCCTCTGCGACAAGCAACCGAGGCGATCTCCGGGCTGATCCCTCTGCAATCTCTGCGGCCAGTTGGTTCGCCACGGATCCGAAAGAGCTTGTCTAAGCTTGAATTTATTTAATTCTTCCGCGCCTCCCGTCGCGGTCACAACTCTCTCTCCTCTTCATCCCATCGCCACCCAACACAAGACGAGACCGCTGCTTGGGACGAAATCTGCTCTCTCTTTCCCCCCTCTTCTCCTCTTTTATCACTCTATAGATTGCTACTACTGCTATATCGCAATCCAGCCTTGAAATGTCACATTCTTCTTCTCCTCCCTCCTCCGCCGCCGCCCGGCGCGCTCGCAACGGCTCTCTTACGCTCGATCTGTCCAACATTCCCCTGCTCTCGCAGCCTTCTCCGCCCTCGAACACTCTTCTCATAACGGAGCTACACAACTTGAAAATCTTCCAGCCTAACTCTCTCTCCCTAATCAAGTCTCACATTACCGCCGTCGCCCCACTGAACTCGTTCTCACCGCTCCCGTCCCTTCGACGTATAGTCTGCTCTTTCCACACCACAGACGCCGCCGTCAAAGTGCGCCAGCTACTCGAAACCACCACAGCTCTAGGCGACCACTTCCGGCCTAGAATATATTTCGGCGAGCACACACCCGTCGAAGACGTGGAAGAAGTGAAGAAGCGCAAACTCCTCGAGGCCCCCCACGCAGAGAAGCTGTTCTTCATCAGTCCGCCTCCCAGCCCGCCGCACGGCTGGATTCTGCGCAATGAGGATCCTCCTAACAAAGAAGTCCACGCTTCCGATCTGGCAGACGCCCTCAGCAGGCTGGGACGGTCCAACAGCTCTCCCGTCACGCCAGACTCCCCAGGCTCGATGGCCGATGTGGCCATGCAGGATGTTGGTCTGCCGTCGAGGACCATGACGATGACACAGCGGAGTCGGAGCAGTACCCTGATCTACCATCCCGAGGAGCACGGGAGCAGCCCACACCTGCCCGCCGTCATGGTCGAGGATACGTCGATCGATCCCGACGCCTCCGATTTAGAGATGGAGATGAGTCCCGTCGAACAACCGAGGAGGATCCTAGCCCATACCCCACGTCCGCCCGTTGAGCTCATGCACTAGGTTGACCTTTACCCAGCATTAGAGCTCTCCTAATCTTGATCTTCCTGTCTTTATTCTTACTTTCTTCCTTTCTTCTTTTCTTTATTTTTCCTTGGCTGATTTTTTGTGTTATTGAGCGTTCCTAGGATTTCTTGCTCATCAATCTGCAGCATCGACCTCTTGGGAGGAAACATGGGTGTTTATGGGTGTCTTTTTGCAGCCACGAAAGGCTTTTTTTCTTTCTTATATTCATGATGGATTCAGTCTTTGGTTACCTAGAGTCCATTTTTTTTTTTTTTTTTTTTTTTACAGTTCAGAATACCGCAATCTCTTGCATTGGGTAGGTAGCATTTGGTGAGAAAAATGTTATCTTTCCAATTTTTGTATTCTTTTTCTATTGTCCAAAATTAACTCTATCACTGTTAAACACGAGAAAATGAGGGGATGAGCTACTAAATAGCTGGCTGTGCAACTACTCGGGGGTATATCTGCCCAGGGATAATATACCAAAATTATCCACCTGCTCACAGAGTATCTTTGCTCGCAAGACCACCTTTCCAAAACCCATACAAAGCAATAAAATAACAAACCCATATAATACTTAGTTATAGCCTCTTCCGCCATTTTATCTCAGCAGCCCTCAGCGGTAAGTACAACAAGGCGCTCAGCACCAGTGCAATTTCGAACCCAATATCCCCCGTCTTCTTTGCGATCGGCCCAACATACCACGTCTGGGACATGCACGGAATTACCAACGCAAACGACAGAACGCCAGCTGCTAACGCAGACACCCCGCTGGGCAGTGCAGAACCCACATTCCAGATTGTCGGATCGTACGATTCGTATCTCCCCTTGCGGAACACGAGGTGTTCGACGGTGACGATGGAAAAGAAAGCCGCAGACCAGTAGGCGATGACGCCGATGAAGTTTTCGAGGGACGCGAAGAAGCTTGACGCTGCGCGTATGGAGATTGGGATGATGATCGCGATGAAGACAAAGGCGAAGAGCGCACGGGGTACGCGCACAAGGACTGGTAGGAGGATCTGAAAGTTCAGCGTTATGGAGTAGATGGTTGCTGCTATGTTGCCCAGGGTCGAGAATGCGAGGAGGACCGTTATGAATTTCCCAAATCCGCCCGCGGGTGAGAGCATCGAGGCGAATATCGCGCCAACAGAGCCGGTTTCATGGGCCTGGGCCCAGTCTGGGACATTGGGGACTGCCCCGCCAACTGCGGCCCCGAGGATCATGAGCGGGACGGTAGGTACGAATAGGCCCAAGTAAACATAGGCAAAGATGCGTTTGCTACATCCACGATATTAGTGGCCTGACAAGGGTAAGCGAGGGGGTTATAGAACATTTGGTTTTACATACGAAGATATGTCGGGTGAAATGTACGTGCAGAAGTCCGAACTCAGCGCAGCCCAAGGAATGAGATACCCAGCGATCAAACCGCCAAATGTGACGATGGCTGAAGCTGAAGGCGGAGCTGGTACAACCTGCTTGCTGAGGTGCTTTCCTCCACAGCCAGTGGCAATAACGATGCTGATAAAAACCGGAACCCAGCCATATCGTTCATACCGATGCAAGACCTTGTACCCAAAGAAGGATATAAATAGAGCAAGGACGGCGACAATAACGATACCGACGTTCACGCTGACATCGCTGCTGTTTAAAGCGGAAAGAGTCTGACCACCGATAACACAGTCGATGATTGTAAATCCGGAAACCGTCGCGAGATTCAGCAAAACGAGAATGTTTACTAGATATATCCTACAGCACAATTTGATCAGTTGGCCTCGAATCCATTTGCATGGCACCGGAAAAATAAAAAGACAAAAGAACAAAAAAAGAGAGATAGACCAACCCAAAGGTGTAACGTGCTTGTATCATCTGCCGAAGACCAGTCTTGGGGCCTAAGATCGAGAGATACGCCGGTGGAATGGTGCAAAGGAGGTTGAAAAAAATAATGACAAGGCTTGCATCCCGTAAACTCAGACCAAGGCTGAGTGTTCCCACCATGCCAGTAATGATTCTGTATACATTCCAGCAATTAGCTTCGCTTGTACATTTCACGGAGAACCGCCGTAACCAAAGATAGTAGCGATGCAATAGGAAAAAATAAATGAAATAAAATAAAATAGAGGAAAATGAAGATGAAGAGGAGAGGGACGTACGGTAAAACATTACAGCTAACTGTGAACCACAGAAGAAAGACATTCACCACTCTCTTGTCCGTCCGTTCATCCACGCCAATAGGAACAATTCCCCGAAGCTCAACACCCCATGTTGCAAGACGATGCCAAAATGATTGGCAAAATCTTAGCAATAGCGGATCTTTTTCCTCTGGTAACTCGACGGGTGCTTGCTCAACAACCACCTGTGGTTCTCCATCCTTCTCAACGTCGTTTACACCGGGACTCGGTTTAGAGCTCGTCTGTTCGGACCACATTATCAAGCCCGGTCGTCAATTGGGAGGGCTAACGATTAAGAGAAAGGATTGGCGAAATGTCAAGAGGCGGATTCAGCCCATCATGAAATATTTTTTTTTTTTTTTCCATCTCCCCCGCTCGAGTCACGCCCTGCGCTCGACTTTTCGCGGGGCTCGGAGCTCTTATCTTATCAGACCGCCAAATTTCGAAATAAGCTTTCGGAGTAGCAACACGTGATTGAGAAAACTCCGAAAGAAGTCTTGGCAAAACCGCCTCACTGAGAGCAGAACGGGACCCAGGAGCACGCACTATCCAGAGGCAAACAACACGACGGCGGAGTTTTTGACCACCTTCGGGCCCAGGGCGGCCGCAAGCTCAGCGACTATACCTTTGATTGCGTGCGGTTCCTTGATATTCGACTTCTCCCACGCAACTAAGTCCTAAAAGTTTGAACTGTGTCAGCACGTGCGAAATGGAATTAATTACGGCTCGAACTTACGGTCATTTCCACTAAAGTGTTATGGACAAGCAGACGCCAGTGATCAAGATCAATCTGGGCCTGAAGTTCTTCTAATGTCAGGACGCCGGGCATGTGGATGTCAAATAGAGACATTTCTTCTTCACCGGGGAGGATAAATCCATCGTCTCGAGATTCATTCGCTTGTTCTTCGCCGACCTTGCGGTCCCGGGATAGAGATACGTATCTTCGCTTATTGAGTTTCTCAACGTAGCTATCCAGAGGGTCCCAAGAAAGGGATTCGGGGTCTGAAAGTTGGTTAGAATGGTCAAAGTAAACCGCTAAAATCAAAGCATACCTAAAAGGTACTGAGGCCGAAATGCCCCTTTATACCGCATTTTGGGACAGGAGTGTATGTAGTATCCTTAATGATGGTGTCATTAGCCTGCTCTGGTTAGTCAAACGGAGCCAATTCTTGCCGTACCCATGTAGTAATACTGATGATGACCCTCAATTGCCAAAGCGATTTCTCTCATGGCACTCAGTTTTCCGATCTCCCAATGTTCGTATTGTGGATCATAACTGTGACACGTCAGCCTTGACAGAGGTAACCGGCCTTTTCCCGAAGAACGCACTATATATAAACTGAACTGACACCGGTGGGTAATAGATCGAGGACCCCAACGGCAATAAGCTCTCCGTCGAGCCGGTAACATTGATGATATGAACCTAGCTTCTGCTCCTTAAAACCTTGCCTCACTGTCTTACGCTTAATCCCAGAACAGAGGAAGCGTTTGTAATCCGATTGCTTCCATCTCTCTTGCGGGTCTTTGTGCACAGTCATTTGGTAGTTGAGGAAGATATTATGCCTAATGCCGTAAGTAAGAATCAAAATATCGATGGTAGGTAACAAACTTCATTAATGACAATGAATCGGCCTCAATATTCACTTCAAACTTATGGGCCGGTTCTATCGGCCTCTTTGTTTTCGGATCAACCGGGCGCTTGAGCTGACTATACTCGGCTTCATGAACTCGTTGCCTTAAGTCAAAGGTATTTCTGCGATATTTCTTTTCCCTAAAGACATCTCGTGAGATAGGTACTCATCATATAGAACTAGTCTTTGAGATCGAAATTCAGCCAAGCAGAAAGGAATTACCGACTCTCTTGTCTTAGGGCAGAGTCTAGCGGCACTCCGAATATATTCCTGGCCAAGAACAAATTTGTTCCAGCGATTGAGAGCCTTCTTCTGGTCTCTTCTAGGTTTATACGAGCTCGCTTCTAACCTAAAGTAGCCGTTAGGAAGCTCGCAACTAAATTTCAAAGAAATATTTGGATAGCTTGGACAGCCTACAGACCTCATAGTATAATGAGGGCAGCATGACCGCTCCAGGTTTGGTTTGTAGTAAAGAGTCCCAGATCTAACAACCGTCAGCTCAGGTAATCAACAAACAAAGCAAATAAGATCAATCACAAACGAAGAGCTTTACCTTCTCCATCCTCGGTTCAGAAGCTCTTCGTATTCTTCTACACGAACCGAGGTGGACGATGCATAATAGCTAGCACCTGTCCAGAAGGGACAATAGAGTCAGAAGTGAACTTAAAGCAGAACATGGATTTGTCTCTACTGACTCCCATCTGCACTCTTGCAATAGCCACAATCATGCCGCTGATATCCTACGAACTAATGGGTCAGCATTGCATTGAATTTAAGTCCAGGAGCTCACGAGTAAAATTCCCGCAAAACAGGAAAGATAATAGAGCGGCCACCGTTAAATATTCATAACAAATGGCCAGACTGAATCATAGTAATCTCAGATTGACTCCATTATTATCCCCAAATATGTACACAGATCATGTACATACATACACAGCTTTTGGTGCAGGGAATAACGGGGTCTCTAGCATATGATTCGGGACCTGATAGTATCGGCTTACCTCGAGGAGCAAAGAAAGATAGTTCACCCGGCTGGACTTCACCTAGTGCCGCCATTTTTGATGAAGTAGTGTGGAAATCTCTGCGATGTTTGCGTGTTCAGGCAGTTGGGCGGGCTGGCGGGGGGTTTGTATGTAGTTCGCAAGCTCCAATGGCGGGAAATCCAACCTAATCCTAATTGGAGCTAATTAGTTTCCACTTAGCGCTAGTCTATATTTGGTACGTAACACCGACCCGGAAATCCGGTTCCAAGGCTGAGGTCGCGCGAGAGTTGCAGAGATAGCGACTTACCTTAGGCATAGAAGCAACTTCATGAAGAAGCAGATCCTAGAGGTTTATAGTATTGGTGGGAGACACGGACAGCATATAGAGGGGAAGAAATGTAGGAAGGGAGAAGTATCCCCTTAAACAAAAGCCACAGTAAGAAATCGTATTTCATATTGCTTTCACCGTTAGAGACATAGCAGCCCGGTAAAGGAGCATTTAAAGTAGAAGCGCAAGGAAATATAAGAAGACAACCAATCCCGAATCCTGTAGTGAAGTCAATAAATCCAGACCGCCAGCTTTCGAGTCATTTTCCCCGTCCGCCCAACGCCATCCTCGCATATAGATAAAGCAGGAAAAAGAAGAGCAACAAGGATACAGCTATGAGTACAAAGCACGCTCTTCGTAGGAAAATAGAAGGGTGGCAACTTTGCCAGACTGAATCGATAAGCTTGCTTTGGATATTCCTGCAAGCTACCCCCATGACGGTCATAGTAGCCGTGAAAGAGATTCGTCCCAAGAGCCACGACGACAGAGGTTGTGATAGATTCGAAATCGCATCTAGAATCCGTAGCCTTGGCCGTATGGCGTCGCTCCATATGGAGTTGTGCCGCCAGCACCGCCCCATACACTCTGGCCTCCTGCACCGGCTCCAACGCCATTTGGTGCATAAGTGCTAAACCCGCCATCAATACCTTCCGGTGGCTCGTACGCGTCCGGACTCCGCGCCCCATCGATATCAACACCATTCATACCGTCTCCACGTTCGTTGGGTTCTCCGGTGCCAGTCAAGGCAGATATAATTTCTGCAAGCTTTCGCTGGAGAACACTGATACCTTGCTGGACGATGGCGTCTGGTTCCAGGCTTCCGACGCTTTCAACATCGAGATAGAAAGTCGAGGGTGTGGCATCATAGTCAAACGGCATATCCGGTGGTACAGGGTTCTCCCATTCGGCATTGGCAGAAATCGGCCTACGAGACCGTCAGCAGCCACAATCAGGGGGGTATAATCAACAAAAAGCGTACAACTCACCATTCCTTAATCGGGTCCTCTTCATACCAATAATCCACATGTTTCAAATTATTATGCGGATCATACTCAAATCCCACCGCTGCCGTGGGCGACCATTTCGCGTGCTCCTTCGCAATCCCCTTCTTCACGGTACACGTCATCTTCACCTCCTGTCCCCTTCTTAACTTGCAAATTATCGGGCCCTTCCCCGCAGGGTCGTTGATCACCGGATTCCCTACCCACTCATTCGCGCGGTCCCCAACCACCACCAGATCGCGCGCATATACCACCATAACCCCTTCACCCGTACATTTTGCATGTAGCTGCAGCGTAATCACGCACCGTGAACAGCCGCCTTCGCAGTCACATTCTCGTGCGTAGACCATGTCAACGTCACAGTTCTTGGAGTGTAGGGGGATGAGGCCGAGGCGATGGGCAATGAATTCATCGGGCAGGACAGAGGTGTTTGATTCGATTTCGACGACGTCGATGGCTACCGTGGGTACTTCGGTGAGCATTACGCGACGCAGAGAGTTGGCAAAGGCGAGATCTACGGAAGTGAGGCGGAAGTCGACTCTGTGTGGTTCAGCCTGGTGATTGCAGATTAGTATTATTGTTATTTTGGAAAGCAAGCGTAAGAGAGAGGCGGGACTACGCGGCCGAAGAGATCAAGTAGCTGGTATGGAGACGCGCATAGTAGAATGTCTCACCTCTCGCACTGTGACCTGCGGCCCCTGGGGCTCAATATCCATTTCATCATAATCCATGGTTGCGCAGGCGTTTTTGAGGCGGAGCTGCGCGCAGGCAAGCTCACTCTGGCGAAATTTTGAATGTGTTCGATATTCTCGGGAAAATGGAGTCTCGACGGGAAACAAAGGCTAAAATAAAGAAAGAGAAAGTTCTACCTGTCAAATTGAGAAAGATTACAAAACATGGCGGAAGGTAACTATGTAAGAATTGGTCGATTCCAGCAGCGATATCTCTCGCCTCCGTTCAATTTCATTCACTCCTTGCGATGCACCTGGGAAGGTCCGGATTATCTAATTCGGCGTATTGTTATCCCGATATCCGAGTTTTATCCTGGCTCAACGCAAAGCTCGGCCCGCCGTTGCCGACGGATTTTACCTATTTAGGGATGACGGGAGCCGACCAGGTCATCCCATTGCTCATCAGCCGGGCGATGAATACAACGGGCTTCAATCCAGCTCCAACGCAGACTCGGTATTGATATCACGAAAAATTGTGGCCCGGTGGGAACATCGTCGTTAAAGCACACTAACTAGCCAATTGTAAACAGTTCCAGAAAATTTCTAGTAGCACTCAGAGCCACAAATAGTCTCATGTAATATAAAACAGGATCATCTCAAAGAGTCTCAGCACAATCGGTGAATTCGATTTGAATTGAACGCACTAGTATCTATGGAGCCTTTCTAGATCAACAGTGTTTACTAGTACCCAAACCAGACCCCCAACCCTTCTATATCATTTCCCAATCATGTGTTATCCAGAAGCAAAGATGAAAAAAAAAAAAAAAAAAAAAAAAAAAAGAGATAAGCGATAAAAGAAGAGAGTGAAAGACTGAGCATGAAAATGTACAGCAGGACAAACATGTCCAAGCATTATCCAAGTGTTATATGCTCAATCTCAACAGTCACTCTGTCTCTCTATCGCCCGGAGAAGGACAATTGAGAAGAAAAGGAAGAAGAAGAAAGACAGAAGACATTGGGAGACATTCAGGCCACCGGGGTTGGAGACAAGGAGTAAACAGCAAAAACGGGATGCCATCCAGGGACTAGGCCGTTGACTGCAGGGACCAAAGCCGAAATTTGTGATGATTGCTGAAGCGAAAGTGGGTTTAAAAAGAGGATAAAGTGTGAATGTTCCCCCCAAAAAAAAAGGAAAAAAAAAAGGCAAATCAAAGCAAAATCAAGTCTATGGATGGGTTGTAAATTTCTGCATGCAATATCCCAAGAAATAATGCTCAAAAAAAAAAAAAAAAAAAAAATTAACAAAAGCTTGGTTATGGATAATCAAATTATGATATGAATCGCTGAATGGCACCTAGACTTTCAAGGCGGGTTGTGAGCTTCGATTCGCAATGTGGTGTGCATCTCGAAAAGGGGACCGGGAAATGCCCGTGGCGAAGGTCGCAAAACAAAAAAACGCTAGATGATGTCGTAAATGAACTTTTTGAAGGCGGTAATTTCGCGTAGGAAAAGAAAAATGAGGCCGAAAGAAATGGCAGCCAATGTATATGGTCACGTTCTCATGATACGCCATCCGCAGGTCGCACCCACACATACCCCCCAAAATGGCTACATCACGCAACGCAAGATGGGATGGAAAGGTGCAAGCCGAATAGGGCGAATAAAGGACCAAGGAATGGACGGCACAGACTGAGCACAACACCTATCGTTTGATGGAGCTCCGATTTAGAGCCTCCAGCAGCTCAGGCCGGTTTGTAAGAGCCGCAGCTGCCTGTGCATACGTGACCCATTGCCGCTTGCGTTTGTGCATTTCCGGCCACTGAGCCTCCTCGCGGTCCACACGGACCTCGAAGAACTGGTATTGTACCTTGGGGGCCTTCGCGGTAACCTGGGCAGGCGTGCGCATGTCGCTGATCACGCCCAGGTCGCGGAGGACGGTGCAGACCACACCAGCTTCCTCCCAGGCCTCACGACATGCCGCCTGCTGTGCGGATTCTTCGTCCAGCTCCCATCCACCCTTGGGGAGAACCCAACCTCCGGGCCGCGCGGATTGTATCAAGAGGACCTTTGACTTGTCGGGGGACATGGGCACGACGCCGGCGACGAGTCTCTCGCCATTGGTGCCGTAACCTGCGATCACAGGGGTTGCGGTCAGCTCAGGCAAGCTCCCTCACGAATAGAATGGAACATAAAACAAAACAACAGGGAAGCCAGCGAGAGAGAGGGACAGAGAGGCAAGAGTTTCGTGTGACATGCAGTGTGGGGTGCATTTCGTAAATAACAGTTTGGCTCCCTCTCCTGCAGCGGTGTTGGTCGGCGTCTGTAGGTAGGTTGTTGCCAGGCAGGGGCGGGGATTGTTTGAGCCCGCCGCAGTGCAGGGATGACAAGGCGCGAGGGGCATTGGACGAAAGGGACACGTGCTTCAACCAAGGGTCAGCAAGCGACTTACGCTGGTTTGTTCGCCCAGTTCGGGACTCCATAGTGCGGGTTTGTGCCATCGTATCAGATTTCTTGGTCGCCGTCGACCCTTTTTTTTTTTTTTTTTTTTTTTTGCGAACTTTTATTTTTATTTTTTTTATTTTTTTCGCCCAACAGACAGGTAACCTGCAGCGGATCGCCAGCGAAAAAAAAAAAAAAATGTAAAGAAGACAGATCGAACCCTCTGCAGGTCTCGAACGGATACAGGCGGTTTGGTCAAATCGCAACCTGGTTTTCTGGCGGCCCTTTTTGAGGCTCGAGGGAGAGACGTCGCATGTATCTCGGTGTCCCCGGAAGTACGTACAAGGTCCAAGGGCGAAGGAGCTGCGGAGTAGGCACTCGACGCCGATAATAGAGGATCACAGAGTCGAAATATTCACACCAGGGGCTCTCTGGGGATATGCTGCTTGAAGAAACGTGTATATATATGTATATATATATATATATATATAAAATTCTTTGGGGGATAAGTGGCTCGGTCACGGACAGGAACGGGGTTTTGCGGAGATAGACTGGCGATTTCGGAGAGGAAGGAATCGTTTTTTTTTTTCCCAACGAACTCGAGGATCTGAAATCTCCCTTCACTTCCGCGGCGGACGGGGCTGCGGAAGAGAATGTTTCCTGGGAGGAGCTTGAGAGGTGGAGGTAGACATCTTAAATAATGGGTAAGTGGTATGTAAGTATGAGCTGGGAACGGGGGGGGAACACTTTTTTTTTAAGGACGGAGGAATGAGGCATGAATGACGGGAAGATGTTGTAATCCGGGGGGGGAGGAAAATAAGTTTCTTATTTCCGACATCACCTTTTTCCCCCTCCCTTTCTGCACTCCTTGGTTACTGGAAATTTAGTTACGACGGGCCTTATTGTGCTTTGAACAGGCTGGGGGCAAGAAATAGGGCTCTTTTGGGTCCGCCCGAGTGTTGGCTGAAAGGGTGACCCGGTAAGTTTCGCTTTCACAAACCCCCCTTCTGTCCCCTGGTTTTGCGTGGTGGGACCCTTTTTCCTTTTTCCTTTTTTTTTTTTTTTTTTTGTCGGTCTCTCCCTTTCTCTTGTTCGAAGCTGCGTTTGCTGCCCATGTAACGAGTCCGTAACCAAGCCAAGGACCGCAGTTCCATGAAACTCGCAGGTTCCCCGGTGGTATCCTAACAGGGTCACGGTGAGCTTCACTCATTCGATCCCGATGCCTGTGCCTTGACGCCAATTGATACATCCATGTGTCATTTCCACGGACGCAACAGCTTGCAATGTGGTTGATCTCACCGCCTTAGGTCAACACATCTTGAAGTCTCAGATCCATACATGCAGCCCTTCTGTGGTGTCTGAGGGCGGTGGGTACGCCTCATTCTCTCCCCCCCCCGGTATATCTACGTTTCTATGTAATCTGTAGTTTACAGGGCACAGATGGACGTATCTCGGACGAGCAGGGAGCTTCCCTTTGAAACATTCGAAGTAACTTGTTACGTCGTTAGTATATGGGGTGACTCCCATGGTTGCTTTTTCCCGCTTTTTTCTTTTTCTACGGAGTACCTATTTTTTTCTTTTTTTTTTTTTTTTTTTTTTTTTTAATTTTTTTCTTTTTTTCTTTTCTCTTGACCAACCACACGTAAACCCCAGAAAAGTCAACAATGATGCACCAGCACTTCCTGGGCGACTGCTGGGCAATGGGCACATTTTCTTTTTAAGTTGCCCTGGTTTCAAGGCCCGCCTCATGAGAAGACTGGCTGCAACACGACCTGCCTACCTTAGGTACATCATGCGTACATGCGGAGTAACTACACAACTAAACTGCCTCGATACGGCATCCAACGGGTCTCTCTCCCATTCATATCGCCACATGCGCCGCTTGGAGGCCCTGATCTGCTGTTGCACCGCTGCATGGATTGGACTCACGGCATGCCACGCAATTTGAGCGCCCCTACATGCGAAAACGAAGCTCCATAATCTGCTCGGGCAGTTCGGTACGAAGTACACAAATAAATAAATACCCATGCACGGAGTACTCCGTCCAGTACACAGGTAACATAGGCACTCTTCCCATTCCCTGTGCTGTCCGCCGTCCATGCGGCCGATAGCTGCAGACCACTTTACCCGTTATTTGTAACTCCACTGTCTATGCAGGTCATGGAAAGGGAAGTTGAACCTCAACGCCACGGAACGTTGATCATTGCCAACCACTGGTATTACCTATCCTTGCATTTTGATAAGGCGACCGCTTTCTGAGTCAAAGGAATAGCCGAATGGCGCTGTCTTAAAAAAAGACACCGGGATCCACCAGTTTTCGGGACAAAAGCTGATTCACCCAAGCCAGCAATGACGCCATCTCGATGATGATTTTCCCCGCAAAAAAAAAAGAAAGGAGGGGAAAAAAAGAAAGACAAAAGAAAACAAAAAAAGGAAAGAAAGAAAAGAAAGAAAGCAAACCTCCAACTGCCATGGACGGTCGATACTTGGCTCCTGGCTGCGTGAGGGCGGACATCCTGCACAACCACCCGGGCAACCCGGATAACACTGGATGATCGGGGTCCGTGATTCTCAGTTGGTTCTAGATAGGCAAACGCACGGACTGGATCATGATCGACTCTAGAGTATTAGTTTGCAGGGACTCGAGGGCACTACATACGGAGCACAGTGTGTATAACGACCCCTTGAACCCCACGCATGAGGCATTGTGCTACATGGCCGTAGCAGATCTTGAGAGCTATTCTTTCATAGATATGTTGCGAGCACTCCATAGCGCATGCGTATGACTATACGCAGGAAGGTAGAAGCTTTTCTTTTCTTTTCGCGATCAGGTCATTTTTAATAGCGAATGATAGGCCCATGTACGGGGTAGGGACACCCTTTTTTTCCTTCGTACGAAGAGATACATAGTCGCGTCGGAACAAGGTATCTAGCTAATAAGGCTCTGCGCAACTGGCCCTAGATGCAATAGGCCAATATGTGTGCATCCACGACGAGCTCCTAGGAGCAGCAACCAATCGCAAGCTTCACGGATAGCCAAAAACCCAGACAACAGAGCTCCGAAGCCGGCGGTAGTGTGGCCCCCCGCAGCTCCTTTGGGTCCTTCCCGGCTGACCTGGGATGGGACATCCTGCGGATGAATGCTTGGTTGGATGATACATGGGACCTTTCTCCTGGAGCTTTGTATCACAATGTATATATACCCCATATATGCAGCTTACCGGGACCTGGGTGGAGCTCGAACGCCTATTCTATGTGTAATTGCATATAAGGACCGGTATTTCTGGAATAAACCTACACTTCTAAGATCGGATTCGAACTTTACGAGCTTCCGCCTGTTTACTGCGCCGTCCAGCGGAGAAAAACGTTGAACAATACATTCCATCCCTTCCTTCGCTGAACTCTCTCAACGGGCGCACGGATTAAGTTTCTATTTAACTCACTCCTTCAAGAGTCTAATTCCACCAGAGCGTTCCGGAAGCAGGACCTGCCTCCGATCCCTGCAACCCCAACCAACATCATACCCCCGGTCACTCAGTGGGTTTTATCTGATGGAAAGATTGTGAGGAGACGGCACTCTGCAGGACACAACGTTCCAAGCAATGAATGCTTAGTATCCGGCCATGTGGCCTTCAGTGACCTTAATACGCAGCGAGGCGATGATAGTATTCTCCTTCACGCCCAGGAAACCCCCCCAGGCCAAAGTTCTTCTATCAATCTGGTAAGTTTTTTTTTTTTTTTTTTTTTTTTTTTTAAAAAAAAAAAAAAAGGCCAAGCTGGGGAGCATCAGTCCTCCTTCCCTTGTCTCCTCAATCCTTCATGTACAGCAGGAAGTGAGTGGCAGGGTGCTCCGTGGTTACTCCGTACTCAGTGCTAGAATGAAGGATCCATCTTGAAAGCTAGCCAAGTTATTTAGTCAGTGATGCCCTCTTCACATACCTTCCAGGTCGTAACTGATGTTCGGGATCCCAATAGCCATTCTTGAAACCACGGTAACTCTCCTTGGTAACAACGGACATGCTAACCACTCTTAAGCCATGGATGCGCAGCCGTTTAACCTGTCAGTCTTTACGTATTTGATATGACGACCCAAAATGCTGGTAAGGCAATGAAGAAAGCTTCCCAATATTATGTTAGGTTTAGTAAAAAGAAACTCTTTGTGAAGAATGCCACAAACTCTATGTAGGGTCTTTTCAACTTGATGAGGATTCTTGGTCTTTTAAAGCCTTCATCATACCCAATAACATTATCCTTGCTGACGTGCACAAGGTTTGCACCCTTGTGTGATGAACAAGCCGGTTAAGTCTGCTCCCGACAAATCTACTACATATATGTCGCATGGGATGAGTAACTCTGTAGATTCGGCCTTCACAGTAGCAAGCGAGTATGCAAAGAACCCGGGAAAGGTAGCTGGATGAGAAAAGAAAATCTCACAAAAGGGATTTTCCTCTTTGAACATGCTCGCAACGGCATTTTTAGTTCAGAAACTTAACTGAACTATGGTATTTTGGAGGATCATTACTGGATAATTGGATGCTTTCTCAGCGTCAAAGCAAGCAGGACTGACTATTCCTAGCCTTAGATGGATAGCGGCAGCACAGATAAACAGTTGAAAGGAATGTTCCAATATTCATGTGCTCTTTATTTATCCAGTGAATTCTCACGGGCCACCCTTATGAAAGGTCATATGCCATTGCTCTCCACAATACTGATTCGACCTGAGAGAATCCTTGGATGCTTCACAAGTGCTAACTATCCTACGGAATTCCAACCACACTGGAGACTTGCAGCTCTGTCTGAACGACGTTTGCATTTGGCGTTACTCAAAGGGGTCAGGGGGAGAAAAGGAGCGGCGGGCAGCCCAGAAATGAAAAACACGCAACCCATTCCATCCACCATGCGTCCGTTGACTGATCCTTCTAATGAAAAATCAGATCATCATCATCACCAAAGGCAGGAAGTCCACCTGGCAGATTGAACCCCCATTAGCATCATAGCCAACAACAATATCTCAAACTCCAAAGGAGACCATCCGGACGGAAAGAAGGGAGGGGAAAACCTACACACAAGCCGGAGCAGACCAGCATAGACGTCGCGGTTGAGAAGCTCCCTGGTGCACTCAGCATCCGTGCACTGCTTCGACAGCTTCAACTGCTGCTCTTCGATCGCCATGAGCATGAGGCCACAGCTGCGGAGGTCGCTGAAGAGGTGATCGATTTTACAATGGACTTCCGCAACGAACTTCATCAGCTCCAGGGGCGTCACGGTCTGGTTGGTCACGTTGATCCAGTACTGCCTCAGATTTCGCTCCACGGCGCACAGTTCGCGGTCGAGCTTGGCCATCTTGTCGACCACCTCCATGGTGGACTTCTCTATGTCGTGGCATTCTAGGTTGTGGGCCCAGGGGTCAGCAGAGAATATCCCTTGATTTCAAGAAGGAAGGATGTGGCAGAGTACCTTCAACGACACCGCGTCCTTCGGGATCGGTGGCTTGCAGAATCGGGGTAATCGGCATGATGTTCAAACTTGCACCTAGAACAACCCGGAAGTTGATAGGCTTAGGAAAGCAGTTAAGGAGTATGGAAGGTGTTCCTTGTTTGGTGAAACAAAGTGAGGGAGCAGCACAGGTCACAAATGAATGCCTGCCTCAGATGCACAGGAAGAGAAAGAAAAGGAAAAGTGAACTGAGAGAAGGGCCATCTGTTGGATTCGGAGTATTCCATCACTGCACTCGTTGCTCCGCAACGAGCAATACAACAGATTACAGAAGATGGTGAAATTTCTTGTTTACTGTTCTCACCTCATATATCTTTGGGTTGAGGTAGGGAGGGGTTTGGCGGTCTCTCCTAGTATATGATGCAGACACTGGACCTAGAGAGACAAACAAATCTTCATTCAGGGCTTAGAATAATGCAAGAATGGTATATACTCTCAGGGGAAATTCGGATGCCATGCTGGGAGGCAATATATGGATATTCCCCCCGGAGGATGCTTGCCATCGCCTTACATTAAACGCGGCTGTCCCAGTCAACATGCTTGTATCGCCGGGCTGAAGGTCCATGACGGTAGATATTTCGAGCATACACTACCCGTGTGTGGCAACGACGAAGTTTCGTGACGTCCATTCTTCGGGGCATAACTCGAACAATCCACATGTCAGGCTTGCCTGAACTCTGGTAACGTCCCCAACCTTGATCACATAGTTTACCCTCCACATCAGCATGACGGAGAGATGACAGAAAATTGACATCGAAATAAAAATTGACATCGAAGGGGACATGTAAAGCTCGACTGGGCCCAGCTGTCCATCCATCTTCATTTCTTTTCCGTCAGCTTCAAGATATCTCGAACAGATCAAAAGAATAACGGAAAAAGCGTCTTACCAACCATCATACCTATACACTCAAACCATGTCATATCGCACACGTCGAATCATTCATAACCTTTCTCAGCGGCGTCTCACGCTGATAATCCCATTCTACCCGCCTCACAAAGATCCCAGCCCACCACCTTCGCGGGACACCAGCCCGCACCCACAAGGACATCGCATCGGACGACACGGAGACCGGCTCTGGCAGTTCCCCAAGGTGATCCTCGAAACCCTGAACATCCACTACAACAGCAGGACGAACGGTGACGCTCTCAATAACCAATACAACAGCAGCTACCTCGGCTCCAGCACGTGGTATCCGTCTAGCAGCACCGGGAGCTTCTCACCCGAACGCTTTCCCATGTACCCGCTGACCTACGCCGACCTCCTCCCAGACGAAGGAGGAGAACAACAACACCAACAACAACAACAGGAAGGGCGAGAGGACGTCGACGGGACGTACTCGGCCCCATCGTCAGCGGGACCGGCACCGGCACCCGAACCGGCGCGAGACACCTTCGAGGTCCTACTCTGCGAGAGCCAGCCTTTCGGCCGTTGGCGGATCCGAAACGGCATGACGGAGACCCACGATTCCGTCGAAGCCGCGAACGACGCCGCGATGCAGATGTTAGCCTGCTATCACGGCGACCTGCTGGGCCAGTCCAGCTTGAATTTCGTCCGGCGGGAACCCGGGGAGACGTGGGCTCGCTGCGACTTGCCGGCGGAGCGGGTTGTGTGGTCGATCGATCCGGTGGACGCGACGCTGCAGTTTAGCGGACTGGGGCTTTTTGGGGAGACGTTCCTTATCTGGGCGCGCAGACGATGGGCTGGGGAAGTTATGGAGTATTGGTGTGGATAATTCTCTCTCTCTCACCCTCACACACCTTTCTTTTTTTTCGACGGTGGCTTCCAGTTTAAGGATCATGATCTTTGCCTTTGCGCTCTGCTTTTTTTTTTTTCCTTCCTGTATCATGACCTCATCTTGCTTTTTGTGGGTATATGTATAGAACCAAAGTAAGCGCGGTGTTGTATGGATATGAGTATATGGGTATCTTGTTAGCTATTTCTATCTCAAGGAAAAAAACATGCTATATGAGCATAGCCGCGTATGGAGTACATATTTAGGTATTATCGCTTCGAGATAAATGAAGAATGGCACTTTGTACATGTAGGTAGTAAGTAGTTCTTCTCTCTTCCCTTTCTTCAGCCAGCGTAGCACGACGAGTGTGTACGTTAGGTAGGTAGGTAGGTAGGTAGGTAGGTATATACGGAGCAGGGTTGATGTAATTATGTCATTAGGGTTTTACCACGCTCTCACTCGTAGTCGGGATCGTAGATTCTCGCTTTGTAGAACCGCGCGTCGCTCCAGCCTCTAGCGTCTTTCTGGTTTCCCACGCTCGAGCCCCATCTAACATACGGTCCCATCTCGCCCTTGTCCTTGTAACCCCTGACCCACATGTACTCCCCGTTGCGATGTCTCACGAGACTCTTCAATCTCCTCATGTTCTTCAGGATCTTGAACTTGCCCGTCGAGGTGTTGAAGGCATACGCGGCGTATGAATCCGTCAGGAGGAGCGTCTTCTTGTTCGAATAGTCCGGCTGAAGATCGTGTCCGAGGCCCTTCTTGGGCAGGCCGTACTTGGCGACCCGCTTCAGGCGGGTGTTCTTGTACGAGCCGGTGACCTTGTACTTGTACAGGAAGTCGTCTCCGAGGACCCAGAGGTTTCCGGCAGCAACGGACTTTCCTCCATTGGGATCCCAGAGGACGCCGTGTGCGCCAGGCAGCGAATAGTCCTTGGCGTGTCTGATCTTGCTGTAGTCACTGACGTCCTTGGAAGTGGGCACGTACAGGCTCAGCTTGCCTGGCTTGGAGCTCGCGACGACGATGGCGCCGTTCTTGGGGACGATCTCGATCGAGTGCGGATTGTCGCCCGGGGTGGCCTGCCACATGACGTCGTCCAGGCCGACCTTTCGCTTCTCCTTGGTGATGTTGACGATGCCGGCCTTTCCTCCGGAAGCGGTGACCAGGGCGATCCAGCCGTGTTTGGCGACCTTGCGGATCTTGACGCCGGAGAGATTGTTCCACTTGCGGTTGAAGAACCCGGTATCGGCGGTGAAGCTCCAGAAGATGGCGTCTTTATTCCATTTCTTGGAGTTGCGTGGGAAGACGCGCACGGTCTTCGAGTTCTGGTCGACGACTGCGACGTGGTAGTTGGCTGCGCGCTCCTCGATGGGGTGGGCGAGCACTGCAGCAAAGAAGTGCAGCGCCGCTAGGAAGTAAATATACCAACTCTTGACCATGGTGACTTGGTTCCCATGAGATGGTGTCAAGGCTGGTTTTCAGAAATTAATATATATATATATATATATATTTATCTTTCCTCCCCGAAACTTCGGGCGCGCCGTGGGCCATTTTATATCTCTTCTGTCATTCACGTTCAGGTGCGAAAATGCAACGCATCCGAGGCAATTTCCGCACGGCGCTGCGATGGGTTCCTGGGTAAATTGGGATCCCAATACGAGATATTTCGAACGCCTCATGACGTCCAAGAAGCATTGAAGCCCATATTCGATTGGAACACCGCCCGAAAGAGCAGGGAGTCGCCTGCAATGGGGAGGATCACACCCCAATGGGGAGGGGTGGCTTGGTGGTGGAGGAACCTTATGTCGATGACGGAGCTGGTATTCGCGGGTCTGATGGGGTACTGGGGGCCACATCTGGCAGAGAAAAGATGCACGGCAGCCTTGACGTGCGTTTCAGGGTCGGAGAATTGCACTTTGAACAATGCCGCCGTGGGCCTAAGAGCCGCACCGGGATGCGGTGAGTGGCCAGCAGAACACGAGGAGGAGCTTGGCCGGTGTGATATAAATAGAAACTGTGCCGTGTTTGCGGGCCGGTTTTTCGTTTTGCTTTCTTGCTTGCGGAAAAGCTGCTGATAGAGCGGAGAGGGTCTAGATCTGACATCAAATCGGCCTTGTGGTCTAGTGGTATGATTCTCGCTTTGGGTTCAACAGCTCAGATTGCGAGAGGCCCCGCGTTCGAATCGCGGCAGGGCCCCGATATCCTTTTTTGTTTTTCTGATTTTTATCCAGTTTCAGGTGGCCCGTCGGATTGGAAATGCGACGTTTCTTTTTTATTTTATTTTATTTCAATTGCGTTGCACTGTGACGCAATGGGAACTTGGTTGATCAGCTTGACCTGGCGTCTGGTTGGTGCAACAGCAGCACGACCCTCCAGGGTACTAGCAGCGTGCACGCACTTTGGGAATCATACACAATAGCGAGGACAGCATATTCACTTGAAAGTCGATTAAGAATTGTCACGGGCCAATTTGATCTGGACCCTCGATGCGTGCTTCTCGCCATCAAGGTAAGGCTATGTTTTTGGGGCATGTAAGGATTGACGGTTACAGAGTGTGAAATGTGGTCGAAACCTGATGAGACGATTGATTGACAAGATCCGTCAAGGTTCGGTCTTGTGGTCTAGTGGTATGATTCTCGCTTAGGGTTTCAAACTCCTGAGTTCACAATTGCGAGAGGCCCCGCGTTCGAATCGCGGCAAGACCCCTTGTCTATTCTTTTTTTTTATTTTACATCTTTTTTACAGTATTCGGGGACACACACCAACGCATCTTCAGAGAACGAACAACAAAGTGAAAGCCCTCTCTTCCCGCCGCTTTGCTCCCTACCCGACGGACGAAGCCACAGCAAAAACCGCCCCCCCCATGCAGCATTGACAAACGCCGCCGATCCTGAGGATGCGTTGTCGTCGAACCTTCGTGCAGGACGGCTGCTGATTGGTCCAGCCCCGGGCTCACGGGATCAACCGAGCCGGACGCTGATTGGCCGGACTAAGGGCACGGGATTCGTGGACAATTGGCAGTGAGGGGAAGGAGCGAATGGCCGGCCCAGCGCAAAAACACAGTTGGAAGGAAGGAAGGAAGGAAGGAAGCCGGCCAGCTGGGAATTTCAAGTTCAGAGCCACAAACACAGAGAGAGAGAGAGACATAGAGATTAGAGAGAGAGACAGATTAGAGAGAGAGAGATTAGAGAGAGAGAGATTAGAGAGAGAGAGGCCTCCACAGTGTTTGCACCACCACCACCAAACCCCCGGAACACCCTCCCTAAGCAGCAACCGGAACACCCCCAATCCATCGCCCGGCACGCACCGATCGACCAGGCGCATCAACTTCCCCCCAATAATCAAGAAATCGCATCTCAAAAAACCACATCACTGGAAAACTGATCTTTCTTAGAGACATCTGACGTTGACTGAATGCTGGATTGGAGCACTGCTGGGGACGATTAACTTCTTTGCAGGCCTGTCGCTGAACTGTTGCTGCTTACCAGGCCTACTTCCTCCATCTCTCCCATTTTGCTACGCAATCCATCGCTTCATAATAACTAGCCCATCTCTCTCATCTACATTCCGAATTGACACTCACTCACTCACTCACCAGTCTCCAGAAGGTTATCCACTATACATTGAAGAAACCGAAGAAATTTAACAGAAAATATATTAAAGAAACTGAAAAAAAAGAAAAGAAAGAAAGAAATAGATTGACATTTATTTATTTATTTTAGTTTGCTTACTGTTTAAACTGCCTACGAATCGCAAAGGACGGTGGTTTGCGCGGGTGGGCTTTTTTTTAAAAAAAAAGACGCCTTCAAGCCAGTCCATATCCACCCAACTCGAGGACCCTCTTCCTCTCCTGCTTCTGCCTGGAACTCAAGTCGCATACACGCGTAGTGGTCGCCGTCTCCCTGGATACCCACGCGCGACCGCTGTTCTTCGCGTCGCTGAAAACCTCCTCCACCGTCTTTCACGGCCTGGTTGCGTACTCTCTTCACCTCCATAGTGCGACACACCAGGGCCATCAATGAACCACAGACTCATATTTCGCAGAAGGAATCGGCCAGCAAAATGATGGCCACAGAACGTCTAGACGAGCTAGACGGCGTCTTTGACGACCACCCTTCCCTCTCCGCCTCCCTGGAGGACTTTGAAGAAAGCTCCGCTCCACGCACCCCGCTCTTCGGCGCCCTGCCCTCGCAGCACTCTGGCTTCCGGTCGCACGATCTCTCCGAGAAGTCAGACGACGACGGCGGCGGTGGTGGCGGCGACAACGACCACGACCCCGCCGCGGGCATCCTGGACGCTGCGTCGAACCTCAGCGACCCGTGGTCTCCGCCTGGTTTCAGCAAACGACTCTTCTTCCATCAGAAGGACGACCCCCTGCGCCACCGCAGCCCCGAGAGCACCTCTGCCAGCGCGTGGTATCGCCATCGCCCTTTCATGCACAACCAGCCCGATCTGAAGCCCACGGTCGTCAACGACAGCCCCGCACGATCGAGAGATGTCAGCCCGCAGTACGAGGATGCGCCAGAGAAGCCGCTGTCGCCCCAGCGCATCGAAGGCGATGCCGACGATCTGGTGCTCCCAGCGAGCATACCGCTGCCCGTGGGAACCGATTCGCCCCTGCAAGGCCGATCGCCAAGCCCTGATCCGAAGTCCAAGAAGGTAAAGGAGGAAGATGTAGGTGATGATGGTGGTAGTAGGGGGAGCGGTGACGGCGATGGTGGCGGCGATACAGAATGCGAAGACGATGATGGAAACGAACACACTGACAAGCAACAACCAGTACATGGGTCGATAACAAATTGTAATAATATCTCTTATTTTTTCTTTTTCTTCTTCTTCTTCTTCCTCTTCGTCCTCTCTTCTAGGCCTGTTTTTCTTTTTTCTCTTTTTTGTTTTTGTTTCTGCTTTTGTTTTGCTCTTTCCCTCGACTTTCACGCTGACTCGGGTTCAGATATCCGTTTCGCTGTGCGCGCAGAGGTACAACACCGAGAGCCATTTGTCGCATTCTTTAATTTCGTTGGTAGAAAACTCGACGATATCACAAGGACCAAGTCGTCAACAATATTATCTATAATTGTTCTCCTTCTCTCTGTCACATTTTTGCGCGCCCTCTTCTTACCTCCACTGCCGCTGCACATACCAGATCTGGTGAAGCTATCAGCTTTCGCGCGATCCTTTGAACCTTTAATCTACTACTCCGAGAATGGCGTCCAGCAGATTGGCTCCCTCCAGGAAACCGGCGTTGCGGTATGGGATCTGGGAGAGTCCGTCCGCGGCACCAACATGACCAGCGCGCCCATAATCGTCCGAGAACTGGACGAGCTCTCGGAATCTCTCAAGACCCTCTCCGTCGAGCTGACCAGGTTCTTCGCAAATGTCGACTCGGACATCGACTCCATCCTCATAGTCATGGAATGGGCTAAGCGCGAACTCGAGTCCCTCTCCCAGCATCAGACGGGATCGATATCATCCGTCCTCTTCGAAAACTTCCACGCTTTCCTCTCCCGCATGGGCGCGCTCGAGACCATCCCTCTTCCCCCCGCGGGCAGCGCCAACGCCAGCACCACCGCCAGCACCACCGCCAACACCACCCCCAAGAACAACGGCCTGCCCATCCCCACCCGTCTCGGCTCCATCGTCACCACACTCTTCGGCCCCACACGCTTCCAGAGAACACAGTCCACCCTCTCCTATGCATTCACAGAACTCGTATCCGTCCTCGAAGAGGCCATCAACACCGAACTCACCCACTCCACCGCTCTCTTCGCCCTCTTCGAATCCATAGACCGCCAGTTCCTCAACCTGCAGCGGACCGTGGTGCGCGAGTCCGACGCGCAGGAGCGCGCCGAGGGCGAGATGCTCTCCTCGCTCTGGACGAGGGTGCTCGGCCCCAACGCCGCCGCGCTGAGGAAGTACGAGAAGAACAAGCGGCTGCTGGGCAGCGTCCGCCAGCGCACCGTCGCCAACAAGCACCTGCTCATGGACCACCGTGGCAAACTGCTCGCTCTCAAGGTGAACCTCGAGGCGCTGCGGCGCAAGCTGGTCAGTCCGCTGCTGCGGCGGAACGACTCGTTGAATCTGCCTCGTCCCGGGGCGCCGGTTGTGGGTGCTGGTGCTGGTGGTGCCGGTGCCGGCGGCGTTGGCAGTGGCGGTGCGAGCAATGAGGGCGGTGTGGGCAGTTTGCCGCCGGCGAGCAGTATGGATGTCGTCGTGGAGGGGCAGATCAGGGGCCTCGAGGGTGCGTATACGTATCTACGGACGGTGAGGGAGAGGCAGAAATCGAAGTTGATGGAGATGGTGTATGGGGCGGGGAGCAGGAGGAGCGGAGGGAATATTCTGGATAGTATTTCGGGGAAGGTGGATGAGATTGAAGGGCGGTAGTCGTCGAAATGCATTCACTCCGTCTGTGTCCCGTGTGCGCGTCTACGTCTGCGCGTCCCATTCCCCGTTTTTCCCTCCATACAACATATGTATCGTTGCTGGGTTGGTTTCGTTTGGTTTGTTGGTTGGCGAAGCGATTACCTATTTACTGTTCTGCTCTCCCCCCTTTGTCCTTTGTCCGTTTTGCTTTTCTTTTTTGTTTTTTACTGTCTATGCGGAGGCTCACGATCGACTACATTTCGGCGGAGTTATGAGATTCCTTCCTCACCTTTGTTTTTTATGTGTCCTTCGGAGTGCGCATCCTGTTTCATTCTTTTTCCGCAAGCTGAAGAAACAAAGGTCTGTAAAGGGAATGGAGGAAAGCGTGTTGTTTTCTTTTTCCTTTTTTTTTAATAACCGGCGTCAAACCTGAGAGGGAGAGAGGCAAAGACAAAAAAGAAGCAGAAGATAAAAAAGGGAGTGCTGGCGAGTGTGATTATTTCTGTTTTCCTTTCTTCACAAATAGTTGTAACTTGCCCTCCTGAAAGACGTATCTCCCTTCGTTGGTTTTCCTCCTCCTCCTCCTCCTCCTCTCTATCTCTACGGAGTTACCCCCTGTGCTACTTGGGCGCTGGGCGTAAAAGGCTGGATATGTCTGGGTCTCTTTTCCTCCGTTGTCCTTTCCATCTCCTGTTGAAATTTTTGGAAGTTCTTTTCCTCTTTTAATTTCCTGTTTTCTGTGGTTTATTTTTTTCCTTATCACAGCTACAGATGTGTTGGTTCAGGCATTTTCGAGCCTTTTTTTTTCTTCTTTTTCTTTGTATTCGAGTACATACATACAATACATACCTACATACGTCTCTCTCGCCGTCATTCTTTTCCCCTTCCCCGTCTCCGTGTCTTTAGAGATATATATCTTTTCCCGTATCTTTTCTACCCAACCACCATTCCATGGCTCATCTAACACTCTGTAGAAAGACACCTAGAAGGGGAAAAACCCCTCTGCAAGAAAAAGAAAGAAAATTCCAAATCTATCTTACCACCACAGATATATATCTAAAACATAAAAAAAAAACATTACAAAAAGAAATACAATGATCAGGGTCTTGCCGCGATTCGAACGCGGGGCCTCTCGCAAATGTGAACTCAGGAGTTTGAAAACCCTAAGCGAGAATCATACCACTAGACCACAAGACCTGTTCTTATTGGTTCGGAGTGGGGGAACCGGACCATTTGGCATTATTTGCCAAAAATATCTGAAAATTTTCAAAACTCGAACGTGACGCGAATCGCGAAGTTTTGAGTTGCAGCAAAGCTTCTCGGAGGGGGAGGAAAAGAAAACTCAACGACAAGAGCATAGTATCCATTTCCAGGCCAGAGGCCAAAAATCTTATTTGAGAGGAGAATCATTACTTTCTAAGCCTTACGCCACGCTGTATAAGGCCACATAGCGTACATCCAGTCCATCCTAGAAAAAAGGAGAAAAGGAAAAAAAATAATGAGGAAACCTTCCGCTCCGTGTACATTTTTCTTTTTGAGGTTCGAGAATGAGAGAGATGGTAGACAGCTAATGGCTTGGAAGGACATTGATGGAATCGACAGATCTATCGTAGAATCACACTTGGGAAAAAAGAGAAAAGCCGGAGGAAAAAAAATAACAAGAAGTATGAGTAGCAGAAAAATAATGGAAAACTTTGCATATTGGTACATGCCACCTTTATCATATTGGTCCCCATTCCTTCCAAATCGACGTGTTGCCCATGCGAATGCACTCGTCGAGAAATGCAGAATCTAACAAGTTTTAAAAGGTGGGTTTTCGTAAACGCTGTGTAGGAATCACATCTATGCTCGTGGATGGGATTTTGCGACATTGACGGGCGTTAAGTTGGCTCCGAGTCAGGGAGTTTATTTGGTGCACTCTTGCTCCATGTAGCTAATTAAAGGGTCAGACCATGCGTTTTTCTACAAGAGCTAGATGCACTGCACTGCGCTGCGCTGCACTGGGGAGGAAAACATACGTGATCAAGTCGTTGCGGTCCTTAGCCTTCTTGAGACCACCGAAGGCCATCTTGGTACCGGGAATGTACTTCTTAGGGTTCTCGAGGTAGACGTACTGCAGAAGAGCGGGTTAGCGACGCGTTTTCTTTTCCTCTTATGTCCTTTTTTTTTTTTTTTTTCCCCTCCGATCAAGGTCAACATGTTATACTTACGAGAGTCTCGTGGTCCCAAGTGATACCCTTTTGCTTGTTGGCGTCGGTGTAGGAGAAGCCCTCAGCCTGACCGGTCTTGCGGCCGAAGAGACCGTGCAAGTTGGGGCCGACCTTGTTGGCACCGCCCTTCTCGAGGGTGTGGCATTGAGCGCAGCGGGTCTTGAAGAGGTTGGCACCCTTGGCGGCGTCACCTGGTTGCGCAGCAGCGTTAGCCAGTTTCTCCTGCTCGATCTCTCTCTTGTATTGCTCTTCCAGCTCAATGGCCGTGACGACAAGGGGAACCTCGGCGATGCACATGGTGAATGATGGAACTCAGGCTTGTCGCGTATGTGTGTGTGTGTAGTGCAGGGCCCGCAGTTGAACAGTCTCACAGGGTTAAAAAGAAAAAAAAAAAAAAAAAGAGGATGTTGAATGATGCAGTGTGGATGGTACGGGTTGTATGTCACAGTGTCGTCACGCAACGGTGAGATTGTGCCAGCGCGACCACAGTAGCCAGCTGAATAACGCATCTCGCTAGCCAGGTCACGAGCGATGCAACAGAGCACAAGGGAAACTCCGTCTTCACATTTGATAGAACAACACAGCAGTGAAAAGACTGGCACTTACCGGGAGCGTAGCCGTCCTTGCCCATTTTGAATGTGTTGAGAAAGATTAACTAGAAGAGATAAAAATCTAAATGTACAGGAAAGATATGTGGAAAATGAAGGACTCTTGAAAAGCGATCAGATCCAATTGAGATATCCAGAAAGACAGTGAGGGAGAGAAGAGGAGGAGAAGGAAGAGAAAGAAGAAGAAGAAGAACAATCGCAGCAGGGAAAAAAAAACTTTTTTTTTCTTCTACCAACCCTTGCTCAGCATTCAGGCAGGTTAAAGCAGCAATGACGGCGAAACCCCCAGCGCAATGGGGCGGGTAACTATCGGCCGCAACCCAGCAACACCCTTACGTAAGGCTATTCGGGGTGCGCTGATTGGCCCAGCGGCACTCCCAGCCAATCAGCGGCCGCGTTATTGGCATGACTCGGGCGGAATCGGGATCCATTTTGCCCCAGCCGCCGAGCTTGCCAAGTCCACCACCACCACCCCGTGACTTCCCCGTGCGAACAATCGGGTCGTCCAGGGTTCGCGGCTTCCTCGGGCCAACTCGCGGCTTTCCCCTTTTTTTTTACTCGATTGAGGACCGTTTGAAACATAGTTACTTCCAAGCCGGGTGATGTCATTGTTTTGCCGATGTGAATCAAGCCGCAGAGTGGCTCAGCACCGAACAAATGATCGATGCTTCGTTTCTCTGCCTTTTCAGCTGTCAAAGGGACATCATCTACTCCGTATATTGGCCCAGCGATTGATACGGTGAGGTACCGGGGGGTGCCGTTACGGGGAAATGGAAGGAGGCTTCTTTACATGCAGATGTGGCAGGGCATTGGCACCGCGCAACATCCACGTAACGTCCTCCTATCCATTCTCAAAGTCCATTTTTGTATGTATGTCGTCGAATTTGCGCATCCAGACCGACCAGACAGCCTGTGCTCAGTCCAGAAGCATCTTGCCCTTGGAATTTGGGTACCGTGGGGAGCCAGCATATCAAGCATTATATGTTGCTGCGAACTGGATCAGTTCATCCTTTTCTGTATACCGCGATGATGTAAGAAGGACTAGACGAGCGGACCACCGCATCATCGTCGCACTCTCTACACTCTACAGAGGCATACAATGGATCCTAACACCAGACGTGTACACAGTATTCCGCCCGGAGTACGGAGTATGGAGTAGAGAAAATAAGAGCAGAAACAGACTTTTTGGTTCAAGTTTCGTCGAACTGGAGGCTGAGTCATCCGTTTGTTTAAACGGCAAGCGGCAGCTGATTGGCCAACCTTTCACCTGCAAAACCAGCAACTGAGAAATCAACGAGCGAAGAGCGAGAGAGAAGAGAGAGAGAGGAAGAAGACGGAGAGGAGAGACAGCGACTGGCACTGCTCCAAGCTGAGGGCCTCCTGTTAAACGCCTACGACGACAAGATTAGCCCCGTCAAACCATGGCGTCCACGGCGACCATACCTGCTTTCGTGCTTCCTCGCGCAATCCCTAGAGCTGCCCGCCCACCTCCAGCCTCAGCATCCCTCTTCCGCCGTGCCTCCGCCAAACCATGTAATTCCCGTTGCGCCTCCACGTCCTCGCAGAAACCGCGTGTGCTCGAGAAGCCAGACAAATTCCGGCCTCCATCCCATCCGGCCCGGAGAGTGCTCTCGCCCAATGCCCAGCCTCGAAATTACCCCGGCCCTCCATTATCTGCCAAGGAGCTCGAAGAACAAAAGACGAAGAGATATCCCAACATGTTTCCGCCAGAGGGAACCGTGATGCATAAATTCCTGACAAACAGAGGCATCCATCTCTGGATATCACTCGTAAGTCTACCTACCTGACCATCCCAAAATCGATGCACAATAATCAAACTAACCTTTTTTGCTAAGGGCGTCCTCTTCTCCCTCGCAACGTTCACCTACACCACCAACTTCAGGGCCACTTCGCCTTTCGCGCATCTCCTCCCACCCTGGTCCGGCCTGCTCACTCATCCCATCGACACAGTCGGCCAATTCCTCTCCGTCATGAAGATGCACGCTGACCACCTCACGCTGGAAACTACCGAAAAGCGGAAGCGTAATGTGGACGATGTGCAAAAGAGAAAGGAGTATAGGATTGCACATGGCCTGGAGGAGCCGGATGTGAAGCCGGAAAGTGATGAGAATAGTCCGCAGAGGAACGATGCGGATGGTGAGGCCGGTGCGGTTGCTGTCGCTGCGTCAGGAACGCGGGAGGGCGGGCAGCCCGGCGAGGGAGAGACGTACGTGGATTGGGAGGGGAAGAAGAGGCCAGTTAAGAAGTGGTTTGGCATTTGGTGAGTTGCGGGGCTTGGGTTTGGAGAGTGGAATGTCGGGTGTTTGAATTGCACTGTATAATATTAAAGCATTTGGGCCTGGGAGTATTGTGTTTATACGGGTAAAAAAAAAGAATTGGGTGGACTTTTTTTGATTTTGGTTATGAATGTGATACACAAAAGCGCGCTTTAGCTTTGTTTCGCGAGTTAATTGGAATAAAAAGACATCTCCTACTGTATCTCGATCTAGGCGGTATTTGGTCTCTTCTCCTCTTGTTAGCCTCGCAGCAGGCCTGATTCCTTATCAGACGGTGTAAGTCTGAGCCAGGGTAGAGCTCGCTGTCTGGAGCCGTGAACCATTCAGGACATCTCGATTCCCTTCAAACCCCAGTTATATAGTATGGTATGGTTCTCCCACGCACGGCCAGCTCCTCTTCCTTTAATACCTAAGGACAAAAAAAAAGCCGGTCCATTGGCGGTGTTTCTGTGCATCTCACAGCAATCTTTTGATCCCTGGAGAAATTCAATTGCTTCTTTATCCCACTTCCACTCCCTCCAATCCTTGCATGACCTCATCGCCAACACCGCCCCTTTGCAGCACCAACTTTACAATTTTCGAGATGAGCCCCCTCTTCACTCCACCTTGTCTAGGTTTCCACACTCCCTGAACAGACTCACTCGTCACGGGCTGCTGCTCAACGGAGTCGTCACCTGCGCTGACTCCAATGTTGACTGCATTCTCTGAATTAGATAGTCCCGAGTTGGTTAGCCGGGACGGCGGATCGATGGTGCGAATTGCCAGGAGCTTCAGGTTACTCGCATCCTGGTCCTGTTTGTCCTTTGATATTTGCTCGTCGCGGCCGATGGAGACGCAAAACACGGCATCCGCGACGGCGATTTCTTCCCTGCTTGGATCGAAGATGATGTTTTCGCCGACGGCGATGACGAGGAGGGTTATGGGTGGCCGGAAGGGTTGGCGGAGGGAAATTGCCGGGTTGGGAACGGTTCGAGGGTAGAGATACTCTGCGAGAGCCCAGTCGTCGTCGAACATGGGGTCCTCTTCATCTTTTGAGATGAGTTTGGGTAGTTTTGTGGAGAGAAGGGCGAGATGGGTTGTCAGCGAGAGGAGCGGGAGAGGATAGGATAGGGGTGGAGAGAGCAGCAAGATCTAGACATACATGTTAGTTAGATACCCGCATGAAGTAACTGTCGAAACATGCAAATGCTTCTCGTAAGTCTGTGGCCGAGCGACTCACATCGACATATATCCTCCAATGCCATCCCTGGTTAATAACCAATCTCCCCTTCAGACCTTCCGGCATCCCATATTTATCCTCCTTACTCCCCGACCCAGATCCCACAAGCGCCTCTCTCATCATCTCCGCCAAAAACACCGGTAACGCATCATCGTCCCTCAACCCCGGGATTTCAATCGACATCTCGACCCATGAACTCTGTCCCGCACCGCGACCACCAGCACCTCTCTGCCTCCTCCCACCTTCACCGCCAGTATCCTCCTCGTCCTCCATACCGCCACCCTCTCCCTCGCCGATCCCCTCCCCGTCACGCTCCCCTAGAATCCCGGTGTTCACCGTCTTCTCGATCTCTGCCTTCACGCCCACGATCGCCTGCGTTCCATCGGCAAATCCGATCCGTGCGCTGCCGTTGGTGTTGGGCAGGATGTCCGTTTCGGCGGTGAGAGGTCTGAATTGCGTGGCAGAGCGGCCATCGGGTCGAATGGGGTTGTTTGGGTATGAGAGGGAGGTATGGAGGTAGGAGAGCTCGGCTGGGGAGAAGTGTGAGATTTGCGAGGCTGAGGAAGCGAGCGCTGGTGCCATTGCGGGGAGGGTATTATCTGTGTAAAAATTGACTTGGAGTGCGAAAAGTCAAGAAATAGGGTCTCTATAATCCTGTCTTCCTTTGAGAGACGGATGGCCTGGCGCAACTTCAGTCGCTTGTGGCCATGCAACAGGGCATTGGATGCTTAATATTGCGCCTAGGAGAAATCCAGGAGTTGAGATATATAGTTGAAATGGCCAATTACCCCCACACACACTCCCTATTCTATTTGCGAATAAGCCGCGGAGAGCCAGCAGCAACTTCAACAATGCGTTTGCGATGCTGTTTGAGCTTTGATAGTGGCTGAATTTTGTCGTGTAGCTGATAAGCGCACGGACCACCTTGCCCAAACATGCTGTTCCAAATATTGTGGTGCTTGCTTGCGAAAATGTATTACTAGAAGGCTATCTATAGGTAGTTAACTATGCAACTCTCTCGCACCCAGCTTAGCTGAATAGCGAGTCCTTGATCACGATGAATGTCTTTTAGATTGCGCTTGAATGTGGCTATCAGCTTCATGTGTCGCCAGCCTTCATGCTTAAAAGATTGTCTTCTCTTCTGAGATGGGTAAAAGCCTCGATTCGAAGGGTACCATCACTGCCCACGCAGTTTCTATCTTGTGACTTCGAAGTCATCAGCGACTCCCATATACTGGAAGAGGAGCGGTTCAAGGACTTCAAACTCGGAAAATACTATCCTGTGAACATTGGGGCGATGTATTTGCTTCCAAGTACCAGGTCGTTGGCAAAACTGGGATTCGGAATTACGTCTACTGTATGGCTGGCTAGCCTGCCAAAATGTTCCGAATGTTGGGCACATCGACCGAAAAAGGCCTCCTCCGCTGGATGGGATTTGATAGGAATGAGTTGCCTGAGTCCTGGAAAAACGGTGTGGAAAATTTCACGTCTCCCGGAAGCGCTGAAAAGGTCTGTTGAGCATGAGGATTGGTTGTGTAGAGGTAGCATCGTTCGTCTCGGCCGCCCCTAGGTCATGATGTCAGACCGCCTCCATCCCACGACTCTGCAAGTGATTCTCGACTGGTTGTTGACCCCGGGCCGGCTTGCGGGATGGCAACAGGGGGTTGAGACAGGCATATTAGCAAAACACATCTAGCCCCGGGTTCTCCAACCGACCGAGACTCTCCAGAGTAACTAGTTACTCGCTGGCTATTGGCGATGCATGCATGCCACTTGTGACATACAGGGAAAAAACTTGATTACGGACACTGCACCGGCTCTGTCGGCAAGCAGCTCGATCACAGGACGCGTATTGTAAAAATTCCAGCTGCCAAATGGGATGGCTTGAAGCGACAAAGCTTTTATTGGATTGGTATTTGGATGCGACTAACTCCATAGAAACAGAGTAAGCGGAATATATAGGTATGGCCTATGTAAATAAAATATGTGTTGAAAAAAATAAAATAAAAAAAGGTAGAAGGGGAAAAGCAGACGGTATAAAAGTACAGATAAACGAGGGGAAGAGAAAAGAAAAATAAAATAAAATAAAATATAAAAAAAGGATGAGTATAAAAATCCCATGGTATCTTCACACATCCTGACCCTCCGTTTTGCCCATTTCCATCTCGGGGACACAACAAAAGAGAAAGACAAAAGAAAAGAAAAGAGACCAAAAAGGGTACACGGAAAAGAGACGGATTATTTTGCGAGTGTTATATGAGTTTGTCGAGCAAACAAGTATTTGTCGACTTCGAAGCCCCAGAATGCATGTTAAGTGAATGAACGATCGCCACCGCCCCCAAGTCGCCGTCCATGTCTATATATCTTCAGCGCCAGAACGACCGAGATGAAAAAACACCAAGTGAAAGACTGCTAAATGATAAGTGTGGAAAAAGCAAGCGAATGGACATAATAAATGAAAGGAGACTTGCAGGCCAAGGAATGTACAGAGAATGCAAATATGTCAGTAGATATAAAAGATACGAGCATAGGAAAATGTGGTTGCTGGATCAAGCGACTAGGATATGCAGGGACAAGAATGTCGCGGCTCGCGCGGTGAGGTGAGAGTGCTAAGTGCCTCCAGGTAACTAAAAAGTATATCGACCAATAAAGGGAGTAAGTAAGTGAGATGATTAGGAAAATGTACATATATCGCAAAGGCCAGGGGTAAAATCTAAAAATCGGCCAGGGGGTATAGAAATGAAAGAGAAGATTAAGAGGAAAAATCGAACCGGAAATAAAGGACCATGAACACACAAATGCCACAAAAAAGATGTGCAACCCTAATTAAAAAGAACCACCCGAACCCGGGAGAGAGGACCAGTCTATAAAATGTGCGAATTGACCCTGACGCCTAGGAATCCGCAAGATACGAAACAATTTGTGATATTAATGCGGTATTGTTGCTGCCGGATATGTGTTTGGACAAGAGCAAAGGTGGGAGGAGCAAAATGACAAGAGCATCGGCGAAAAAGGAAACAAGGCAGCTGCATTGTGATTTGAATATAGTCGATGTCGACAGAGATGCGTCGGATGAGGAAAGAAGTGCCGGAATTTATCTGTACGTATTTTCCGCGGCAAACATGTCCGCTGCAGTGGCATTTGCCCATTCGGCTTCGTCGTACGGCGGTGTTGGCCACTGTCGGTGGCTTTCGACCCCAGGTTTATTCATTCCCAACGGTTTTGACGGTGTTATATCTGAGAGAAATGCTGGTCCATCTCGTCGCGCAGTGGGCGATGGCGTTGGATACGGATTGTGACGGTTGGCGTCAGTGGAAAGGCTTGGCTGGTTGTTGAGATTTTGGAAGAGGGTATCACGGGTAGCTTCATCCATGGTAATCGAACCTTGTCCCAGGCGTCGCGCAGCTGAGTTGGTCGAGTGAAGAACCTCGTGCAAGAGTTCATCTTCCTCTTCAGGGGTCTCGTACCGCGGAACCGACCGAGTGGATCCCTGCATAACTCGCCGAGTTCGGCTCGAGAGAGATGTTCCATTTGCAATGGTTCCATTTTCTGTTACGCGAACTGCTTGAGCATGCGGTACCGACTGGCGTTTTGGGGTATTGCCTGTGGTTCCACAAGTGTGGATAGGAACATTCGGAGGTGAAGACATGTCCATGCTGTATCGTACATTCTGGAGAGCTGTGTCTAGATCCAATAAATCCTGACCGGACTTTCCTTCAGCAATATTCACAGGATCAAGAGCCATGGAGGAACGATTCGACCATGGGACACAGCCATTGCTAGCTTCGACATCATCACTGGGAGCCGGTACTTGGTTTCGTCCTGATAGCCTTCGGGCGCGTTTTCTGAGATGGGAGAAGAAGCTCTCTTTCAATGCACTGGGGGATGTTACGTTGGTACCTCCATTGAGCGCTCTCTCAGCTTCTTGGCGATGAATATCTGCATAATGGTTGCCATTCGAGTTAACAGATAATTGGCGGCCAATCTTTTTGGATGCAGTCTTGCTATTGGCTTTTGACGGCGAGTTGTCACCAGTAATAGAAGAGTTGGCCTGAGCATGCACGGCATTTGACAGTGGGGACACAGGTCGAATTGACGGCAGAATGGGCATCGGTGCTCCATGTGTCCATGTGGCACGTTTGCTAGTTGAAGCCTTGGCCTTTGCCGGGGAATCAGCACCACCATTATAAGGCGTCTGCTTCGAACTGTCGATTTGCTCCAAAGTGGGGGCGGGACTTTCGGATCTTCCGATGAGCGAGCGTCGGAACCATGAAGATTTAGAGGACAGTCCAGGAGAATCTCCTTGGGCCTTGAAGCTCTTGTCAGATTGTTTGCGGCCAATAAGTCGGGCAGTAGATGATTTCGGACGTAATGGGTCAACGGCATCAGCAAAATATTCGTGGTTTATTGCCTGCGTCGATGTTGGCCTGTTCTTTGGATCCCACATCAGACACCAGGTGACAAAATGACTGAGAGAAGCTGGCCACTGGGGTGGTTGCAAGATGCTTTCCAGAGAATGCGGTGCCATCTAGATCTGTGAGCCAATGTTTCCAAGATTCAGTCTAGATTACAACTTACCTTGGGAAACGAGAAACCCAATTTCTGAGCCAAGCGAATACCGTCTTTCCACTCACCACCACCAACCTTGGCTCCTGATTTGTTATACCAGTTTCCTGGACTGCCCATGATCTCGCAAACACGCCAAACCTGGTCAACTTCATTCCCACCCGGAAATAGAGGTTTCAAGGTAGCAATCTCCACGGCCATCGCACCAATAGCCCACATGTCAACGGGCGCGGAGTATTCCCCAGCGCGTAACAGAACTTCAGGGGCCCGATACCATCTCGTGGAGACGTATGTAGTATATGGGACCTTCGAGTGCGTTTCTCTTGCCAATCCAAAGTCCGCAATCTTAACAGTATAGTTTGGAGGTGTGGAGGGAGGTGTTGCATAGCGGCCCAGAACCGATTCGAAAGGCGCTGATCCGGAAACGAGGATGTTTTCCGGCTTGATATCACGGTGGAAGAAGTTGTGTGCGTGAATATGATCGAGACCAGACAAAATCTGGAACAAAATACTTTTCACACTTTTTCCGTCCAGGCACTTGTGATCCCGAGCTTTCATTAACTGATAAAGATTACCGTCCATGTATTCCATGCATATATGTAACTTTTTACTGAGCGGGTCGCGGAAGATGTCGAGGGCAGGAACTAGGTGAGGATGATGGGGAAGTGTCCGAAGGAAGATTACCTCACGAAGTTCGAGGCAGGAGGAAAACGACTCGAATGTTTTCTTCATCGTCTTGATCGCAACCTGTAGAATGCGCGAGAAATGGTTAACGGTCCCGCCGTACCACGAATTGATTATTTCGCATCAATCGAGCTCCACTCACCATTGTACCTCGCTTCGCCACGTGTGAACCCGCGGTTCGCACTCGGGCGACCACCACGCTTCCAAAGCTTCCATCTCCGATCTGTCTTATAACCTCAAACCTATCCTCCAGCGGAGCCGTATTAGGAGTCCGATACGATTGATCGTAGCTGACTGTCATTTTGGATGTTTTCTGCCCGCAGATAACAGATATATACCGGTACAAACGAGGGTCGACAAAAAGAATGCACTGTGAGGAACATATCAGACGTAAATATACAACTCAATTGGCGCTGTATGGAAGAGAGAGACAGAGAGAAGGGGATGAGGGAGGGATTGGACTGGATAGGACAATACCTCAACAACAGGCAGTAAAGGGGGGAGATACGCCGTCCAAATGCGCGACGCACGAGCGAGATGAGAATACCACGGATGTAAGGAGCACTATATGAGCATCTTCGAGTCGGAGGGTTTCTGAGGTTCTAGGGCTGGGACGGAAGCAATTCCAATCCCAATGCTAAGAAAGAAGCTTTCAAAGAAGCAAGCATGGACGAGAGAGGGGACGAGGAGCGACACAGAGAAAGAGAGAGAGAGAGAGAGAGAGAGAGATAGAGAGAGCTAGCGAAGAGGGATTCCCGAGTTCCCAACCCAAAGAGCGTATAGAGTGAAAATGGACAGTGAAGGGGAAGAAAAGCAGAAGGAGAGGAGGAAGAAGTGAGGAACGAGAGTGCTCAGCAGCGTCAGGAGGTTGGAGCATGAAAGGGAGCGGAAGAAACAAAAAGGACGGTGGGGAGTGGGCAGGCTGGAAGGGGAAATGGTCAGCACGCTACGGTCGACAGAGTGGGTTGGCGAGAGGAGGAGGAAAGGAGCGAGAGCCAGAATAACGGGAGCGCGGATCCGGTGCGTGGGAGCCACTAAGATTGAAAGGAGATGACTGTCTTCTTGGCTTCTTCCCCCCTGGAAACGTGACAGGACAGGGAATGGAGCTTCTTGTCAAGGTTCAGAACTGGCTTTTTTTCCTTTTCTTTTTTTTTTTGTTTTTCCTTTTTTCCCAGCGGACCGCGTCGTGGAGATCAGAGTGGCTTCGAGGGTTCGGTGATAAACAAAGCGTGCTGGGGCCCTGCTCACTGGATGACGGGGAACCGTTTTCATGTTGGCTCACCCGCCGTCTTCTCCTCGCCCATCTTTCCAGCTAAACAAACAGATCCCCGTCCCGCTGCGATCAGGCACATAAACACGCGCCTTTCATCTTACTACTCTCCCCCTCTGAACTCACTACTCACACGACAGCGTCGCATCCTGCCCTCCAGCATGGACTGCTAATTTACCCACGTATCCGACGAAATCATCCCCTCCGTTTCGGTATTACATCTGGCGTTTATTCCACCGCTGCCCTCTGGTAAAATGTACTCCGTATGTAATGTATATAATGTATGTTTGTACGGTATGTATGGACGGCGTACAGTACATCGTTACTAAATCGTTACAACCCCAGTACGTCTTTTCCGCCCCCCCTCTCATGTGAGTCGAGGCGATGGTGGGACATCTCCACCAGCCGATATCTTTTCTGGTACGATACGCGGCTGTACCGTCCTAGCGTCCCGGTCGCGGAGGAGCCCTTAATTTTACCGGTAAGCAGGACGGATGGTACCCACTCAGATCCTGAGCCCACGTTGAATTGCAAGCCGCTATGCCATAAATAGCGGAGGCAGCCGTCAACTCCACGAGCGATTTACAAAGCCCGAGCATGGGAATGGCCTGTTGATTATTGTAAGATTGGACGGAGCGGCCTCGGGACCCTTCGGACGGTACGTTGGTACGGGATCGATGTATGTATGGTATGTACGGAGTACGGAGTACCGTTAGAGCAAACGATAACATTGGCACTTTTCCCGAGGCTGGTCGTCCCCGGTACCTGTGGAAACCCGCTATACGGCCTTCTCTTCATCTCACCGGGCTGGCATGCAGTTCCTCTTATTCCGATGCTTTTTTTTTTCTTTTCTTCTTTTCTGTTCTCCCTCGCCCTGCCCCGCGTGCGTTGTTCCGCGAAGACAATTGATCCTCAGAATCTCCACACTTTGCTTTTTCTTTGTGCGCCTGAAAATGAGAGGGGAAGTCAGGCACGGGTGCATTAAAAAAGCCCCAAGTTTGCTGCATCACAGCAGACGCGTCAATAATTGGCTGGCTCGATCTGGCTCGAATGTGACCGGTTCTGCTGCCAAATATTATGACCCAATCGATAATCGGTTAAACTTGCTGGTTGATTCGCGGATGGACCAACGGTTGATCATCCTCGCAGAGAACATACACGAGCGTAACTTAGCTTTCCGTACTCCGTACCGCGTATGGTTCCAAGTCAAAGTGTCAATACGGGACGCCGCTCGGGGCCAGCGGGAAGCTAATGAGGAAACACATTGTTTCTCGAGCAGGGAAAAAGAAAAAAAAAAGAAAAAAAAGGTTGCGCCAGGGCTTGTCTGCTCTCGATATCAAAGGCTCGCAAATCTCTCACCATGATGCCTGTCGCTTTCCAGGCTGCTGTGGAGTTGCCCAGGGAATCATATGAATATGAAACCGCAGAGATCTGTCTCACCATGATCCTTCTTCTCTCAGGGGAGACCGAAGAGGCGAAAAAGGTTCGCTTCTCGCTCGTCTCTCCAAATATTGGTCACGTTCCAAACTCCATCTTGGTTCCCACAACGACTGGCGGACGCCAGGCTTTCGAAATAGCTTCGAAACATCCGGCGGTGGCGCCCTTTTGGCTGTTCTAGCAAATCTGACCCATCTTGCTCCAATCTCCTGGGACAGCTGATTCTCCTTGTTTTAGCTCCCCGTCAGCAACCTGAGGCGACATGTTAGTCTGGCGCTAAGCCGGCTAAGGACCGGACCCTGGCGTTGGTGTTCCCTGTTCCGGTTCGGCTGCCAACTCTATCAGCTCCCACTTCTCGATGCCAAGTGTCTCTGGAGGCAAGCAGGAAGGAAACATCTCAATGGATTCAGACGTCACCTCTCGTGATTATCAATTGGACACCGCCTGGGCAAGAACCAAGACAAAACCACTCGAAATATGGAGATCTTCGGGTGTTCGAGACTCAAAGCCTTCCTCCCGGTTGCGACCGGCTGCAGTCTGTGACACTGCGAAGGAACTCCTCTCCGGGCGGCCTACCCCCCCGGGGTGGTGCTGTGAGCTTCACCTGGTCAACGACCAAGTTTTGTAGCACAGTGACCAGCAAAACCAGTTTCACTCTGCATGAATATCCTTCATCTATTTCTTTGTTTCTGTCTATCTCTGTATCTTGTTTGCTGGTAGTTACTCCGTACTCCGTCCCAATATGACTAATTTGCTTTTCGAGTCTTTGTTTTTCCCGCAAGTGGAACGACTAGATCCAAAAGCGGACAAAGATCTCAATGGCACATTCAGCTTCTATTTGCGTCCTGCAGCTGAAGCGGCAAGAAGCTTCGCGCACTGGTATCCGGGGAAAGCTTAAGTGGTACGGAGGATTGCTCCGTAATCGCGGAGGAAACGGTGGCGCAATTTCTTTGAACGGTGGACCGTGCAATGGCCGGGTTGGAGGAAGCGGGAGGCCGTCCTCTGGAGGGGAAAGAGGAAGCCATGTACTCCGTACCAGAAGATTCTGTAGATCGATGTTCGTCTCAAACTTTTGCAACAAGCAAGTGACAAGAATCCAGAAAGTCTGCACCCCGAAGCTGCGGGACATGCGCATACCGACATGGTCGAAATAAAGCTGTCCTTGGAAAGAAGATTACTTTTGGTAGGCTGTGTCACTGCAGAAGCATTAGGACCTGACATACATAGTGTATGCAGCTATCCATCAGACGCGCCGGAATTCTGGAATTTTGGGTTCTCTGACAGTATCTCTTCACTGTCAAGGTGGAATGATGCTGGTATACATGAATGTTCATCGAAGAGAATCACAGGGTGCAACATGCGCAGGAAACCTGTCCAGTTGGTAAGCTCTTTATCGGCACTTGCCGAGGAGATCTCAGATTAGCTTACAGGGTATTACCTTATAAGCATCTCACAAACGGCATCTCTTCTTCTTCTTCTTCTTCTTCTTCTTCTTCTTCTTCTTCTTCTTCTTCTTCTTCTTCTTCTTCTTCTTCTTCTTACCTTCTCATCAGCCTTCAGGTCACACCAACTCACACTTGATGCCCCTCAATTCCAACCATGCCGCCTTACTCGGGCTTCGATTTTGAGGCTCAAAAAAGAGCGTAGGTTCCTCTCTCACTAGATGCAAGAACAGGAAGCTGATCACCATGCAGACTCGAGAGGACTCATCTCCCTGACAAGTGAGTGCCACAGAAAATACATCCAGCATGGCGACACGCGTTGTTATGGGAGCCGCGGTCACTGACCCTGTTCAAGGATCAAGTGTAAAATCTGCAAGAAGATCCGCAGCGCAAACGCATTCTCAAAACGGCAGCTGGAAGAACTTCGCAAGGCTATTCTGAAGAATGGAGCTACAGGTCTCAATGGGCCGGGCTACGCTGGATGTCGTTCTTGCATCAGTCACCAAACTGTTGAACTCACCTGCTGCGTATGCGACAAGACAAAGCCTTTGGAATACTTTAGCAAGAACCAACGAAAGGATCCTGATAATGCGGTAAGCCTCCTGAGCGCGTGTTGGCAGTATTGGCCTTTTCAAAGTTGGAGATGATCTGATCAAGTGCAACCTCATCCAGAGGTGCACCAACTGTGTCCAGGGCTATTTAGATATCGAGCCGGTGATGGAAGATTCCAAGCTCCTTACTGATGACGAGAGTGCCACTGATACAAACACCTACGTAGTAGGTTCGTCCGTCTAGAGTTAGTTCTCCAATACTAATGCTGAATCTTAATAGAGTCAGAGCGAGGCCTACACTGCCAACTCTTCTCGCGCCCTTTCTGTCACGGACGATGACAATCTGCTATGTGGTGAGAGCTACGATGTCATGTCGGACCATACGGCTGAGCTCTCTTATCATGCTCTTTCCCAGCTCTCAATCAAAGGAAAAGGAAAAGAGGAGAACACATCGCTGGGTGGAGGAGTCTGGTTGGAGCAAGGAAAACGTTTCCCTGAAGAAGGGGCTGCGGTCAAACCCAGACAAGGTATCCCGTTCACTGCATATGACCCTCAGGGAAACGCGCATCTCCGTATTACTGCGCCACCTTCGCAAATGGGGAGCTCGACTGCCGACAGTTCTCAAGATACCTGGAGGCACTCTCAATCTGTCCAGGTGCGCCAAGCGAGTCACTCACCAGCGATGGTAGTTCCCAAAAGAAACTCAAATTTCGTTAAGATCTTAGTAAGTCTCCATTGACACTTTATCCGTTGGCATCATATAACTGATCGCTTGCAGGGAGGTCGGGTTCCTAAAGAACAGGCACCGAAGATGTATTTGCCAGAGCCAACTGGACGCACTGTTGGCTCTGATGGTTCCTCCTCCGATGACGATGATGATGATATCCAGGATTGGATTTAAAAGTGCTGTATCAACCAGATATTGTGACCTCGTAAAGCTTTGAGCAAATCCAATCCAGAAACATGGGTCAATAAAATGGCCATAATACTAGGAAATATGAACGTTATTCCAACTCTCCTAGCTCACAAATTAATTTACCAAAGCAGATATATAGACAAGTATCTGGACGACGTGGGTTTTTTTTGGCGCTCTCTTTATGCCGCAAAACATGAATGGCATGACTGCAACAAGGACCGTTCTCTCCCTGTTCGAGCGAACTTCAGACAAGCCGTACGTACACCTTCTTCTCGAGCGGGGTCATCCTGACTGGGTTTCTCGTTCAGCTTTTCTTTTTAAATATCGAACTGATCAAAAATTTTAGTAACATCCCTGATATGCTTGAAAAATAATATTTAACACTCCGTAAATGCCATCAAATCTCTAGAGTTATATCACCCCGTGTTATAAACGACCGTTTTTGTTTTCCTTTTTGCGCTCTACAGAGCCACAGAGACAAGCCTATAGTGCATTTTGGCGACGAAATAGTAACAGCCTGACAGGCTGCTACCTACGGAGTAGAGAATCCTACAATACCCACCCCATGTTGCTGTCTGCAGTGAATATTTTTAGTGCATATGTTCCTAGATGATTGATTCCCCCTTATCAATATTTTCCCCAACTACCAACAATAATCAACGCTACCCCCTTCACTTGATCTGAACTGATCGGAATTGAAACCTGACTGGTATGTGAAGGATGCCAACACAACTTTAAGAATCATAACTTACCATTACAGGACAATGTCACTCATCACTGATGGTGTCCTTATGGCGCTTTGGGAGAGAGCCCAGGAGCGATCTTCAGATGAACAGGCCTCGGCCAAAGTTTGGACTCATTTGTGGAACACACACTTCTTTTTGGAGGAGAAAGATAGGGTGATTTTCCAGGTGGCTCCTCCGGAGGTATGTCGCCGTCGACTGGTGGACATTATAGTAGAATTACTGGGTGAAGGTACTAGATCGGTGGTTCTCGCCTTCCACGAAGCAGAGATATTGAATGCAGGGCCTCAGGATCTCGAAGAAGCTGAGATTGAAGCGTCCAACACTTGTATGAAGTACCTTGGAAAGCACCCTGAACTGAAGTTTGTGTACGCGTTTACGTCGTTCGGCACAAAAAGTAGAGCATGGCTATGCGAACGAACGGAGACTTACTTGACGCTATTTGGCTTAGGCGACCCGGCTGATCGTGGCCAGTACATTGAGATACACTCCTCAGAGGGTTACCTGATTAAACAGGCAGTCCAAGCGATGAGAATCGTCCCGTCATCTATATAGATAGGATAGTGGAAGTACGGTGGTGTTGGTTTCACGGTCTTATGTATCTTGAAATGGCCTTTGATTGTGTGTATGAATCAACTCAGCGGCAGCAAGAGATGGGAGAGAATGAACCTTTACAATGTAATCGCAGGTTTCACTTACTCCACTTCTAAACATTACATGAAGTGAACAATTTCTGCAAGTTATACGATAGTCCACAAACTCCTAACCCTAATTGATGTGTGGATGTATATCATGCACCTTCCACCATCCAGTTAGCCTAATACTCTCCAATCCAAATGTTTTATTTGCTGCAGACTTCGAACTAAGACCTCCCCCTTGTGAAGAAGGCAATATGCTAGCTAGACGCGCAAGCTGCAGGGCGGAAACGCATTCTCGCATTTGGCAAGTCGAGGATGCCTGCTCCCATAGTTTGAATCTCCCCGGGAAATCTGCTTTCCAAGGGCGTCATAAAACTAACTCATAAAATCTCCCATGTCCTTTGTTTTGCCTGCTGCAAAACAAGCTCAAGGCTTCAGTTTGCCTCAAACTTTGGTGCAACAAACTTTCGAGCACCAACATACATTATCCTCATTCATCCCTCTTGCCTGCACAGATGACTTTCGCTGTCCACTTTGAAGAGGAACCATGTGGATATCTTCTCGACATTCTCCAGCACTTTAAGCTTGTCCTGCAGTGCTGCTGCATTGATAACAACAGGGCTCTTCCTGCGTGTCACAAGTTCGGCATCGCCTCCGCTACTACCTGGCCGCGATTCGATCCAAGGTGCGACAACGGGGCTCAGGATAATACTTTGACCCTGAGGCTTCCCGTTTATCACACTCCAAGAAAGGAGCGATTCTGTATCAAGGGAGAGAAAGACCGCATGGTTAATAATATACTTTAAAGCTCCAACGTCGGAAATGCCGGACCGGACTGGACATTGGGAGGATCTCAGACACAGCCCTGTCGCATCCCCAGATGCATGTTAGGTAGAGAGGATCCGACGTGTGACAATTAATCGAGATGAAAATCTTGGCTTGCATGCGACTACTGGCTTTTTTTGCCGGGAGAAGGTTGAGCTGAGGGCCAGGCGAAGATTCGGACGGCGAAGCACACGCTATGGATCAAAAGATAGCCTGTTGTTGATGAGTATTCCTGGACAAAGCCACAGCAGGAGTCCTTCCAGCTATTTTGGGTGTAATTGAAGGGGGTCCTCTCAGGAGCTATGGGCGTTGCATTCCCTCCACAGCCGGGCAACGCGATGTAATCAGCCAAGAAGGCCGAGAGTCGCATGATCGTGCCCGACCCCACTTGGCAGAGCCGTCCTGCTGGACATGCTGTCTTCCTCCCTGGCGAGTCTCAATTCCATCTTCATCGAAAGCTCATCACTTCCATCGGTTATCCATTGGTTTTCGAATTGAAGATTGCTGAGATTCCAACGTCCCGCTCAGCTCACAGGTTGACCCCCACTGAGACAGGCAAGATCAGATCACCGCTCAATCATGGCCTACGAGGGCTATGGTAGCTCTCAGCCCTACGAGCAGGGTGCCTTTAATGGGTCCAATTCATACGCCAACTCACAACAATTTCACAATCATATTTTGCAAGCGTCGTACCATGGCAACTATGAACCCACGTCAGATGGAACCCGGGTGCCAATACCGCCCCAGCATCCTCCTCCGAACTCACAGTCTCCTATTCCTCCACCGCCCATCACAGCTCCGCCAGCCACCGGAATCCCAGAGCCATTTCCGGATCCATCGCGATTTTATCAGAGCAATAGCCAACCTACCACAGAGGGTACCGGCCCCGCATTCCAGCCGAAACTCGACATCTCGCCCGAGATTATTGCCCAGATCACTTCCAGCGTCATTCAACAACTCAAAGGCTTTAATTTTGGAGCTAATATCCCGCGTCCACCGCCGAACCAAACTGCTCAGAACCCTGATATAACGTCGTTCACTCCATCTGTATCCGAAATTTCCCATTCATCTCCAAATACCACCACTAAAGTCTACACTCCACCCTCCCCGTTCAGACAGGCACAAGATGGATCTGGCCAGTCTCCCCAATTTTCAAACCTACAGTTTACACAGAATATTCACGGCTTATCGCAAGGTCCTGTGGACCAGGACCGAATTTCACGAGTTTTCTTTGACGGGCATGAGCACCGGCCTAGGTCTTCTCGCCTTACCACGCAGGACGAAACGCCAGCCGAACGGATATGGGGACAGCTTTTTGATAAGGAGGGATTACCAACTCCAAGGCTGGGCCAGTTCCTGCGCGGAATTGCCGCTCACCTGGTAAATACCACGCATCGAAACGACAACCCCTCGATATATATGCTGACAATATGCGTAGATAGAAGTTTTTCCACCTGAAAATACTCTAGTTGTTACCCCAGACAAGATGCAGAAATATTACGAAGATACCAAATCACTGGCTGATCCGTATCCATGGAAAGGTACGGATGAAACCTTTTTTTTTTTTTTTCCCTTAAATTCGCGGCCGTAAAGCTAACCTGGGCCTTTAGATATATTTGATGATGGGACGTCTTCAATTTCGCGTCTTTATCGAGAGGTCCAAGCGGAGCATCATTTAATCCAGGATAGGTTAGATCAAAGGCCTGATATACCGGGCCTTACGCCTCGTGGGTTTGAGCGCTGGATGAGACTCATGATCGTCGCCCACCCCGAACAAGAATACCAGCGACTTCAGAGAACCGTTCTGGAGATGCCCATTAACAACCCAGATGATCCGAAGGAGCGGTTCCCAAAGGAGCTTCCTCGGCGTCTATTTCCCAAGTCTCCCGACCATAATGTGAAAGAGCACCTGGAACGTTCAATCCTGACTCACTGCCATGTGGATGTCTCAAAGCCGGTGAGCAGAGATCAATCGCAGCCCAACACCCAGCGGCACCGTGTTACACCTTCAGTTGGCACTCCACCGCCAAGATCAGACCCAAGGTTGAGTTCTCCATTCGAAGAGGAAGACGAAGAGGATGAAGAGGATGATGATGAACCACCCGCGCCGCCGCCACCGGCACCACCAGCAGTAGCCCGCCCTATTGAGCGCAAAAGGAAGCCGTATTCAGTACAGCCCGGTGCGGGAAGGATATATGAGGATAAGCTGAAGCGAAACCTGAACAGCCCTGTGGAGCAAGCTAAATACCGTGAGTTTGGTAGTCGCCGCGGACGTCGTAGTCCCGCTACTGGGCGCAAACGTGAGTCGAAGGATTATCGCGACACCGACTTCGTGAAGACTCCCATTTCAGCTCGATTCCGCGACGAGAGTGACTTACGAGCCATGGGCCAGCCGAGAGGAAGAAGCAGAAAGGGTGAACGAACACATGGTCATTTGCACGATCGCGAGTTTGATAGAGAAGGCCAAAGCGACAATCCTTCTCGTGGAAGCTGGGATACGGACGAAGAGGACTATTATCGGGCTTCCAGTGCGCTCAGTGGCAGGGGTGGGCGGAACACTCCACTCTACGATGATGACCACTGGGCTTTTCGTTAAGTAAGGCGATGGCCGGCATAAATGATACCGAGGGAAAAATGCAGGAAGCGGACCATAAAATGGAACAGTTACAAAGTGATTATCGGGTAACGGGTAAACAAAAGGAGGACGAATCAAAAAGAAAAGCTATCTGAGTTTCTCGAGTGTGTAGGACTGTCTGGCTGATCTGACGAAAATGTTTCACGATGTTATGATGAATTTATGACAAAAATGCCTCTGGAAGGTATGGGATCTGACGGGAATTGGACCGGTTAGGGGATGGGGCGGGGAGTTTGATAGAATATGGATGGACCAATGGGACTTGGAGTTCGTTGCAGTTTTAGGCGATTTTTGAATGTGACTACGGAGTACATGATTAATATGAAGAATGGCATAGATGCATAGATTATTTGCGTCTTTGCAGCTCCAGTACATGTCCATCATCGAATTCACTAGCAACGGTCTGAAACAGTTGCCATGGATGCTACGGAGTAGATATATAACTATCATCATCTTGCCCTTCCATCCATAAAGACCTGATTATCCTCTCGACACGTTTCAGCATACTTACGTCTCAACCAATCGTCCCTCGCATACATATTAGCGATCTTCGCCCTATCCCTCTCCTCTTCCAATGGTTTACTCTGTCTCTTATCTTCCTTCGCTTGTTTCGCTTTCTTCCTCTTTCGTTTCATCTCTTCCCTTGCCTGCTTGTCTTTCTTCTTCTTTCGTCTCATCTCTTCCTCGCGCACATGCTCTGCCCGCAGGTCCCCCATCTCCTCGGCCGACAGGACCCACGGAACTGACAAGACCTGGACGAAATACCTCGTTTTCTCTTCCCAGAACCGCACTTCAGCGTTGGTATCATCAAGAAGGGTGTAGCGCTCGAGATGTAGCTGGAGCATGCCGCGGAAGCGGGTGATTGTGCCCTTGAATTTTGCGACGGCGCCAGGTTGGAGCGGGGAGATGTCAATGGGTGAGCGGGAGTTTGATGCTATGTGGGTGATTCCTGGGTCTGTCTCCGCGATGTTCTGGAGTGTTGGTAGGGACGATCCGGTTCTGTTGGTGACTGTAGATGCGGGAGCAGAAACAGATGACAATGATGATGTTGACGGCGGTGCTTTGGAGCAGACCACTTCGATGGTGTAACCTGTGCTATCGTCGAGGACGAGGATGGTTCGGTGGTCGTGATCATCGCGCGAAACGATGACGCCTGCGAGGCAGATGTATTGAACGGGAAGGTTGTTGTAGAAGTAGATTCCCTGTCCTACGCTTCAGATGAGAAAGAGTTAGATGGGAAATCTTGACAACAAAATATATGGGTGACCCCATCGCGGGTTAAAAACAAGTCTCAGGAAATAATAGTGGGATTCAACAGAGAGTTAAGGAGATTTGAGGAAGTTGTGATATCTTACCCTCAAACCCTCTTGGTTGCGTTAATCGGCGGACATCTGCGACGCCGAGCTTCACCCAGGTGAAAAAGGTGGGAGCTGCTCTGTGGCAGTATTCCGGGTAGTAGATGACATTGCGAGGGACATATCCGGCTGCCATGTGATCGCTATCATCATATCTCCTTCGCGAGCATCACGTCGTGGACGACAATGTATGTACGCTCTCGCGATGCCCGTCCAAGCTGCGCTGCTGATGCCTGATGCCAGGCCGGTTGTGGCCCCCTGGCAGAAGTCACGTGCTTTATAGCTGAGCTACCTGACGCAGGCTCAACGCAACTTCCAGTTTCATGCAATGTGGGCGCGTTGCAACATGAAGTGCGACAGCTAAAAGCAAGGAGCATTGCTGGGTGTCAAGGACCTCTTTAGGATATGGAGAAGGCACAAGAAGCTCTACCACACCTCATGTCCATCCCACTGCCTGCTGAAAGTTGAAACGTTGTCTCACGAACTGCGATGCGCAGACATTGTTTTGAACTCAACCAAGGCTTGAAGTTGCTTTCGATCACTCTCGCCTGCAATGAGCCGGATAACTCGCCTAACTGTACCGTCGTCCAGCGCCGCAAGACGTCCAAGAATCCCCACCCTCGAATTGATCCCTAGCCATATGTGAACCCGAAGTACGCCTTCGGCACCTCATACCACTTAAGGAACATTCCACAAGAGGTATTGCCAAACAGTTGCTGAGGCATAGTGGAATATGAACCTTGCCCAATTTCTTTTTTTCCCCTCTTTTCTTACAAAATTGTGGATCACTTGTGTTCCTGAAGAGGATTGGGCTATGAAAGGGGCTGCTTTGCAGCTTGCTGCATCCATAGCTCCCCCCATTCACCACCAGATGTCACCAGAATTAACACAAGACATATATGTTGTACACAGATATATGTCCAACTATGGATTTTACAGCAGCGTAGCCTGACACCAGCTAGGACATCTAGGCTCTCTAAGCCAATTGCTGTGTTGAAGCTGGCCAGATAATGAAGGCAGTTCGCAGCCTTTACAACCCAGGAGCTATTGGTTGTGTGAATGCTGTTTAATATGGAATGCCTCCTGATGCAGGGCACCTCCACGGTTTCAAGTCCTATCCCTACCCTATATATCAGAGGGCATTGAGACGGACAAGGAGCAAACAGGCAAGTCTACAACCTCCAACTCCACATGTTTGATAAAGCCTTAATAGTAGCAATTACCCGGAAATCATCTTCAGGGAGAAGCTTTTGCGGATATTTCTTATTTCCTTTCTGTAACTGGGAATGTGCCATGACATCCCTCTTTCATGTGAGTAAGCTCCTACACTTTGTATGTGGGGGCGGGCAAACGGCATCATAGTTCATAGTAATGAATCGTAGCTTTGAAATCGTAGCTCGTAAACCTGTACGGGTTAGATTGGCCCGAAAGGAATGCAAGCCGTTCCCTTAGGAAGTCAATTCTCTCTATCATTCTATCGCTCAAGATGCTCTGGATAAAAACCATTGCCAATTCACAGTCTGAAGCTAGTATAGCAGTCGACAGAGGAAGAATGTGGCGGGATATCTCTTGAAATTGAATGCTATCTATGCTGCCTCCAGGATTTAAAAGCTATTTAGCATTTTTGTTTTCTTTTGTCTTTTGAGGTTTTGGTTTTGGGTCCGGGTTGCCTTTCCATTCCAGTTTGCGGGGCGTCATATATTGCTTAAGAACCTCATCCGTGACCTGTTTTCTCCGCTCCTGGAAGTCCTTGACATATTCTTGTAGTAATGTGATAGCCATCTTCTTCAGCTCTCCCGTAAGTAATTCGCCTTTCCTGTAGCTTTCCTCTATTTGCTTCAATTTTTCGTCGTCTTCTTCAAAATATGAAAGATCTACAAATTGTCGTTAAGACGTATAGCAAGCTATTCGGGGAGGCAAAGGGCCTTACATTGAAAGGACACATCCACATCCGGGTTTCCTCCTAACCGGCGGTGCTCTTCTATGGTGTCTCTTCCACCACTGAACGCGTGTTTATTGATTTTATTCTGAATGTAACGTCAGCGATGTGATCATAGGGAATCCCGCTAGCAGAGTTTACCTTGATTTGGTTGGGCGTATCTGTCATAAAAATTGCAGAACTGTAGAAGTGTAAGCTATGGATTGTCCGACAACAGTGGAAGTTTTTGGGATCGTACTTAGGGTCGCTGGCGCTCATTTTGCCGCCAGCACCTTGTAGTGCAGTAAGGAATTTCGAATGGATCAAAGCCGGCTTAGGAGATGGGTATCGCATGCGGTGAGCATTATCACGGACAAGGCGAAAATATGGGTCTTGATCAATGGCCATCGGAATTAAGCAGGGGATCTTCGCTATGGCTTTTGTCCGATCTGCTGGTGGATTATCTGACCAAATTTCTGGGTATGATGTCGCGAACGACGCTACACTGTCGTGGCGGTTTAGCCGGTGGATACTTACAAATGAGGAGAGTCGACTCTTACCATTGTACGGATGGAAACATTATCCGACCGATATTGGTGCTGCGAAGAGTTAGTACAGCGCAATGAAGAGAAAAAGGCACCTTTACTGGATGGGATGGGACCGCCGAGAAAAAATCGTGACCATCAGATCCTCAAAATCAGTTGATAAAGGAGCCTGCTCACCTCTCATTGAATCCAAACGCCCCCCGAACTTGATTGAACGTTATGAGCTTCGCAAATTCCCAAACGTTCATCAACATGTGGCCTTTGACGTAATCTAGATCACTGAAGATGAATGTTTTCTTCGGATCAAAGCCGCAGGCAATGATATCCTTTGCGTTCTGTAACCCGAACTTGTATGTGTCCTCAAACGTAAGGTTATCTTTAAAGAGTGCCTTCTCGTCGTCTTTGTCCCAGTTAATATTCAGAAACTGTGGCTTTCGTTCCGTGGAGCTTACCAGTAAGCATGATAACTGTACAAGGGGTCAGTGAAACATAGACAGCTTTCCAATAGCCTAAACATACCTAAGGGGACATCGAAGACGTCCTGCAACCACTTTGTAAAAGAGAAGGGAATCGTATGGCCTAGATGCAGAGCATCGCTGGATGGTCCTCTGCCGGTGTACATGAAGAAGGGCTCACCGGCCTCGTACTTGTCAAGGATCTTGTCGAAGTCTCGATGCGAGAAAAAGAGGCCGCGCCTTAGCCAACGGTGTGGCTTGTGGCCGGTAAGGCGCTCGAAGCGCTCGAGAAGGTCGTTGTCTATGAGTTTGGTTGCCCATTTTCTGTTCCCGTTAGTACATTGGCACTCCCACGGAACGCGCAACTCAGACCCACTGTGAAATAGCAACGTAGTCAAAGGCCAGGATGTTTCCCTGCTCATCGTGCGCTGCGTGAACGTCCCAAGGGTTGATCTCCTGCTCGGTGGAAGCAGATTTCTCTGCGTCGCGGATTGGCACCACAATTTCGGGCTTGGAGTCCGCCATACCTGTGAACTCTGCAGTGTGCTTCAGAGACTCAAAAACGAGGGACAATCGCCGAGAAGGAGCACCGGGGGAAGACGTAAAAGATTTTCGACTCGCATGAGGGGTCTTTTGTCCGCGCCCTGAAGCTTCGCGGGGTGACATTCGGACAGTTGACTCAGCGGAGGATCATAGTTATTCCGTCCGTAATATATATTTTCCGACACCGATTTTCAGGGGTAAATTGGGCCAGTTCGCTGCCCCTGAGAGTCTCGCAAGGCACTGGCCGGGTGACGAAGAGAGACAAAACACCATCATCGCCATGATAGGATTCCGGTGCTCTGTTGTCAACATCTTCTCGTTGCTTGCGTTTGCCAGACCAGTCCGTAACTATCGGGCCGGCCCATCTATGTTCCAGTGTCGGGTCCGGGATGCGCAGAAACCCGGCTACTTTTATGATTGCCTAAGTCGGAAATGCCAACTGATTATGGACGAAATATGCAGCCATGTGCTGTACCTCGCAGGCTGCGTTGTGTACGGAGTACGAAGATATACATGCATATACACATATTCATGTATGTATCAATACTCCGAAGCGCTGTGCTCCTATGGATCGCTGGCCGCGACTGTTCATTGTTTCGATCCGGACGCCACCACAGATAGGAAACACAGCGAAGAACCACCTGCGACAAAACTTAACAACAGCATCATTCCACTAGTTCACTGAAACAGGTGAATTAGGACTTGTTACCTCGCAGCTCTCTTCTTTGTGAATTGTTGGCAATGTGCTACCCAAAGATGCCATCAAGCAGCTCTGTCTAACCCTCTCTAAGGCCCCTCGTTATTATGCTCAAACATTGCGTTCATACATACAAGCTTGACCGTGTGCTTTCTTTCTTCCTGGCACTCTCCTGAGCTCTTCATTTTCTTTTATCGACATCTGTTGTGATCGCAGGCCCATCCTTGGTACCTGAGCCTCGTCACGGAGATCCAGATGGAGCCAGAGTCTAGAGATACCGCTGACAGTGGCACTGCTCCTAGTATTATTCCTGGTGATGGACAGCTGCAGCCTCAATGTCCTTATCTTAAGGGCTTCCAGCTGTACAACGTCATCACTGCGTTGTTATTGGCCATGCTTCTCACTGGCTTGGATGTCAACATCGTCGCAACAGTATGAAACCATTTTTGTTGGAATTTTTTTTTAATCATCATTCATGAGCTTGTCTACTAATCTCTCATGTATAGGCTGTGCCTACAATCTCAAATCAGTTCAATAGTTTTAAAGATGTTAACTGGTATGGTTCGGCTTTTCTCCTTGCAATGTAGGTCTATTCTGTTCCACACCAAGAGAAAGGATCTGGTATGACTCACCATGATGATGATAGATGTGCGATGCAGCCGCTCTCTGGAAAGATATACTCATTATTTATCTCAAAGGTACTAGAAATTTTTCTGTTCCATGAGTGTGCACTGTATCAGAGGCTGATATTCCTGCTCGTGCTAAACTTGAACCACCAACCACGCTTACCCTGGTGCTCTCCAGCCTGACAACAAGGCCATATAGCAGGTGAACACGCTCCAGCTACTGTTACAGGCCTTCTTTCCCCTTTAAGAGTGGTTAGGGTGCATTCTGTGGGAAAGTGTATAGTCATTGTTGTTAGGCTGGGGTGCACCAAGTTGAAAAGCATGTTGGTGAGTCAAGCTTGGCTCGAGGAAACTCTTGTAGCATGTTTTCATGGGATTCATGGCCCTCTTTGAACTGGGGACCCTCATATGTGCCCTCGCAAACTCGAGTAAGATGATAATCGCCGGAAGAGCAGTAACCGGCCTCGGTGGAGCTGGAATTTTTAATGGTGCCTTGGTCATCTCGACTACGTTAGCACCACCGAATATTCGCCCAATGCTTACCAGTATTGGAGTGTCAATGCTCCCTATCGGCGGCTTCCTTGGTCCAATAATTGGGGGCGCATTGACCGAGCATGCCAGCTGGCGCTGGTGTAAGTTGAACGGCTATTCCTATATATTGGACAATAGCGATGAGGCCAATCTAACTCCCTTCCCAGGCTTCTGGGCTTTTCTCCCTCCTGGTGCATTCGTCATGCTAGCCATACTGCTACTTCGGATCCCAGAGAGTGCACCCAAGCCCTTCGTAAGATCAACTCTAGCCAAACTTCCTCAGAAACTTGATCTTATTGGTTTCACTCTTTTCGCACCCCCCTGTATTATGTTTTTGATCGCCATAAGTTGGGGTGGGGTGACATACCCATGGGATTCAAGCAAAGTAATTGGCCTTCTCTGCGGTAGTGTTGTCATGTTGAGTTTGTTTACTGTCTGGTCTCTCTATCGCGGAGAAGAGGCTCTGATTCCCAAGAGCTTTATCCGCCAGAGGACCGTGCTCGTTGCCTCTTGCGTTTCTGGTCTTCAAGGAGGCGCCTCTATCATGGTGGGATACTTTCTTCCCTTGTGGTTTCAGGCCATAAAGGGAGCAACCCCAACCAACAGTGGCTTGATGATGCTACCAACAATGGCGAGTCAAATTGTTGGCTCTATGCTATCCGGGGGACTCAGTAAGTGGACCTTTCCCCCCCCCCCCCCCCCCCCTTCTGATGCGCCTCTCTCTCTGCACAGCTTCTCTAATTTGGTAGTCCGCAAGTTGCATTATCTACCTCCGTGGGCCATTTTGGGGAGTATATTTGCCGCAGTTGGCCCTGGCCTTATGGTTACTTTCAACTTCAATACACCCAGAGCACAGTGGATCGGGTACCAAGTGATTGGAGGCCTCGGACGTGGTATGGCGTTGAATATGGTCAGTTCTTGGAGAACACGATAACACCTTTTTTTTTTTTTTTTTTCTTATCAACTAACGGCGACGCAGCCATTTATAGCAGCTCAAGAACAATTACCCACAGCTATAATTAGCGTCGCCTCTTCTGTGATTATCCTATTCCAATATTTAGCTGGGTCTCTCTCTATATCAACCGCCCAGTCAATCATCCAGAACCGCCTACCCACAGCTCTGGAGAAATACGCACCAGACACCGATATTCGGGCCATCGTCCGTGCTGGAGCTACTGAGTTTATTAAAACCGTGCCACCCGACCAGCTCCTCCCTATTAAAATCGCTTATAATGAAGCATTGGTAAAAATATTTGTGAGTGAATCCCATCTATTTCAACCTTAACTTACAGTTATCCTAACTATTACAATAGTACATTCCTGCTGCCAGTGCCGCTGCTGCGATATTTGCTAGCATTGCATTTTCATGGAGAAAACTTGGAACTGAGGACGCGAAGGGATCCGAGAGTTCGCGGGCCTAGCCAAACGCTGAGCTTAATGAAGAAGTGAAGATATCGGCGGGGAAGTATTCTTATAGATATGTGGCGGTCTGTTGTACACACCTGCGATTGCGCTGCAGTTCAAACTGCTCAGCGAAGAATCAGATGCAAAAAGCAAAAGTGGGAAACAGGATTTAGTTTGGCCCATGCACCGAGACCGGTAGTCTTGATCGTTAAAACTGGAGAGCTAGTCTTCAGCAGATACCCGTGTGTCCAACAGGTTGGTTCAGAGGAGCTCGAACGATGATGTGACCAATCAAGGTCGCCCTACCATGTATGTGAAGCGGATGGCATAATTGTTAGTGAGAGGGGTCAACACTCTGAATCAAAGCCCTAAAAAAAAGGATAAAAATGCAGATGCACTACAGAAGAGAGGTTCAAGGCATTAAAGAATCATATTAGCTGGAATCTTAGTACTTTTCTTTTGCCCTGCTGGACAGATATGTGCTCCTCGACCAACATCCGTACCATTACTCTGCTTTAACATTGCTTCCCTTCAAATCTTTGTTTCCCCTAGTGAGTAGTATGCCAAAGGCCCACAGCTTCAGTTGGAGTTCTTATCCAGCATCGGAATACTCCTAGATTCGCAAATTGTCTCGACATTCTTTTCGTAGAGCGTTACCCAGAAGTATTCGTGATAGGGATAGTGTAGATTATTCTCATAAAGGGGTTAGGTTTAGACATAGACCTGAGGTCCCTTTGTAGGTCGTACATGTTTTACCAATTGCCACTCTTCGATATCCAGTCAAGCCCCGGGCAAGGGAAGTCTCAATCACTCTGACGTTAGGATCGGAAAAGGAGAACACGCAAGAAGCCTCTCCTTATCGTTCCAAATCCGGAGTAACAGCAAAGCTTCAAACAGTATCACGGATACCTAGGTAGCTGGTAGTGGGACTATATGTCGTCCGCTATGCCTTCGTTAAAAAACCTTTGCGCAGGAAACATGGCGAAAATCTCGAATATACTCTTTCGGCTAAATTCAGTGCGCAGATATATTCATATAAAATTAAAGGAAAAAAAAAAATGAACCTTTAAAGACCCATGGGCTGTTCTTTGATGCCCAGCTCCGCGTGAAAATCTGGAAAAGTATGTGTTGCGCCACGGTGCCTCGTCCGGCTACCGCTCATGATCCTACTGAGACTGGGAATTGGCGCCTATAGTCTTGGAGAAGCCGTCAGGAAAGGTTGAAGTTCGCAATCACACCCGATGGACGAGGATGTCCCTTATTATGAAAACAAACTGGGGCTCATTTATAATTTCAGATTCGTCACGTGACTAAACAGCTGAAACTCAAATCGAACTTCAAATCTTCATGCTCCTGCTTGCGGTCATGGATTAAAACATATTTCAGAGCAGCCAGTGCAGAACAAGATCTAATATAGGTATCAGCAGCAGTTGACAACATATGGGATCTCAAAATGATTGCACGAAAAAGAGTGAGAAGGATACAGTGCGGTTGCAAGCCAACATCTGGGTTTCACCACAAAATTTCATGAGCCTGAAGGGCTTTTCCGTTTCCTCACCCTTTGTTTATCGGCAGGTTCCCTGGAAAGATTGGCAGCTAAAAATCTTCACTATTCAATGGCTAGCCAATACCATTTGTTCAATTCGAGCGCAATGCAGCGATGGTCTTTTGGTTTTTGCCCTGTGTCGAGGGAGAGCCAAGAACAATATCAAAGCAAGATCGGACCCGCAGCTCATTGCAGCTCATCCTCTTCACTCATATTTTTTTTATTAATAAAGGCATCAGACTGCTCTTATTCTTGATGCTTGTTACAGTATTTACTTTCCCTTTTTTTTATCTTCCCTGTCTTACCCTACTTGACCTGCTCCGTCGATACTAGCGGCGTTGGTAACATCCCTGACTCCCATTTGAAAGACCTGTTGCATATCAGATCCTTGTATATACCGGCTGAAGAGCTGAAATCTTTTATTTAAAAGGTTGCACACTTCCGCTGATACTACAAGAAGCTGTAAAGATGGGTTTCGACGAAGGTTCCGCTTTCGCGGAAGGCCAAAGGGTGATGAAAGAAGCAAATAGCTCCAAAAATCATCATGTCGAGAAATTAAATGGAACTGGCAGTAACGGTGATTTGTACACCGTCAAGCTCATTCCGGACAGAGGCTTTGGCTGCGTTGCTACTTCAAGAATTCCTAAGGGCACGCGTATTCTCACCGAGGCCCCCCTTTTTACGGTACCCAAAGCTGCAGCGGATATACAGGCTGTGGAAGAAGCTCTTCTTAAGGAGTTGAAGAGTCTTTCCAAGGACCAGCAGCATTCTTTCTTTTCACTACACAACGCCCACAAAGGCAAGTGCAGCCCCGTGATCGGTATCACCAAGACAAATGCGATCCCTTTCGGCTCTGGGGGTGCAGATGGTGGTATCTTTCCGCGGGCAGCACGGATTAACCATTCGTGCAAGCAGAATGCTCAGAACACGTGGAATCATAACCTGTCTAAACTTACGATCCATGCGTTCAAGGACATTGAAGAAGGAGAAGAAATCACGATATCTTACGTCGACGGCGCAGAAACCTTCAACACGCGGCAGCTTTGTTTAGAAGAAGCATTCGGATTTGTATGCCAGTGCGAGCTTTGCTCTCTTTCCGCAGAAGAAAACAAGAAAAGAGATAATCGCCTGGAGGAAATGGCGCGGCTTGACTCCATGCTTGGCAACGGGAGACGCATCATGTCCAAGCCACTGGATTGTCTTCATGATGCACATACCATTCTCCGTATGCTTAATGAAGAAGGTATTGTAGGCTCAAGAATTTCAAGAGTCTACAACGACGCACTACAGATCTCTATTGCACACAGCGATCAAGCGAGAGCGAAAGTCTTTGCGCAACGAGCCCACGACGTTAGAGTTATACTGGAGGGAGAGGATAGCCCAGAGACCATGAGGTTAAAGAGATTGATAGATAGCCCTACAAGCCACGGATTATACGGCTCATCAAAAGAGTGGGCGCAACCTGCGACGGCAATTCCGCAAGGTCTGGACGAAGCAGATTTCGAAGACTGGCTCTGGAGGCAGAATCGTTGGCAGAAGGAACTTAGAGTTAATGGAAAGCTTCAAAACTAAGGGAATTAAAACGGCGATTTCGGGGAGTTTCGGAGAGTTTTGACCCTAGCATACGGGTTGGAGTACGGAGTATGGGCAATAGACCAAAATAGATGCGGCCTTTGTTTCCCGCTACGAAGAATCGAATCCCTTTTGTCCGTCGACGATCGATATGGTTCGCTGGTCGTGAATTTAGCTCAGTTTGCGTGTCTGCGCAAAATTCTTGCGTCCTCTTCAATCGCGGCCTGTCAGAATTGAGCCCGTTACCGTTGCCCCCAAAAAGAAAAGAAAAGAAAAGAAAAGAAAAAAAAAAAAGAAAAGGAAAAGGGGAACATCAGAGTCCACTTTTACCCTAAGGCTTCCGAGTTAGATTCTCAATTGGTGGCTCCTTTTCTCCGAGGATACATTATATTTGTCTTAACGGAGAAAGATGACCACGGAAATCAGCTAAAAGTCGTGGGATTGTAGCATAAATGTGGACGGGAATCCAGGACCTTTGTTACGCTCTTGCTATCTCTATGATCTTTTTTTATCGCAGGCAGTGGCCTAGCCCCCCGATTGACCGATTTCTGGCTATCAGCAAGCTCAGGGGATACGATGCAATAGAGATGGCTGAAAGTTAGAAACCTTATTGACAGAGTACGAGGCATAATAGAAAGGACAAAGAAAATCCAAGGAAAGTTTGGAATTAAGGCTGTTTTACGGTGTACCTGCTGCTAATCCAGAGCAATCCGGATATAAATTAGAATAAGAAGCCGAAAGGCGGTGAATTCAAAAATTCCAAGCTCCAAATCCCTTCATATTCGAAGAAGCCATGGGTATGTGGTGATCCTCTCTGTCATGAGGGATGGATAAAGGAAGCACGCCCGTATATGATACTCTGGATGAACCTATGATCCTGGGAGATCCTTTAGAAAGCGCAGTCCTTACTGCAGTTGGTGAAGTGTCGGATCATTTCTATTAAGGGCAGCGTTGTAGTAATGGGTTTTGTTTGCTAGAGTGCTCTCAGTATGCTTGCTTGGATCTTATATACTCAGGGTACAGCAAATACCTTTATTTGTCGTTTGACAGCCATCTTCCATGTCAGAGGGGCAGTATGTTTGTTTCGGAATATTAGTTGGCTACTTGAAATCCGTCCAGGGATGGTACTCGAAAAGAGATATAATACTTGGGTTTTCTACTTAGTGCAGAACTAGGTCTCCTCTTCCTGCTCTTCCTCCTTTTTGATGTAGTGGTATGATAACATTGCATGCTTTCTTGGCTAGCTATAATGGCTTCGAATTCGGGTGCGATGTGGAATATTATTCTCTTTCTTCAGGCACTGCCTGCTTATTCCGATTTCGTTGAGGCTTTAGACCCGGGCTCAACACTATTGTCACCAAGAGATTCTTCTTGCGATAACAAGGCATTTCCCGATCTTTATTGTCGTCCTCCATCGACTTGCTACTTCAATCAACAAGGCATACCTCAATGCTGTCCCGCGGGTCAAGATTGTGGTCAGTGGTGGGTTGCTCCTCCAACGCTAACGTCGACTCCGCTATCGCCGGCGGATCCGCAACCTTCGAGATCCGTCCTGGATTGCGACTCCGGTTACGGTTCTAATTGTAATTCGGCAAACTTTAATAATAACGTATTCCCTTCTCGAGGAGTCGTGACGCACCGTGGATATTCACCTGTGATACGGGCGTTGATACTGGCGTTGCTGTGCCTGGCGTTTTGATTTCGTCTTGGTCTTTCGAATTGGAAACCGGTTAAGCAATGGAAGAGGCGCGTTATCTTTAGATTGGCTGGAAAAGTTGTTCTCTTTGGCGAAATGTCAATTTGATCATATCTCCATCATTCTCTTCTTCGGGTTCCTTGGCATCTCTTTCTGTCTCTTTTGTTCTTCAATGGAGATGTCGTCCACATTCGTTTCACCCTCCCTTGGACCATGCCCCGCCTTAGCAACTTTCAGTATCTCATCTTCCATCCCTTCAACGAGCTCCCACCCTATTCCCGCCGCATCCAGCATCTTACAGCCTTGCGACTGACCCACGAACGTTCCTGGTTCCTTAACCCCAAAATAAACCCTATCAATGCCCGCCCGTCCATGATTCCTTGCCTCGACGATCCTCGCCGCACACGGTTTATTCCCTGATAGCCTCTTACCGCACGGCTCCATGGTGACGTACATGAGAATTTTCGCATTGGGATTATCTCCCCGCTCCTTCTGCAGCGGTATGCCTACATCTTCCTCGGGGACCCCATGATGAGAAGCGTATTTCGACAGACAACATTGTTCGGCATGTGTGTTTCCGCGGTGCTCAAGGGTGTATCCCGTCGAAAGAATCTTATCCTCAAAAGTGGTTTGCTGATCTGGGGTCGTGCCCAAGGTCGGCGGGAAATAGCGTCTGAGGAGAAGTATGGCGCCGACACGGAAATTGGTGGGTTTGGGGGGAGAATATGCTGCTAAGGCGAGGCATTGGGTCAGATAGTGGAGGTGGGTTGATAGCTCGGTAGTGTGATAGGGTTGAAGAGCGGCCATTTTTTGGTGGTAGACGAAGCCAAATAGGGCAACGTTATTCTAACTCGTTGAAGGGCTTCCCGTTACTTAGGCCAATAGAGCAATTCCTCCGTGTAGCGGGCGAAAATTGATCGGGTTGATGGGAAGTCCAAGTTGAGAGCCGCAAACTGAGAGGTGAAGATGATGTAACTCTCCTGGAGGGCAGTGGAATTCGGGGAGATGATATTCCGCTCCCGGCAGCTGTCAGGCTTTGGAAGGTGGACGTGATTGGCACCTTGGAAATTGACTGGATTATAGTAGGTCTACGGAGTAGTACTTTTGGCCAAGAGTATATTCTCATTTCACCTTGCTGTCTCCAAATGCTTTTCCATGCGCTGATACCTACATTCAAATTCCGCACATTCCCTGCAATGTATCTTTGAGGCTTTATCTTGAAGCTTGAGAAGCAAGCTAGTCCAAACATAGTATAGTTCCGGGGATTTATATTATCCGAAACTCAATTTCTGCCTATTCTAAAAAAAGGATAGTGCATACTCCACGTGCTTGTCGCGTGTTTTCCAATTAATTTGGTTTTCGCGACCGCGTTTTGTATATGTGATATTGCCGGCTGAACGGCCATTTGACACCAGACCACGGCAAGCAAGCCGCGAGCATTGCTGTACACAAAAGTAGGCGTTGTTCCGATCTCACCTGTCAATTTCAGGTTCTCCTTAGAATAAAGGACACCATGCCCACTGCAGATGATGACCTTGTCGCGGGGGAACCCCCATCCTCGATCAACCCGTATGAAGTCTTGGGAGTGGAAGAAAAAGCAACCGCAGACCAGATCAAATCTGCCTACAGAAAGCAAGCCCTGAGACACCATCCAGGTTGGTACCCTCCAGTTGTGTTGGAAACACTTTAAGATGCCTGGCGTTTTATAAAGATCGTATCCTTACCCGCTTTGTGCCGCGCAGACAAGGCTTCTCCCGAATCCAAAGATGAGGCCAATAAGAAGTTCCAGGAAATTGCTTTTGCATACGCTATCCTTTCCGATGAGCGACGGCGAAGACGTTATGACACGACCGGCAACACGTCCGAATCCCTGGACCTAGAAGATGATGACTTCGATTGGGTGGATTTCTACCGCGAACAGTTCTCTAGCATGGTTGACGGGAAGGCTATCGAGAAGATAAAAGCCGAATACCAGGGTTCCGAAGAGGAGGAGAGAGATCTACTCGAGGCTTATGAAACTTACGAGGGAGATTTAGATAAAGTGTATGAGGAGGTCATGCTGAGTAATGTATTGGATGACGATGAGCGATTTCGGAAGATTATCAAGAAGGCGATTCGGAAGGGAGAGGTTACTGATTGGCCGGCATTCTCGAAAGAAAGCGCGAAAAAGAGATCTCAGAGAGTCAAAGCGGCGGAGAAGGAAGCCAGGGAAGCCATGGAAATTGCGAAGGAATTAGGCGTTGAGGACAAGCTCTTCGGGAAGAAAAAGGGCAAGGGTGATGATGACGAAAACTCATTGATGGCATTGATCCAACAGCGCCAAAGAAGCAGAGCATCAAACTTTCTGGCAGATCTTGAGGCAAAATACGTGGCTCCATCGAAAAGTGGGAAGGGTAAGAAGAGAAGGACGGAGGAAGCTGAACCGCCGGAAGAAGCGTTTCAAAGGAACAGACCTCGGACGACGAAAAAGCAAAAGGCATATTAGTTCCGATGTCGTCAGTCGACAGGCTGCTTTTCGCCGGAGTTTGGTGTGCGTGTCACAATACCCCAAGTCTAATCATGTTGCCTCTTGTTTTTTCTTTCCTCCCTTCTTTCTTTTTTCCTTTTTTCTTTTTTTCTCTTTTTTTTTTTTTCTTTTTCTTTTTCTTTTTACTTTCTGTCTATCCCACGGTTTGATATGAATGGCGTATTGATCGGAATGCACAGGGTGAGATGCAGGAAACTCGCATATGTATCCAGGTTGGTTGGGCTGGAGTCTATGGGGAATTATTAGCTACAATTGACGAGAAGCTCAATGTACCAGAAACATTCGTAGTTTATTAAGGAGCGCGTTCTGCAATTTATTGTTGTGAAATCTTGACCGATAAAAGAATCACATTTCCTCCGTACACGAGGTCCTTCTCGCTGTTTGTCGGCTGCCGCAACGCTGCCAAGCGGTGAGCGCACAATGCGATAAGGCTCTAGTGCACGACGAGCTTGGGAATTCGCTACTCGCCAACCGCTATCTCATCTAGCGGGTCGGAGCTCTCTGGCCTGCTGGCTTCGGGCTCGCGAGAAGAGAAGGCTCTCTTCCCGACGGCGACGCTCGTCCCTTGCAGTTGACGCGGAGCAGACGACTATCGTCTCGCGATTCTCAACCCTCCCACGCAAGGCAACGCCGTGTGGATCTCCAGCAGACCAAGGATCGGTTTGCGTCGAACCATGATCCATCACGCTCCCCGTTCCCTGAAGCCCGTTCCTTGGCCGGCCCTCTTCCGGACTTGGCTGTCGAGTGTCCTGGTCGCTTCTCGCCGAGACCCTAACTAGCAGCCCGCGGGTGCTTCAGCCACATGAAGTTTGTTCGTCCCCTCCCTGGGATATATCTGTCGCCTGCGTGCAGGAGAGTTGTTCTCTCAAAAGCCGTTGATAACTCTATCTGGTTTCGCATGGTTGTTTGTGGCCTTATCGCCGCGGCGACACTGTTGTTCCTTTGTTTGGCGGCCTTTGTTGATTGATTGATGGTTGAGCTGTTGCTTGGATTTTGCTACTTATGACGATACATCGCCCTCACTCCACCACACGATATTATAGCTGCAGCACCGGTGTGATATTACTCTGCACTCCTAGGAGCGTTGTAGGTTGCACTTCTAAAAGTGCCTCATGTCCTCTTTCCCAATTGCCGACCACATGAGCTGACTTATTTGCCACCCCAAAACTCAGTTCCGCAGCAATATACATACAATAGGTATCGCTTCCTTGTCAATACCTCCCCAAGCAGTACTGTATCGGTCCAGACACCAACCCTTCTGTCCGACAGCGTTTGTCTAAAACAGACTCCAGAGTGGGGTGCAAAGGAGACTCCTTCACCTGTCCTTGAGGTCTCCACCGCGCACACTGGTCCCCACGCAAAAAGCTCACGATCGTCGATGATAACTTGATCCCCGCCACCATTTCCCGATCTCTCTCCCTTCTCTCGCCTCGAAGATGTCACAACCACCACATATGTCGCTGGAAGCGGCACTCGACGAGGAACGGCGGGAAATCCTAGACATTCTCGAAGGCCGGAAACATGCGCAGCAACAAGCTCCACGTCCTGGCCGTCGCGCCAGCCCCGCGCCTCCTGTGCGAAGCATGTTGGATATTGCTCCCGATCCTGGAGCGCAACGACATGGCTCGATCGCTGGCATTGGTGTAGGTGTAACGCAACCTCCCAACAGATCGACGGCCAAGCCCGGCACAGGTGTACGCAGCATGTTGGACCCAATTGCGCCCTCTCCCTTAAGATTGACCCAAAGTGCTACATCCTCTCCGACCACAGACACCGCACCTTCACAGGAGACACCTGAAGGCCACCGCCGTGCGTCGGATGCGTCGTCAAAGGGCCTTCCCGAGATAAAAAAGAGGCATGGTGTAGACCCGCAGCAAGACTACCAGTTTGAGATGCTCCCTAGCATCCCCAATTACGCCCTACCGAAACGAGTCACACAGGGTGGGAAATTGGGCCATCATAATAATACGACGCACAAGAATTCTATGGCTGCGGTCATGTCTGGTGCAGATTTCGGTCCGTTTCCCGGTGCTCCAAGAGGTAGACAAACAGGAAGACATCCCTCTCTACCGGGCCAGTCAAGATCCCCATCTTCACGACTCGGACGGTCGCAGTCACCCGGCACGAGACTGCTCAATACAAATTCTATGAACTTGATGAGTACTCCCGGCAAATTTGTGACCGATTCTGGGAAGGTCATCAACATGGATCACGCGTATAGACGACTGTCGGCCGCTGCGCTGTCCAGATCAGGCGGAAGTCTGGCTAACTATCCTGGGAAAGCGGCGCCCAAGCAGGCTGATGGTGTTGACGGAACTGCGGAGGGGGATGTCCGGCTTCAGAAGGATTACTATTCCGATACACTGGATGGTGGGTTTAGTGAAGATTATACAAGTGAGGAAGATGTCGGTGATACTAGCTCGGGAGAGGATGCATGGAAATCTGAAATTCATCGGGGCCGGAGACGGACTAGGAAGAGGGCGGACACAGACGGGCCTGGACAAGGCAGCAGTAATAGCGGGGGGCCTAGGAAAATCCGAAACTTACTCGATGCTGCGGAGGAAGAGCGTACGTTTGCTCCTTTTACCCGAACTTCATTTGAGATGAACCGAATTTGCTCACTCACCTTAGGCGCCAAAGTATCATCTTCCTACAAGGTCAAATCGTTGCTTGATCCTGTCGCGCCGCGCACTACGAAAGCAGCTTCAGAGAAACCGATTCACAAAAGGACTGGTGTCCACCCGAATACTAGCTTCGATATCACTGCCTCCACAGGCAATACCCCGGCAGGCTCAGAAGATGAAGCTGAATTCTCGGATATCAAAAAGGCACAAAACCTCAGCGTCTACATGTCTCCCGTGGACCAATCAGTTCCGAATAGAGTGATTCGAACTGTCATTCGTGGCGATTTTACTAAACTCCAAGAGGAAGGCGACCGGGGTCAACGTCGGTTGCGGAAATATCTTGTTGCCACGGATCTGAGTGAGGAATCCACATACGCCCTTGAATGGACCATCGGCACGATTCTTCGTGATGGAGATACAATGTACGCAGTGTACGCTGTCGAAGATGAATCAGGATCAAGCAAGACCACTGGCGACGCGGATAGCACATCCTCTGTGCATATCAACGACGGAGCCAAAGCGATGTTGGACATCACTACGACCGTCGGGTCGCAGACAGAGAAGACTTTAGGCGATCCGAATCGAGCATCCGCTCACTCGTCACCCCGCGGATCTTCCAGTTATCTGATACCCGAGAGCAAGAGTGGTTCTATCGACTCGCGCGGCACCACAAAGAACGAAGCAGACAGACTCCATGCGATCGACCTCCTCACGCAGACCGTTGTCAGGTTGTTGCGGAAGACGAGACTGCAGGTCCGGGTCGCGATTGAGATTATTCATTGCAAGAGCCCAAAGCATTTGATAACGGAGGCGGTGAGTATATTTTCACGTGTTGGCCTCCTCGGCATCATCCTGGCGGCCTCAGACTCTCGGCTTCGAACTAACCGAGTGATACAGATCGACGCTCTCGAACCCACCTTGGTCGTTCTAGGCTCGCGTGGACGCAGTGCTCTTAAAGGGTAAGCATCGCCTTTTCATCGTGGAAGTCGGTAGTAGCAAGAAGGCCCTGACTAATTCGATATTCTTCCTCCAAGGGTCCTCCTCGGCTCGTTCTCCAACTACATCGTAACCAAGTCGTCTGTTCCAGTGATGGTTGCACGAAAGAAGCTGCGCAAGCATGCGAAATACAAGAACACTCACGTTCGATTTTCTAATAATCTCACTGCCCCGAAAAAGCTTGCTTTTGCAAAAGTAGACTGATGCTCTATGATGTTACCTTTTGGGGAGGATTTCTCCACGTATTGCTTTTTACAGAGGATTAATTTCTCCTGGGATGCTTAATTCATAATTAGCAGGTGTTCTAAGAGGGTAAAGTTTCACTCTGCGGCCTGATTTTGTTTCCTATGACGCCGGAGTTCATTGCGTTTGGTCGTCATTCCGGCTGTATGTTTGATTACTCTTCTCCTTTCTCGTCCTTTGCATTTTCCTATTCTTCCTTCCCCCCTTCTTTTTTTTCCCCGTTTCATTATTGAATTGTTGCTATGATGGAATACGAACTGCTCCAAGTGATGAAGGTGGGCGGGAGAGGCGTTGATGCCGTGGAGTTTGAAGCCTGGGATTCGATATTCTTAGTCTTTTCTGGGAGATGCATGACGACCGGCGTGGTTCTCGGATGTTTATTATTCGACATACATATGTAGACTGAATGGAGGACTGACTCCGGACTTCCCTCCTCTCTCTCGGGTACTTTGTTGTCCCTCAACGGCGAATTCCAGGACCAGGATTACTCTAAATAAAGCTTGTGGGCGGAAGTATGCCCAGGGTCGCCGGCCCAGATGTGTGACAGCCGCCGCGAAGCACACACGAGAATCTTAGCTGAAGACCAAAGGACGCCACGGCCAGGGAGGACCCTGCTTGGACTTCTGGGCTTCGAGGGCGAGCTTCCTAAGGCTGAGGGCGATGCCATTTTCTTCCTGCTCAGGTTCATCTCAAGAAGAAATTTTTTGAGATGCCACGTCTGGGCTGCAACGCCCAACACACTCCACTGGCAGAGTCTGATTGGGTTGATCGTCGCTGATTTTCCCATCGAACAAGGGCCAATATGTGGTCTTTGCTTTTCCTCACTGCTTTGAACGCATGATGGTTCGCTCATGCCGTCTTCCACACTGCCTCAGAGTTTATTTGAAAAGATCGATTGAAAAATCGCGCTCTGAAAAGATGGTATCAAACAGATTCCCCACTGCTACGGCTTTCTTCTTCTGATCCGATATCTTTAAAAAATTCAGAATAAATACTAGTCTATTTCCGGAGTACGATGTCTTTCTTTTAGCCGATACCTTTGAGACGGGCAGTTAACTTGGGCAGGGGGCCGGTCGCTTCCCGTCCGTTTGTCTTTCGTTTGTGAGAGGGCGCATAGATACCATATATATATATTCCACATTTTCCCAGCAGATTGCCGCTCCTCGCTGTCTCTGATTTCCACTACGGCCGTTTTGGAGTTGGAAGGGAAGAAGTCCGATCTTTGTTGGGAGCGGGTAACCTGTAGCCATCGATACGCAAATTTCTGGATAACACCCGTCGTTCAAACGCACGATATCTTGTTTTCGTTGTGGGAGAGGTGCTTGAGTTGCAAAAGGGGGCAGGGAAATGAAAGTGAGAGGAGCAGGCAATCGACACAATTCAGATATTGCATCGAGACTAACACGACTCATTTCCAGATACCTTGGATATGGGCTGCGGGAGCGGTTTTCACTGTCCAGCTTTGTGCTGAAGCAAGGCCTCCATCCGATGGGTGCACGATCCTCCACTCACCCATTGCCCGCAACGCCACCCTCACATACAGAAGAGTGCCTCCAGGAATCTGCGCAACCAGCTCTCCTCATCAAAAGCAATACACGGGCTATATTTCTCTGCCACCATTTACGCTGCATCCGGTGCAACAAAACTACACAATCAATACATTCTTCTGGTTCGTGGAGGCCAGAGAAAAGCCTGAGGCGGCACCCTTGACAATCTACCTTAGCGGAGGGCCGGGGCTTAGCAGCATGCAGGGTTTATTCCAAGAAACAGGCCCTTGCGAGGTGGTTCAACTTTCTAATAATAAAATCGGAACCATTCCCCGTGAATGGGGCTGGGATCGGAGTTCACACATGCTCTACATTGATCAACCTGCGCAGGTGGGATTCTCGTATGATACGCTAAAAGAAGCATCATTGGATTTCTTGACGGGGAATTTCATTTCGCCACCAATAGACCCACCTGCGAGTCGTTCCCAGACATTTCGCAAAGGTATCTTCAGTTCCAATGACGCCGAGATGACGGCGAGCACAACAGAGACAGCAGCGAAAGCAACTTGGCATATGCTACAAGTATTCTTTGCGGAATTCCCAGTATACAGAGCTCGCCAGGGAGTTGCAGAGGTTAACTTGTTCGCCGAAAGTTACGGTGGCAAATATGGACCGGCATTTGCTGCGCATTTCCACAAGCAGAACGAGAAGCGCGAAAGGGGAGAGATCTCCAGGTGTAAATCGGTGGACATTAAGGTCAAGACGTTGGGAATCTTGCAGGGATACATTGACGATTTGGTACAGAATCCATATTTCTCGCTCTTCGCATATAACAACACGTATGGACTGCGTGTGATGTCCTTGGACGATGTGAAGGCGAGTCATAAGAAGTTCCATCAACCGGGGGGGTGTAAGGATAAAGTCAAGGCCTGTCGCGAATCTGTCCGACTCCACGACCCCGAAAACGCCGGTGATGTGAGCATTGTTAACACTGCTTGTGTGCAAGCAACTATTGCTTGCAATGGAGAATTGAGCAGCGTATACCTAAAAGTAGGACGAAGTCAATACGACATAGCACAAGGTGTTCTCAACCCAGTACCCCCATTGACATATCTCGAGTACCTCAATATGCCAGAGGTTCAAAGCGCAATTGGTTCTCGGGTCAATTTCACAGAGTCCAGCAGCACTGTGTTCGATGCGTTCCTTAACGCTGGTGACTACAGTCGAGGCGAGTACACCTCCACCCTTGCTTCGTTGCTCGACAGTGGTGTACGAGTCGCCCTCATATACGGCGATCGCGACTATATCTGCAACTGGTTTGGTGGGCAGGCAGCGTCGTTCGCCATTGCAGCCGCATCAAGGTCGTCCTCGCCGTCTTATATTGCGAACTTCAATTCTGCAGGCTATGCTCCGCTGATCGTAAATACGAGCTATACGGGTGGAGTGGTCCGGCAATTTGCAAACCTCTCGTTCGCACGTATCTACGATGCAGGCCATTTCATCCCGTACTATCAGCCCGAAGCGGTTTTCAAGCTATTCACTCGGATCATTGAAGGGAAGAATCCATCGACGGGCGAGTCAATCCCCAACATATCAGCATTCCAAACAAAAGGCGATGCAAACTCCACGAAGACAAACTCTCTTCCCGCACAAGCCAGACCGACGTGCTACCTCCGCAAAGCGCAGGATACGTGCAGTCCCGACCAAATTGAAAAAATGAAGGCGGGAAAGGGGTACGTCATTAACGGGATATGGCACGAAAATAAGCGCGAACGGGCCATCCAAGGGTAAGACGCAAACCGAGAAAGTAGCTCTTGGGCAACAATGGCAGCCCCGACTCCTTGTGACAATTGTGAGATCCGTGTGTCCGTGCAACGATATGCCGCGGAGTTTGTGTGGGATGCTCTGTTGGCGGAATCAATGCGAAAGTAGTTTTTAATATAGTTTTCTTCTGATAATGGATATTGACAAGACCTAGTTTCTTTTTCGCTCTCTTCCAATGCGAAGGCCGCCACCACTGTGCCGCGGTTTTTTTTTTTTTTTTTTGCACAACACGCAAGAGAGGAAATTTCTGCTCGCTGCATACAGATTATATTAGTCTTGATAGTGGTGGCCGCGCTCGAATGGCCAGCCAAGAGAGCTGTCTGGGGTAAATTGTCCGGGCGAGCTGCATCTGAATACATTGATCAAGCGAGAAACCTTGCTGTGGAACCTCACCGTTGATGAAAAGACAATGGACTCGGCCCGCTGAATACTCAATAGATGAGGCCTGCGAAATTAAACCCCCGATGATCACTTCTCAAACAAAGGCCGGATCCCGTGGCCGGCGTTCTTTGTGTGTTTTTTTGCTCTTTTGTAAATCAATCAGAAGACGCATCGCACAAAGTGCTCGTCACATTTTGACATCATTCCAGGTGCACGCGCCATTTTAGCGTCTATCTGAAGCACTGGACTTCGAAAGTACAGAGTACCCCAGATTCCGTCCTCCTCTCCACGCGTTTGAAAACGGGGGGTTTTGTGCTCATTGCTCTGATGATCTCTTGTCGATCCCAGGTTCGCTCGATCCACCAACTCGATGCGGTCGATGTGATAATGCATGTGTCCTCGACTCGTTGTGATACAGTGACAATACCCTTACCTCAATGCTCTTCGGCAACTACTCAGAGCTTAATGTCGAACGTTGCCCGTGTACGTGGTACATAGTCCTTCAGCAAAAATCACTTGACTGGAAGAACAACATTGATATTCAGGGGTAATTTGAGACGTGCTAAGATGGCTCTGCAAATACCACTTTCTGCAAGCCTCACGGGACAAGTTTGTGCAACTTTTAATTCAGCCCAATACGGACAAAGAGCTTTTCTCCTTCGACAACGGGAAAAACAAGTTTTGAGAAACCCACCGTCCCGAAAGTGCCGTTGGCTTGCTGATAGGAGGCACAGCCAAGGGATGCGTTGGTTCTTTGTCCATGGAGATATTCAGGAGCACGGGCAGGAAGCATAAATACCTTCTGTGTCCTCCGTGATTTGAGTCCGATAGACAGTCCATCCCACTCCACATATCTCTCAAGCCGCCCCGCAATTCGTTTTATTTCGAAAGAAGAGAGAAGGCCCAAATAGCCACCATGGTTCAATTCAAAGCTCTCGCCCTTACCCTCACTTTCTTCATGGCCATTGCGTCTGCAGTTCCTGAACCCGAGGCTGCTGCGATCGATGACTGCATGCCTGGCTGCCATCCCAATAAGGCTAACTGCGAACCCCCATACGTAAGTCTCGGATGCTCTCCCTCCCCCCTCCCCCGCGAGCCCCAGATGCCTCCGGGTAGATTCCTAGAGGATGAACATGCATAAGCTTTTGGGACGAATTGAACAAGATGCTAATTTGGGACTCTTCTAGTATGAGACGCCATATAAACTGCCAACCAGAACCGTATGTTATCATCCCTGAACCCAGGATCATCCCCCAGTTTCCTTCGAGCTCGCCATTTCCTTTTCGGCTGAGAGCACTGGTATCACTGACACAAAGTTGTTTCTGCAAAGTGCTATATGTGCTGCAAGAAGAAATAAACCACATAACTCGCCGGGTAGTATCGTTCCTTGGAGGCTCTTCGCCGCCCTGAAATGCGAGAAGTGAAAACGAGAAGATGGCGGTGAAAAGTGACGGGAGGAATGAGGCTAGTCACCCTGTCAGGTTGCATTGGTGATGTCTGCAAAGTGTCGGTTGTGTGCGGAATAAAGATTCAATACCCCTGGAGTGTAGTTAAAAACCTGCATTCAGAAGAAATACAACTTTATCCTCAAAGAGACTCGAGTCTGCTTTCAAGGGAGGTCTGGAGAAAAAGTTAATAAATTGACTTTCCATGATGCAACTCAGATCCACACAGTTTGGACAACAGCCACGAACGCCAGAGACGCTGCGACGGAAGATGGAATCTAGGTTTCCATTGTGTCTGCTATAATATATCATTTTCTTTTTTGATATCCCGAAAATACCGCGTCATTCAACTTCCTGTTTAGCATTCCTAAACAGATATTTTATTATCGTATCAAATTGATCTTTTCTCAATGCTGCCCAGGTATCACAACCGGAACAACCCCCCCCCCCCAAAAAAAAAAAAATAAGCCAAAAAAAAAAAAAGGTAAAGAAAAGATAAACAAGCAAAATCCAACGCATAAGACAAGAGAAAATTACATGGATGGTGCGTTGGTCAAGTCCGGGTGTATGTACAAAAGGATATTTCAACTATTCCAAGCACTGAAAACATGACACTTGTGTGTGTGTGTGTGTGTGTATTGAGGGGGATAGGGGGAATGACCGCTTGCTCAGGGTTTAGAAGAAAGAGAAAACAGTGGCGTGAAAATGCTGTGCCAATGACACTTATTGGCAATGATTTTGATCGCTAGAATATGCTGGATCATGAATGGATTGAGATATCAGAGTCGTTCTCGGGAAATTATTTGGGTGAATGATAGGATACGTAAGATGGTTATGTGTGTCCACAGTCGAGAGGCACGCAGGGTCGAAATACTCTTCGCGTATATCAATATATCTGGTGACGACCCTTCGATGGGTGGCGTTGAGGGGTCGCTTCCAGCTCTACCAACTGAACCCCAGCAGCTGAGCTCAATTCTGGCGGTCTCTCGTCCTGCATAATGGGTGTATGGTATTGACCAAGGCCATCCCAGCTCCGATGCGCTGGTGGCGGCGACCGACTCTGCAGCGGAGGGCTATACGGTCCACCGACGTGGGACATATCCGGCGACATCATGCTCGTATGGGCCGGGTGCGAGCCCATCGTAACCCCATCTTTCTCGCTTCTGCCGGCCATCGACCAGTCTCCCCCGCTCATTGCCCATCGCCGTGTCCGGTCGTTACTCTCTTCTTCCGAGTTTAGCCACTTGCGGTAAACGCGGTTGCGCCCAAGCACGAAGAAAAGAGCGGCCAAGATAGAGATAGCGGCGATGCTCCCGATCACGATCCCAGCAATAGCTCCACGACCCAGACCAGATGATGATGACGATGGCGATGACGATGGCTCTGAACGGTCACTCCCTTCCGCAGGTGGCGCTTGGCCGGGAACCAACATGTACGGATATTTCAAGGCCTTTGCATACTGTGCATCCCAGGTCATCGATTCGTTCTAGAGAGAGCAAGGAGAAAGATTAGAACATAAGAGTCCACAGCCTTAAAAAGTGAAATAGACCACAACTGTGAGGACTATACCGGGTTGATTACGCCAACCATTCCGTTCACAATACACGAGTCGATGGCGGTGCAATAAAAGAATGTCGGCTGTAGGAGACGTTAACAGTCGTCAGCGAACTCGACTCCTATCTCGGTGTAAGGAACCAGGGGTTTATGGGAGACTACCTTGGTGTCATTGACGGTCAACTTCCATGTTGGCGGCTAAATATCACGGACTATCAGCATGGTCATACACTCAAGGCTGCAGAGATCTCAAAGCTCACTTTCCCAACCAGCATGCCATCCTCCTCGTCGAAAGAATTGAATATTCCCGAATAGAAGTATCTCCCGGTTGCAGGTACGCACGGCGCCAGGTAATCTGCCTGCACTACTGAGTGATTGCGTGGATAGAACTCGAACTCGATTACATCGCCAACGTCCGCTTTGATGGTATGCGGTATATACTGATGAGGATCCTCTTTTGCTCCCACCTTGACGGTATGAGTCGCAGGGCCGGTGTTCGTACTTGTTCTCGTTGCCGCTGTCGAGGAAGACTGCGAGCTGCGAGTGGGTGTTATCTCTGATTCCGAATCCGAGTCGGTGGTGCCCTGCGCTGTCGTGAGCACGACTATTTGCAGGGCGACCGGCAGCAACGCTAGCCGTGTCACTAAATGGTGCAGCATCTTTTAAATGCCTCTTTGTTTGGTCTCAAGTTCTAGAAGCCAAAACTGGCATCATTCGATGCCCTCTCTGTCTGTGTGTATGAGAGTGGGGGGTTCCTTTTGTTTTTTTTAATCGATCGCTTGTTTTCCCCTGCTTTCGAGGCAAAGACAATATGAGCTGGGGCTGTGAAAGGAATTGGAGGGCCGCCAAAAGTGGTCCGGGGGGAACAGGCGTGTCCACGTTGTCGAAAGATCTGCAAGCCCGGAAGAGGGGAGCCTTAAAGGGCACCCGGTGATAGGGCCTGACAAGGGTACCGCAGGAAAAGCCACTCTAGAACCTCTGTTACTCTTATCGAGGACTAGGTCAAAGCCACCTATGGGCCCCATTGAAGTCCGCGTTGTTTTCTTCGCCTTCGGGGGCCTAGAGAGCCTGGCATCATCATCGTAATGCGTGTGCCGTGATGGTGGCTTGTCGGCACCTGGTTGCCACCTGTATATTCTGCGTACAAGACGTCCGATACGAAGTATTCCGCAGAATGGTATGCATCTACTCTGGACGGAGTATATACAAATTAACCTTCACGAGCCCGGTGGTTGAGATATCTTGGCATAAAACCTCCAGCTTTTCTCCAGCAAGGATGCACCGTTGGCATTCGGATCCTGCGATCTGGGCAGACTCGGCGTTCCCACACAAACAAGCCAAGACCCGGGCAAAAAAGTAATATTGCTTGGTCTCGCTACGTTGGCCGGTACCCTGTGCGCGCTACGATGTGGTCTCACAATGCTCCCCGCCAGAGTTTTACAGAGTGCAGAGCAATTGCGGGTTGAGGATGGGACAGATGCTGATCAAGCAACACAGACAGGTTCCCTCGAGAAGGTGAAGGTGTGCGGCTGGCCAATGAAATTATCCCGAATTTTTGGGACTCTCGTGCATGATCGGAACTGGCTGCCTCGACGATCATTCCGGCTGACCGTGGCAAGGCTGAAGTCTGCTTTCCAAACTGGCCACTCCCAGGCCGAGAGACTGAGGTGGGTGAAATGCAGGAAATTCGAGACGAATGACTGGATGGAGCCCTTGCTTTGGGAGAGTCCAATGCTACCTTGACTCTTGTAGCCCCCCGTCCTGGCAGAGAAATAAGACTATACTCCGTATACAGGGCTATATTCAGTCCAAAACTGTAGCTTACAATTATTAATAAACCCCCAGTTAACCCCCCAAGAAAGTTATTCGGCAAAGGGGGTTATCGGCGCTGAAAGCAATCAAACGAGACCAATACCTGCCCTCATTCTAAATAGTAACCCCCCATCACGCATCAATTAGGTTGCCCTCAGCAACGGCGTCGCCGCCGCTAGTATCCCTAGTGTCTTTAGTTGGCTTCCTGGATCGACTCTTAGCGGATCGTTGATAAAATTCATCAATGACCTTCTTCGGAATGCGATTAAGGAGGTCCTTGGGATAGATGCGGAGCAAGTTCCAGGCGATGTCCAGCGAGTCAAAGATTGTTCGGGACTCATACGGCGACTGCGCGATAAATGTTCGTTCGAATTTTTCAAGGAACTCCAGAGAGAGCTTGTCCTCAGCGGACAGAGCTTCCTCACCAACGACAGCTTTCATGGCGGCTAGGTTAAGGTAAAAGTCAGTGAGCATGCCCCGGCACTACAAAAGGATAGTCATAGGAACAAACCTGCATCACGTCCAATGGCGTACTTGGCGTAGAGCTGGTTGGATACGTCGCCGTGGTCTTTACGAGTACGTCCCTCACCAATGGCAGATTTCATGAGACGAGATAGCGACGGCAACACGTTAATAGGCGGGTAGATACCCTTGTTGTAAAGTTGACGGTCAACGAAAATCTGTCCCTCGGTGATATATCCTGTTAAATCGGGAATAGGATGTGTGATATCTAGGCACGAATTAGCGAAAAGGGTTCGAGTCGGAGACACGTCACATCGAACATACCATCGTTAGGCATAGTCAAAATTGGGATCTGGGTGATAGAGCCATTACGACCTTCTACACGACCAGCTCGTTCGTAGATCGTAGACAAGTCAGTGTACATGTAACCGGGATAACCACGTCGACCTGGCACTTCTTCACGGGCAGCTGAGACCTCACGAAGAGCATCACAATACGCCGACAGATCCGTCAAGATGACAAGGACGTGCTTCTCCAATTGATACGCATAATACTCTGCAGTAGTCAACGCAAGGCGAGGTGTAATAATACGCTCAATCCTGATCCCTTGTTAGCTTTCCGCGCTCCCCACTATGCTCGAAGCCATGCACTTACGTAGGATCATTGGCAAGATTCAAAAACAATGTGACGCGCTCCATGCTGCCATTCTCCTCGAAGTCTCTTGTAAAGAATCGACTAGTTTCCATGTTCACACCCATAGCGGCGAACACGATAGAGAAATTCTCCTCGTGTCCGTCATGCACATCCTTTGTCGGTTTCACAAGGCCAGCTTGACGACAAATTTGGGCAGCAATTTCATTGTGCGGAAGACCAGCGGCGGAGAAAATTGGGATCTTCTGCCCTCTAGCGATCGAGTTCATGGTATCAATGGCCGAGATACCCGTAGAGATCATTTCTTCGGGGTACACCTATAGTTGAGATCAGCCGGGCTTACGGTGCAATATTGTGAGTACGACGCCCACTCACTCTGGAGTAAGGGTTGATGGGACTGCCGTTAATATCGAGATAGTCCTCCGCGAGGACCTTGGGGCCTTTATCGATTGCGCGGCCGGATCCGTCAAATACTCGACCCAACATGTCTTCGGACACACCGAGCTTGAGACTGTGACCGGAGAATTCGACTGTGGTCTTTTCAGATAATCAGCAATGACTCCTGCGGCAATTTGTATAACCGCGCCTCTCACCTTCTTCACATCGATGCCAGATGTTCCTTCAAACACCTATATCACACCAACTCGTATCAGCATCCATCACGGGGGATTACCATTCGGTTTCCGCATAACGCACCTGCACGACGGCTCTATTCCCTATAAACCCGGTGCAATTAGCCAAAGGCTTCCTTATCCTCAAGCTATAGCAATGGTATACGCACCCCTGGCTTCAAGGACCTGACCAGCTCGCTCGGAGCCATCAGGCAACGTTAAGGACACGATTTCGTTGTATGTTGGGAATTTGACCTAGGATACAAGGGCCACAATTTAGTCCAGTGTACTACAGCAAAAGCAGAAATGGCTTGTTTTCCGTACATTGTCAAGAATCACCAGAGGGCCGTTGATACCCCCAATGGTATTGTACCGGATGCGAGGTTGGACGGAAGACATCCGGGGATCTTCAAGCCCCGGCGCCATGATTGAATGACGAGGCAAGTTAAAATATCTGTTATTTCTTGGGAGGAAAGGGCAAGCTCAAGGGAGGTATTCAAACGAGCGCGAGCTTCAGTATGCGCCGATTGGAGATGTGATGTGTTGGAGTTACTCCGTATAAGGTGCCGTTCGTAGCTCGTGATGCGCCAGAGCCAATCAGATGACTTCCCCGCTCTAATGACGTAAGCATATCACGTGACATGGAATTAATACCTTTGGATCCTATAAGAGTATTAGCTGGCCGAGCTCTCGACAGTGAAGACCTTAGGATACTGGATTCCACCTATTCAGAAGAATCAGAGAAAATTGCGCGATATCTGACTACCCTGACGAAACCATTAGGCATGGATGAAAAAGAATACGCCAAATTCTGCAGAAAAGCAACCAAATATGTTGTGGAAGCAGATCAACTTTTTAGGCGAGCAGGATCTGGAGTACCCCTAAGGCGTGTTGTGGACGACTTGGAACAACGCAGACAAATCCTACACATGATGCATGATGAATTTGGCCATAAAGGGCGAGAAGGAACTTACTCCACCTTACAAGCTCGATACTGGTGGCCAGGGATGTATAAAGATGTGTCAGCCTATGTGAAACACTGTTCCCAATGTCAACTAAGAGATTCGCAAAGGTTAAGTGAAGAGGTTCATCCTACCTGGGCTCCTATCTGTTGGGAGAAAGTTGGGGTGGATATCAAGCACATGCCTTCTTTTCCATCCATGCCCAATGGTTTCGTCAGGGTAGTCAGATATCGTGCAATCTTCTCTGATTCTTCTGAATAGGTGGAATCCAGTATCCTAAGTTCTTCACTGTCGAGAGCTCGGCCAGCTAATACCCTTATTAGGATCCATAAAGGCAAATAGATCTTCATCCTACTCTTCAGATTTAGGTTGTTCCCCAACACCTAGTCCCTCTGCCACGTGACCCATACGGCGCAAATTTTCCTCTTCTCCGCGAGCCGTTCAGGCTTCATCGCTGAAAAAGCAGACTCCAAGGGGAGAAGAAGTATACTACTGTACTCCGTATAGTTTGAGTAATGTGCGGCGTACAGAGCAAATGTGACTATGGCGATAAGACTGTATATGTACTTGTGCTCGAGAAGATGCCAAGCATATCTTGCTTTGTTCACAATTAACATGGGAGCAGGGGCTGCACCATACTCGGTAACTATATCAGCAGAAGCAGCTCCAAGCACTTTGACGCAGGGAAGTAAACGTAATTTCCCACACAAGTTCTCATCACCTGCTTTGGCTTTCAAGCCCGCCCCGAGAAGTGCAACGCCAAACCGTCCCCACTTCATCTAGACACAGATGGAACAATCCCCAAGCGATAAGTCGATTATGTAGTCATGACGACTTTGACTGTCAAGATACAACGACCCTCAAAATGCCTTGAAACCCGACATCCCTGCCTTCCTCGTCCTTGCGATCCCTACTAGAAGCTACGCAAGATCCATGGTTAAGGTCATCCCTGCTTCGCAGGGAATCACAGTGCGTGACTGTGCTCCATCAAACAGCTCCAAAAAAATATGGAAACGCACCGACTAGTTATTATAGAATAGATAGTACGTACTGCGGGATTTAAGATCGTGAGTACATCGGATCTATACCTATTCCGCTGTTGATATAAAGGTCTTGAAAAATCTGTTTTTAAAACCGAAATACACAAGTCACGTCCATCTTCAGACATATCAAGGGGCTTATGGTGCCAGAGAGCCAACCCCCCATTGTGGATATGTAACTACACATAAAGCACCGAAACACTATTCAGTCTCTTCTGCACCACGTATTCTCCCTTTTTTCCATTGGCTTCATCGCTCAAGAACTTTCCAACTCGGGGCCCTGTACATTACTATCGGAACAGTTACGTTCCTTGTGGTCAGTTAAGAAGAAAATATCTTCTTCTTTTTTTTCTCTTAAAATCTCAAATCCCATCCAATCTTTGGCCCAATGACGGGCAAAGCATCAGCGACACTCTGCACATCCTTGTCGCCCCGGCCACTCAAATTCAGTACAATGTTCTTCCCCTTGCCCATCTTCTTTGCAAGCTCGATCACGCCGTACACTGCGTGGGACGATTCCAGGGCGGGAATAATGCCTTCCAACTCGGCAATAGTCCGGAAACCAATAAGAGCCTGAGCGTCTGTGGCAGCAATGAACTCGGCTCTCGAGGTGTCTTTCCAAGAACTTAATTCCGGCCCGACGCCGGGATAGTCTAGACCAGCCGAAATGGAGTGAGTTTCGGAGATCTGGCCGTGTTCGTCCTGGAGAACGTAGGTTCGCACGCCGTGAAGAACACCTTTGGTTCCTCCAGAGAGAGTCGCCGAGTGCTTTCCCGTTTCAATTCCGTCGCCTCCAGCTTCGACACCGAGCAGTTTGACGCTAAGATCGTCGGCGAAGGGATAGAACATGCCAACAGCATTGCTACCTCCGCCGACACAAGCAACCACGGCATCGGGGAGTCTGCCTGTTAGCTCCTTCATTTGCTGCTTCGTCTCTTCACCGATTACCGACTGGAATGTACGAACGATAGTCGGGAAGGGATGAGGGCCAATCGCCGAGCCGATGATGTAGTGTGTAGTTTCGAGATCGACGACCCAGGCACGAAGTGCTTCGTTGACGGCGTCACGGAGTGTCCGAGAGCCAGCTTCAACAGCTACCACGGACGCCCCGAGAAGCTTCATGCGGAACACATTGAGCGCCTGTCGACGGACGTCCTCTGCACCCATGTAAACAACACACTCCATGCCAAACTTTGCGCACACAGTTGCGGTAGCTACACCGTGCTGGCCTGCTCCAGTTTCGGCAATGATTCTGGTCTTTCCAAGACGCTTTGCAAGCAAAACTTGGCCGAGTGCGTTATTGATTTTGTGACTTCCTGTATGATTTAGATCTTCTCGCTTGATGTAAATGTTAGCGCCCCCAGCGTGTTCGGTGAGGCGCTGAGCGAAATGCAGATTACTGGGACGTCCCATGTAAGGGTAGTACGAGCGATATTCTTCCCAGAATTTAGGGTCATTTTTGGCTTCGTTAAATCCAGCCTCCAGTTCGGCGAGACAATCCATGAGTGACTCCGGAACATATTGCCCACCAAACTCTCCAAAGCGTGCTGGGATCGCAGCTGGATCCCCGGTCACATTAAGAGCCTCGAGCTGGTCAACGAGTCCCGGTCCTGAGCTAGAACCCTCCTTGATAACTTTGTCGACTTGTGCCCCCGTGGGTTCCTGCGCTTCTGCCAGTGCCTCAGTGAGGTCAATTTCCCTCGTGAACGGCTCTGACAGCTTGCTCCGATCAACCGTCCTTCCCGTGATGCTTGAACAGTACTCTTTGACCTTCTGGGCTCTCTGGCCTTCAGGTGCTTCACCCAGCACCGTGATCATTTGGCTTCCGATAACGACGCCCTCTGCAATTTCTTGGACGTTCAGGAAATGCTCCCTCGTGCTCACACCGAAACCTACCGCAGCTGGTATATTTCCGGAATAGCTGTGAACTCGTGCCAGAAGCTCTGGAAGGCCCGTACTTAGTCGACCCGTGGCGCCAGTGACACCCATTCTCGACACAACATAGATAAAAGAATCGGCGATGCTGCAGAGTAGTCTCATTCGGGAGTCTGAGGTAGCAGGGGCAATCAGAGGGACATACGAGAGCCTACACATAAAGCATGAATATCAGCATCGCCACAGTTTTAAAAACACATTCCCCGCGGTGACTGACTCACCCTTCCTTCTTGCATAGATCTCTAAATCGAACGGCTTCCTCTGGTGGCAGATCAACCATAATGAAGCCATTGATCCCGGCGGCTTTAGCAGTTTTCAGTATCTTTTCCTCGCCATATCGCAAGAGCGGGTTGTAGTAGCCCATAAGCAGCACGGGAGCTCTCAATCCCCGATCCCTCGCCTGGCGAACCATTTCAAGCACAGAAGTGATAGTAACACCATGTTGCAACGCCTGAGTATTCGCGCGCTGGATGGTGGGGCCATCGGCAATGGGATCTGTAAAGGGCACGCCGAGCTCGATGATATCTGCCGTCCAAAAAAGGAGAGAAATAGAAAGGTTAGCTGACAGATAATCACAGATACCTTCATTTGAGAAAAAAAAAGTATATATATAGATGTAGCGAAAAACATTTTTTGCGCCCTTACCGGCTCCACCCTCTTCCATGCCCAATATGATATCAACGGTTTCGTCAGGGCGGGGATACCCCGCGGTGACATACGCAACCAGCGCAGAGCGTCCCTCTCGCTTGCATTGTGCAAATGTCTGCTTTATGCCCTCCATGATGGAAGTTGCTTTTCTGCCCTCCGTCTGGTTAGGCGTTGGTGTCTTTCCTTGCCCTTCGATCCGATCAAAGCGAACTGCGGGGAATTAATTTCGGAGTGAAGGGGGATGAGATTTGAAAAATTAAAGACGAAAAAAAAAAAAAAAAGAAAAGGGAAAAAAGAGAAAAGGAAAGGCGCTACAGACGCTTAAGCAGTCAGCCCGGTAGGAGGAGGAGGATAAAGGGAGAAGAGTTGAGGGAGAGAGAGCTTTCTGGGGAGCAAAACTGCTGGAGTGGCGCTGACTCACTGCTGGATGGCTTGCGATTTCGATTATCGAGCGGCAGAAAATTTGGGGAGGTTTTCGGAGTCATTCTCGCCCGCCTCGCGATCAGATTGCCCCCCAGCAGCAGCTCCCGATTTCCACTGGCTAAACTTACTCCGAGCTAGCCAGGAACACGCCAGCCAGCCCCCCAACGCAAAAACTCCGCACTTCGAGGGCAGCCGAGTTTTTCATTTTCGCCACCCACGGAACGCACGAGACGGGTACTCACGTAACCGTTAATGAGCACAATATTTGGAAGATGATATGGAGTACTCCGTATTCTAAGAACCAATTGAATTGAATTCAAAAAACTATCTGATATCTGAGTCGGCGCCCATTATAACTCCCAGCAGCTATATTTCCATCCAAAATAACCAAGATCGGAAAAAGGTGTATTAGGATCCCTTGCGACAGGCTCGCAGCAACAAAATCACCAAGTCAAGCTCCAATATCCAAAAAAAAAAAAAGAAAATCAAAAACAACGCAAAAGCATCCAATATCAAAAAGCCCACGCAAAACACAAGCAACAAGTCAAAACAAAACCCCCCACTTTTTCCCGTGCAGGACGCCAAGAAATAGTCCCGTTCCCATATCCGATGCAATGCTGTGTAAAAAGGAGCGGCTGATGCTAAACCAAAAAGCATGCAAAAATTTCGACAAAAAGGAGTGACCGTGCCCAGTTTTCCTTCAAATGCAAATAAATGCGCGTCAACCGGACCTACCCAGAAACAAGCTTTGATAAACAAGAGGGGGCGTCTATTAAAACAAAGGCGAAGGAGAGTCGTCGGGTGAGATATTAGAGAAACGCCTTTGGGAAAAGAGGATGATTAGTGTAAGGGAGGTTCCAAAAAAGGGATTAGAGCCGCGATATAAGTAAGACGCCGTCCACCTGTGTCATCGACATAAAGGAGTGAGACATGACCAGGGGGGAATCATCTGTGAAAGCAAAAAAAAAAAAAAGACCAACCAACGCCGCGCTTGTTTCTGACAGGTCGTCAAAGGAGTGGCAGAAGGAAATTCGTGACCATTATTGTATCAGTGCATCGGAGGTGTAAAAGGAGCGACTCACGGGACCAGCATCTTCCAAAGATGAAATCGCTCGCATAAAAAGGGGGAAACAAAATACAAACCGCTATGCAATACAAAAAATTATCGAATTAGAACAATTACGGTGATTCGAAAGACGGCGGAAACGAGGTACGGGGTAGGATCAAGAAATAGGGGGAGCGAGGTCGACGTCAAGAAGTGGTCTGGCGGCGCACAGCGTGACTTAAGGTGAATTGATGACTATCGAAAAAGTAACTCTCTTAGACACCGCCGCCTGGATGACTGGGAGGGTAGGACGAGTGACTGGCGCCTCGGCCAACAGCTGTAAAGTTTCCAGAATAGGAGTACGGCAGGTCTTGAGGGGCCGGGTGAGTGGACGAAGGGCTAGTGGTGACGAAGTTGTTGAAATCAAAGGAACCGTGACGCGGGATCAAGGCTGGCGACGACACTTGTTGTTGCTGGGCGCGATGGAACTGATAGGCCGCGTGTTGATTGTCGATGGAAGGCACAACAGCACGCATTGGTGGGGCTACCGCCATTTGATTGTTGCCATAAACCTGAGCGCGGAACTGTGGAGGTACACCTAGAGCACTAGAGACGTCGACAATACGCTGTGAAGATCCGGCAGGATAGTCCAACTGGCCGTTAACATTGACATTGACGGGATAGTTTGAAGCCAGGGGCGCTTGAAGAGTTCCTGCTGTTGAAGAGTAACTGGCAGACTGTAGGAAGGCGATTTAGCATCTGGCTGACCGCAGAATCTAAAAGAGGGAGGCGAGTGATAGACTTACGTATTTTCCAATAATCTTCTTCAATGCATGAGCCAGAATTCTCCATGGAAACACCTTGACGTCCTTCTCAATATTTCGCGGTTTCGGGTTCGGGAAGCCCATGATGACTTTGAAGAACTCTTCGCTCTCCGCTTTTGCCTTGGAAACGGTCAACGGGCGGAAACCCTCAAGATTCCTGCGAATCCGGTTCTTCTCTTCCACGGTAAATCTAACTCCGACAAGCGATTCAAGCAGGTAGATGGTGTCAACGCTGGTCACATAGCACTCTTTCTTGCCAGCCCAGTAAATGCAGCTGATACAGATACTGTTGGGAGCACGATCAGCAGGCGCTACGGGAGCGAAATCCGCATGGATACTGCTGCCAGTTTGATGACGCGTGAATTGTACAAGTCGTCTTTGAACTTCCTGTTCATCTTTCGACCAGTTATCTGCCATGGAGTCAAGGTCGCCATTCAGCTTGAGGACTGCCTTTGTGGGATACATCGCATAAGGGTTAAAAGACTGGTTTTGAGATACTGCTCCGGAACCTGCGAGCGATTGTTGAATTGTAGAAGTTCGGATGAGAGTCGGGTTTTGACCAGTCCTAACAGAGAGAGGCAATTCCGTGGTTTGAGACAGCGGCGTCATATTATATCGAGGGTTGAAGTCTGCAATGGTGTTGTCTGGAAAGGCTGGGCTCCAAGATGACGCCAGGGGGGATGGGGCTTTGATTCTAGATTGAGAAACGTTGGCATATACATCTAGCTGCGTTGGGGGAAGCGGCGAAGGAACGCGCTGGCCGTTGGCAGGATAGCCAGTCATCGATGCCGGAGTAGGAAGATAGGCCGAGTATGGGGATGCTGACAAACTACTTTCGGCGTAGACTGAACTTCTTGGGCTATCTTTGGTTCTCAAGTGTTTCACTGGCGCCGAGTTCGAGGAGGAAATGTCATCTGAGCCGCAAGACATCTTTCTCTTCCGAGACCCTGGAGAAACAGCTTGAACGGACTGTTCATAACTAAAGGCACCGATTTGCACCATGTGAGTTGTGGGTCCCTCAGGGTCCTCCATTACTAACTGAACAGGGGCTGAAGAAGAAGGCGATTCTGTTGAGGAGAACGGTGGTACATCGACTGTAAGGGCGTATTGGAACAGAACTTTCTGGACACCTACAAGGGCCACAGAGCATTCACAGCGTGAGGATCCAAATATCAAAGTAAACGACCACGGAACCGGGTTGATAATGTCCAAAGTTGACTGTATTTGGACTGTCAATTTTGTGCCTTCCGCCCCATTGGCTGGGTCGAAGCTAACAACTTCAGGTGGTGGCCGTGTGGACGCCTCTAAGCTCGGAGAGCGCGGGAAATCAAAGGGGGAGCCGGCATATCCTCTATTACCTACATAGTGGATACTTTCATCGTCTGAAACGGGATGACTTTCAAGAACGGGAGTGAAAAGTTGCCCAGAGTATGGCGCTTGGGCATATGCCGGCAACGCGCCTTGATAGAGAGCTCCTGTCGTTCCATCATAGTCTAGAAGAGCCAATGTCAGTTATTAATCTACTGTGTGTGACCTTGCATATCCAAACTCGGTCGTATTGATTGGAGATATACTAACCTAAAAGATCGGTTGGTTGGCACTTCTCGTAAGTCGACATGGACATCGGGCCTCCAGTCTTGGCCCAAAGGCCGTCTGAGAATGTTCCTGCAAATCTTGAGTCCTCCGGATCTGAAAAGTCGACTGATTCGTCAAATATCAAAGGCGACTGGAAGTCCAGATCGAACTAGATCAACGATATCAGTACTCCGTACCGAGCCACTACACGTTCAACACGGATATTTCCGATATGTTTCCGGTAATCCGCATAGGGAAAAGATAAGGAACCAGAATCTTACCTGGGTAGTGAGTCCCTTTGAATACGCCAGGGTGACGGTGCTGCAAAAGATGCAGCAAGAACGGATTTGGTTTAGTAAGCGAGTGACTGAGATCTGACTGATCTCGCAAAAAAAAAAAAAAAAAAAACTGGATATGTCTCGGAAGCGCTTAATTGCACTTCGAGCCAAAAGCGAGCGACAGAAAGAGACTGTCAATGAGTCTCAAAATCACACAAACCACAGAAAGGGCGGCGAGTTAACATCCAGGGAGTACACGATAAGTCAAATAAAATATGTGGTTGCTGATCGTGCCACAGCCAATATGTCGATCGTTGGCTTCCTTCAATCGCAAACCACGCTTCGAGTGCAAAGCCGCTTGCAGTGTGTGATTGTGAGAATTGAGAGCAAAATGTACGACAAAAGCTGGGTCAATGGTCAGCATTGGGAGTTTGACAATCGGCTGGCGGCATCATCGTATTGGCAGACTTACCGAGTGAATAAAACAAAGTATAGCTTAAAAAAAACCAAATGTCGCCCGACGCAGATATGCGCTGGAAACTCAACTAGAGCTGTGATGATGTTCTGAAAGAAAACGTTCGTTAGTCTATAGACAGGTTGACATCCAACAAGAAAGAGACATGAACCATGGTACCCGATAACCATTGTGGCTACGAACCAATGAGAAGCAGAAGATGCCCAAATAGCCTCTTGACCTGCAGCTTAAAGATAGCAAGGTAGGAACGCGTCGTTGCTTACCTTGGCCCGGTCGCCTTTGACAGTGTGGAATCCACTTTGGCTAGTGGTTGATACGCCCCGGTAGGATGCCGCTCTTTCAGAGATGAAAGGTCCCAAGAAAACGCAAAGGAAGATTCAAGGGACTAATCCTTTTTGCGAACGGAATGCGGAAAAGAAAATGTCCGTGGACACGCCCACAAGAAAATTGGTCCTTGACGCAGCGCAGATAGGGATTTTCCTCGTGGTGTTGGGTCTGCGTGCGCCTTGCAGATACTCGATCAACCGACGGAACGGTACAGCACGCGGGATGGATTGTCGAGTTGCTTTGAGCACAGCAATGGAATGTGCCGGTGTCCTGCTTCAATGGAATGAATTTCGTATGGACCTCTTTCTTGATCCCTCTTTTTTTTTTTTTTTTTCTTTTTTTTTTCCCTTTATTTTTTTTTTTTTTTCAATTCTCTCTCTTTTTGCTTAAGAGTATATGATTTTCTTTTTTCCTTCCCTCAAGAGGTATATACTGTATTCTGTTCTGTCGCCCAAAGGGGGGGGAAAAAAGGTCTCCCTCGGAGCCTAGTTTAAAAAAGTGAAGGAAGAAAAGAGACCTTCTGTGGGAAGTAGAGTGTGTTGAGAGATGGATGGGAGAGCGAATGTGAATTCCCCAGCGATTTGAAAAATCGATAGCCACGGATTAAGAGATAGGATATTATGTACTAAGGGGGTTTTGTATATGTAGATTATATTTCAGCCGTCGTCCGAAAAAGCACCTTAAAGCATGTAGCGAACGTAAATTCGTCGAAAAGCGAGTGTGTAGTTCTGGAGGGAACTGAACGAAGGGACAAACGATGGGGAGCGATGGATTTGGGTCAGAGCGCCATGGTCGAGGTGAGGGATGGGGGCGGGAGAGGGGAAAAAGAAGAGGTGGAGGAGAAGAGGGAAAAAAAAAAAAGAGAAGAGGAGAAGAGGAGGAGGAGGAGGAGGAAGAGTAGGAGGGAGGAAGTTGGAGGGTGCTGGTGGTGATATTATGTTATGACGAGCATATCGGGCCTGGAGGTATTTTCTGGAATGCTACAGTCACCCCCGCCACAAGCCAGAAATGGGCAGCTTCAAACTCTCCAACGAAACGTGACAACTCTCGCTGGGCGACCGGGGTGGGCAGCCGCTGACCAGGGAAACTCGACAGCCGACATCTGGCGAAATACGGTTACCGGACCACTCAAACCAAGCAAACCACATGGCCGAAAGAAGACGGTTGTGTGGTGCGCCCCACCAATCACCGCCCGCTCCCAGACCCGCTCCGGTCCAAACATCCATATCCGCGTTACAGTACATTACGCAACCCCGTCCCTCGCCTGTCGATGCCCCACGCCCGCGCCTACCGATGACGGCTGCAGCTCATCGCCTGGCGATTTCAAATTTTCGGCGCACGGAATCTTACAGCTTGTGTGCTGGTACCGTAACACCAGGTCGCTTTTAGATCCATTAAGTAAGCGGCTTGGTTTATTACCGTGGGAAGCACGCAGAAACCGACCCCGGTACGGGATCCCTCATCACGGTCCACCCGATATCAAAAATATCGAAAGTAAAAAAAAAGAATACTAGGAAGGAAGAGAAAGGAAAAAGAAAACTATCGGGTCTATTCTAGAGGCAGTGCGGCGTTTGGTTTGAGCGGTCATGTCTGGGGAAACTTTTTTCGGACATTGTTTTATCGTAGCACTCTTCTCGCGGCTTCAGAGTTACGACGACACCCAGAGTTTTTGGCGAGTGTCCTCGCTGTACGGCGCATTCGCGCTAGATTCTGACTGGGGAGCGCCCTTTTCATTTTTTTTTTTTTATTTTTTATTTTTTTTTTTTTTTATCTACCTTTTTTTGTGTTGTCGGATCTTCGATACGAAACCACTAACGACCGATCAAATAATTCACAGGACCAGCTAGCTGGCCGTAGCGTGTCCCAGGTTGAGCACCGCAAGATAGCCCGTCAAGAACAAGCTCTTCCCCCCCCCCTTCCGAGCTCTGGAAACCAAAGCTGTCGGTCGTGTCGCTTTGACATTCGAAGCATTGACTCCAGTCAAGCTGCGACGGTGCTTTAAAAAAAAAAAAAAAAAGAGAAAGCCCAGAATCAAGCAAAAACCTCCCATCCTAGCACGGTGCACTGCCTCGCCCTCCGATACAGGACCCCGTACAGAGTGCATACACAACTGTTCCTTTCCCCCCTCCCCTCCCCTCGACTGGCAGCCTTGGCGATTCTTTCTCTCTGGCAGAGGTGCACGTTGAGTTGTTTCCTGCGCTGTCCCAAGCATCGATACGGAAAAGCAGCCGGTACCTCCAATCAGATACATACTAGCCCGTACGGAGAGAGGTCCCAAGGTACCAGGTAATGCGGCCCGTATTGAGTTATGCCTGATCCGGTAACCCTCAAAGTCGCCAATTCTTGCCTCGCGAGGGGCCGCTCTACAGGGCTCTTCCATGCGAAACTCTCTCGCGCTCGCACCGATCCTCACCCTCCCGACAAGCGATGGTGCCGAACGAGCCAGCACGTCGCCAGTGAGCAGCGCGCCCTCTCCATATCGCTGCTCGCCGTTGGATGGCGAATCTTTCAACGGCAGCCAGCCAGCCAGCCAGCCAACCGGCCAGCGGGACCAGCGACGTAACGCAGCCCTTCCTTACCAACCCCCACACGAGAACGATTCCTGTTGAGGTTCTTTTTACCTAAACTCACCACCTGGTTAGTTACCTGACTACGGAGTAAACATCTATATTTAGAACACAGCCTAAAGAGTTAGGCTTTTCCGGAGTAAACTCGAACCACTCTTTGCCTCTCCGATTCCCGAAGGATCCATCACCCACGCCCTAACGATCGCTTCTTTTTCTGCCCTCCGAACCTTTGACTTCTCACATCATTCCACTACGTAAGAGCCGCCCCGATGATCGACTTTTCAAGTTTGGAATTGTCCAGGGGCCGCGGACCATCCTTGAACCTGATCCAACGCCCGCGTTTCCGCGCGAGGCGGCGCAGACAGGCCATGAGCGACGGTAGAGGATCCTCACAGCTAGTAGCTCTCCATAGTAACAGTAAAAAAGAACCTGCAAAAATTGACATCTAGCTGGCTCCTCGATCCCCATTGGACGGACACTTGCTGCTCCAGCGGAGAGACCAGAGGCAAGCCAGATGGGCCATCGACGTTTCACTGCAGGACGCTTGAGATGTAGCAGGGCCTTCCACTCTCTCGACCCATTTTCGGGGAAAAGGAGTAAGGATGGCTCAATTACCATGATGACAACCGGGCGCTCCGTTCCAGCTTTGCGCGAAACTTTGCTCGAAGCTGCTAGCTTGTTGGGGGGGATTTGTTGTGGAATATGAACCCCCAAAGGTAGAATCTCTTCCTTTCTTTTTCTTATTCTTTTTTTCCCCTTCTTTTTTCCAACGCCAATTGGACCCGGGAAAAAAAAAAGGTAAAATAAGGTAAATAAAATAAAAAATAAACTCTCCCTCTGGAATCTTGTGAAGAGAGATCACAGGCGGGTACAACTCGGCAAAAGGATTCCATGGGAGCATCGTCTGGCGTTCCTGATGGCTTCATTCCCCTTATCCACACATGATGCACAAATACACGACTAAACTTCTTCACACCGTATCTGTTTCGAGTCAGCCGGCCGTTTTGTGTCTGCTGAACAAAGTTTGCTCCTAAAAAACTACTCAGCCCATCAAGCTCAACTCTGGTTCCGCTGAAAAAAAATCCGAGATTTGAGCGGATGACCAAAGAATAATAACGGGAGGCCCTTTGTCGGCCCTGTTTCCAACTGGATGCAACTCCCACACACGTGTTTATGGGAAAGTTTCCTCAAGCCCGTTTGGTTCGATGCTACATAACACGACAGCGAAGAGATGGATGTCAATGCCAGAGGCGTTTTTCCCTCTTTTTTTTTTCCCTCTTTTTTTTGTTTTTTCGTGGTGCTCTGTTCCCCGTAGCAGCCTATCCCATCCTTAGCATCCTGCACTAGTCCTATTTTTAGGGCCTTTTTCTCTCCTTCTTTTGGCTCCTGTGTTTGCCAAAAACGTGAAAGTTCTAACATGCGTCAGGTGACGTCTTTAGCTTTCCGCACGAACTCGACATGAAACGAGGGAGCCGGCGAACGACGAGGATCCCCTTCTCCCTCCCGCGCTAGGTACGGAGTTAAGGGGGTAAAAGAAGGAGAAAATGAATATTGAAACCAAGTTTTCGAATTTTCAGTCAAGAGCGCTGCACATCCATCCCCGTGCGAAACGTGATGGGCGCTCAGTTCAGGTGCCAGAAGACCTTGCTCGCACATCACTCAAACCCCGAAATCTTGCGTCTGTGGAGCCGAGTGCTCTGGCGCGAGTTTCAAGAAGCCTGCCGCAGTCCCTCGTAGCTTTGGTTCAAGCTCCTTCATCCCTAGCTAGGGGCGAGGGGAGAATGAAACGTCAATTGCTAGCAAAGTCTTCTTGGAGCTCCGAGTCAAGCTTCGATGAACTTCCATCTCCACAACAAGAAGCACGAAGTGCCTGATTTGTTGATTCCAGCATGCCTGGCATTGTGGAGATTGGTTTGAAAGCTCCAAAAGAAAAAAAGAAAAGGGGGGGAGAGCTCTCTTTCTTTGCTTTTTTCTTCTTTTCAGGCTTCCCCCTTCATCGTCGTTTCATCTTAGAGGAGCAATGCAAAGCTTTTGTGTGGTGTAATTACTCCCAATGTTATGAACATGCCAGGGTTGGCTTTGCGCTTGGGCTCCCGGCTTAACGCAGGACCTGGTGCTCAATAGCGGGGGCCCCCTGGCCCTTGAAGATCAAACGATCCCCCCAGGAAATTTTCTTTTTCCTTATTTTCTTTACATACTTTATTTTTCCTCTGGATTATTTGCATATTTTGACAGAAGTTTAATTTTCCTGGTGACGATCTTACTTCCTTATCAGTCCCATGACTTCAAAAGCGCGCCCGGAGCTTGGGATGGAGCAGCAGCTGCCCTGCTTTTCCGCCAAAAACAAGCGACTCTCATTTCGACTGTTCTCTAGGATACCTTGTCCAGATCCCCCATGCGTCCTACATTATGTACAACTCGTAGAGGACATAGCTACACGAATTGCACAGGGTTGACGTTGCATTTTTCCCTTTCTGATCTCGTCTCATTCGCTTGGGGAGAACCGGACAAAGATTTCTTGGAAATCCGAGAATAAAAAAACAAATGAAATCCGATCTCCCATCCTGGAAAATCCAAATTTCAACTAAATATTTGTTTCGCAATTTCGAAACCCAACCCAACCCCCCCAGCCTGGTCCAGGTGTCAAAAGCTATGGTTCCAAGGAGATTACGGCGAGAAAGCAACTGGCCAGGAGTTAGCAAAGCGAGGGAGGCTCGAGCTCTAGGATCGTGGAATTCCGTAGATCCCCCCGGCGGATTCCAGTTTCAACTGGACAGGTAAGAGCATACAGAGGGATTTAGAGAGATGATAGATACTACCACTCACCTCTTTAACGAACGAACGAAGATACGGAGTAAACCCACTCACTCCCCCGTAACTACGTGACCCCAAAGAAGATTTGAAAATGAGCGCAATGCGGCCTTTACAGCTTGCTGTCGGACACGCCGTCATTGGCGATCCGAATGACCAATTTGCCAAACTGGCTTCCCTGCTTCATGTCGTCAAATAGGCTATCGATCTCTTTGATGTTGTTGATACCCTGCACCACGCGCCACACAATGGGCTTGATGCCATGCGCTTTGACGAAGTTGACCATGTCTTCAAATTCCTTTCTCGAGCCCATCGTCGAGCCCTTGACGTCTATGTTCTTAAGCACGGCTTGCATGAAGAAAGGCATCTTCGGCGCGATCGTCATGCCGTAAACGGAGAGAACTCCTCCAGCCTGTAATCATAAAGAAGGGAGGGCAAATCAGTGAGCGGATCAGAGGGCGATTAATGCCGTGTTGGGTTGCGAAGGGAAGTAGATCCCCATAAGAAAAGAAAAACTAACCTTAAGCAGCCGGGCTGATTTCTCGACAATGTCTCCACCCGCACCGTCGATTATGGCGTCAAAGTTCCTCTTCCCCTTCGGCAGCATGCCAAGCAGTTTCTTGTCCCATCCGTCCTCCTTATAATTTACCCCCCCGCGAGCACCCAGCTCGGTAGCTTGTCTGAGTTTCTCCTCGCTCGAGCTCGTGACGTAGACATCGGCGCCTCGGGCGACTGCGAATCTCAACGCCATCAGGGCGACTCCACCACCGATCCCCGTGATCAAAACCGCCGCACCGGCCTTGGAGTTCTTATCGCCAGCTTTGGTGACGAGAGCACGCCAGGCAGTCAGGCCTGTCAAGGGCAGAGCAGCGGCCTCGACGTCGCTCAGATGCTCGGGCGCTAGCTCAACCTCCGTCACGTCCAGAGTGACATATTCCTGCAACGTGCCCTTGGGATTAGCCTTCGTTCCGCCCATGATGGCATATCCCGTTGGCGACTCTGGACCGTCCTCTGAATCTTTCCATCCTGTGCCCGGGTTCAGAATGACTCGCTTTTCGATCCAGGATTGTGGCTCTGGGACTTGTGGGCCGGCTGCGACCACGACGCCCACTCCGTCCGCGAGGAGAGGGGTGTCGAACGAAACACCCGGGTACAGGTGCTGGCGGATGAAGAGGTCTCTGTGGTTTAGAGCCGCGGCGGTGATCTTGATGAGGAGCTCGGTGCCTTGGGGCGTGGGCTTGGGGATGTCCCGAAGGGCGAGAGGGTAGTAGACTTTGCCCGGCTTACCCGGCTGGCCGTCGGTGGAGGAGACGGTGATGGCGTGCATGGTTGGTGCTGCTTTAGAATTCGCGAAGAGTACTCAGTAGATATTAATGATATCCTATAATGTCCCGACGAGGCTCAATGGCAAGGATTAGAGCTTAGACTTTCTATATATACTCGATATCAATCAGCATAACCGGATCTCCCAGAACTACATATTCCCTCGGCCACCGCACGGAATCAACTGTCGAGAAGTCAACTCGACGTACCTGTACTCCGTACTGCTTCCTTCTAACGCTAAATATCGAGCTCAATTCCTGATTGAACCGCAAGCTTCAAAATGCACTCTTCTGAATAATTATCTCATTAACACCAGCAACATGGGATCTCCAGCAGCCAGCTTTCCCAGGCGTCGTTCTAACGCCGCCGCCGAAGTGACCCCACAACAGGCATGATGACTAGTTAGTTAGTTAACTAGCTTACAAATGTGACGCGCTGCAACCTCCTCATACATTTATTTTCCCACGGACCGAATCCGATAAATGAAGATCCCGTTCGGCTGTGGGCGACGGAGGTCAGTTTCTGCCGAGACCAGCTGTTTTCAAGGGCGAGATTTGATTCTGCATGCTGTTCAAGCTGTATATATGGTGTGTGAAGTCGATATATCGGTGGTTTGATGTCGTCGCGGGCGGGCAATGAGCCGAGGTTTCTTAAGTTTCCCCAACCTTTGCTTGTTTGCCCGGGCCGAGCGTGGGCAAAAGTCGGCAAAGGAGATGGGTGCATCACTGACGTTCAAACAAAGAGGGGGTGAATACAAAGAGAAAGCGATATTAAAAATAAAAATAAAAAACTACCAAAAATAAAATAAAAATATCAAAGAAAAAGTGGAGAGTTGTTTGCTTGAATAAACTGATGATAAATTGATTACCCGAATATGGTAAAACTTAACTGGGATGCTGGTTTGTTTGCTCGTTGACTAGGAACTAATCGACGTCATTCAGAATGTTTCGAGCCTCGTATATAAAGGGACATTTTCAAGATTTACTACTCTTTCTCACCCACATATCCCTTTTGATACATCATGAACAAGAAGCCAAGCCAAGAATAAGACAACACACGCTTTGCCTCCGGCTACCTTTCGTAATGCTATAAACGATGGTCTGAGAAGTGTGACGACAAAACTTCCCTTAACACAACGAATGAATCTGTACATATACGTAGCAGTCATAGGCGGTGAAAGTTTCTCAGACTGTGAATCAAAACTCGTAGCATCAAGTTCGCCACCTAGGGGTGAACCACCACGAATTGCCCCTTTCCCTTGACCAAGAAGCGGAATCATCCCAATCTGAAAATCTCCTCTGGGAATGGTATGGGGTAAGCATCGACCATCCTCCCGAGGCAGTAGATGAGCCATCGGAAGACAGAGAGGATGACCGCTGGCGGCGGGTCCTGCTGAGGCTCGATTCATCGTCTGAGCTGCAACACGAGTCATCGAAGCCGAGCACGTTCCATCTCATAAGTGGCTCATCATCCGAGCTATCGTATCGTGATGATCTTGGAGCTTGCTGAGTGCGAAGGTGTGGTGTGGGTATGAACACAGGCTCGCGCCGTCCGGCTGGTATCCTTGGATATATTGGTTCGGGTACCTGGCGGAATCCTGGCAACGAGCGATGACGATGCATGGAATGGGGACTGGTAGGGTTTGTCCTTGCCGGAGGAGGACGAGGGACCAAGTCATGCACATTTTGGTGGTGATGGATGTGGCCGGGGGCTATAATCCCATGACGCCCATCGTGAACTTGGTGCTGGGGAACGCCGTAGCAATGGGAGCAATAGCAACCTGCCTGGACGCCGGTGCATCGGGATTGCTGTGCTCGTCGACCTTGTTCCTGCAGGAGAAGATTCTCTCCGCTGTGAAACCCAGGGCCGTAGTGTCGATACGGGTAGTTTCTTCCGGCGGTGCGGTTGTTGGGCCTGGAAAAGATCAGTGGAAACCCTAGCCGGCCTCTCCACCCGGTAGGATCGGGTGGTTGACGAGAGCGTTCAGCGAACATTGTCCTCCCTCGCTCTCATGCAGATCAAGGCGGTTTGTTTACAAGTGCTGGTATCCAGGGTGTTGCGCCCCCGGACATATATCCCTAATGTGTCTTAAATTAAACGGTCTGAGGGGGTTCAGGTGGAGTGCAATCGAGGAGACGGGCCATCAAAAAAAAGGAATTAGATCAAACAATCAACACGGTCGACGTGGAAGAATACTTGGGCAGTTTTTCAGAAGGTATCTTCGGATATTTATATCCCTCATCTCGTAAAATGCAGCTGCACTCCCAGCGGGCTATGTTTGCTGGGCCCATTGTCGCATCATATGCAGGATGGTTGCATCTCCGAGCATTGCAAGGCAATCGAACAAGCGTTTTTTTATCTGAACAGTGCTGAACAAATGACCGCGGCTGTCAAACGCTACGAAGTAGCAGCAAACACGGCAGCCCTAATATCAGTCTGGCAGATGACCTCGGAAGTGAAGGGCAACCGCAGTGATATAGAGGTGAGCTAAAAAAAAAGAGGGTTTGCCATCGAGCATGTCAGAGCGTAAATGTGTCAAAAAGCTAAAACGCCCCTTAAGCATCCAGTGCATTGACAGGCGGTTCTGGTGACCCAGAGCTGCCTTGTAGATAAACGTGCTACAGACCAGGCTTGGTTTTTGCAGAGTATAGGGAAGAGGGGGGAACGAGGAGGAGAGCTAACGGAACAAGCCTCGTGTGAAGTCATCGGTTGCTCTCCAAGGCAGCGTGCAGCAGAAAAAGAGAGAGCTTGAAACGCAGGGCCATCAGAGCATATGCTCCAAAGAGTGCTCGAGGCTCCGACACTCCTAGACGTAGGGCGACGGCGCCATCCGGCAGGCAGGCTCGGTGGGCTAAACCAGCATCTAGAATCGAAGATCCAGAACCCTCCCGGATGACATCAACAAAAGGGCAAATAAGCAGGCTGTCGACCGGCAGGCAGTTGTTAAGGTTCCGCGAGCGAGTCGTCTTCTCGACGCCCATGTAACCACGGGTTGGAGCAGCAACACCCAAAGCAGGTTTGCAGCGGTGACTCCGTACACGGCACAGTAGGCAGCAGCCACGCACCGGGACGGCGCAAGTCGGCTGGAGGTGGCGCGCGCGGCGGTGTGGGCGGTCTTTATTTCCACGCCACCCCGGTGATTTGTCCAGTGAACCCTTTTTTTTCGCACTGCCAAACCAACCTCCAAACTCTCCCAAAAGAACTCAACAGAGGTAAGAGAAACACAACCTTCTTTTTGTCTCTGCTATCGCATTTGTTTCGAGAACCCCAGTCCAGCCAGGCCCCAGCCAGATCCTGCTGCAGATTTCACTAATTTCCGTCGGCTCTCCAGCTCCTTCTCACCGCTCCTCAGCAACTTGCTTCTTCTAATTCGCATCGTCTTTGCCTCGATCCCCCAGCCCGGATTGCCCTAGCCGCCACAACACCTGAACCCAGCTCAAAGCGGCTTTTATACCTGCTTTCGTTTAGCGATTGGGATAACAGAATAGATCCTTTCTGTCTCATCATGCCTTCACCACTTCCATCCACCTTTGCCTCTGCTGCGGCTGGCAACACAGACTCCTCGAGAAGAGACGGCTTGAGCAGCGGAGAATGGTAAGACAAAGACTCCCCCTTTTTTCTCCACACCACCGTGCTTCTGCTCTATCAACGCGTCCCAATCCTCCACTCTACGTGCTGTCAGGCCCGGCTTTGTGTCGCCGGTACATTTGAGCTAAACTCCCACGTCATTGCAGGTCTCGAAATCGTCTTAATGGAGCCACGCAGACATTTCGTCGGCCGTCTCTCGCAACCAACACATCTCACAGCCGGGACGGTGCGCAGACAACCTCGGGCGCATCCGCTACCCCTACCGCCCCGGCATACATACCTCCTCACCTGAATTCAAGTTATCAGTCTGGTGCGTTGCGTGGCGGGAGTGGAAACGATAGTCGATACTCCAAAGATCAGCTCCTCAACTTTTACAAAAACCAAAAGGAATCCAAGGAGTGGGGGAAGAATGTAACGGATTATTTTATGGCGGACTGGAATCCTTTGGAGGAAACCCCTGCCACAAACGGTGGTTGGGGCAAAAGAGAAGATTTCAAAGACAGCCATGCGGGTCCCGAAGTGTGTTGGGATCACGGTGGGAGGATAGAGCCTCTGGGTTTGATGAACATGACCCAGGAAGAGAAAGATGTTTGTTCCTTTCCCCCCTCCTTATCGACAACTTATTAGGATAAGCGTTCCTGACTTTTTGTTCAGCTATTTTCCAGCTCCGTCAACTCTCCACTTAAACCTCCCCCGCAGAACGTTTCAAAGGATGGCAACGCGCCTGGGGGCTCAATGGGTCGTAAGGCTTCGTTTTCCCACTCGCAAGGCCATATGAATTCCTTCAATACCTCGTCACCGGGCACCGGCCGACCTGGTCCTCGGCGACGAGGCACTGGAGACTCCCTGGCAAACACAATGTCTCCGACCGGAAACACTCGTATGTTTCGTGATGAAGCAAACACGGCCACTCCGCCTCCATCTCTTTTGCGTCGAAAGACTGATTTCCGTGATTCTATATCAAATTCAAAGCTGGAGGAGAAGGAACAAGAGAGTTCGAATCGTGATGCACCGCTAGACATCACTTCTCCATTCGGGACTTTGAAACGTAGCGCTACCAATCCCCTTGGAACTAGCACCTCCTCGCCGTGGCCGACCGGCTCACATGGTTCTGCTTTCTCTCCGATGGGCTCATTTGGAAACTTTTCACTTGGACCCATAGCGTCGCCGACTGCGGAGAAGAAAACTAGCTTTGGAAGTTTACGAGGTGAGAGTCGCTTTAAGAATCTGTTGTCTAAGAGCAGTTCAGAGGATATGGGTACGAACTCCAAGGAGAAACCATCTATCCTCGACCGTCTACCCGAAACGGAGAACGATAATCCTCCACCAAGCCAACCGGAGGTTGTACAGACTCGTCCGGCGCGTAGCGACACCAATCCGTTTGAAGAACCTAGAAGTGGGAGTGCTGCTCTTGGTGGACAGGATTTGAATCCTCCTAGTACTGGAATTGATCAGTTTGGGTTGTCGTCGTTCGGCCTGCCCTCCTCCACTCATACTCCCAGCCGGCTCCATGGCCACGAGCCTATGAGCCCGACTCATACCAACCCATACCAATCCCCGCATGAAGAGCGGGGTGATGCGGACGAGGTTGCCACGAATGGATCCGATATACAGCATGCGCATTTGCCGAGTCTTACTGAACTCCGTGAGGACTCTGGCCCTTCAGCATTTGGTTCTTTTCCTAGGAGTGCGGCAACTGGTGACATTACAGCTGGAGATCGAAGCCAAACATCGAGTGTAGGAGGAAATCGAAACTTTTCGGGACTGGGCGGTCTCGGCGGCCTTCCTCCGCTTGCTACATCTGCGGGTTGGCCAACCTCAGCTACAACAGGCACTCCCACTCGGGAGAGATCCGCATTTATGGGTGCATTCGGTGATCCTATTTTTGGTCCAATGTCCGAGCTGCAGTCTCCTAGTTTGTCATCTCTGGGGGCTGGTGGATTTTTTGGATCACACACCAACCTTTCGAGCGCTACAAACACTCGACCTAGTAAGCTTGGATCCCTTTTCCCACCTGCAATGCAAGACCAAATGCGTGAACAGTCACGATCCGATCTTCCGGGAAATGAAGGAGCCGCAAGACCACAGGGTGAGTAGTCTTCGTCAATGTTGCATTTTTGATCCGATCCGATTCACTAACTTTTTGACTAGACCCTTTTATGACTGAGAAACCAAGCGCGAATCACTCCGCTACTGTTTCTGCATCTCAGACCCCAGTCTCAGCTGTTGGACAAGGTTCGGTTTCCGTAAGCCAGCCACCACCGGAAGGCAGCTCCCAGGTGAATCAAGGTTCTGGTCAGTGCGGCGGCACTCCTTCTGCGAATCAACTCCCAGCTGCTCAGCAGAGACAAATGGTCATGCCCGATCGCATGCGGTGGATCTATCGCGACCACAAGGGAAACACTCAGGGACCGTGGTCTGGCCTTGAAATGCATGATTGGTTCAAGGCTGGTTTCTTCACCGCAGAGCTTCAAGTTAAGAAACTCGAAGACGCTGAGTATGAACCATTGGGCCAACTTGTTCGACGTATTGGCAATTCTCGAGAACCTTTCCTTGTTCCACAAATTGGCGTTCCTCACGGTCCTCCAACCACTCAAGCTCCATGGTCTTCGAGTTCACAAAGTGGCGTTGTCCAGCCTCCGTTTGCTAACAGCTTCCCAAGCTTCGGTACAACTTTGACAGCCGAGCAGCAGAATGCACTAGAACGACGAAAGCAGGAAGAACAGTACATGATGGCTCGTCAAAAGGAGCACTTGGCACAACAGCAAGCGCTGCTAAAACAGATGCAGTTCCAAAATCCCGCCCATACAATACATCCACAGCTGCAACATCATTCTAGCGCCCACAGTCTTCAGAGTCAGCCGAGTTATGGTAGTATCACTTCACCGGCAACATACCAACCCCCTCCTACCATGCAGGCTCCAATCCAGCCTCCACAGCCCCTTCCTGGATATTTCGATCCGCAGACGAGGCCAGGTGCGATGCCAAATGTTGCACCTCAGATGCCTATTCAAGAGCCTATTGGAACTCAAGATCAGCTGCCCACTTTACTTGATCGTTTGAATATCAACCGCACCGGGCAGTATCATTTCGGTACTGGCCCTTCCTTTGCAGCAAGGCAACCCGAAGGCCCCGTGCATCCTGAAGCGGTGACAACAATGTTGCAAGATCGAGCGCATCTCCAGCAGGAACAAGATCAATTTAATAAAGGCCAAACTGATTCTATCTTTGACCAGCAAGCCCGTGAGGAGCGCCTGCGCCAATTTCATGCGCTGAGAGGTGCGGATGAAGAGATACCAGCGCGTAAAACTGAGGGACTCCCAACCCACCCACCAGCTCCTGCGATGGACCCTGGACACGAAGAAGAGATAGCCTCCATGCTTAATGCTCAGGCTCAACAGTCGCAAACCGTACCGGCCAGCAACGAGACCCCACTTTCTCTTACACAGCAGGTGCAGAATGCCGCAACGGCGCAAAGGTTGCAACAACAGATCCAACAAGCCCAAGCACCGGCCGTCCAGCAGGAGTCCCCCTGGCAAAAGGTTGATAATGGAATGCCGCAGCCATTCCCTCCACCGCCTTCTCAGTCCCCTCTTCCGGCCCCAGCTGCGCAAAGGAAACAGAATATTGCAGACACCTTAGCTGCAGGATCACGGTCACAGAGTCAAACACCTGCTGCCGAAGCCCAAACCACATCTATTGCACCTTGGGCAACACAAGCAACTGAGATGCCGAAGGGACCGTCCCTGAAAGAAATTCAAGAAGCTGAAGCTCGCAAGGCCGCCAAGTTGGAAGAGGCTGCTGCTGCCGCTCGTCGTGCACTTGCTGAACAAGAGCGCGCCAACCAGCCACCACCGCCTGTCCCCGGTCTTCCGTCAACAGCCAATTGGGCGAGTGCTGGATCTCCTGCTACCCCAACCCCAACTGGCTCTGTCTGGGCGAAACCCATCGCTGGAAAACCCTCAACCCCAGGTGCAACTGCACCAAAGAAGACCTTAGCACAAATCCAAAAGGAAGAGGAGGCCCGTAAGCAACGCCTTGCTGCAGCAAACACACAAGCTAATGCAGTGAGTACCGCCGCCACATCCGCAGGTAAGCGTTATGCCGACCTTGCGAGCAAGGTTGCCCCTCCAACTCAAGCATCGTCTGGCGGTGCTTGGACGACAGTTGGAGCCGGTGGGAAAGCAAAAGCACCAGCCGCTCCTCCAGCGCCCACGCGGGCTGTCACTAGTGCTGCACCTGTAGCCTCTCCCGCCAAACCGAGACCGGTCACAGTTACGCGGTCAACCACTGTTGCAGCACCCGCCAACCCAAACAGGGCGACTGAGGAACTGTCGAAATGGGCCAAGCTTGCATTGGGTGCCGGATTGAATAGTGCTATCAATGGTAAGTTTTCATATTAGTAAAAAGGCAATTGTGATCCTTCTCATTGACCTTGGCGGTAACAGTTGATGATTTCGTTCAACAACTTCTCCTTCTTCCGCCAGAGACCGAGATCATCTCGGATTGTGTCTATGCCAACTCCCAGACCCTTGATGGTCGCCGATTCGCCGAAGAGTTTGTTCGCCGCCGCAAGCTTGCGGACAAGGGAATCGTTGATCCGATCCCGACCACTGGCGGAAATATGTTTGGTGCTGGTTTATCGGACTCCAAGGGCGCTTCCGATGGGTGGAACGAGGTTGCTAAGAAGGGTTCCGCCAATGCTCATCGGGATGATGGAAACACAGCGTTCAAGGTCGTCTCCAAGAAGAAGGGAAAACGGTAAATGCGTGCGACTGGGGAGAAGTTTGGTGACTTGAAGCAAAACCTACGTATTCCAGCATTGTCAGCGGGCAAGACAAGCGATTTTCACGCGGCATTTTTCTGTTGTCATTCTGGCCTTTGGCGCCTGGTTTTGTAAGAATAGTTTTCTACATTTATATCTGTTTCCTTTTTTTTTTTCTTTTTTTCCTTTTTCCCCCTAGTTTGATGTGATTGTGTGTAGTTGCATATGCTGCTGATCCCGACTCATCACGAAGTACCTGGTGTCGCCTTGATGTACTGTATGCGACAATGCATTTGATGCTCATTTCCATCTCCAGCTAAAGCAATTCTCTATATGCTAGACTAATGCAAATCCTTTCTCGTGGACCTCTCCTTTCTCATGCAGCGATTTGGGACTGCCGCCATAGTTTCCGCAGAACACCCGTGGGATCATTCACCCCACTCTGAAAAAAAACTTAGAAAAAGCCGGACCTTCTTTTCCATGTTTTCAAGGTAGTTGGAATGGTGGGATACGGGACCGGCCTTCCATGTCAACCTCATTCTTGGTCTCTGCTCCTCCAGCGACGCGATCTGCCTTTCCGAGTCCAGCCGTCTGCCAAGCCGGTTTCTGCATCTGATAACAAGTTAAGCTCACGCCCTTGCGTTCCACATGGTTTGATGCCCCGTTCGGCGGAGCTGTGACGGCCGTAACCGATTTTATGGGAGGGGGAAGCTCCATATTCAATATCACAAAGAGGGGGTGAGTCACAATTGATTGCTCCTACAAGAAGGACGACACATCCGTGGCTCGGTAGAGTGAGGTCTGACTTGACCATCAATGATCATAGGCATTATCTACAGAAGCCTGCGTTTTTGTTCTTGACAGTACGTCCAGTATCCCTCTGAACCTCAGTTATTAAGGAGACGTGAGAGATTCACAGAAAGGGGAGCGTCCATTTGAAGGGAAAGAAAAGCAGCAATGGGATCATTATCGCCAGCCGCCTCTGACAACAAGATGGTTGCCTTTGGGAAACCCATGCGAAAGCTGTTCCCGCTGCACCCAGATTGGACGAATTTAAATCATGGTATAGGACATTGCATCCCTATCTGTGTTTCTGCTTGTCATGTCTTTCTACGATGAGAGTGAACGATGACGTTCTGACCAGGTCGTAGGCTCCTTCGGAACTTTCCCCCATGCCGTCCGCGAGGAACGGCAGAGATTCGAGGACGAGTTGGATGGCATACCTGATACATTCATTCGGTATGCCAGTCCTGGATACATCGATAACTCTCGTGCTGCGTTGGCCAAGTACCTCAACGTGCCCATGAATGAAGTGGTCTACGTCAAAAATGCCACCACCGGGGTGAATGTCGTTCTGCGGAACTTGGTGTACAAGCCTGGTGATATTATTGTGTATTTCTCCTGCATCTATGGTGCTTGTGAGAAGACGATTGCGTATCTGGCGGAGGTAACGCCTCTGAAGGCCAGAAAGATCATGCTGGAATTTCCATGCACACATGATGATATCATTCAAAGATTCACGGACGTCGTGAGGAAGGCGAGAGCAGAAGGATTGAATGTCAGGATTGCTCTGTTTGATACCATCGCCAGCCAGCCAGGCTTGCGGCTCCCGTTTGAAAGGCTGGTGGAAACCTGTCGCGAAGAAGGTATACTATCCTGCATCGACGGCGCTCACGGGGTTGGACAAATTCCCTTAGACCTCGCGAAATTAAACGCAGATTTCTTCGTGAGCAATTGCCACAAGTAAGTATCACCTCTTCCTCGCGTTCCTCGCCAGCACAAACCGACAATTCCTCTCCAGATGGCTCTACACCCCCCGTGGGAGCGCCGTCTTCCACGTCCCCGTCCGAAACCAACACCTCATCCGCACCACCCTCCCCACATCATGGGGCTTCCAACCTGCCCCCGATGTCCTCTCCGACGCTGTCCCACGTTCCTCCAAGCCCATACGTTTCCCCTCCGTCCTTCCTCCCGGTGGCTCCAAATCCGCCTTCGAACACCTCTTCGAATACGTCGCCACGAACAACGATATTCCCTACTTCTGCATCCCTGCCGCCCTTAAGTTCCGCCAGGAAGTCTGCGGCGGAGAAGCCCGCATCATGGAGTACTGCGAGAACCTAGCCTTCGAAGCGGGGAATCTCGTGGCCAAAATTCTCGGCACGGATGTCCTCTGTGAGCCGGGTGCTGAGATGCAGACAACCCGCGGTGCCAGTCAGTTCCGTCGCTGCGCCTTAGTTAATGTGCGTCTGCCTATTGCTGTAGATGATGGTACTGGTGCGCATCATGAGGGAAACAAAGGGTACCCTGTCATTAAGCTGTCTTCCGTCGAGCCGCTGGCGCGATGGATCGAAAAGGAACTGACATATAAACATAACACGATGCTTCCCGTGTTCCATGTGGGCGCGTGGATGTGGGCTCGACTGAGTGCGCAGATCTACCTTGAGCTAGAGGATTTCGAATGGGTGGGAAATGTCATGAAGGGTATCTTGGAGAGAGTTGCGAAGGGAGAAGGGCCGGGGGGATTGGAGATCGACTTGGAGAATTTGAAGATCAATTAGATACATCAGAGGATGGTTCGATTTTTCGACAAGAATTTTGGATTGGGTATACATCGCTGTGAAAGAATTGTCGCGAGAATATATAAACTCGGGCGAGAACCGCCTCCAATTTCCTAAATGTTGCACGCCAATTAATATAAGACAAAACATCCTATGCCCGGTGCGCCATCAACCATAAAGTTATTTCATGCCATCATCAACAAAAAGTCTTTTTTTTTCCGATAAAAATCATCGCTTAAAATGCCACAGGAAACAACCATCCGAATATTGCAAATTTTATTTTTGGCATCAATACTTATTAGCTACCGCTATTGCCACCCCCACCGAAGTGAGTCCTCATCCACCAAGCAAATCGACCATTCCCACCGCCACCTGACGGAGGTTGCTGATTGTTATGTGCGCCATTTGATTCTGACGGGTCGTCGGATACGATATACGGGTTTGATCTGCTGCCCAACCCAGGCGGTGAAGACGATGACTGTGAAGCAGCAGAATCCTGGGACGACTGATTTTGTCGATAGGTCTCCATTATTCCTCTGCGGCAGTGCGGGCATGTATCATGTTCAACTAACCACGCCGAGATGCAGTTTCCATGGAACCAGTGCTTGCATGGTAATTCGGTGACTTCTTCTTCGATTTGTACAGAGTCCATGCATATAGAGCATTCTGCTTTACCATCATGACCCAACATCGTCTTATCAACTTGCTTCTTCGGCAGGGCTTGAATGGCTTCCTCCGACGCGGGTCCGGGTGCATTACTGTTGGCTGTTTGCTCTATTAGTTCTGATATTACGCGGTCGAGCTCCTCTTGAGAATAAACCGCGTCACCGTGACGCCCCAACCCCATTATTCGCGCCACAATCTCAAGTGGATTTGGCGCAACAAGAGGCACACCCCCTATTCGACCAGATGGATCTCGCGGTCTGGCGTTGCGTTCCATGAAATCTTGTTGGAGCATTCTTAATATACTAATACCGATGTTAGCCTGATACTCAAAGTTAGAAGAGAGATAGAGCTTACTCATCTACAGTCGCAACTGGGGTCGTATGCTCTTCACCGTGATTCTGCTGGCCCCTAAAGTCGCTTCTGATCCCTGGAGGTTCATTTGCAGGAAGTGGTTGCGGCTGGTTTCCAGAGGCGACTATTCCTTGAAATAGAGCATTAAGATTCGCAAAAAGAGGTATTAAAGGATCGGACCCTGGCATGCCTTGAGGAGGTTGTCGCTGGAAGGGCATCCCTCTCATCGGGGAGCGGATAGTGGTGCTGGTATATGTAACTCTGCCATCGCCGGAGCGATATTGGTGCCGGGTTATGTTCTCTCCTAAGTACTGTTCGAACGGGTTCTGGGGCATGCCATAGTGGTCGTTAATCGGCTCTTGGGGCGGCGAGGGGGAATCTCTAGGGAGGGGCTCGTCCTCCCCCTAGCAATTTTGTTAGCAAAAAGCCACATAAAACAGCATAGCAATCACTGCAGGAGAGAGCACTTACAATAAACTCCACAAATTCAGACTGACAGTGAGGACATGACAGCCCATGCTCACTTCTCGGCCATCGCTGTGAACACTGGTGGCAGTAGATCATGGTCGCGTTTATTGTGTCCGCCATGTCTGCGGAATCATGTAGAAAAGAAAGCAAAATGGAAATTCAACGGCAAAAGGTGTCCTTCAATTAATGATTTAATAGAACCTGAGACTGGGCATCTAGTGAGAAAGTTGTGTCACAGGGTTGGGAGATACGGGGTGGCAGGAGACATGTGCGGAGTATCTGGTACCCTTAGCACAAAGTTATAACGCTCGCAAAGTTCCTTTTTAAATGATATATGTATAACCCGGAGGCTCTTCTGGAAATGTTTCCTCTGCAGGACGGAAAGGAACGGGTGGTGCTTGGAGCTGTTTAACAGTAGTAAGTTTGCTCGAGGGGAAACAAAGTGCGGCACGGGTAAGGTCGGACGGGCTCATCAGAGATAGGCGACCTGAGGTGCCCTGAAAACTGGCCTGGGACAGCGAAGTGCAAGATAGCCGGCGGCTCGAAGGAGACTTGTGCCTCTCTGCGTCTCGTCGTCGGCTGTTGCTCAGCTGCTCATCGTCCAGCAGCGAAGTTGCCAGCCGGACTGCCGCATGACGTTGGACTGAGCTAACTCCTGCTGAGGTAAGCATTGGAACTCCGCCACAGCGATCACGTGGTATGTCTTGGGACTTGGAAGGTTGCCGAGGCCGAGGAGAGAAACGGAGAGGAGTGAACAACGGGGGGAAGTGAGGTGAATGGGAGAGGGAGAGTGTGAATGAGAAGACCGAGAGTGACAGCAAAGAGGGGTGATGGGCTGGCCAGATGTGAAGGGGGAGCAAGCCTGGGGTTTGCTAGGCATTCAGTAGCAGGTTCATAGGACATATGTACAGTAACATATACGAATTAGTATGTAGTAATCCAAAAGGGTATGATGAAGCCAGCAAAGCTCATTGAAGACAAAAAAGGAAAAAATTGACAGCAGGTGATCGTGCTCAAACAAAGAATACAAGACAATGCACCAAGAAACGCCTTTCCAATGCCCACTTCGCTTCTCAACTGGCGGCACAAATCAAGGTAGGACAGGCTGTGATGTTGGGACACACAGATACTTGTGGCTCCTTAGCGTCTCTTTGCTCCCTTCATAATAAGACCACCAACTAGGCCTGCCGCAAGGGCCACACCGCCTAGAATCGCAACACCCACAAGTCCCTCTTTCGCAACTTTATCGTCAATTAGCGACCGTAGACTCGCAGCCTGCAGGTTCTGGGGCTCGTGATCGAGCAGGAGGTCATTGTATCTTCGTGCTTCGCCGTAGTTACCCAGTTTATAGTTGCCAAGAGCAAGATAATAAAGGCATTCACGCCTTCGTTCGGGAGCGGTGCGGAAGATCTCTGACAGTAACCGGACGCCTTCTTGTTGCTCCGGACGAGAGTTGGATTTAATTAAGCCCTATGGACGTTGCGTGGTCAGTGGCAGAGAACCAGGGCTTCAACAGCTGTAGAACATACCCAAGCGTAATTGAATTTGGTTTGTACTCCGACGTACTCGCCCTCCTTCTCATACTGTGCTCGTAGAACCTGGAGTTCCGCAGGTTTCAGCGGGCTGTATCAAGTCAGACCACGTTCCCCAACTGTCAAAAAGAAATAACTAAACTCGGCTTCGCTAACGGCGTATGTTGAGAGCCTGGCGAGAACTGCAGTCTTCTTACCTTTCTGCATCCGCCGCATCTATGAAACCGGTTAGTGAAGTCTGCGGAACCAATTTGCCTGGAGACTGGCAGGGGCTAGACCTACATGGAAGTTGTGAGGCCATGGCTTACTAGCCTTCTCGGTGACTCAAGGAGTGCAGAGGACAGGAGACAGACAGGCTCGCCTTCGTCGAACTTTGCTGGCTGATTCGAAACAAAGACGGCGAGAAGGTTGTTTTTGCGGCCACCTGTGGCGGTGCGGGTTCACCTGCCCGGGGCCGGCGCTTTTCTAGAACGGGCAAAACGTCAACACGGCTAAGCCAGCTGCTGACCTCATCACGAAAACCACTTCGGGCGAAAGTGGGCATCGTGAGCAGCAGAGCAGCGGCCAGCGGGCACCGCAGAGAACCAGCCGTCGAGACGCATCTGGAGCTGTTCCTGAAAAATTGTCGAGTAGAGCATCAAGTATAACATCAATTGCTTTGGTTGGCCTGCCAAAATGCTTCTTGAAGAAGACCCAGCCACGGTACGGCTCCCGCAACCCCTCAAGCAGACTGGACACTTCGCTGACTCTCTTCTCAAGCTGATCCACCACACCGTTACCAACTTCAACATCCAGCCTGACAAACAAACCGTTACGCGCATCAACGACTCCCTCTCCTCCCTTCAGCAGTCCCGCGACCTCCGCATCCGCGATGCAGAAATCTCCCTCCGCAAACTAGCCCGAAGCCTCAACACACTTACTGCCCAGCACAACGAGACCGTCGCGTCTCACGATCCAGCCCGTCATGCTGCGTCCATAGTAGAACTGGACACGAAAAAATTTCGAATTGCGAAGGCGGCTTCGGAACTTGAGATCGAGAGTGAAAGGTTGGAGGCCGAGCTCGAGGCGTTGAAAGCTAGGTTGGCAGAGCTCGATGCTCAAGGCCTAGAAGGGGATGAGCAGGTGAGAAGGGAGCGAGAGGCGGATGATGCGACGATGTGAGCAAAGCTATCTACCCTGAGGCAGGCCCGCCAAGTGCTAACTTCCCTTTTTTTTTTTTTTTTTTTTTACACAGATTACGGCTCAAGATCTACCGCTCGCTGGGAATCGATGTCGAGGCTGATGAGTCGGGGAACTATACCAAGGCCATCATTCGGAATAGTCGAAAGGGAGATGTTCATGTTGTGAATATAGATCCCAAATTCTCACGACTCTTTTATGCGAATTACTTCTGGCAGACAATGCAGGGCTAGTGTACGGATGGTATGGTCTTTGGGTGGAGTTCTCTGGCGTTAAGAATGGCGTTCTGAGTCCTGGTCAATTGGTGATGGTGCTTCTTGTTGTATTGTCCTGTCGTGATCTGTGGTGCCGCCAATAGTATACGGAGTACACAGTTCTCGCTTTTTCTGAGCGATGACTGAAAACAATTAAATGTATCATTCATGAGTACCCTAAAGGTGTATATGTCTAACATCGAACCCAAACCCAGGTCGCTTTTTGTTCCTTTTTCATATCACAAACGCCAGTATTGAACCGCGTGCCATACTATACAGATCATCACTTTCTCTTCTTCCCACCGCCTCCGTCTCCGCCCTCGTTCTTCCGCTTCTTGCCCTCGCGACTCCAAAATTCGCCCTTTTCCCTCTTCTCTCTAGCCGCCTTCTTCTCTAAACTCTCCGCCACCTTGGCACGATATACCTTTCGTCGTTCCTCCTGTGCCGCCTGCCTCTTTGCAACCTTCTCATTACGCAACGTCGTCAGCTTTTGCAACAGGTCTCGGGCCTTCTTTTCTTCCCCGCCCAAAACCACAGCTCGCTTCTGCATATACGTCTCCTTCTTGCGGGGTCGCATTTGGACAATCTGGGATTTGAAAGGGAGATCCGAGGCAAGTTGTCTTGGGACGCGGAGCGGGTTAAAGTGCCTGGTGGGCCGGTCGATGGGGCGATATGCGGAATCTTTCTCAAGGGGAGTTGGAATGCCCTGGTCACGCCGCACTTCGCCTGTTAAACGCATGCTCTTCCATCCTCCCTTGCCCTCTCCGTCTTCGACGTCAAGGAGGTTGGTTACTGGGTTGTAGAATCGGGCCGGTTTAATCGGGTACCAAGTACGCAAGAAAACGATATCGCTCATGAGAATCTTATCTTCAAATGTGGCACGGAAATGACCTTCGGGTTTGCTGAGAGCACGTTTAATCTGTCCTCGAATGCCAGACACTGTGCGAATAGCTGCGCCTTCGAACTTGGCAATTTCAAGGGCGGAATTGAACATGTCCTTAATAAAAGCCGTATTTCGGAAGATTTTATATGGATAACCGGTGAGCTTCAGCTTCTTCACAATCTCGCAGCCTTCATCGACACTTAATACGACTCCGGTGGCAGCTATTCTGAATCCCGGATTTTTGTTCGAGAATGACTGGACGCAGCAGAAGCCGGTGTTAGGTGCAACTAGTGGGCCGTAGAAAGTTCCAAAACAATGCATATGCTCCGGGGTATATTTCAACATTCTGTTTCGGGTTCGAGAATCCGAGATGCTGTAAATAGGGAGGGTCTGGAATCGTCGCCAGCCAAGGGAGAAGATTAACGGATCGTTGGTCTTGAGGATTTTTTTGTGCCATCGGTGCCTCTTAATCCTAACTTGGACGAAACCGAACCGCTCCTCTGTGGGTGCTAAGCCTCCCACGATGACTGGAAAACGGGGATTAAACCCCGTGGAGAATTCACAGGGAACATTCTCCAGCACAATTCGTGCATATGTCCCGGCTCTATATCCTTCAGCCCTGGCTCTGGAGAGCGAATCCAAGTTATCAAACTCGGCTCGATTAATGTCGAGTTGTTTTTGTAGTGCTGCTTTCTGTGCATCATACCACTCGTCCTCGCCAAATTGTTCTTCGTCTCCATCACCCCGGGTGCCCTCTTTCGCGTTAGAAAACCCCTCCCTATCCTCTTCCTCGAATCGCAATTTGAGCTCTTCTTTTCTTCTGGCATTCTTCTCACGTTCTGCTTCAAGGCCTTCCGCGCCGCTCTCCTCATCGTCGCCCTCCTCTTCCTCATCGTCACCACTTCCCGGTTGCCCACTCACCACTTCGCCGGTCTCAAGGTCCTCAAAAGCCCCGTCTCCTTCGGAATCGCTGTCACCGTCCTCATCTTCATCAAAACCTTCTTCGTCACCTGATGCGTGTTCGGAAAATTTAACGCTGGCGAACCGCTGCCGTAAAAGCTCCAGATTTTCCTCATCTTGCCACTTCTGTTCAAGTTCTTCATAATCGAAGATTGGAATCGTCCGGTCATCAAGCTCTTGCTTCTCTACATTCGTTTTCTTGAAAAAATCATCAGCATCTTCCTCCTGTTCCTCACCAGACCGCGGGAGATCATCTCCGCGCCACTTTCTCGCGACATCCTCCGCAGGTATCGAGTTATCGTACAGCATACGGGTGAGTTCAGCAATACGATATGCCGGCTTTTTAAACAGCTCTTTTGCCTGAGCCGTCAGATTTTCTTTCCAATGCATAGTCCCATCATCCTCATCTTCGTAATCACTTGGCGCGCTTTCCAGGTCTTGATCCTCCACTGACGATATGGAACCAAGATCTGAATCACTATCGGCAAAGGCAAGATCACCATCGTCCGGTTGCTCCGAGTCATCTTGCTGTCTCTTGAACCGTGCATCAAAATCTGGTGGTGGTCCCACGTCGTCGTCGTATTCTTCCTCTTCTTCCTCGTCCTCCTCGGCACTTTCGAAACCTTCGTCTTCATCAACAATATCCCGGCCATTTGCTTCGCCGTCCATAAACCGGACCTTTCTTTTTTCCTTTCTCCCTTCTTCGCCAGTTCCAGCATCAATAATATCACCATCTCTGAAGAGTCGGACGCCAGCGGCGGTCTCGCCGAGCAGTTTTCGTTCACCCTGCAGCCCCATGACAAGCTGCTCTCCCAGACCCCGTTCCTCATCCTCGTCATCCTCCTCTTTATTAAATGTCGAAGTCTTCACGTCAATGTAGACAGCATCCTTATCAACCAAAACACCGCCAACGTCCGACATTGGTGCAAAGAGTAGCTTCTGTTTCTCTCCTAATCTCTTCCGGTTTGATTTTCCTGTTGCCTTCGCTATTGCCTGATCCATGTACGGCGTCGGACAAGGATCCGGCAGTGCTTCGATTGAAGACACATTAAGATCCCCCACGCCTGGAACGTGCACTCTGGCGCCAACCGCCGGAAAGTTCGTACCGCGTAGGTATCCATAGAGCGCAATGGTTCTATCGCATTTAGGATTTTCCTCTATCTCGGTCGGTGGGGTGATGTCCAAGAATCTGTCTGCCAGACAGTAGGGATGCGAATTTCTCCAAATCAGAGGACGAGGATTCTTCATGACAGACAGGAATCTGGACAGATTATGGATTTCGCGGTCGGGATAGCGTCCATTGATGACTCCGGATAGATAGAAAAGCTTCGCTCCTTGATATAGCTCACTCCAAAACCGATGCTTTAGTCGCTTCTTCGCCTGCCGAAGGGTGCTGATCTTTTTGAATAGATCCAGATGGGTAAGGATTCCGAACACATTTCCAGGCATTCCACTGGCTGATAGGGCGTTAAGAAACTCCATGGTCTCCATCTCGAAGCCATAATTGCCGTCGATCATGAGCAGTACGATATCTGCGATTTTCGCAACGTCGATCATACTCGCCAGCGAATCCGAGGGACATTCTAGGAATGTGAGTCTTCTTCGTTTCGACGTCACAACTGTGAGGGGACCCGTGGGAGAACTAAGTCCCTGCTTCGAGTAGCGTTTGATCAAGGATTTGATAAGAGTGGTTTTCCCGACCTAGAAATCGAAGAAAGGCGAGAGAGTCAGCCTCCAAAACGCGATTCTCCCAAACAGAGTCGAGGACGTACACCCGGAGGTCCCACCACCGCGACCACAATAGGAGGCGCCTCCTCAGGGAGGCGGTCCACGAGGGGGACATGCAGTCTCTTTTCTTTAACCTATAAACCAACATGCCGGTGAGTAGCTCGTTCTGCAAAGGCTATGGGGTCTAAACAGGTGTGGTAGGAACAGGGAGGAGGTGCACACATCATGGGATCTAGCTGCCTGTCTTTGAGAACGCCCAGGGCGTGAAACTGCGAAGGCTTTCACATTGGGACCTAGCATGCACTCGGTATTAGAATCGTCGCATTCCGCGCACTGTTGAAGCAGAACCTACCGCTCTTGTCTTTTGACTTCTTCCCCTTGTCCTTGGACTTTCTGTGGGGCTTGTTTGCCTGATCATCCATCTTGCAACAACCCTTTCACACAGCGCACAGAACAGGAGGAAAAGCTGCTGTTCCCAGCTTGCTGTTCACTGTGTGCTATCCCTCCTGTCCCAAAAATTGTTTCTTTGCGGAACTTATATTCAGCTGACTCAGCAACCATAAACTATGAAGAGCTAGCTATTGTCTGGTGGCGATTCCAGTATGTTTCAGAAATAAAATCGGCCATTTTAGGCCTAATTCAGTTTCAAAAATAAAATTTAAAGACAGTTGAGAAATATCAAGTTCTTGTTGAATTTTTTCTTCTTTCGGTTTGATAGACTGAACAGTCTAACAGCAAATGCTTTGGCCCCTGGCCCTTAAGCCGCCCTAGGCTCATCCAGGGGTCAGCCAGGCCTGTAGGGAATGACAAACGCAGGGGGATACTTACACCTTAAGTAGGCTAGTAAGTTCTACCCCGTAAAGTTGAGGGGATCCTTCCTTTGGTGTTGTTTTAGCAGTCAACTGACGCCGCCCAGCTCTATTCTCTCGTTTCCCACAGAATACTATATAGCCTATCTTTTGCGGCATCTTTAATATTTTTTTGGTGTTTATATCTAAGCATTTTCTAGTCAACATGGCGAACTCCTCCCTTGACGAGATTGTCAAGAAGTATCCAATTGAATATAATTTCCTTCAGCCAATATTGGGTCGCCTTCAAGACGCGGAGCGGGTGTACATGACCGATGAATCAGGAGATGAAACTTGTCGAAAGAGTGTTCTAAGGTTGCTTTCTGTCCTACATACACAGGATGCAGCGTTTAACATTCCCACAAAGACAAGAAATCAAGATGTTGCTTCTGGGCTGGAAGGTTTATTCACGCACCTACGACAGTGTGATTTCAACTACAATCATTATCGCCCACTCGTCCGACTCGTCCTCGAGAAAGCACCAGATACAGATATCTGGAGAGCTGTGCTTGATCTCATCGGCACTCGCGAAACCACCCCGTCGAGCGTTCCCCCCTCGTTCGATGCTACGCCAGTGAGATTCACGTCATCGTCACAGAAAGGATCTGAGCAGACGCGTCGGCTGGTGGAAGGGAGGATATTTGAAGAGATTCGTGGGTGCACCTTTCGAGACGTGGGGGGCTTCTTCGCCAAATATTTTGAAGGAAAGGACTGGAGCGCCAGGGTGGATGCCATCTGTCAACGCATCCTGGAAAGTGAATGGGCCAAGTTCCCTGATCCCCCGGTGCAGGATGCTGTCCTTGACTGGTGGCTCCGGTTCCAGAACAACTTCCTCTCGGACGCGCGTGGTGTCTACTTCTTGACAATGAGCAAGAAGGATCTCGTCGGCTCGGAGGCAGAGCGACAGGTTGATCTTTTGCTAAAGGCCCGTCCACAGGTCCAGGGTGATTCGGGAGAGAAACATGACTGGAAGGATATCCGTGTGGTAGGTGAATTGAAGAAGTCATCGGACGAGATCCGGACAAAGGGCACACTGCTTCAGCTTGCACGCTATGTGCGGGAAGTGTTTATTGCCCAACCAGCTCGCCAGTTCGTGCATGCGTTCGCGGTCTGTGGGACCAAGATGGAGGCCTGGGTGTTTGACCGCTCCGGGCCCTACAGTTCTGGCGTGTTTGATGTTTATAAGGACTCAGAACAGTTTTTTCGTATAGTCCTAGGGTACGCGATGATGAGTGATGAGGAGCTGGGTCTTGATACCTTCACCACCCCAGACAGGAATGCCAGCCGCACAATAACTGTCAATGGCTCTGAAATTGCAGACAAAATATTGCTGCGACTTGATCCCACTCCACTCTGCTCCCAGTATGCCATCGTATGTCGCGGAACAACCTGTTTTCTTGCAAAGAACAGCGATAAAGTGGAGGGTGTGGCGAAATTCTCATGGACATCTGACAAGCGACGGCCAGAGGTTGACCTCCTCCAGCTTGCATACCAGAGAGGTGTCCAGGGGATCGCGAGAGTCCTTGGGTACCGCACTATCATCAGCATTGCGGACCTACGCCGCGGCCTGACATTCGGCAATCCTCACACCTTTCAAAGCAGGAACACCAGCGCGGCCTCATCGCTCGCGCAGTCGCAATCGCGATGTAAGCTATCCCGATCGCTCACCAGAAAACGCAGATCACCCGACACCAGACCACATGCAGCCAAGCGATCGCGTTCCAGCAGCCAGCAACCGAAAGCAAAACAGTTCGAGAATGAGCTAACTTTCACTGTTGAGTCTGTCCATACACCTAGCCTCTTTGACAAGGATGATGAAGTTTATGATAACCGCATCCTCCGCTGCCTGGTGGTCTCACCCGCTGGCCGGCCCATTTATGAATATAAATCGCCTTTGGAGCTGCTCATGGCGCTTCAAGATGCAATAAAGGCTCATCGGTCTCTCTACCTTGATGGGAAAATCCTACATAGGGATGTCTCGGAGAACAACATAATTATAACTGACCCTAACAGGGTTGGCGGCAGGTCAGGCATGCTCATTGACCTTGACCTTGCCAAGGAGGTTGGGAGCGGGCGAAGTGGTGCACGACACCAAACAGGAACGATGGAGTTCATGGCTATTGAGGTGCTGCTCAATGTGGATCACACCTATCGTCATGATCTTGAGTCTTTCTTCTACGTGCTTATCTGGCAGTGTGCTTGTCACGGCTGGAGAAAATCTAAGCAAGGACTGGAGCAGCCCAAAAACAGCCTTCTAAAAAGGTGGTATACTGGCAGCTATGAGGAAATTGCAACTTACAAACGAGGCAACATGGAAGCTGGTGGATTTGAGCGTATTTTGATGAAGGAATTTCCTCCATGTTTTGACTGTGTCAAGCCGCTCTGTAGAGCCATACGAGACATACTTTTTCCTTATGGGAAGAAAGGGCTTATTGTTGGCACCCCGCAAGATCCAAAAAGGCTGTACGGTCCCATTATCAAGGCGTATGAGGACACGATAGCTCTACTTGAAGCTGGAAAGGTTTAATGACGGACTACAGAAGAATCATCCAGTTTGTCTTATTCAAGGATTATAACGTAAATCGTTAGATCCATAACTCATGGCCGAAAGGCTGATATCCAGGCTATGCAGTATGCCAAGGGACCTTGGAACAGATACCTTTCTCCGGTGACCGTCGTCACAGTGCTGCGGAAGGAGGTCCAGGTGTAAGGATTCTACTTCAGGTTCAGCAAGATAAAGCTAGCTTCATTGAAAGGACAGCGAGTTTGGAGGGGCCCGTTGAGATAACTAGTTCGGGATAGTTGAAACTTGATTCTCTGCGGGGCACTCCCTACAGAGTTAATAAACCACCTTGGAAATCCCCAAACCGCCAGAGGGTTCAATCAATTGGGAAGGGAGCAAGATGGTCTATTAAAACTGACAGAGACGGTATGCTTATCATTCATACTAAGCTATAGGGAAGTTCGAAAGCTGAGTGACACGACCTCATCCCATGCACCCACTTGTTGCCGTAACTCTCGAACCAAGAGGGCGGAGAGAATAAAAGCTTCACCCAGTCGAACGGTGCTTACAGCATCCTCCATCACCAGGGAGCATGCAATCGTGCACCGCGCCAGCCTGGAGATTCTTGATTTATTGAGGGTCGGGGAAGAGATTACCGCATGCAATTACTTCTAAAGCCTAAAGTGCCTAGATGAATCTATAATCACTTCCCACCCCCTGTACTCTGTAAAGGCCCAGCAAACCAGAGGAAAATATCAGCAGGCACAGATTACCTTAGTGAGACAATTGCAGGCCAATCTGTCTGGTTCGGCAGCTCACTATTATCGTACTCTGTATTTTATTCTATGCTTATCCAGCCCGCGCACAAGTAGTTAAAACAGTTAACTTCGGAATAGGGTTGAATTCTAACTCGAGACATCAAAGTCAAGTATGAGGTCCTAAATAAAAGGTGGGATCCCGACAGTCAGCGGTCATGGTCCAATCAATCAAGTTGCTTGTCTCTTTTCCAGAGTCCCACTAAGGCAAACAGAACCCCAATCGCGAGCCCCTAACTAGCCCGATCCGGGACATCCAACGGAGAGCAGGTCCCTCGCGGGAAGCCGTCGAAGGTGCTTTGAATGCCACTCTGCTGAGCCCAACGCAGCCCTCATCATACCCAAATTGCCCGTCCCTGACCCCGCGGGATTTGGTTTCGCCCCGCCCCATCAGGCCATCCAGGCGTTGCGTGGTGAAACTTGCAAAAGCCCCGCGCTAGCTCGCGGAGCCAAAAGCGGGAAACGGTTACATCGAGCCAGTTAGTGATTACCTACCTGCCTCCAAACCGCAGTGCGAGACGGCTCTTCGGCAGACGACGAGTTGCATGCACCGGTTTGAGTAACTGCTATTATTGCTTTTGCACGATACGCTGTGTCGACGTCACCGATTGCGGATCTGCAGATTTGAATTATTAATCCAAGATTGAAATCATTTGCGGGGTCGAAATATCTAAGGATTGAGGGTGGGGAGAGAGAGTAAGACAGAGAGCAAGAAAGACAAAAAAGAGAGAGAGAGGCACAGAGAGAGGGGGAAAGAGAGACGTGCAGGCAGGTTTGGTTTAAATAGCACTATAGTGCCGCTCGGTAAGTTCGTTTCTTGTTCTTTTTCTTCTTTTAATTCAAGCTCCGTGGGAAGTCATTGGAAGGATAGGTGAGTACAGCTCTACCGGTTTGGGCGACTTTCAAGAGCTCTCGCTGAGTAGCATCTAGGAACAATGGCCCCAATTCGTCCAGCTCCAGCCTACGACGCTCCTGCAGGCTCGCCAGTTCATGCCGACAAGGCATTCTACACCCGCGTAGCCGAGACAGCAAACAAACCCGGCGGCCGCGTCCTCGAATACTCTGCTATCATCCGTCCACGCGCCGGTCACGCATGGAAGGTTCGTGCCGGCCAGGTCTGCAGGATCACCGCCCCCGAGGGGCCCCAGGTCGGCGACTTCAACATCTGGAACCTGCATAACCCCCGCGAGCGCTTCTGGGCAACGCGCACCCGGCAGATCCACCAGAGCCACGTCTCCGTGTTCGATCGCCTGTGGTCCTGCCTACCGTTCATGCGGCCCCTTATGACCATCACTGCCGACTCGCTGGCGGACTACGGAGTTGACGAGTACGGCGGTCGTGTCCACGACTGCCTGGGCACCCGATGTGATCCGTACATCAACCTGCTGATGGGCGGCGAGAGCGACGATTTCCACTGCCATTCAAACCTCACTCGCGCCGTGGCCCCTTACGGACTCAACGAATTTGACGTGCACGACGTGATCAACGTGTTTCAGGTGACGAAGCTCGATGAAAAGGGTAGATATTGTATGGGCGCTTCTCCCGCAAAGAAGGGCGACTATTTCGAATTCTTCGCCGAGGTCGATCTGCTCTGCGCCTTGTCGACCTGTCCCGGCGGAGATCTCTCCCACTGGGGCTGGGATGGAAGCGGCGAAATGCGCGAAACCGCCCGGCCGTTGGGCGTAGAGGTTTACAACATGACGGACTCGAGTATCTTGGACGGATGGAAGTCCCCCGAACCCTCTAAATATAAGGGTATGCATGGCATTAAGATGCCGGCTCGGGAGCCAGACTCCACAGTCGTAGGATTGTGAACAATTCATCTGAAGATAATTGGACTATGGCATTGAAAAAAAAATTTTCCTTCTTTTAACCCCTCTTAGTTGTGATCTTTGAGATATCTATTTACTTTGGCCAAAAAAAAAAAAAAAAGTTGATCTCATACCGTTGTAACGAACGAGATATTCTCTAGTAATTTCAACTGACTTCAGGATGTTTGGACGCGTGACAAATCGCCACCGGCAATCCTTGAATTGCGTTGTGCTAACCGATCTCTATATATCTATCTATCTGTTTTATTACTGATTAACTTGGCTAAATATGCCTGTACGGCGCAGGGCTATAGAGCTGCTGCCCATCCTTCTTGAAACCTTCAATAACCTTCTGCCCACCCTCCTTGCTCACCAACCACTTCGCAAACTCCTTTGCCATCTCGGCATTTTTCGCACGAGCCCCGACCAACAAATGTGCAGGGTTCAGTAGTGGATCATCCGCGTCGTTGGTGCCCTTTTTATAAATGACCATCTGGTCACGCAGGCCACGGGGGATGGAGAGGTACGTCCCGTAATCGGTGATGGTGTATTCCCTAAGCAGAATGGCGGCGGTGAGGGCCTGGATGGGAAAGGTGATGTACTGATGATACCAGGTTGAGTAGGCGGTGGCCCAGGGGACCTGTACAAGCCCCAATTTTAGCCAAAACAAAGATAAGATGCATGTGCTGCATTGACTTGGGGGAAGTTATTTAACTGGTGCTCGGATAACTTCTCACCTGCCCAATGCTAAGCCAGAGCTCAGCCTCCTTGATGTTCGTCGCCGATTTATCGTAGCGACTTAAGAACCGAACGGGAGGTTTAGTATTTCCAGCTTCAGCGGCGTCATGCATCTTCGAGAACATATCAGCAATGTCGCTGTCCCCTGAGAGCTTCGCCGGGTTGGAGGGTGGTCCGATGAGCATGAAATGGTCCCGGAAAGCATAGTAGCTTGGGGACTCGGAGATTCCGTGCTTGATCGAGATACGTTCGGCCACGGGGCTGTAAGTGATGCCGACATCGACAATTCCGTCCTTGAGGTAGTTGATAGTCACAGTGGTATCGCTCTTATACCAAGCAACCTTGAACGGAGCCGATCCGCTGTCAACTTTTGATTTGATGAAGGCATCCGCGAGCTCTTTCATGCGTAGATCTGTCAGAATTCTCGTCCCCATGATGAAGAAAAGCAGAAATATTTTGAGCTGTTCACCTTTTACTAGACCACTTTGACCTGCTCCTCCATTGCCGATCCTCAATTGCACGGGTGAGTGCTTCGAACCGTATCCTCCATCATAGACATCCTCCGGATCCACGGCCAGGATACCTGCAACGAACTGCAGAACGCAGAGGAAGAGAACTCTGGTTGACAACATACTGACTACAATCGCTTGCACCAGGCCCTTTTTCTCTTTTTTTTCCCAGAGTCCTCTCGATGATGGGCGTCGAAATGTTCCCCGACTCCCCAGGACAAACCTCTCATCTTTTTATACACTCTCGATCGGTCCAGCTTCGACGTCCTCACGAGCCCCGGCCAGCAAAATGGGTGTAACTATGGGTTAACTATTAAACGCCACCGAGAATTCACGGCTGGCTGAAAGGGGAAAAAAAAAGAAAAACAAAGAAAGCCACTGAGCTGGCATTGATAGCAAACGTCTCCTACTAGCGCAGGCAGCCGATAAACCAGATGAAGGCCACATCAACCTTGTGCGACAGCATGTGGGCTCTGTCCGATCGGGAAGAGCCCGCAAATCCAATGTCTTTGTGATTTGCTTTTTCGGGTCAGCCATCCCGATCGAGATCGACGTTTCGCCGAACCCCTGGCGGTGAGCAGAAAATTGACAGGAATCAGCAACGCCCACGGGTCTAAAATTGCGCAGGAGATTCGGAAAAACTCTCTTCAACAATTACCAAGGACGGCATAACACAGGCGGTTCTCGAGGAGCTCTTCTTCTTTTTCCTTTTTTTTTTTTTTTTTTTTTTTTTTTAAAGCGCAGGGAGCCATTTGGTCGTAAGCTATGATAGGTCATTAGTGGTCAGTGTCGATCAATTTTGCGGCTATTTGGGGCTTCCATTGTTACTAGAAACGGTATGGCTGCGTATATGTAATTAACTATGTAGTTAAGTCGTGCTCCAGAAGCTGCGCGACAAGCCTGACGGCCCTCACAAAAGCTTTCGGCTCATCATCATCTACCAAACCATGGCCCTGTCTCAGAGCTTCGCTCGAAGCAACGAGGCGGAATATCAACGCTCTCACGAGCATCTGCAACCGAAAAGCATCGGTTCCCAACACGCGAACCAGATTCTCCCCCTCGCCATGCCAGATCAGACCGTCAGCGACAACGATCGCTTCAGCATACTCAACAGGCCGCCAGTACAGCGATAGATCGATGATAGTTGGCGACGACGCGCTGTCCCCACCAGATACCGGGAAGAGGACATTGCCCGCCAGATCACCGTGGACAAGCTGACATTTGGTGTTCTCCGCGGCGATCGGTCTCCGGAGCTGAAGCAGCCCTTTGAACGCCTCTTCGAACTCAGGCACGATCTGAACGCCGTCCTCCGCGGGCTGCTCTTCGTCCCAGGCGATCCGGTCACCTCTCGCCCACCTATGGCTCCTGGCGGCGATGAAGGGCGGCGGCTCCCGCACCATCGTCGCCAGGTCTTCATGGAAAACTCGCCCAGCATGTAAGACGCGGTTCCACCGGTCCTCCAGCTCGTTGGGCCCAGCGCAGTCGGGTATCAGCACCGTGGCAGCCCATCCGTCGACGACGTATTCGCAGGGCTGACCCGGGCCGGTGGCGGGGATTGGCTCGGCGAGCTGGTATCCGGGTGTCTTGTCACCGTTGCGCCGCAGTTCGTGCTGGAGTCTGCTAACGTATTCGGCTTCCTGGCGTTCGTCGACGGGCTTCAGGACGGCGTTTGCCACCTGGTAGCTCTGGCCCTGGCCACCAGGCAGCTGCTGAGGAGTTTCCGGTAGGTTAAATGCGGCCAAGACATGTGGAGGTGGAGGAGAGGATGAATTCATGGTTTGGGATCTCGGCAGAAGAAAAAAAAACAAGAAGAAATGGCTTGAGCCTGGAATTGAAATGGGGACGAGGTATGAAATTCTTCGGCAACGAGGCTCGTCAATCATTAACTCTTTCGTTGGCTTCCGGGATGGACGTTTCTCGGCGATCGCCCCCGCGCCATCTGACGCGTTCCAGGCCAACTTCCTCGAAACTCGTACATTTTTATAAAGTCTTCCAAGTAGCGGACAGAGGAGACTGACGCGGTCACTGGAAAATCGCGCGTCCAAAAACTCAACTGTACACTTCAAGCGGGTACTCCCCGTACAATATCTAATAATCTCCAGTTCTTTATACTTCCGTACTCTGAAGACTATGATGCCGAAGTACAGGGGTACTCCATACAGAGCTACTTCCACTAGACCGTGTCATGACATTCAGGTACACAAGCGCTCCGTGACAGATGTTGAACTGCAAATTCACGATCAAAGTTCCATCACAGCCAAAGTCGACTGCCACTCTTTGATCTTCAGCTGCAATTTTTTCTTAGCCCAGCAGTTAGTCGACTAAGCCAAACCAGCTGACTGCAACCACACGCAGCTGCCAGACACAGGGCCGGTGATTTCCCGTTCAGTCAGGCCCGCTTTGTACCCTCCCAAAAATAAATAAATAAACAATAAAAATATAGTTAATTAAATATAATTAAAAATAAAGTAAAAAAAAAAAAAGGAAGTGATAAAAAAGCCGCCCCCACCCTGTCATGAAAAGCCGCTCTTCCTATGACGACATCAGCCGATTTAAGCGTAATTTTTCGCCCATCTGCATCACCCCAATACTGTACGGAGTAATGGTTGCGCATAACTCTTAAAAATGACTCTCTGCTAATTAACCTTAACCAGTCCCACACAGGCAGGTGGGGCATAGAACTCTCCCCCCACACTTATGTTTGTCAATGACAGCAGAATCCCCCCTTGCCTGTTGGGGAAAATGTCAGGACACATGGCGAATAATTCCGGCAGGTACAATGCTTGTTCTGCTCATGGGCTACTTATATGGGGAGCCTTAAGGGGAAGGAGCGTGCAACAGAAAGATGGTAACTTGGAAGTTGCAGGGCCCTCTAAACGTGTAGAATAATGCACTGTAGTTATGTATGCGGCAGTTACCTAAGCGCTGACTCTGCAAACCCGGCAGCCGGAGAAAAGAGAAAGGAAAAACATAAAAAGAAAGGAAAAGAAGAGAAAAGATCAAAAAAAAAGGGAGATGTCCAAGTACAAGGTCGAGAAGAAAGATGACACGTAAATTCTATTCCCGCCCAGTTGATCCGTTTAAAGAAGAGACGTGCTTAGCCCATAGAATACCACTCACTCCTTTGCTTTCCGCGCGGGGGAAGAAGAAAAGAAAAGAAAAAAAAAGAAGAAGAAAAGAAAAGAAAATGAAGCCTAAGCGCACGTTTTTGCCCATAATTCGTAAACCCCGGGTTCTCGTGATGTTCGTAAAAAGATGACGAGGTAAGAAAAATAAAGAAGAAAGAAATAAAGGGAGCAAGTATGCCAAGGTGAGGAAACAAGTTCGGCCTTGACGAGAAGGAAGCTCACGAGCTGTGCCCCCGTCTAGGTGGTCTTGGTCTGCGTCTTTGCCGGGCCATCCTGTTCGACGTTGACGTACTGGCTGCTCTGAAGGAAGTGGACGTGGTCATCCGGGTACTCGAGCCTGGAAATTAATCCTTAAGTTAGCCTTTATTTTGAGTACATATATATATATATATATATACATATCGCGAGGCAGGCAAGAGAGGGCTGGAAAGGGAGATAGATGGTCCTTACGTGAAGCCCTTGATCAGCTTATACTCGTGGCGGATGGTGCCCCCGGTCTTCTTTGCTTCTTCCTTGGCCCTGTAGGAGTGCAAAAAAAGAAAAAAAAAGAAAAATAAAGCGTCAGTCTCGGGCAGAGGAGCCGTGATGGGGAGCGGGAAGGCAGGCCTAGCGCGAAGCGTACTTTTCGAGCTCCTCAGCGGAGGCGTTTGGCTTGAGAGTAACCTGTAGCGAAACTCGTTAGGGAGGTGGTGCTTTCAGAGGGCGAAAAAGAAAGGTGCAGGGGAGTTCAAGGGCCTGAGACTCACGTTGAACATGACCATCTTGACGGATAAAGACACGGTCTTCAAGGTAGCCCTTTCGATGTGTGAGAAGAATCGAGGATTGAACTGAGGAAGAAGGCTTGTAGAGCTGTTGCTGGCTGTTGCTGGCTGTTGCTGGCTGTCTGCTGGGGAGATATCGACTTGAGCTCTGAAGGCTTGCTGAAGAACAAATGTGAATGCTCGAAGGAGGGTGAAGAAAAAGAGAAGAGAAGGAGAGAAAGAAGAAAGAAAAGAAAAGAAAAGAAAAGAAAAGAAAAGAAAAAAAAAGGTTAAGTGTGAGAGAGAGGGAGAGTGTGTAGAAGAGCGAATGTATTAACAAGCCAGAATATGCGCGCCGGCTGAAGCAGCGGACCGTTGGAAGGCAAAAAGAAGCTTCCGCGTAACAAAGTTGCGACCGAAAAAAAGCAACCCACCTTGTTACGTTTTGGCTACGGTTGGCAGAGCCGAACGGGGCTCGACAAACACGTTTTGGTGACAGCAATCAGTTACAGGCACAGGAACAGGCAAACTGACAGCTGACAGGTTACGGGGCGGCCAGGTGATGCCTTCAGGGGGAGGGCTGGGCTGACGGGGCGCTGAGTGAATCATGCTGTCCACCTCCATCCTCCATCTAAGAATAGATGGATCAGACGGAATAGGTAACAATGCAGGTATGTAATAACTACAGGCTGCTTAAAAAAAGCCGTGCTTGATGGTTTCTTACGTCAGGCTGCATAAGCTTGCGCGAACTAGGATCTCGCTGCAATTCATTCATTGTTTGCTCCCCTAAAAGCACAGAATAACCAAAGCCTCCAGAGACGTCATCGCCCAACGATAGTTAAAAAAAAAACAATGAGACGAAAACCCCCAAACCCCGCCGCTCCCAACCCAATCAGATTGCATTTAGCATGGGGAAAGATTTGAAACATCTCCTAACTGGCTCTGGGATGCGGATTTCCTTCGAAGTATCCCGGATCAATTCGACAAGATACTGCTCGATCTTCTCTTCGTCATCCTTGATCTCCAGCGTCTCTGCGCCGCCATACCGGACAAGGTGGCAGGACGGGGTGAAGGTGAAGAAGCGCGAGTAGGTCCCGATTGTTCCAATGCCGTACAGCTTCCTGGTATCTGGCCGCTCGGCGCGCACGGTGTTGAGGTCAACCGCCAACAGATCCCAGATGTCCTGCCATGCTTCAGACTGAGCCCGTGGGCTGTCGGTGGCCGGTGGCTTGACGAAATGTAGTAAGATGACCGTATTGAGAGAGCCTTTCTCCAATCGACTGATAGCGATGTAAGGCGCCATGGTGCCGTGGGTGATCTCGATGTCTAGCCTTTTGCCGAAGCCGTCGTGGAAGTCGAAGTATTCATGCAGAATGCTCCACCAGAGATGGGCCGCGTTCTGTTGCGTTGGCCGCTCCGCGAGGGCATCGTAATAGCTCGAAACGAGGGGCTTGCTCATATACTGCATAATATTTAGCCAAAAGAAAAAAAAAAAAGAACATTATTTTTTCTTTTCTTGTGAGGAGTCATGTTATGATAAAGAGCTTACCCCCATCTTTGCCAAAACCACCACAGAAAAAGAGAAAAAGGATCGGTCAAGTGGGAATCAGATAGGCTAAGCGGGAGATCGGCAAACGATGATTCCAGGTTCGAGAGGCGCGTGTAGGAGTAGCCGTGCTTCCACGAAGATTTGTTGTACTTGAACCTCACGAAGTGAAATGAAGCAGAAAAAGTTCACCTCATGAGGAAGAACACAAGTGAGATGATCACCTGGGAAACTTTTTTTTTTCCCCCTTTCCTCGACTCTCCTAACCGAATGGAGAATCCCATCGCAGCGAGCACACGTGATTGATATTATGTCCTGCAATATCAAATGATATGTCAAGTCAACCGACAGTTCCTAGCACGAGGCCCTGCTGGCCCCTCTGCTTCCTCAGTCGATTGCTGGTCTCCACAATGCTTCCTTCAAACGCCCACCACCAGCGCTGGAAGACTATCTGTCCGATTTCCCACTTATCCGCCACAAACGGATCCGATCCGGACACCCTGATGCCCTCTGTGGGATCCTCAATGTCATATACCAGCGTCACAAGACCCATCGGGTCCGCGGCGGGCGCTGGTCGTAGATGCGGTGGCAAGCTGAAGACTTGGATCAGCTTATCCCGCACCGTTGGCCAAGGTAGGAGGTCAAGCATCGGGTGGTGAGGGATCAGTCGTTGTGTTGGAGTCGGTCGGAAGTTCACTGGAAGATGCGCCAGGGAAGAAGAATCATCATTCCCCGGCCCGGTGAAGAAGGGGCTGATGCCCGATATATCCCAGAGACTCTGTGTTATATCGAGACGGGTAGCAATTGTCAACACAGCTTTGAGCAGGGTCAGTGTCGGCACGTCGATGGTCCTGTCATCGGGAAACGTGAACGTGGAAGTCTGATGCGACTGCAGGCTAGAGGAGAGATCTGGGTTACGGCCGTCTTCCAGGTTGGCGGGATTGGACAGAAACTGCCACGTCAACGCCGGCGAATCCAGCAATTCTGGTGGAAACGAATCCAGACCCGGAGGCATAGCTTGGGGTTCAAGGTCTAATAGGGATTCAAAGGTGGAATCTAAGAAATCTGGCTGGCTAAGGAGGCTCGACCCGGTTACGTCTGACAGCGCCGCATTGGGCAAGACATTCGTGAACGCGTCCCGGGATAGCGTATTGCTCTGGGGCGGAGTAAGCGGAAAGATGCCTTCCACATCGTCCGTCGTCGTAGATGAAGCAGATGACTGCGAGAAGGCCACCGGAGAGTTTGAAGAAGACTCATTCTCTCCCCTCTTAGGAGCTAGTGGATCTGTCGGGCTGCAACGCCCTTTGCTCTTCTCGAGCTCCTTTTCAAGCGCTGCTAGACGCTCACGCTTTCGTTTCCCTGGGAGTCAAATCAGCACGACGACCAAATACGTGCGTTGTTCGTCGTCGTCCGGCAATCTGCCGGTAGTTAGTCGAGACGGTTGTGGACTCACGGTATCGACGTTGTGCCAGAACGTTGAGAACTCTTTTCCGCTCAGCTGCATCTTCCGAATGGTCTGGGACCTCGAGCTCTGTCGCTTGCCGCCGGCGCTTTGTTGCAGCCATAGCTCTGCGGGGACTTTCAACGCCGGTCAGAAGAGTGTCAAACCTGTCGCACACGACGCACTATGGAATAGAAGGATCGAGCGCAGTATGGGCGACCTGGGACACTCTGCAGTCCATGGCACCGCGGGCGAGCATGGTGTGCTTTATATTGTTACATTTGGGGTCGGCCCGATCGGCCTTGGTCGCGGAGACTTTTGCGGCTAACCACTCCCGAGGCCCCTGCCAAGAACTGCCATAACGTTATGCTCCAGAATCCCCGCGCCAAGAAGTAAAAGGAGAAGAGAATGCCTGTCAACCAGGGCCTTCGAGCTACACGCATATTTATACCTTTGCATAAAAAAAGGTTGATTTCAATATGTCTACACTATCTTCGGCCAGTTCCTCCAAGTTAGCCTACAAAGGTGTTGCTGCTCCAAAGGAATCATCTTGTTGATAAGTGACGATAGTTGCTGTGCAACGGTTCTCTCCTGCAGAAACAAGTATGTTTGGATTAACTCATTAACCATGTAGTTGTGTGATTGATTAAAGCATCAAAGACATGCCATCTACCAATATAATATCAAAGGTTGTGCGTCACTTGTTTGACACACATAGTCCTGCCAACCTCCCATTCTTGAAAGACTAAGCCGGGAACTTCAGCGACGCAACGAATTCTAGAAGATCTTCCAGCAACTCGGCACGATGAGTGATTTGCAAGCCTAGCAAAATCAGTTCCATGTTTCAAACGTGCTATGAGGAGATCACTCACCATGAGCACCATTCTGATATTCCTTGGTTATGGCTCGAGGAATCAAGTCTTTGATTTTATCCAAGGTCGCTTCCGTTGGATTCCCCGTATCTTTATCGCCATTGACAGCCATGACAGGTACATCGGTTTCCTTTCCGATTCTTGCCAGCATTTCGGTGAAGTCGGTGGAAGTGATGATCTGAATGCATCGCTCCACCGCCAGAGAATCGGCGCTAAGGATCAGTTGAACATATTGCTGTAAAGTGTCTTGCGGCAGATTATGACCGCCATCAGGTCCCAGTGATGCCGGCAATGCCTGCTTTACAAATTCTGCTCTCGAGGTACGCAGTCCTTGGATTATACCGTCCCAAACCTCCTGACTTGGAGCCTTTGGGTGAGCAGAAGACGCCAGCGGGCACGGCAATGCGGGACCAATCCAAAAAAATCCCTACATCCAAAAATAAAGGTTAGAATTAGCGATGACGGGGAGACGCGGGCTCCGGGTCGGGGAAGGGAAAGGGTGCTGACCTTGCAGTTTTCTCTTACATACTCGCTCTGCCAGTACGCTTGAATGGTCTCACCGGGTCCCATACTTGCGGCGACAAAAACGAACGGTCCGACATTGATCTGCTCGAGTAAATGGATCGTATCCGCCGCGAAAACGGAGTAGTCTATCGGTTTGGACTGATCGTTGTCGCAGCCGTTCCAGTCACTCTTCCCGAAACCGCGCCGGTCGGGAGCGATGCATCGGAATCGATATGTCTCGCAGAGCTGGAGCATGAGTGGCTCATAGACGAGCCCCGACTGGGGCCATGGGTGAATGAAGACAATGGCTGGTTGCGGTTTGGTGCCGTATGCAGGGTCCGGGTGGTATGGTGGTGGATGGGATGCGGGAAAGTAGTCACGATAGAAGAGATGGGCACCGTCGACGGGACTGTTGAAGCGGGGCATCGTGATAATATATGATGGTAGAAAAGCTTTTAAGTATCGGTAGACAATTGGACTTTTGATCTATAATTGAAAAATTTTTTTTTTTTTTAGGAATCTGAAGCTCTTAAGCTCTGATAGAAGGGGGGAACTGGGCTGTTGAAGATGAACCCCGAGGAAAAGGGTATCCATGGACTTTTATACACCTCAAACATAACGATTTCTTTTCCGAAACGGTCGACGCTATCTCTGTAGGGCATAACTATGGGATTTAGCTGGAGTTATGCCGTATGAAGTTGAGCGATGGCGGCTTCGCTAAGTCGAGGGGGAGGCATAACGTTATGTCCGCCCAGCGACGAGAAGCCCCACAGATTGCCAACAACATCAACACAGTTCGCAGCCAGCAAAGACTTATGGGAGATCCCCAAGAATAGATTCTGAAATTTTTTTTTTTTTTTCCTCAGTTGGGTCTGGCTTTTATCTACGAAGATAAGACATGGGCCTACCTGCTTGTCATTGATCAATATCTGGCGGGGTGATTCTGGTAAGTCTGATGGGATTTCTGCCATAATTCATTTCGCCATTTGGAAATATAGCCTCTAGACATCCATCCGTATTCAGGATATTTAGCCTATAGGGAGCTTTCAGCGGCATTTCGGAGTCTGTCCACTCTAATCGTATTAGGGGAGGTAGATCCAATCTGACAACATAAGGCGCTCACGAGATGGAGTAGCTGGTCAAGGAAGAACCGCGGCCAAGCTCGTATCTTGGGTCGCACATCAGGGTGCGGTACGCTGTATTTGAATCGATAACATCGGTGGCTTTGCCAACGGCACTGTCATATGGCCGTGAAGGTTTATTCCGCGTGGAGTAGTGATGTAGGTGGGAGCAACTGCGAGCATTCCGTATCCATCTGTGTTTGGATCACGTTTCGCACCACAGAAAGCTATTTGTGTTATACCAAACCTGAGATCGACAACACATTTGCACGAAGGGTAGAGTAGCAAAGACAGAGTGACCCTTTTCCCGTTAGCTATATCAAAGTTGGGATCCGGAGTACGGAGTAGATTGGGACGATATAATCGTCGAGCCCACCAGAAACAGAGCGATCAACCAACAGCTACGGCAACCCAGAGGGCGCAGGGCCCGCGGTAACGATAAAAACGCCACACGCAAGATCGCATTCCAGCAGGCCAATCAAGTTTTGAGAAGGCCCACGTTGTTACCGATCCAATCCTTAAATGGTTTAGTGTATTTCCGTCGGTGACAACCAAAGCCTTGGCGGCGCTGCTTGGTGTTTCTCATCTTCAAATGTTTCTGAGACTTCGCGGCGCTCAACGTGCTCAGCCTCGTGATGGTCAACGTAGTTAACCAACGTACCAGGTTTCGTGGGATTGAAGACAGCGGATCACTGAAAGGAGCGCGGAGTAGGGCACGGAGTACTGTAGTAACGAGTTAAACTGCGCAGTACGCCACTACAACTTGGTGGTTGTGGTGGAAGTAAGACCACCTTTGAATCTCGAGGAATGTCTGTACCAAATGGATGTCGTAACGGTAACTCCTTAGACTGCTCCACGGGGGTACGGAGCACGGAGCACTCCGTCCAAACAAAGCCCCTTCGGCTAAATGAGCTCGTTGGCTGGCGTTTGACTGCGGATTTGTGTCCGCTCACTAGCCGCGTTCGGCGGTGTAACTCGCAAAGCAATCTCGCGGGATTGGGCGCTGTGGGCCGCCGTAACCAGCTGGTTAGCTGTTTTCGCTTTGAGACGGAGAGGCGGATGCAGGGCGTTGGCGCGGGTGGAGGGAAAGGTTGTCGACTCCGGATCTTGAAATTTGTTTTGGGCTATTTCAGGATTCGGGTGCTCCGGGGTGCAGGGGACCGAAGATTCACGACAAACCTCAAACTTGCTTTCTTAAGCTCTCCGCCCCGCTGCTTCTCCCGCTCCTCCTCCTGCTGCTTGCTCCCACCCTCCCTTTCGTCCCGTCTCGATGCGACTGCAGATCACCCCCCCTGATTCCTAGCGCGTAGTATGGAAGCAATTTCACCATGCTCCTTCGACGGCTGTCCTCTGCACAATTCCTTCGGCCTGGCGTGCCCTTCCAATCAATTCCGTCCCGTCCGCTTAGTTCGCTGGACACGAACGCCTGGTCCTACCCCCCTTCAGCAACCGACGTCGCTACTGATGAAGTTACACAGTTGGCCTCCAGCCCCAAGCGTCCCTTGACGCTGAATGATCTACTCCGGTAAGCGTGTATCTTGGATGCGAATGCAGACCTGATGAGTGAAACTGATACGTGGGGTGTTCAAAAGACATGGCTGCCCTCCACTGTCCAAAGAGGCTCTGTTATCGTCCGCCAACTTTACGCTATCTCTACTTCCCGCACGTCTGGCGTATCGGATCCAAGCCCTTCGGAATCTTCCCTTCATAGTCGTGTCGAATCCTCACGTTTCGCAGATTTACAACAACTACATTCACTCTCTATCGACTCTGCTGCCGTATCAGAAGCGGAAGATCACCACCTCGGAAGATGAGAAGCAATTCACGGAAACGATGGCCGACCTGGTCCAAACACATACAAACACTATTCCCGTGTTGGCTAGAGGGTTTCTCGAGTGTCGAAAGTATATCAGCCCGGAGGAAGTCACAGCGTTCCTCGACGACCATCTACGCGCAAGAATCGGAACGCGACTCATCGCCCAGCAACACTTGGCCCTACATATGGCCTCCCAGCCTACCGAGGAAGGACGACCGCCCATTCCGTCGAACTATATCGGCGTAATAGATACAGCTCTTCAACCTGCTCGACTCATCCGAAGTTGCGAGGAATTTGTCGCCGAAATCTGTGAGCTGAAATACGGCGTGCGGCCTCGTGTGATCATCAACGGTGAAGTTGATGCTACTTTCGCGCATATCCCGGTCCATTTGGAGTACATAATCACCGAGCTGTTGAAGAATGCTTTCCGAGCTGTCGTGGAGAGTGGAAATGAGCGCGAGCCCGTCGAGGTGACTATCGCATCGGCACCCGATGTAGTCGATAAAAAAGATGAAAAGGCACCCTCATCGATGTGTCAGTTTTGTAAGCCTTCCAAGGGCAACATCGACTTTCAGGCGGCGAGCCAGCCCGGAGAAGTCCTAAGCAACAACGCATTTTTCGGGTCTATCGACTCGCCGACCCAAAGCATTACCATCCGGTTCCGTGACCGTGGAGGTGGTATCCCTCCAGAGATACTCGCTGATATTTGGTCCTATAGCTTCACAACATATTCAGAAGACGAAGTTCTCAACGAAGACAACGGCAACATTGACGGATTGAACCTCCTCTCTAATACAAATATCAACAATAGCACGATAGCCGGCCTGGGTTATGGTCTCCCCCTGGGAAGAGCATATGCAGAGTATTTTGGTGGTAGCATCCATCTGCAGAGCATGTGGGGCTGGGGAACGGATGTCTACCTGACGCTCCAAGGTGTTGGCAAAGTCAAATGATTCGTTTGAAAATTTGAGGAACTTCTATGTTATTGGAATTCCACCTGACGCGGATCTAAGTACATCATGCGAAGCTGGGCTGGATCTTCCCATTGGCTCTATTTGCCAATCTCTCTGGCATAAGCACCTGATATACCCGTTTGGCCCAAGCACAGACTACGGCACGGGTATCCTTAGGGTCGATGATCTCCTCCACACCGAATGCATTGGCGGTCCGGACCGGATTCATAAGTCGAAGATATTCATCCTCCAACTCCTTATATCGCTCTGCCTTTTTGCCAAGCTTTTCGGCTTCCCGTAGTTCATGTCGGTGACCGACTTCTATTCCACCATCCAGAGGCAATGACCCCCATTGACCAGATGGCCAGGCCACTTGCATTTTGGGATCACGACAGCCCACCATAACAGCGCCCGCGACGCCGAACGCTTTTCTTGTGATGACGTTGAAAATCGGCATCGTGGTAGAGTAGTACGCTTTCGTGAGCTCGACGCCCCAACGCATGGTGGCCGTTCGTTCAGCTACCGTCCCGATTGCATATCCAGCTTCAACGTCGTTAGATCAATATCCCATTATACCCTGCCAAGTTATCGATCTTAGGACGGTGGGCAACTTACGAACGTCAATGAATTGAATAACGGGGATATTCATAACGTCACATAACTTCAACAGTCTGGTCAACTTTTGGCTTCCGGCTGCATCCAGGGCCCCACTGTTGACTTCGCAGTTCAGCGAGATGATACCAACCGGTCGACCTCCAAGACGAGCAAGCCCAGTGATTGATGTTCGTCCCCATAACGGACCGATTTCGAACCACGAATCTTTGTCGACTACGGACTTAATAATGGTCCACGGATTGTACATTCTCTGCTGTCGTCTTGGAATTATGCTCCTGAGTGAGATGTCCTCTCTGTTTTCCGGATCGTCGCATGGAATCACTGGTGGTGCCTCGGCCCCCGAACTGGGAAGGTAGGCCAGGATAGTGCGTATTTGCTCGAAGCACTCTGCCTCATTTGCGGCTAGGTTGTCGATGGTGCCGTTGGTGCAATGCATCATGGGTCCGCCTAGTTCTTGAAAGTCCAGGCCTTCTTCGAATGTTGCGCCCTCGACAACTTTAGGACCAGCGTTGAAGAGGGAGCCCACGTCTGCGGCCATGACGGAGAAGTGACAGGACACCACTCTGGCAGCCCCGAGTCCAATCTACAGAGCATGGTTAGCACGTTAAAAATCAAGAACCCCCCTTCAAATCAACGGAAAGGAAAACAGAAAAAAAAAATTAAAAATTTAAAGGCCACTTACAGCAGGTCCAACAACAGCGCCCAAGTTTGGTATACCCATGTTTAACTGCTGAACCACATGCTTAAACGGCTTTACCTGTGGAACGTACGACCAGCCTTCCTTTCTAATCGTCGTCACACTTCCACCGCCAGAGCTTCCGTCAACCAATTTAATCATTGGCATTTTCAGGGCAACCGCCATTTGCTCCATATATATGGTCTTCTCAGCAATTGCCCCGTCTGCATGCCCACCGCGGATACTGAAGTCGTCCGCTGTCAAGAGCACCTCTCTGCCATTCAATTTTCCCATGCCCTGTACATTGTTACTCGGCGTGAACGCCACCGGCTCTTCCGTCAATGGACCGGTCTGTCTCCACGTCACCGTACCGCTGACGGAACCAATTTCCTGGAAGGTATTCGGGTCGACCAATTGCTCAATTCGCTCACGCACCCAGAGTTTCCCGGCTTGTTTTTGGCGGATGTACCCGCGATTCTTAGGATCAGGGTTGGAGGCTAGGGCGCGCAAGGTCGCTATCTGGCCGAGGACATCGGAGTGATCGGCGGGAAGGGAAGACGTAGTGGACGATTTGGGCTTACGTTTTTTGGTTTGGTTGGCTCCAGATCCGAGATGTGATGAGAGCTGGCTGAGTCGTTCGGTGGCCCTTTGGGATGGCTGCAGATCGTTGGCGTTTTCTTTGTCTTGGGCCATTGTTTGTGAGTGAGCTTCACTTCGTGTGGCCCACGATTTTTGCGCTTTGCTTAGTGTATCGAGTATAGTTTATATCGGAATTTTAGTTTGGATGTTGGAAAAGAATCGAGATACCCGAACGATTGTCCTTTTTTTTTATGGCCTAGGTCAGAGAGCGAAATATATTGTGTATAAAAGGCCGCGGCGGCTTCCTCGAGTTTGGATTATCCCGGACTTGGTTTCGATTTGGGATCACTTTCCCTGGTCACTTCATGCCGTATCTGAAAAGCTGGTGATTCTCGCGGGCCAACAGTCGTAAAAGGGTCGGCGTACACTCGTTCTGTAGGATTAACAATCGGCGGCAGGACTTCAGAAGCAGGACGTATACCCTCGGGCGATACTGCTAGTGTGTGTTTCGGCGGAGCTGTTCTGAGAGTTTGACCGGCGTAGTTTACCCTCAGAGCCTCGGCATTTAGAGCATGTAGCGCCTGGAAGTTTGGTCTTAAGGATTTCCCCGCAAAAAGAGGTCCAGGGCGGCAACGGCCCCGAATTTGCTCGCGGGCAGAATTGGGGTAAGGATTTAATTAATCTCTGCCGGGACGCCGAGGGATTTTTTTCTTATGTAGCTGGAGACAAGGGTCTTTGAACTTTGGGGTGCTGACCACTCTTGTCTCAATCTCCGTTTACGAAGTACCGGGATCTACGAGTATAGTTACACCTAAAAGGAATTGCAGAGCGATTCAGACAGGAACTTGTGTTCGGCAGGGTTTTGGAGCACGTCGAAGGCTTCTAGTTTAATATAAGGTCGACACTATAGGCTGGGTTGCACAGCTTACCCAGGTCGTATGAAATGAACTCTCGCGGAAGTAGCAAACAAAGAACACATTCGCAACGCAAAATGGTGCCTCCAGCACGGCCAATAAGGAAGCTCTTGGTAGCCAACAGGTACGTTGGATGGGATATTGGACACCCACAGCAGAAATAATACTGATGTCTTCAGAGGCGAAATCGCCGTCCGCATTCTCCAGGCAGCCAGGGAACTTCCTAATCCCGTGGAGACCTACGCGCTCTATACACCTGATGATCAATCCCATTGCGAACTCGGGGCCCCCAACCATGCGCTGGCGCTGCCGTCTCCGGCATCATATATGGATGTTTCCCTGCTCGTGAAACTAGCCAAAGAACACTCCATCGACACTGTTCATCCTGGATACGGGTTTTTGAGCGAAAGTCCAGAGTTTGCCCAGCGGATGTGGGAAGAAGCGGGTGCCAAAGTCATTGGACCAGGATGGGAAGTTTTGGCGCAGACTGGCGACAAGCTGCAAGCGAAGGAGTTGGCAGAAGCTTGTGGAGTGCCTGTTTTGAAAGCCATCACACAACCAACCAGTGATTTGAACGTTATCAAGGCTTTTGCTGCCGAGGTTGGATATCCAGTGATGATCAAGGCCGTGGATGGGGGAGGGGGTAGAGGAATCCGCCTCGTTAGAAGCGAAGATACGCTGCAAGCGTCCGTTGACAGAGCTATGGGTGAATCACCCTCAAAGAAGGTTTTTGTGGAAAAGGCCGCAGTCGAAGGATACCATCATGTCGAGGTGCAGGTCATTGGTGACGGGACCGGGCAAGTTAGACATCTTTGGGAGAGAGACTGCAGCATTCAGCGACGGTTTCAAAAGATTGTCGAGTGCGCTCCTGCACTCATGAAAGACCGCAAGTTAATTTGCCTGGTGATTGAAGCAGCGCTACGCATCGCCAATAGGGTGAGAAGAACACGGCCTAGACCTTCTTGGAAACTCTCACTGACGGAGGCAGATCAAATATCTATCCCTGGGAACATTTGAGTTCCTCGTCAACGAGCAGGCATCCGAATTCTATTTCCTGGAGATCAACCCACGGTTGCAGGTGGAGCATACCATAACTGAGTGCATAACGTCCGTCGACCTTGTACGGTCTCAATTCCTCCTGGCCCAGGGAGCATCGCTTCAAGACATAGGACTCGGTGAAAATCGAGACCCAGAAACGCCACCTGGCCCGCATTCCATCCAGTTGCGCCTCTGCGCCGAAGATCCAAATGCCAATTTCGCTTTGAGCATTGGCAAAATAACAGGATTCCATGTACCGGGGGGCAATGGTGTCAGAGTTGACACCAATATTTCAGACCTTTCGCCCGTTGTGGTGGGGTCCGACTTTGATAACATGGTTGCAAAGATCATTGTCACGGCTGCAAGCTGGGACGCAGTCATTTCAAAGGCCAGAAGAGTTCTTGAGGACACAAAAATTTCAGGAATCAAAACGAATATCGATGTCCTTCGGGCCGTCATCGACAGCGCAGATTTTAGGGAGTGGAGGGCTGACACGCAGTGGCTTGAAAGCAACCTCAATGATATCGTTGCATGCGGCCAGAAGATCTCACAATCCATACAATCAAACAAACCCTCCTTGCCCGCATCATCTGTCTCGCAGACATTATCTGCAGCAGCCTCTAACGTGCTCCTTAGGAAAGGGGACGCATGGTCCATCGACCTGCAGCCAGTGGGCGAGAAGTCTAACTCTTCTCAACTACCTCACCACTTGCTTTTGAGCCGAGTTCTGCGTAACGAATTTCCAACATCTCTAAGAGCAGAAATCGAATACACAACTCCAGCAACTGTCTCAACCCCTGCCAAGACCGCTGCGTACATCATGACACTTTCCACCACGTCCACATCTGCCAGCGCCTTGTCCTCAACTCACCGTTTGGGAGATCCAAACAACCAAGGCCACGTCATTCTTCCAATTAGCGGAAAATTGATCGAGATGTTGGTAGCTGAGGGTGACGAGGTCGAAGAGAACGCTGTCATTGCATTTGTAAAGCAGATGAAGATGGAAATCGAAGTGCGTAGCCCTCGCGCAGGAAGGGTAACTTGGGTTCTCGAGTTGGAGTCTGAAGATGGAGATGATGTACCTGAAGGAGTCCTGCTTGCGGAGCTCGAGGCGATCGAGACTACAGCCGCAAGTTCAGTTGCCGTGAGAGGAAAATTATGAATCTAATTATTCATAGATGTCAGTAAGGCATTGCACTCAATTTGAGACCTTGAATATTAGGCTAGACAGACTTGAATAGACATACTTGACAGCCACTTCCCCCTAAGAGAGCCGTAAAATCTGCATTTAATGTCAAAGGATACATAACAGAAGAGTCAGGTGAGTCGCATAGACGGGACACTCCACCCTATCGAACGCGATGCACGTGTCTTATATAGCTTTTTCTCGCTAGCCTTCACAATACAACACTTTCAATCTCCATACGTATCAGCACTTACAGACTGTTCGATCAGAAGAGTCTTCCAATAGTTGGAGATTGAGAATCAGTGAGCATCCGTATCCCCAGTGGCGAGTGCCACTAGAGGAGCCCTTTTCGCGTCGACCAGGTGTGCCTAATTTTGGTTAGGATCTCCATAACTGCCCTTCCGTTGGACAAGCGTTGACTCTCTTGACTTAAAGAAGCCTAGCCAGCGCCGTCATGCCGGTCCTCCTTGAGTTTGCGCCAGAGCTCATCGTAATGGTCGCTTCCAAACTTGATTCGGCCGACTTCTTCAATTTTCGGCTTGCTTGTCGATACATCAATTTAACATCATTCCACCACTTTGGAGCTCGCTACTTTCGCACCCGCTACCACATGCTCGAGCGGAGAAGCCTCGAAAATCTCGTGGAAGTGTCCCGCGACCCGGTTTTGGCCCCCTATGTCTGCTCCGTGCAGATCTGCCCACAGCATTTAACAAGTGACTTTCATGTCTTCGCGCCTTGGGTCAGGGGCTTGGACGATGAGTATGTCGGGGTGAACAATGCTGCCCACAAGCAACTTTTGTACGAGCAGTACAGCCTGATAGAGTTTGGACTCGGCAGCGCATATCTCTCGGGGGCATTGGTTCGCCTTACCAACTGTCGGACGCTTGGAATCAGCGATCATCCCTGGCCCTGGGGAGCGGCGTCTCAAAAGCGACTGACAGGAGTCCGTTTCACTAGTGAGGTCTCGCAGAAAGAGAGCATTGCGTTTACCAAGCGTGCATTCCGTATGATTGTTGCCGTTGCGATTACAAGTCAAATCCCGCTGGAGAGATTCCAGGTCTTGCATGGACTCCCTGATAAAGCGTTTGGGCCTGAGATCATAGCCATCCCGAGACGCCTTGCTGATATGGCGCGAGGCCATCTCATGAGCATTAGCGTATTGGATCTCTGCGTGGGAGAGGATGATCGCATGACAGCCGAAGCCTGGGTGGATGGTGTTAACGGGTTCATCATGCTTTTCCGGAATGTCGCCGATCTCACCCTAGATTTTCAAGATAGCTCCGATTTGCGACGGTTCCATGGAATGTCCGAAGGTCTGTTGGTCCCACGGCTCCGATCTCTGGCGATCAGCCATCTGAGGTGTAGCGAGGATGATCTGGCTCGGCTTTTCTTCCGCCATTCCTCCACCTTGGAGATGATTTCCTTGAAATCAGTCCGCCTCAAGCAGGGGACCTTTAAGTCACTTATCCAGAAGGTACAAGGCTATCTGAAAACCGAGCACCTGTTCATGGATGGCGATGACAACCAAGATGTGGTCTATTGGAATTTCACAAAAGTTGGAGACAGCCTGTTCGTGTTTGCTGGCAAGGATGTCAGTGAAATAGCACAAGCTTCTTTGTAACTTGTCCCTAAACTGTATGTTTAGAGCTCAGAGAGTACCAATCCCCAGGGCCCCAGCATGCCAGACTTCTTGAACATTCTTGCACTGTGACTTTGTTCCCCCCCTTTTGTGCCTCCCCCCCCTCTCTCTCTCTGTGTGTGAAAGCATGCCATGTAAGTAGTTTGAATGGCTCAGGGTACATAGCTCTAAGGCTAGTTAAGCATCTCGACAAGAAGCCGATATGGTTCCATTGTTCACTCAGCCTCCTCCCTTTCTGTCTGATGGACTTTCGCTGCATGAAGAGGGGAAGAGAGACGAAGCTGCAAAACGCGATAAGAGATGGATGCAAGGCAACCAGTCACGTGCTCCTAGCGAGTCGCGCTAACGAAAACACTGCACAAAGTTCAGCTCCAATCTCCAGCAACAAGACCCTGTAACTAACTAAATAAGTCTCTTAGGTTCGACAATTGGGCGGCTGGCCCTTTGCAGTACTATGTGCAACATTGCCTTATCCTCTATGGAAGCCCCGGCTCCGGAGTCGGACCTAGTCGATACCAATAAGTGGCTTGTCTTTCCCCGCCAACTCTAACCACTGGCGACACGTTTCCACGGGCCCTGGTCGCTGGCCTATCGCAGGGAAAAAGAGCTAGCAAGCTTTGGTGCATGGCGAGATCTATGAAGTAGAGGAAGTATCCTCACAAAGCTCAGCCTACGGATTGCCACTTCTGGGGGCCAACGGCTTATCCTTTTGGCCCCTGGGAACCGGGCAACACCGAGAAGCCGAAGTGATCGGATAACTTCATAGACCACTCTGCAATGCAGAGTAGATCGCGAAAATAGCCGATTCACAGACACGCACCATGACGTGCATAGCCCATAGCTCATGAGTGGTCTCCGGTGACGTGGAAAGTGGGGTTGCTTTTTGGAAGAGAGCTTTGCCTGCTCTTCTCACCTTTTCTGCCCCGGATTTTCGGCCTGATATTTATCAGTCTCAACACGAACTCAAATCGGACCGAGACTCCCAGCACCTTGCCTACATCCTGCCTAGCTGTATTCTGCTGTACATACCCCAGCCTTTTAAGATCATAACTGCACCGTCAAGGTTTCCTGAGAACGAAGAGCCTCGATTCTTTCCGTACCCAGCACCTGCGGCGAAGCGAATCCTTTGGACCAAACCCAGCCGAGTTCAAAAGGTATCATGGCCGCCGACTCCACTACCCATCCTCCACACTCCCCGGACCCCACTTCGGAAGCGCGGACTGCCTTCCTTGCCTCCCTCAAATCCGTCGGGTCCAACCTTGATGCCGACCTCCGCTCCCGTGCCACAACCCTCCATGAAAATGCATCCATCATCCAGAAACAAGAAGCCGAGCTGAAAAGGACGACGAAGCAGCTTGCCAAGCAGGGCAATGAGCTGGAGAAGCTCGCCGATCAAGGCCGTCAGGGCCTGAAGGAAGTCGGAGATTTGCAGAACTGGGCGGAGCTGCTGGAGCGGGATCTTCTGATTGTCGAGGAGACCTTGAGGTTGGCGGATGAGGAAGATATGAAGAATGGGAAGATGCCGGCACAGCAGGATGGCCCGCAGCCGAGCCGGTTGAGGCGTTGGTTTTGATATCTTTTGGTATTCGAACCAAGGGTCCGGCGAATAAGGCCCATGTTCATCTACGGGCTAATGATCGAAAATATAGTCGTGAAATCTAATCAAATTGATCTATAAAGTACATATCCAAAGAACGCTTCGATTATTCAAAAAAGCCAACCATGCGCGTCCAAAATTTTAATCATCTATAGTACCATAGTCCTCTAGGAACCGCTTCCAAACCCCGCTTCCCTGTTCACAGGCACTCCAGCCTTCGCTCTCATCATAATGTCCTTCTTCATCATCGGTAATTTCAATCTCAGGCCACTCCTCCCACCCATTCCACCGACCCAAGCTCATCAAGTGTCTCATCGTCGGCCTACCATGTGGGCAATTCCACGGTTTATCAATCATTCCCATGTGCCGAACAACCCTCTCCATTTGTTTAACAGTGAGGGATTTTCCAATCATTATACTGGATCGACATGCGCGCATGGCAAACATCTTGCGCACCTTGCCAGGCCGTGGGACGTAGAGATTTGTAAACTGCGACGATGACGATGCAGGATCAACATCACCATCGCCTTGGGGCGCACGGTGGTGCTGTGGCGACTCGGATAGTAAAACAATTAATTCTTCCAAATCTCGTGTGTTGAACACAACCTCTTTGCTCAGAGGAAGGCTGATTAGTTTACATCTTCGTCCAATAGGCTCGTCACCGCTCGTGTCGATATCGACGATGAAGCCGTTCTTTTCTAAGGTTGGAATATTATCGATGATAACTTCTTCCTCAACGGCGGTGAGATCGAGCGTTTTAGGTCTGACGAGGCGCTGGTTTTGAACCACGGTCTCAGCTTGTAGCCGTTCAAAGTTATACTTCTCATCGGAGGCGTGTTGGTCGATTATAAATAGTTCGTCTTTTGTCGGATTATCTTGGAAGTCGGTGCTATCAGTTCCGGGCCTGATAGCTAAGATAAACCCGAGGTTAAATTGTCCAACAACCCGCATCTTAGCAAAATCGTCTTTTGAGACTGTTAGAGATAGCCTTGTTTCCGCTGAATCCTGCTGCTCTGAAGCTTCTTCGGAAATAGGTTCCTCTGAAGCTTTGTAATTCTTCAGGGACTCGAGATTTTCTTGGAGTAATTTCAGTTGTGCCTCGATTTTTGCAAGTGAACCGTCTACTGAGCACATTAACTCAACGGTTGAATCCCTTCCGCGGGACCGCTTAGACATTTTGTGCGCTCGCTCGAGATTATTTTCTGAGGGGACATTAGCCGTCTCTTCTGCAGCTTGAATCAATTCAGCCACTTTTTGCTCGTCCCTTGCTTCTTTTTCTTGATCGTCAATATAACTTTCATCTGAATATGATGTTGAGCCGTCCTCCTCTTCGATATCCTCTTCTGGGGCGTGATCATCGTCACTAGATTCAACTTGCTCTTCATAATCACTTGCTTCAAATTTGCTGTGTGTCAATTTGGCCAATGGTTCTTCCTCCTCGTGCTTGTCCTCTTCTGCTTCACTGGGCCCTTCTTCTTCCCCTTCTTGCTGGTGATCTTCAATCTGGGTGCCTGGAGCAGCAAAGGAACTTAAAGATTGTCCTAGCTTGCTTGACGTGGTACCTCGCATCTGACGCTTTGTCGACGGTGCTGCTGTTACATACCCTTCTTGGCCGGCTTTGCGTTTATGCGCGGAAGCATATCCGATGGTGGATATAGTCGTTTTGCCCCCAATTGTAATGGTCGCAATCTCTGCCGGTGGCCTTGTAGGACGCATTCTGTCGAACGCCGACTTAATCATGTTAGGCGAGCTTTGGGGGGTGCTGTGGCCGGATATCAAGTTCCTCTCCTGACTAGGAAGAGGAGATACCTGACTTGATCTGTCGGGCTCCTGGGCTTGGGTCTGTGAGGTAGAGGGGGGCGCAGATAGTTCGCTGACATCCACGGATGTTTGGGTTGAAGAGCAGGTACCTCCAGTCCCCTGCGGTGCGGGCTCAGGAGAGGCACTTAGCGACGTTCGCTGCTCATCGAACTCGTGGTCAGATTCCTGAACTTCCTTGTCTACTCCAATAGCCTCTTCTGAACGTTGGGTCGTTGGCAATGAATTGCTCGGCGCAGCTGCAATAGAAGGAGCATTCTTATTTACCAACTGCTTCATCGTACTTTGCCTTGGCACCGCGAGCTGGGACTGAGGCACAGTTTGGTCCTGACCTTCAAACAATTCCGTCAACGATGTCTTTAAAGATTCGATAAGAGCACCAGCATCATGCAACAATATCGTGCGTTTGTCCGGCGAGACATTAACATCGTAAGCATTAGTGTTCATCTCAAAATTGGCAAATATAAACGGTGACTGGGAGATATTAAACGACCTGTAGACTTCATTAAAAGCCCTCGCAATCTGCGGCAAGCCACATGGACGAGAGTTCACGAAGAACATTTGGCGATCGGGAGTTTGTCTCCCTTCGCCGAACACGGGCTTGGATATATAACCATGCACGAATATCTTATTCACCAGCCCATCTTGTTGTCTGCGCGAGGTCTTTGATTCCGCGCTAGGCTCGAATTCCAATTCCAAATCTAGCGGTATCAGAGCAAGCAATGTTTTTGCTCCATACACATTTGAAATATTTTCCTTTGTCGTGGGGTTTGACTTCGTCGCGAATACCACCACGCTTTTCCCTTTGGGCATCTGGTTCTTAACGTTGAAACGAACTCCAGTGCTGATGCATGCATAAGCATGTAAAAGGCCTAGAACTTTGCCATATTCCCTCTTAATATTTTTCTCCAACTCTCGTCGCCGAACAGGGAGCCGTTGGAAGAGACCCTCGACGGAGGCAACGGTGCCCCTTTGACCAGCCACTACTTGAGTGTTTTTCAGTTTGCCAGAAACCTCAAAATCTAAGCGTGTAGCTTTGGGCGCTTGATTTGCCTGAGCGGTAACAATATGGAAGTCGGAAAGCGCGCAAAGCGACGAGAGAGCCTCGCCGCGAAACCCAAAGGTTTGAAGGGATGATAAATCTTCGAACGTGGAGAGCTTGGAAGTATGATGTTTCAAAGCTGCGAAGAATTAGTCACTTAGCTACGAAAAGGCAACTGGGTCTTATAGCCTTACCAACGCCTTCGTAGTTATTGGGCGGAATGCCGTGTCCATTGTCCTGAACTTCGATGAGGTCCAAACCATTGTTTTTGAATCGGATATCTTATCAGACGCGTGTAAATCTCAGTTAGAGCAAGTCCCACAACAAAGTCTGTCAATCGGCTACCCATACCAATTGACGTTGCGCCAGCATCGAGGCTATTCTCCACAAGCTCTTTAACCACTGAGCATAGGTCAACGATTACCTGTCCGGATTGGATTTGGTGTATCTAGGACTGCGTGTGAGTCAAGATGGAATAGAGGAGAACGCGAGGTGTGGCAACAAACCGAACGGGCCTCAATGGCCTTGATCGTGGCCATATTCATCCCATGGCGATGGACGGTTGCTATGCTGTGTTGGACATTCGAGGTTTCTTTCTGCGCCTCGTGGCTAGTGCCGGTTTATGTACTCTGTACTCCGTACTAACCACAATCGACGCGTGCGCGTTAGTTACACGAGTTTAATGGCCTTCCAATGATGTCCCGTGACGTCACAGGGAGAACTTCAGTGCACGGCATACAAAGGCATGGGACACGCACTACAAGTCAACAGACAACTTATTTAGATACCATAAGCAATGTCAAAAAATGTAGATCATATTTGTGATAGCATCAGGGAACATTTCATGTGTTATTCTCAAAAACTGCAACCATGTACAGAGTAAACACGCTAAAAATAAAAGATGTAATTACAGCCAAAACAAAATAAATAACTACAGTCGTAACCATCCGAAGTCCTACCAATTCAGCCGAAGTAGGTACACGCGATTTCCATTCTAATGATCAAATCTGTCCGGCATCAAAACCGGCGCGATGAGAGTCCACAGATAAATGGCGTAGCATACCCAGGCGCTAATGATTTTCACCCAGCTGGCCCAATAGGTTCTGCCAACAGGGGCGAGATCATCCTGGGCCTCGGGATCTAGATGCTGGGTGAGCAGAGTGGCAACCCACATTGTGGCCAACAAAAAGATAAGATGGAACAGCGAGTAATTGTACTGGGTCGAGCCCCGCTCGTCATCCTTGGAGTCGGCGTCATCGTCCGATTCATCGTCGCTGTCATCCAAAGCAGATGCAGGAAGACTTCCGCTTTCAACGGCCGCACGAAGAGCCTCGGCACGCATTTCGCGGCGGCTACGGCTGGGCTGCTGAGTTACAAGGTCATGGTTCATCTCATCCTGACCTAAACGAGAATAGTCACCATGTGCACCGCTTGACCCGAGGGCAATGCCTTGGGTTGCAGCACGCGTAGTTGTATATGCAATAGTCAACATGGTAACAATAGCTCCAAGAACAATCGAAGCGGTTCTGGTTCCGCGGGCACGAAGGAGTGGATTGCATTGTTTGTCGTCCGGTTCCATCGAAACCGCGGACATAGTCAAATAAGTGCAGTAGACAGTGACCATTGCCGCCTGCGCTAAGCCGGCGCGAGGGTTTGCTGCTTGCACCGCCGGTTGTATCGACACAACGGAAATGATCAGGAAAACGATTAGGTTGATCTGTGTAGTGTAAGTATTGGATAATGTGGCAAGGTAGGGGCTGCTTACGGTAATTGCTGCTTGGTTCATCGCGCAGCCGCTACGAGCGAAGAATATATACATAACGATCGTCATGGCGAACGAGGCGAGGTACATGCCCAAGGTCGAACCAATCAGCAAGACCTGCCACATGCGGGAGCCACTGTCTTCGATCTTTTCGAAGCATAATTCCGCCCATGAATGGGCAAGGTCCACCAAGAGAATAAGACCGAGCAGCAGGAACAGAATCGCGCCAACGAAGGCGAAATAACTACCCCAGACAAAGAAGAATGGCTCTGGGATGAAAAACGAGAGCACGATGAGCGCCAGCCAAACAATAATCTTAGGGCCCCAATATCCATTTTGTAAACCAGCTCGTTGGTCTTTGGAAGAGCGTACTCCGAGAAGGAGGAGGGCAAGGATGATGTGAAACAATCCGAGGGCGAAGTTGATACGGTGAACAGCAACCCAGCCGTGGCATTTTTCTCCATCACAACTGATAGGCAAAAAGTCGAATGTAAGGTGTTCGAGTTTGTTCAAAGCCCATCTTGTTAACATAATCCACGAAAGGATGGAGTTTATGAGGAGGATAAATGCGTAGGCGATTCTCGTGGCCATGCTATCAGGTGGTCAGTCTATCCTTCTTGGGGTGAAGAACGAGAAAATCCCCCTACCTGCTCTGAAATTTCCCACATGCCCTGCATAGGGCAGAGCACGTTGCAGCTCCGCAACATGAAGCAAGGCAGCCCACCACCTAAGAAGAGTTAGCAAGCGGTCGATGAGAGCTTGGCTTGAGAATGGGTCCTCACCGTCCCCATGCTGGGAACTGCCATCAAAGGCAGAGATAGTAATGCACCCATACTGAGCGCCGCTCTAGAGGGTACTCAAAACAAAGTGCCGATAGCAATAGATGGTGTCTTGGTGGTTGGATATCGCGCCCTCCAAGATCTCGGACGACGGTCGGGGTGATGATGGCGTTGGCGGTTTGCGGGTTGCCTTGGCAGCGTCGACTTCGCCGGCAATAACGTCACTCTGCTTATATAAGCCGGGCATCAACCCGTCTCCGGTCGGGGCGCGAGTCACGAAGTGCACAGGGGCCCTTGTCGTCGAATTTATCCCGTGGCTGTCATTCTTAGCGCTTGCCACAAAGGAGGTTCATCTTCTATATAAATCGATACCGTGGACGAACGAGCCGGTCATACGCCGACCAAGCCAGGACCTATTCTGTTACACAAAAGAACTACTGCACAGCACCGTGGCTTTACATATAGTTAGATCAACTCTTTCAGAGTGCCTTCCTGGACATTCATAGATCATGCTATTATCACATGGGTCTTAAGCACAGCGCGAAGCTAGAAGGGTGTTTTATTGCACCTAGAATTACTCCTCCTTCGCCATGTCTCCGTCGATAACAACAGCTCAGCGGTTGCTGACCGTGGTAGCGGCGACTGCAATCGCGCTCGCCAGCGGAACAAATGTAGCTATGAAGCCCCAGGCCAAATATATCGTGTACATATGGTTGACCTTCTTCTAGTATGTCTATTCGGCATGGGCCCCTCAGTTTGCGGAACGTATGAAACTTTCTTCGACAGAAAGTAATCTTATTGTGCGCATCGCGTCTCTCACTTCAAATGCCCCCCTGTATGCTAATGGCCAGTAGGGTACGGCGGCAAACGTAGGAACCTATGCTAGTGGTATTGCTATTGGCTTGCTTGTTGATTCCAAAGGACCTCGTCCGGGTACTATGATTGGTACTGTGGCTTTGTTCCTGGGATATTTCCCCATTCATCGAGGTCAGTACCAACCCCTGAGCGTCCTGGGCATTAGAGTTGGGTTAGAGTGCTGATATTTGAATAGCCTATGCCTCCGGCGCTGGTTCGATGAGTGTGCCGCTTCTCTGCTTTTTCTCATTCCTCACCGGCTTAGGAAGCTGCTCTGCCTTTTCAGCGTCGATCAAGACTGGTATACTATACACCCTTCTCTATCTGGCCACCAGTTACTAACACAGCCAACACAGCTGCGTCCAATTTCCCGAATCATCGAGGCTCTGCTACAGCCTTCCCACTCGCCGCCTTCGGACTGAGTGCATTTTTCTTCTCAACGATAGCTGCATTTGCTTTCCCTGATGACACGTCTTTGTTCCTGCTCGTCCTCGCAGTTGGAACATCGTCGTTGATATTTGTTTCATCTTTCTTTGTGAAATTGCTACCACATTCGTCCTCCTACTCCTCCATCTCGGACTATGAGCCAACAAACGCGTCTCAGTCGAGTCAGCTTCATAGAACCAGGTCTACAGATAACCATCACGGAATCGCAGACGTAGAGGCACCTCGGACTTCAAGCTCCGTTGATTTGCCTGTATCATCCCCCGCACCGCCCCGACACGAGACTGCGGATGAGACATCATCATTGATTACCAGATCATCGACGTCTGAAAATCCCCTTTTCGACGAGAACCTGAAATCGCGTGTGGCTGGAGATTCACTTCATTCAGATTTACGCGGCTTTCGGATCCTAGGAACTGTGGAATTCTGGCAGCTGTTTTCCCTGCTTGGGGTGCTGACAGGCATCGGCCTGATGACAATAAAGTTGGTTTTCCCTACTCTCATTTTATCTGAATGGTGTGCTAATGCCTGTGCAGCAATATTGGAAACGATGTGAGATTCGCTCCTAGATTGACAATACTACCATCCCTTTTACATTTTCTGACTTTGATCTAGGTCAAAGCGCTTTGGAAGTATTATGATGACAGTGTCAGCTCCGAATTTCTTCAAAAGAGACAAGCCATCCACGTTTCAACCCTTTCCGTGCTTAGCTTCATAGGCCGTCTTATCAGCGGTAATACAACCCATTTCTTTCCTACTAGGCGACTTTACCGAGTGAACTAACCCGTTCTCTAGGAATCGGCTCCGACCTTCTTGTCAAACATCTCAAAATGTCACGCCAATGGTGTGTCTTCGCAGCTTCGTTATTTTTCTGTGCTGGACAACTTGCCGGTGCCCAAGTTTCCAATCCACACCATCTCATATTGGTCTCCGGCATGACGGGCTTCGCCTACGGTATGCTGTTTGGAGTTTACCCTTCTCTCGTCGCGCATACGTTTGGTATTGGCGGCATCTCTCAAAATTGGGGCATCATGACCCTCGCGGCAGTCGTTGGTGGTAACATATTCAACCTCATTTATGGATCAATTTATGACCGAAACTCTGTGATATTGCCAAACGGGGATCGTGACTGTAGGGAAGGGCTAGCATGCTACCGGACTGCGTATTGGGTGACGTCGTATGCGGGGATTGCAGGCGCCTTGATTACTCTATGGGGCGTCTGGCATGAAAAGAGGGTCATGGCGAAACTGGTCGGGAAAAATAATAATCATGCACATGCAAGTTAAATAAAGGGTTATTTTTTTTCGAGTGGCATATCTGTTACAGTTGATATTTAGTATATACACTGGCCTCTGTTCAAGCACAGAATAAGTCGAAAGAACTTACTAGCTATACAGAGGTTAACCAATACTTTTATACCTGAATGATGTTGCTCTCATCGTTTCATCATGTCACACCGAACTTGCTAAGAGCTCGCGTGCTTCTACTACATCTTATTGCTTCAAGTACACCACTAATCTTCATTTTCCTGACATCACACAGCACATTCCTGTCTGATCATGGAATAGCTTTCAAGAGGACTTCCCGATACGCTTTGTCTATTCTCATCCTCACGTACTGATCATGCTTCAGCTAGTGAATGACTCTCTTCAGCTCTATTGTCTACTTTCCGCAAAACAATTTCCAACCCAATGCAGATAGGTAGAAAAGGAAATACCCAAATATGGTACTGTTGTATCATCATAACCTACACCTACATATGTACAGTACCTATTTTACTCCTAGGAATCATCTCCTCAAAACAAGTGATGATTTCAATTCGCAACGAAAGCATTTTTTTAACCCCTATGTATAGTCGGGCTCCTCCAAATAGCCAACCACGCCATGACAACAGAGTGGAAAAGGAACAAGATCTGATAAAAATACAGCATAGCTTAAATTAGCATTACAATAGATATCCGAGCCCAATGCTTTGAAAAGAAAAAACACATGGGTATCTGGGTAATAGAAGGGACAGTGGCAGTGGGTCGAGAAGGGGTTTGTTCGCTCTGCGGAATTTTCCGTAGCTAATAAGCGTACCAGCTGACTATGCGGCTAGGAAGCTTCGATGGTGGGGTTGGCGGGCGGTCCGATGGTATTGTCAGAAAGACGCGCTTTTTTGGCTTCGGGTTCTACCGGGTTCCCGCAGTTGTCGCTCTGTTTGTATTCATTCAACTCTTGTTCTAGCTCGCTTATCTTGCGTTTCAGCTCTTCCTCCCGCTTCTGAGCCTCTTCCAGAGAGCGTCTCAAATGCAGTTCAGAGTCCCGCACGTTCAGCTCTGACCTCCTCGAGGCCTCTTCGCTTTGTTCTAATTGTGTTACCCTCCCACGAAACAGCTCATTGATCACTTCCAGCTCGCTGACACGAGTTTTTAGCGAGGTATTCGCCGCGACTAAGCCTTCGTATGTTTGCGCCATCTCTAGATGCCGATCGTTGGACGACGTGCTTGATCCCGGGGATGGCTGTTGTAGTTGCAACGCTGAGAATCCTGCGGTGGATGGATTAATACCATGTTCCGACAAAGCGACGCCATCGAACACGTTTTGGGGGGCGATATTATTGTTGTGAGCGAAGTTGGGGGTATCGGTACGCGATAGCGGAGAATTCGAGCGGTCAGACCGAGGTGATGTTTTTCGCGCTCTAGGAAAGCCGTATGCTCCGGTGGCAGCCATTGCATCGGCTTTGGAGGTAGGAGTTCCATTTACGTCAACTGCTGACTGCTGATAACAAACCGAATTAGCTACTTCTGGATAGACAAGGAGAACTGTGGCAGCCCAGAAGGCAAAGGTACCTTCCGCTTGGAGCCTTGCCCCGAGGTCTTGACCCTATTACGGCTCTTGATTACGTCTGTTTTCAGGTTCAATGGGCGCGGGCGACCGTGGAGTTTGAGGAAAAGACCGCAAGCGTTGCAGAGGACGGCTCCCATGCCATCTCTTCTCCACAGGGGCGTTTTCGAGGTGCCACAGTTCTGGCAAACGGACTGATATTGCGGACTCTGGTTAGCCATTGCAGTCGCCATGGTCATCATTGAATCAAAACAGGAGGGATTATCAAAAAGCAATAGGACTCGGAAAGGTCAGGTTAATATCTGGCTTTTGGGATGTCTTGGAATTGATAAGGGAACGGGTGATGGGATTCGGCAGTGATAAGGAAAAAAGATTGGGGCTGAAACGCTAAAACGCACCGCGCTAAGGCTGCGTTCCACGCTAGACCCAATTGGTAAAGCTCATTGGTTGGGTACAGTCCTCGCACGCCGGGCTCGAGGGCGACGGCAAGGCGACAGGAAAAGAAGAGAGAAAGCTGTTGGAGGGTCAATTGACTTACCGAAGCCGCTCCCGAACCGCCGGTGGTAGCACTTGGCGAAGAAGTGGCGTAGTTCATGCTCTGGGTCGCGTTATGGTTGTTACACACATTCTCAGCGGCATCATAGGCTCTGCAGGTATGCAAAAGAACGCAAAGACACCGTCAGCTAATGAAATCGCAAAGCAGCGTACCCGCTAATGCGGTGTGATATCGAAACCTCGGTTTCAGGTAAAGTTCCGGGTAGAGCTTGCAAGGGACTCCTGCTACTAACCGGAGATATGATGTCGGGGCAGACGCAGCAGAGGCTAGGGCAGAAAGCCCGGCGTTAGAAATAGGGCCTTCAGAACATGGTGCAGCATGGCTTCCCATATTCTGACTTGTAGGACGCGTACTCAGAGTCTCGGATTGACCAGATGCCGATGCCGAGACGGGTAATAAGGGCGGAGACACGGAGGCGGAGGTCGCGCGCTCTCCCTCCTGGGAAGATGCCGGGAACACCAGCATATCTGTCTGGTGCGAGTTGGGGGGAAGGGAAGGGCTAATGGCGGAAGATCCTAGGGCGAGAGTGGCTACGGCGGACGTCATCTCGAAGGAGGAGGACAAAGGGCTGGGCCGAGGGAAGAGGAGCAAGAATTAGAGAGCGCTAAAAAACGAACAGAATATATAGCTACTAAGACAAGAGCGAAAGAATTAAAAGGAGTACAGCGGGCAAAGTTGATTGCAGGCGTGTTCTGAAGGTTGGTGATGGGCAACGATGTGCTTTCTGGCTGCTTCGGACGGGCGAAACCTCCCTATCGATAATGCTTATCGGCCACCCAATCAGGGGAGGCGGCGCCGGGGCGGCAGAATAGATACGCCGAAGCCCGGTGTTGTCACGTCCCCTCAAGCCGCCCCCTTTCCCACGGGCGAGATATCCACGACGCGCCGTGAGCGACGAGACCCTGGTTTGGCCTCATCGAGCAGAAGAACAAGTCTCGTCGGAATACTTTGTAGAAACATAGAAACTTTTTCTTTTTTTGCCCTGTCATCTCCACCCGTCTGCTTGTTAGCCGGCCGTTGGACAGCTTGGCCTGTTTCGTGGCATGCTGATTATGTAACCTAGCCTGAGAGGGAGCTCGACAGCAAGCCCCAGAGTCGTCACCAAAGCATGTGCAAGGGCCAGGTTTCCCTAACCGCACCCTCCAGGAGCCATTTCAAATTTCCTTCCGTTAAAGCGTTCTCTGGGGCGATAGTGAGGCCTCATTTACCCTTACCGGGATATTCGCTCTGTCTAAACATGTCCTGAACTCATTGAGCGCTCTCATTCTCCGTCCTGCATACTCGCCGCTTGGAGTTTTTTTTGTACTCCTAGGCGGTAATCTGCTTGCCTTTCTTGTGTGTGTGTGTTTCTTTCTTTTTTCCTTGAAGGATGGCCCCTTCGAAGAATCGGCCTGCCACGTCAGGCTATGCCCGCCTCGCTCAGGCGGACGAAGACAGAGAATTCGAGTACGAGTCTGACGAGGATCCCTACGCCGTTCCCCCTACCCTATCCTCGTCCGTCCCTCGATATGCCCCTATCCGCCCTACCGGCCATATGCAGGCCTCCAGACAGTCATCTCCTTCCCGTTACCGTAGTAGAAGACCCTACTACGGGAAAAGCCGTCGGGGCAGGACTGATTCATCTGGCGTGGACATAAAGGCGATAAATATGCGACTGGAGAAATGGGCTGAGGAGATTGCGTCGAAATTCAAGATTCATAGGGTTAAAGGTAAAACAAACGAGGAAGAACAGCTAGAAATACATCATACCGTTTTTCAAGCTCCCGAGGGTGTCCGCCCCGTGACTGCTGCATCCCTCGAAGCAGATCCTCCGGAGACCGAACGCATGGCCGAATCTGAATTTAATGACATCGTGGAGAGCGTGCGGGTGGCAATCGAGCTTGGAGTACACCCGAAAATGATCTCGCAAGGAAGCTCCGGGAGCTACTTCGCGCGAAATAGTGAAGGGAAGGTGGTTGGCGTCTTCAAACCCAAAGACGAGGAGCCGTATGCCTCGCGGAATCCAAAATGGACCAAGTGGATACATAGAAACTTGTTCCCTTGCTTTTTTGGCCGGGCCTGCCTTATTCCTAACCTGTCGTATGTGTCTGAAGCCGCTGCCTATGTGCTCGATACCCGGTTAAAAACCCACCTTGTTCCCTACACCGACATCGTATGGCTCTCTTCCAAATCTTTCTATTACGACTTTTGGGATAGAAGACGGGCATGGAGAGGAAAGAAACCACTACCTGCCAAGCAGGGCAGTTTCCAAGTCTTCCTTAAGGGATATAAAGATGCCAATATCTTCTTGCGTGAACACCCATGGCCAGACCAGACGAGCGGTGGATTTCGTGCCGAAGACGCACCGCGGAGAAAGAAGAGGCCCTGGAATGAAGCTTGTCGCCCATCCGGAATTCAGTCGGATGACGAAGATGAATATCAAGACGCTCGTATGCTCAGTCCATCTCCGCAGGACGATGGACCTCGAAAGTTTTACTGGACGGAAAATTTGAAGCAGTCATTTAGAGAAGAGCTTGAAAAGTTGGTTATTTTAGACTATATTATGCGAAACACAGACCGAGGGCTTGATAACTGGATGATAAAGGTGGATTGGCACACAGAAGAAGTCTCCATTGTGTCGGATCCGCCGAAGGCAAATGGAATAAACCATCTTGATGATGAAGATCATATGCCGCCTCCACGCCCGATATCCGCGAATTCTGAACGAACAAACTCTCCTATGTATCCTTACAGGCGACATGAAGCCATGGTGGCTACAAGCAGGACCGGGACTCCGTCCAATGCACCAGAGCTTTTGAACGCCTCGATATCGGTTGGAGCCATCGACAACAGTTTGTCTTGGCCATGGAAACACCCTGATGCTGTAAGTGTCAATAGAAATAATTATGTTCTTCGTGACTGATCTCTCGTAGTGGCGAAGTTTTCCTTTTGGCTGGCTCTTCCTTCCAGTTTCTCTTATTGGACAACCATTCTCACCAAAGACCCGGGACCACTTTCTACCTCTGCTCACATCGACGGCATGGTGGAGCGGAACCCAGACAGCGCTCCGGCGTGTCTTCAGCCAAGATTCCGATTTTAAAGAGAGCATGTTTGCAAGACAGATTGCTGTTATGAAGGGCCAAGCCTGGAATGTTGTGGAGACGTTGAAGCAAGCAGACCACGGCCCCTTAGAGCTGACTCGCAGGACAAGAGTCTGCGTTTGGGATGACCTTGTGGACATACCCGTCGCGATTCCTCTCCGTGTACCTTCCGGTGAGGCTCAGCGACGACGTGCTCTTGATCACCTCGAGTCACAAGAAGAGATGGATATCAGTTCTGCCATGGCATCTGAGCCTGGTCCGCATCGTGATTTATTGAGCTTCGGCTCTCCAACAAATGAATTGCCCAACCCGAACCGATTCGAGCTCTCGCGAGATACCACCTCTTTCGAATCAGGCAGGACAAGGGACCGGGCCACTAGTCCTATCTCGTTCAGCCACGCTGATTTCGGGAATCTAGACCGTCTTGGTGAAAGTGGCAGGGAGCTTGCGAGCAGCTGGGCCACACTTCCAACTCGACCGACCGAACGTCAGTCCAAGCGATATGGCAAGCGACCTTCACATAGAAAGCAAGCATCTATGTCACGTCGGGACAGTACCATTGTCTTTGGTGGGGACGATCTTGAAGGAGATCTTGGCTATGCTGCCGCCGAAGAAATGGAGGGACACGAACGTAAAGTCATTGTGGAGCGGCTTGAGGCTGTTAAAAGCAAAAATCCGGTGTTTACATGGTGCTGATCTCTGGTCATTCCATATTTCGGAGTTCTGAAGCCACAGTACTTACTTCTACTATTTCTCTCCTGTATTACTCCTATCACTTTTATTACTTTTGATGGCTGGACTAATAATTTCTACTTTCTGCTTCTGATTCTTTTGGGTGGTGCTTACTCGATCTTCTCATCCTGTTTGAATGGCATGGCTCATGTGGAGTTGTATTTGAGGTTTTAGAAGCATGTTCAAAAAGGCCACTCTGTATTTCCTTGTTCAACTTCCTCTGTCTTGTGCGACAATCCCCGTGGTTGAATTTTAGAACTTGTTACTCGTGTGTCAGGATACAGGACAGCATTTTCTAGCCTTTCACATAGTCTAGCCTGCATTTGGGTTGGAACTTCTTTCTTGTATGTATTGAGTTTTCGGGCGAGTCTTGTTAAACCCTTTCGCAGTTTGTTTTTCATGTTATTGCTTGCTTTGATGATGTCAATATTGCTCATACTGCATTGAGAACAATAGTAGATAGATTTTTCTCATCTTGAGAAACTGCAATTCCCACCCAGAAACAAGCAACAAGGTAGGCTGCAGCAGCTTTTTACGTACTCCTTGCTCTCAAACTCCGAGAGATGTGATACTTATGATAAGATTAGGTTCGACAATGCCCTGCTTAGTCAGCATAAAACTTGGGTCAACCTTATTTAAGCTAACTAAGTAACTAACTAGTTAATTATTGCCACGCCGGTGAAGATTCTCACACGCCTTGTTCAATCGCGTCAAAGGCATCCAGCCGAGATCACGCTCCACTCACCCCCATCTCTACTGTTACCTCAGTTTTGAGGTACTTGAATCCTTCTTTTACGCAGCTGCAGCTTTCTTTCTATTCCTCTATCGTGCGCTCTCCTATGCACTCTCCCGTCCTTCCCTCTCCTCCTCGGATAGTTGCCAGGAATTCGCCGGAATGAGTGGCCCTTCGGCGGCTCTTTTACTCGATCCCAAGAGCTTTAAAAGGCAATCCGCAACGGGTAACATGCCTCTTCGTCTATAATTTATCCATTTGAAACCAACAGCTGATCTATCTGTATTCTGAACCCAGAGCCTTCTTCGCGCAGCACTCCAAACAATGACGTCAAATGCGACCCACCGCCTCCGAGACCTGCATCCAGCCAGTCAGCTCCACAAGGTAATGGCCGACTCGAAACGAAACGTGAATTTGATCAGGTCCATGCGGGGGGCCAATCCCGAATGATCGAGGATATGTACGGTGTCGAGAGGCGGGAAAGTCAGCCCCTCAAAAGGATCCGAGTCGATGTGGCAAAGGGGAATGGGAGTATGACAAGTCTGAATGATAAATATTCAGGAAAAGGCACGACAGATCTAGGACAGTATATGAAAAATACTCCAGAGCAGTCTGGGCCTACGGCACCTCCAGCTTCCAAGGCGATCGATCTCACTTCAGGTAAGGTTTTCAAGTTCTTTCCATTAACCAAAGGCGTCTAACCGTTTCATAATCAGATAATGACGACGATGATGTGATTTTTGTTGCAAATCGTGACCTGGGCGCAGAGGAGGTCTGCTATGGTAAGGTTGAACACGCTACAGTTCAGGCGCATCAAGTGCCGGTACCTCCGAAAACTGTATTCAAGGACATGACGCACGATTGGCCATCTATCAGATGCGAATTGGTTCGAAGACGTTCTCAAGACATGAGAATTGAAGTCAAAGACGCAGCTGGTAAAACATTCGGTTTAGTGGACCCCAAGACCTCTGCGGCGCTGGCTCCATTACTTGACAATGGCGTTGCTAAGTTCCGCACTCAAGCTCGCCTAGATGTTCGAAAGAGGTTGCCTGACGAATGGCCTGGACAGTTGACCTTTGGCAATTTTCGTATTTCTATCAATTTATACGGGCCGCGACGTTTGTCAGAGAGCACAGGAAGATTCCTTGGCCAAAAGAACGTCTGGCTAGGAACGCCAAATACGGTGGAGGCTGGAATATCGGTTTGTAACCCACATACTGAGAAACGCTTGGCCATGGCCGCAAATGCTACTCCAAATCGTTTTTCAGTTCAATCTGAGACCCGCACAGCCGAGGAAGTGAATAGTGTTGTTATCAGGATGTTTGACCAGCTGAGGAGCGCACAAAATCTTCCAGAGATGGAACCATCCGATTTGATTAAGACATCGCTCCTCTCTCATCAGAAGCAAGCCCTTTGGTATATGTCAGAAAAGGAGAAGCCACGACAACTTGGGCCAAAGGAAGAGGATAACAATTCGCTGTGGCGAGTGCAATACCAATCAAACGGCCAGAGACTGTATCGCGAGATCATCAGTGGTGTGACGACCTTGGAACAGCCCCCGCGAGTCCTGGGCGGACTTCTAGCCGATATGATGGGCTTAGGTAAAACCCTAAGCATCTTATCTCTGGTGTGCTCCTCATTACCACAAGCCACGCAGTGGGCTAAAGGGGAAATCCAAGACGAAATATTCCACACGAGCCTTCCGGCCCTCAATGCTAAAACTACTCTATTAGTGTCACCACTAAGCGCGGTGAGCAATTGGACGAGCCAGATCAAAGAACATTTGCAAGAAGGGGCCATTTCGTACTACGTATTCCATGGACCCTCGCGAACTGAAGATCCCGCAGAATTGGCGAAATATGACTTGGTCATCACCACCTACAGCACAGTACTCAGTGATCTCGCGCGTAAAAGCTCCAAAAGGGGGGCAAGTCCCCTCGCGCAATTGAACTTCTTTCGAATAGTATTGGACGAGGCTCATGCAATACGGGAACAATCCGGAGCTCAAAGCCAGGCAATCTTTAGCCTAAATGCTCAGCGTCGGTGGTCCGTCACCGGAACTCCTATTCAAAATCGGCTGGAAGACTTGGGTTCTGTCACAAAGTTTCTGAGATTATACCCGTACAATGAAAAGGGACGATTTGCAGCACATATCATCTCACCTTTTAAATGCGAGAACCCTAGCGCCATAACCAATTTAAGAGTGTTTATTGACTCTTTTACACTCCGTCGGGTAAAAGACCGTATTAATCTACCTCCCCGCAATGATCATACTGTTCTCCTTACCTTTTCTGAACATGAAAAAGCGCTACACGAATTTTTCCGGAAGGAGTCTAATGTTATGATGAACGTCATCGCTGGCCAAACTAGAGAGAAAATGAGTGGTAGCATGTACCATCTGGTTTTGAAGGCCATGATGATCTTGCGACAAATTAGCGCTCATGGCAAAGAGCTGCTCGATCAGGAGGATCGCGAGAGGTTCAAAGGGCTGACGGCGAGCGACGCTATTGATTTAGAGGAATTAGAGTATAATGCAACGGATGCTGCTGACAGAAAGGCGTACGAGATGCTTTCGCTGATGAAAGAATCGTCCGCGGATATTTGTGTAAAGTGCGGCAATTTCATCCCGTTGCAATCGGGTGACGAGACTCCCGGAGACAAGAACGGTATGGCAGCTAGTATGCTACCGTGCTTTGATCTTCTCTGTGCAGATTGTTTTGCTCGGTTTAGACCAGTTTTCGATGACAATGTTGGAAAACCCGTACAGCTTAGATGTGTCTTCTGCAAGAACCTGATAGCACCCGCCTACGCTATCATAACCCCTGCGGGGTTTGAGAAATACCAAACCACACAACTCGCCGCAAAGCAGAATCGCAAACAAGTCAAGGTGTTGGGGCAGTATGAAGGGCCTCATACGAAGACGAAGGCCTTGATTTCTCATCTCCTAGGCACCGTGGAAGAAAGCAAACACAATCCGGATCAGCCACCTATTAAAAGCGTTGTGTTTTCATCGTGGACCTCACATCTCGATCTCATTGAAATTGCGCTCCAGGACAATGGGATCCGGGGCTTTACTCGGCTCGATGGTACTATGGCGCTCAAACAACGGAATGTTGCACTTGATAAGTTCCGGGATGACGATAACATCACAGTTCTCCTTGCAACTTTAGGGGCTGGTGGTGTTGGTCTTAATCTCACATCAGCCTCAAGGGTGTACATCATGGAGCCCCAGTACAACCCGGCTGCTGTCGCGCAGGCAGTAGACCGCGTTCATCGTCTGGGCCAGACAAGAGAAGTTACGACGGTGCAATTTATTATGAAAGAAAGCATTGAAGAAAAGATTGCGGAGCTGGCGAAGAAGAAACAGAAGCTAGCTAATATGAGTTTGAATCGAGGCAAATCGGATAAGCGAGAGATGATGGAGGAGAGGATGAAGGAATATCGGAGCTTATTCAAGTAAGATGCCGTCTGGTAAATGGCCCTTACGCCTCTACTGGATATTCATGGCGTTTTGATGACAATAAAGGCAGAGACAATATTTACGACTTGGAATGGATGGCGTTATGATGATGCGAAGGGGCGGCATAGTTATAAGGAATTGGCGGCAGGTTTTATTTTTACGATTTTATGATACCCATGACAAACCATGCCTCTTCTCTTTAGCCTCTTCTCTTTCTTTTCTTTTTTGAACATATATTATTATTGCTTCTGCAAGCATTCTGGCAAAGGCTTTGAGGAGCTGAGGTGAACAGGTTCTATGACTTAGTATTTGCCATATTGGGGCTGTGACCAGCATCAGCATGATGTAGACATAAGCAGACATAGATTGCTAGACAATATCGAATCTCACAACAATCGGCCATATGTGGTAAAAGAGTGAAAGCTTCGCCGCTGTTGGGTCGCCAATGCCGACCATTAGGATTATTGTTATATCTTGTCGTACGACCTTCACATCACCCTAGCCTGAATTCGAAATACCTGTCCCCCTACTCACCGCCCCCAACAGCCCGTCCACTTTCTCTCCCAATCTCCGCAGCTCTCTCCTTCTTGCACTCCGCTCTTCTTCAACCACTCTTAACTCCTCCGCAAGTTGCTTTATTCGCTCCTGCTGCTCCGCCTCGCTGGATTTAATCCCTGGTAGAACGCTAATCAAGTACTCAATCTGCTGTTCTTTGATAATAAGATCACGAGCCAGCTCGCGCTGGCGCATGAGGAATGTATTCGGTGAGTCCGGACGTGGTGGGGCGTCGGGCGGTTGTTCTTGGTGTTGCTGCTGCATTTGAGGAGCATTAGACGGTCCGGCAGCAGCGTCTTTAGTGTCGCCAGATGGCCCACCGGCGGCGCCGGGAGTATTGGTTGCAGTGCCAGATGTGGGAGCGGCGGGGGGAGGGTTTTTAGGGATCTTTTTGAGCTGTGGGACCGCGCTGGGAACACTGGGGGGTGGGATGGCGGGTGAGTGATCATGGTAGGTTGTTAGGTAGGCAACCGTGGCGTAGAATTGGGTTGCGAGCTAGATCATATGTGAGCTGAAAGGTCCTCTGTCTTGCACCTTTCTCGAGTTGCGACTGACCTGGTCAAGGCATGTTTGAAGCTGGGTGAGAATATCCGCCATAAGCCAAAATTCAAATATTTTATCAGACAGCAAAGCCCCGTGATGATCAATTTGCAAGGGATAATTAGGGGGTTTTTGGTCCCAGAGAGCTCTATGGTTTTGCACATGTACAGATAAGCTGCGAGCTCCTTGCGGCGGCTCCGAAGATAACGAAGTTGCGACCAGCTCATTCTGCTTAGTCATCACGATAGGCTAGTTAGTTAACGAATTAGCCAGTTGGATCACATGAATGAGCTGGTAGTTCCAAAGTATTGATTTTATCAGCGAAGTGAAGGGCTGACTGGAGTGCTAGCGGCCGGGTCACTTCCAAGCTCTTAAACAGCAGAATGGCCATATCTCATGGAAGGAAGGTTAGAAGGTTTCCTCCAGCAGAGGTAAAGAAAGTGGCCCAAAAGGTCCCTATCCAATATTGAATGTATATTTAGTGGTTTGCCATGTGCTACCCTGTAACTTTCTCGAAATGAACCAGACTTCAAGACAATCCATCTCCCTGAGGGTTTTTAGCATTGACAGCAGCACCTTCTACCAGTTCCCCCAGGATATGGATATTCTATGAAAGGTACAAGTGAGTGCCCTTGGAGGATGCGTGCTAGGGGTACCTTCGCAGCATCTATCGGAGAAATGAGGGATCTGATGAATCCTGTATACAAAACAACTATACTCATGAAAATACATCCTAGGACCACACTCTCTAATAGTAATTAGTATTTACGAACGGGGTGACCAGTTGGCTACTAACAACAAAAATGTTTTGAGTAAATTTCAGACTCTGTACGGAGTACGGGGTAGACAATTTATATTGCTGTTTCCAGGCATCCAATCTGGACAGCCCGCCACGACATCTCCTTATGCCAAGACTCACCAGTTATTGCTTGGTTGGGTTGTTTTAAGAAGATCTGCACACAACTGCATAGAACAGGGTGATCCATCTAACTCTCCTCTCCTGGCTGATAAATATTGGCCCGCAAAGAGCCAAAACACCGCCGGCAGCTCTGTGACCTCGATTGTGACGGCTCTTCTGCGGATCATTTTGAACAGATTCGGAACAGCAGGGCTCCATCAATAGTTGCATTGCAACGTCATGGCCAACCGAGCTTTTCGTGCTCCAATTCGTCTGCTCTCGCTCTTCTTCGCATCCATTCTGTTGTACTACTGCCTTCGATCATTCCTCATATCATCTACTTCTCCATCCATTTCTTCTTCAGATCTGCTGTTCAAGCACCTTGTTGTGGCGAGTTTGAAGTCAGATAATACATCATGGGTAGGAGAGCATCTGCCAGATTGGCAGGCAAAAGTTTACGTGGCGGATGACCCAAAGGCCCAGTTGACCGTGCCACTGAATAAAGGGAGAGAATCTATGGTGTATTTAACGTGAGAGCTCTTAGAATCACTCTGATATTTTTCAAGTTTTAGTCTTTGATTTTCAAAATCACAGAGAGTGACCACGCCTTTTGGATAGCTTTGTTGCTGATTGGAAGGCATGGGAGATATAGATATATAATAGACCACTATAATCATCTTCCAGACTACATGGTCTTTATACATGGACTGCGATATCAATGGCATAATGACGATCCGATATATGGTATCTATCTATTCAATAATCCTAATCAATAATCCATTTCATTTCTTGCCAGTGAGCTGAATCAGAGCATAGATGGCGTACCGATCCTTCGTAACCTCCGTCTTCCATACGTTAAAAGCGTAGGGTATGCGCCTCTACGATGCACCTGGGTTCCTGGATGCCCAGCAGAGCTGCACCCTCTGAATCCAACCGAGAAAGGCCTTCCGACACGTGTAGCGGCGGAACGCGCTTATGCATCTGCATTCAAAACCTTGCTGCCGAATGAGTCCGTCCCAAAGGAAGTCGGTGCGACATGCTCGTCACAATTCGCAGTCACTCGCGAGCGAGTGAGACGGCGACGAAAATCAGACTATGAGCGAATGCGGCGATGGCTCATGAACACGGATCTTGAAGATGAAATAAGTGGCAGAATCATGGAGTACGCATGGCATAGTATGTTCCACATAGCTCCTCTCAGCTCCCCACATGTTCAGCTTGTCTTGCGATCACTGCCTCTATGCTTCCACCTCATAGTGAACGTTGCTAACAGCCCAAGTAATCATGGGAATGCCGCCGGTTTATTGTCCGCCAGCAGGAGAATGCTATTGCATAACATTTGGCATTTGCAAGCTGAATTGCAACGCGGCACGATGTGACAAGAGATATGTCCTCCCAACATACGCCCAGATCCCGAACGGATGGCCCGAGCACGGCGGCGGCGAGAATGGGTGGCCCACTCCGGGCTGGAATGAGTGAACTTGAAGCAGCTTCGCAAAGGTGGATAGAATGTTATCCGTACCAGCAAAAGCGGATAACTAGAACCGGGTCGGAGTGCCGAATGGTGCTTGAAATATGGGTCCCAAGCAAAAAAGATCCCATTGATCTGGCTGATATTAATAAAAGGGAAACATTCCCTATTTCCGGGCTGGTGAAGGACTTCGGTGGTCAAAAAGTTAAGTGACTTGAAAATGTTGTTTCCACCGAAAAGTATGCCGCACTTGATAAAATCTTCACGGCTTTTCGCCATCGTCATTTGAATCAAGTCCCTTTACCTCCTCCCCATCCCAGGTCAATACAATCTTCTGCTTCACCTCCCCGGAACCCATCAAATGTTTAACTTGTACGCCCAATCCTTCCAACGCCACCTCGCTCGCTCGCCCATTCCATAAGACCTGCCTAACCGCACCGTCCTCCAAATCTGCCAGAATCCACATCAGGGGGAACCTGCTCTTTGTCAACGCATCTCTCACCCCCTTCGTCGCCTCCCGTGGACTGACCAACATCCCTATTATCCCTTCTCCTCTCCAGCCGACGGGCGCACCTGCAAACGTCCCTTCCAGCTCCCGGATTAAATTGGGGCCTAGTTTGTTGCGGAACGCCTTGCATTGTACAATGACGCGGAGAGGATAGGGGTGCGATGGCAAGTGCCAGGTGCCGACGAGGTCGATGCCGGAGTCGGCGCGGCCGCCGATACGAGTGAGGTCGATGGCGTAGGCGCGAAGTGAGTGCAAGACGGTGTACTCGTAGTGAGTGCCTACATAAGTTGTGCTGGCGGAAGAGAGCCCGGTTCGCGCGGCGTATGCGAGGAAAGAGGGAAGATCATGGTGCTGAGAGGTCGGGGGCAAAGGGCGAGTGGGGAGGGAAGGGGGTTTTGTTGTAGAGTTCCAGCGTGCGACGTTGGTATTTGTAGCCGGTACACAAGTACGATGGGTTAACTGGGAGGCAACGCTTCGTATGCGTTGTAAGTGTCTCATGAGTGTTGGTGACTGTGTTGTTAGAATAGTTTCTGCAGGCTACGGAGTACTCTGTAACAAAATTACCTTGGATGTCGATGGATTTAAAAGGCGCCAAGCGATCGGAGGCTGAAGTCGCCCCTTAATAGATAGGCGCGGGACCCGCCGCAATAGGCGCCCAGAGCCCTCACGCCAGCGGGGAGCCTAGGTGGCAGAGCGCCTATTCCACCAAGGCCTATGTATGCACATCGCCGTTCTTGCGTCCAAAGTATTCGCCAAGCTAACGTAGGGAATTCCCATCAAGCTGTTTTGTGTTGATGGAAGAGATGCGCTAAGTTCGCAAGAATCCATTTTGCTTGTTTTTTGATTTTTGCCCCGTCCTTGTTCATGTTAACCGCCATAAGCCATGCGACAACAACAATTCCTTATTGTATTACGGAGTAAGTACTTAATATAACTAACAAGGGCGTAACTAACTATGCCCTGATAGCAGGTGTAAAAGTGTGTCGTGATAGCATCTTTACCCGTCCTGTTAGTAGTTGCCAAATGTTGGATCACAAAGAGACATATAAATGAAGGTGAAGCAGTAAAATCCAGTCTCATGAAATAATAAGTCCAAAAAGGTGATGCTCGATGGTGATCTGTTCCACAGGCCCCTGAGCGTGCGCTGCGAGGGCTCTGCGGATTTTATTTCAGCAGAAGTCTTGGCGCTGGTTCCGTCTGATGTCAAGTTCAGTTGCACTTTTTTTGTTGCACTTCGCCGCACGAAGAACCATCCACCAGGGAACACCCTTCACTGTTTCCGCCAGTTCATTCTCATCTGCATCCTTGGGCACTGTGGAATCTTGTTATAGCCCTCCACTTCATCACATTGGCATTGCCGGAGAAAAGGCTCGGTATTACTACCTCTGCAGCTCCATCGCTTCCCCGGTAACTACTTGCGCCAGTAAGCGGAGCCTAGCAAATAATGCATTTTACAGAGGAGCAAGCGGTAGAGGTGAAGACATGGGTGATTAAGAGGCTAGAGGACATGTAAGTGCTTGATTGTCTTATTGCTATGCTCCGCTCACCTTAAATGGTGACTTCTGGCAAAGAGGCCTGGCTGCACTTACATTTACTAACGCAACGGGGAGCAGCTCCGACGCCGATGCAGATGTCCTTGCAGATTACGTGCTAGCTCTAATTCGCTCCGATGCGCCAGATGAGGAGATTCGCAAGGTGTCGGTAGAGAATCTGGAAGATTTCCTGAAAGAAAGTAAGTGCATGTTATCGCCTTTCCGAGGAAATTAGCTATGATATGGCAAGACAATAAACAAGGATTGGAATTCTAATGTGACAATGCGCATAGACACTGTCAAGTTCGTTGATGAAATTTTTGAGAGATACAATCCGAAATCCGAATCCGCTCCAACTGCATCCGTACCCCCTCCAGCATTGCCAACGCCCGCCGGGACCGTACCTTTTAACCAGTCCGGGTCGCCGAGTCAGACTGCACAATTTATAACAACTCCAGCTGGTTCTTCGGGATCCCCAGGCAGGGGTGGCTTCCAAGGAAATGCCCCGGGTTTCGGCGGCAGAAAACGAAGTTTCAACGACGTTGCTCAGGGCGGGGCCGAGCACGACTCGCATCATAGAAGTTATGATCGGCCTTTCAAGACGATGCGAGGCAAGCGTGGAGGACGAGGTGATAGGTTGGCTGGCGGATGGGATAGTCAACGACCCGCCCCGACTGCTCAGCTATTTGCTCCGAACCCACAAGCCGGCTTTCGAGGCATGCCTCCTACTGCACAGCCGGGGTTTCCACCGTTTGACCCTAACGATCCCATGGCTGCGATGCTAGCGCTACAAAGTATGGGATTTCCGCAATTACCTGGAATGCCGAATCTTGCCCAGGTACCTCCGCTAGGACAGAATCAACCTGGATCTCCGCCTGCTAAGGTTGCGCAGCGGTGTAACAACTACGATACTCAAGGATTTTGCGTCCTGGGAAGCACCTGTCCCTACCAGCATGGATCGGACCATTTGATTGCGCCTCCGAAGGACGATGGTAAGTGGATTTTTGTTTTCTCGTTACGATAGCTCATTGCTAATGTGATTTCAGAGTACGACCCTACGAAATCCAATATTTTGACGGACCGCCCATTATCTGCCAACGGTACTAATGGACAGAGCCTTGGCTTATCTCGTGGAGGAGATAGAGGACGGGGCCGTGGGCGTGGTCGAGGGGATAGAGGGGGGTTTAGCGGGCAAAGGCGTGGTCGCGCAGAGTTCTCGCATGCCGGCCCTAACGAAGACCAGTCTATTACAACAATCGTTGTTGAGCAGATACCCGAGGACAAGTTTAATGAGCAGACAGTACGAGACTTCTTTTCCGAGTTTGGTAATATTGCTGAGATCACTATGAAACCATATCGGCACCTTGCGCTTGTCAAATACGACGACTATGCATCGGCTAAACAAGCGTGGGCAAGCCCAAAGGTTATCTTCGACAATCGATTTGTCAAGGTATACTGGTACAAGCCTGGAAGGGGTGAAACGAACGGCAGCACCCAGGCAGAAGATAAGCCATTCAACCAAGAAGAATTTGAAAAGCAACAAGCTGAAGCCCAAAAGGCTTATGAGGAGAAAATGAAGAAACGAAAAGAAACAGAGGAGGCTATGCAAGCTCTTGAAAAACAGAAAGAGGAATTGCTGAAAAAACAACAGGAAGAAAAGGCGAGACTACTGCAACGGCTCGGCATGAAAGGTGCAACTAACGGGGAAGAGGCTCCGACTGAAAAGCAAGGCGAGGATGTGAGTATGGAACCTGTAGATACTCAGGAGAGCGAGAAAACGAAACAGCTACGTGCACAACTGGCAGCATTGGAGGCGGAAGCCCAGAGTCTTGGTCTCGATCCAAATGCTGCGCCGGAGTCTGGGCAAGGGCGTGGCAGAGGCTGGGGTGGTTATCGTGGACGTGGTGGATTCCCCCCACGAGGTCGCGGTTATGATCCTTTTGCTGCTCGAGGTGGATATCGTGGCAGGGGAAGTTTCCGCGGGCGCGGGGGTGTGCTCCGACTTGATAACCGCCCTCGAAGGGTTGCCATCTCTGGAGTCGAGTTCAACACCGATCGTGATGAGGCGCTGAGGCAGTATCTTTTGGTATGTGATAATCTTTCCTTTTCCTTTGTTTGTGGCGTCTCTAACTCTTTCTCAGACTATCGGGGAATATGATAGTATTGAGCCAAACCCAGATCGACAAGACTCCCAGATTGTTGCCTTCAAGGATCGATATGTTGCAGAGCAGCTCATCTACGGAACTTCTGATATCCCAGGCGTGGGTCGTGTCGAAATGACGTGGGTAGCCAACCCACCGATAACCGCATCAGCACAACCAGCTGTCCCCAAGAAAATGGACGGCGATACAACAATGGGTGGTGACGATACCGAGCTTCTGTCGATGAGGAAGGACGTCAGTCATGATGTTGACTACGATGTTGCTGAAGTGGATGATACGTGGGAGGTAGCATGAGTCCCCTGAACTTATGAGTGGCCTAGATCTGATCCGCATAAAATCGACGACTTGGAAGCGATGTTTTCTTAACGTGTAAGCATAATGTACGCTATATCTTTCGGAGCTTTCAAAGCTTACTCTCCATGATGTCCTGGTGTCTTAAAAATGCTAGATTAATCTTTCTTAATGTTTGCATTCGCCGGTCTAGCATATTTGATATCCTTTCCAAAATTTATGACCTGCTACTCCTGTTCCGTGAAATACCTTGCAACAACTTTGGATTAATCGAGAACTTGGATTTTGTATTTCTATTGATTGCCACACTGCCTTCGTCAACCCCTCAGAGTCTTTAATTTTCAGAAAACAGTGATCAAAGTGCCGGGTTCCTTGTGCTCCCACGGGAGAGCCGGGAGACAATATGTCCTGGATTACTTCGTTATGACGAAGTTGTGGTTAAGCTGGAGAATGCTGGCGATCCATCAAGTCCCTGACAGCCAAAGAATAAAGGATCGTACCTCATCATATTTACTCAATACATACCTTTGACTGCCAGGAATATCCGAGTGTGGTACCAATTTTGAAGGAAATGCATTTAATGTATGAAGTACCCGCATGTCACATCAGCCGTGCCATGGAATCTAGCGAGTACAGAAGCATGTGCCTCTGTGGCCAACTTTTCACAAAAAATACCCTGTATCATTATTAAACAGTTGGTTTGAACATACATCATCACGAAACCAACATCTCTACAATCTTCTTGCGTGTAGGAAATGACCAAGAGGGGGGCCTAACACTATCAAGAAGACCAGGCCCTATAGCTCCAAGGTTAGGATTGGAGATCCAATGCACACAGACTCTTTGTAATCGCAGAGTAAAATTGTATTGAGATGTTGCAGCATGACAAGCAGGATTACATGACAATAAAGACGTTGTTCCTTGGGTTTCCAATTGAGGTCGATCTCACAATCCATTTGTTCACAAGATCTAGATACACGCGTGGTTAGCGACTGCAATGTTGTGGCGAAGCAAAAATCTGAAAGAGAGCGCAAGACCAAGTCAAATGTAATGGTTGAAAGGACACATATCCTGAATCAGGGCGCATGGAAGTGCGATGAGCAAAAGAAATTGTTGTCCTTCAACCTGTGACAGAGCACTGATGTTGGTGTTACAGTTGGATCTTCACACAGATTTCATGAAAGAAATATCAACTCAAAAAGCAGTGGTCCTGGCTTCTAACGTCTCACTTCTGCAGTTGAGTACGGCCATCTAGGGGAACAAGATAAGGTCTGGGTGTTGGACATGGTGCTGCAGCGCCTTCTCCTGTCTCTGCCTCCCTGTTGGGCTTACTATTGATTGTGAGCTGAGTACGACAGCAGTTCCAGTTTCTGCAGCAGAATCTCATAGTTTGTGCTTTGAAGGCTAGAGACTAAGATATGGCGACTGCGACACCACATCCGAGAGAACCCTGAGTTTCCAATGGCGATCCCATGTCGAGGAGGCAGAGTCCATCCACGGCAATCAAATGAGAAAAAGTTTAAGACGTCGACTCTCTTGGACGCATCTCGCCCGTTTCGCGTTGGAATCACCGCAGCTCCTCCAAGAGTATAAAAGTGCGAGATGCTGCTCCCAAATCTCAGCCATCAAAACTGACACGGTCGAGTACCATGCTCATCATACATACCTACATCTTTTTCTTGTCTGTGCTATTCAGCACCCTGGTGGCCGGAGTGCCCCATATCCCTCGAAAACAGATTGTCGGAGCGTCCGCCTCTGCCCCGATATCAACCTTTTACATCTCAAAAGCTAAACCCCCGTACCCATTAAAGAACCGGACCATCCTAAAAACCATTCGCGATAGCTTGACAGGTCGATTGCCTTTCCCAATTTGTGCGAAAGGAGCTGCCGAGTTTCAGTACCAGTTAGCTAAGACCTCTATCGATTACGCCTGCAAGAACTCCAAAGCATGGAACTATTCCATCGTTCCGCCAATATCTTTAGGCAATAGGAAAACAGCCGACGGCAAGACAAAAACGATCGGTCTCAGTGCTGACCAAGGAATGAATGGCACCTCTAATAAATTCTGGCTCGGCATCCACCACGCAACCCATAGATGTACCGGTCCATTGAAGTTCGCTGTCGGCAACTCCGATCAGGAGAAACGCGACCACTGCATCGCCCGCTTCCGCAGGATAATCGACAGGTGCCGCACGGACGGAAACAGCGGTGGCTACCTCAGAGATGGTTGTGCTGTGTATACTGTCAAGGCTCTTCCCCAGGATGAGACGCTCACTGACAGCTGGTGGCCGAAACTGGGGGATTTCAAGTGCAAGCCATCTGACGGGGCCGATCGGGGGAAATGTACTTGTTGGTTTTCAAATTATCCCTGGTCAACGGACACTTTCAAGATGCCGAACGGCGGCGACTGTACAAATGTGGACAGAACTCAGTTGGCATAAGCTGGTTGTGTTAATTCGTTCTGTGCGTGGGGGGCGTTATCTCAAGACTTGAGCCTCTTTTTTCTTTTCGAGTGTCTGGCCGCAATTAGCAAGTAGCCACGGAGTAATCCGTACAGAATTTTCGAATTAATAGTCTGCTGAGATATGTCAACTCATCTAGTTATCACCTGGGCTTCGCGAGCCACCTGGTTCCTTAGTCCTTTAAATTCGACTCTCCTGTGAGATAGGATCAGCCCACCGAAAGCAGTGCTACACCGAAGGCCGCTTTGCGGCAATACGAAAACACACAGAGTAGTTAACTACTAGTAAATGGGTGATTAACCATCAGACAGAAATATAGCATGATACACAGTCCTTGCGATACCATTGCTCGGTGATATCAAATGTTCGTTGACAGTAACCGAACAAGGTTGGGATTGCGGATAGCAAACCAGTCGATTTAACCATGTACGGAGCAGTTAGTTAGTTAACAAGCTTGCCAAGCCGCTGCTGAGACGATCCAGGATTAACTAACTAATTACTTCGTAGTTAGTTAACTACTCCGTAGAGCGGGCGGCTGCTGCTGCTGCATAAGAACGGCATAAAAAGCGACTGGAGTTGATAAACCGGTTCATAACTCCCCTGATGATCCCCGTCCAACCAAGCAGAACACGCACTTCAGCTGCTGAAATTCAAAAATGCCAAATCTTGCTTGAAGCCGAGAACAAGACGTGGGCCCTGTTCCAGCGAGATGAACTGCCTTGTGTCGTGCTTTTGCCAGACGAGAACGGGGTCTTTGGTGACAAACGGCAGCGGGACATGTAGTTAACTATCAGACTCTAGACTCCTCAGGAGATTGTCTAGCTTGCAGGGTGGTGGCGTTACACACGAGTTAACCATCCAAGCTATTTAGATAACCACCACTCCGTCCTCCGTGGCAAAAGGTTTCAATTGAGAGAAGCGGAAGCCATTTACCCCGAGCGATATATTTCAAGATCCTTCCAGGGATCCATTAATCAGCTCCCGGGGGCCCACACCTTGAACAACCCTGTCTGAAGGCCTCCCCCAAACCCCCTCTTCTCTCTCTCTCGTTATTTTAGCTTGCCCGAGATCCCTTCATTTCTCCTGCTTCCTTGTTGCACTACGGAGTACCTCTATAGCTACATATTTAGTCATTGTCATGGCCGCTTCTGTTGGTCGCCTTCACGGCAAAACCGCCGTCGTGACTGGAGCTTCCTCTGGGATTGGACGGGCCATCGCCTTGAGGTACGCGGCCGAGGGCGCACACGTGGTGTGTGCGGACATTGATTCTGCGTCCAAAGGTGAATAGCTGCTCTTTTTCTTGCCTTCTTGTCACTTTGATATAGTTGAGAGTTAGAGAAATCTGCATGGCATTGGAGAAGCGTGGTAGAGTTTTGGGATTTCTGGAGAATTGCCAAATTGATCTCCAGGTCCTCGGGACATCTTATCGCTAAACGCCTCGAATACGTCTAGACCCGGATGACACCAGGCCAACTCATGAAGCTATTAACCAAGAGTACCCTGCGGGCGAGGGTACTTCGCAGCGATCGATATTCGTCAAGACAGATGTCACTTCTGGTACCGAAGTGGAAAACCTGGTTCGGGAATGTGTAAAGGCATTTGGAAGATTGGATATGTATGTCTCCATTGTGGTGGCTTTGAACGCTCTAATTTGAGGGGGTCAGTTAGCAAAGCCAGACACATGCTGACATGGCGGCTCATGATCAATAGAATGGTTAACAATGCCGGAGTTGCTAATGGCCCGAGCAACCCGCCGGGTCCAATCCACAAAACCCCCGAATCCTCGTGGGATACAATCGTAGGGGTCAATGCCAAAGGCGTTTGGCTGGGGTGTAGTAAGGCTCCGTCAAATATCCCCGACTGCCTAATAGCTTGACACTTGGATGCTCATATAAAACCGCAGAATACGCCATCACCCAAATGCTAAACCAAGATCCGCACCCCAGTGGTGACAGAGGCTGGGTCATCAACATGGCCTCGGTTCTTGGTTTAGTCGGCAGCACCGGGACCAGTCCATACTGTGCATCTAAGGGTGCTGTGGTCCAGATGACTAAATCAATAGCACTGGATTATGGACAGGATAGAATGTCAGTCTCCTCCGTCTCACATTCCACCGCTCCTCCGGCGTTAACGATGTCATTCATAGACATGTCAACGGCATCGCACCAGGCTACATTGAAACGCCCTTGGTCAAGCCTTTCCTCGATCCCCATTCCCCCGATCCGCGTGCAAGAGCACTGTATGCGGCCATTGGCTCTAAACATCCATTCGCGCAACGAATGGGTAAGCCGGAAGAAATAGCCGGCTCCGCTGTGTTTTTGGCTTCCGATGATGCGAGCTGGATCACTGGCCATATATTGCCAGTGGAAGGAGGGTATCTTGCACAGTAGCCAGAGTTTAATTGAATAAACTGATTTGTGTAATCATCCTATAGAGCAGGGTGACCTGCCCGCGATGAATCATGGAAATTGAGGACCTTTTGAATCCAATGGAATAATCAACAGAAGTAGATTTTTGCCAGATAGGGGCCCCCCAAAAGCTTTCAAAAAGATGTATAACAAAAACATTCAATATATAACACATGCATATGCCATCGGGCACAGAATTGCTTACATCCCATGACCTTCTTTGTTAATTAGAGCCGCAAAATCCGACAAATAATGATGTGCATGAAGCGAAGCCTCGAACCAAGAATAAGCGCAAGCCACCATGCCAGAAGGCTGTCAGCATGGTGTCACACACTGCAGGATTGAGCCACAAGGAAAAAAATGCCATGAATGCAAAGAACCAAAATGGCCTATATGACTTTAAAGAATGTCTTCACAAAGAATATGCTGATAACTCCAGAAACAAATCCAAAGAAGGACACCAGCAGCATGCCACTGTCATAAAACGCAATGCACAGTCATCATTCGTGAGGAAGCCAGGAGACCCCCCCTCCCAAAGAAGGGGAAAAAACAAAAAAAAAAAAAAGAGACTGCCAAGAACTATAGAAAAAGAAATATGAGCGAAGGAAGATTTAGGGCTGAACCTCCGGCGGCGGCTCCGGCAATGTGCCTGGATCAGGCCCATTTTGTGGCATGGCAGCCCTGGCTTCGTGGTTCGAGAGCCAGTTAAGCTCTAAGTCTTCATCACTGTCTACCATCTCGTCGAGCATGCGATCAATCTCGTCTCCTGCCTCGTGCTCAAGTCCTGCTCCTCTGAAATTGTGACTCCGCTCGTAGCGTCCTTGTGAGGCATAGTTACTTCTATGGATGTGCGTCGTACGCTGCTTTGTGCTACGCGGATCCATATCACCCTCTGGCTCTAATGCAGAGGCATTGGACACTGATTCGGATCCGAACGCTGAGAGTAGCGGAGTGATGTTCGCACTCCGTGGAATGGGTTGCTTCGGCTGGTGTTGGAAGCCTGGATAGTATCCTGAATTTTCGGGACTGGACATGAATAGTAGTGTCTCAATGGCGTTTTGTTCCATGAGCGCGTTCTGAGAGGGTGTTCGCAACTTTGCGAGAGGATGTATGCTGTTTAACGGGGTCGAGGATAGACAGGGAAATTGGGGTTGGGACGGAGTACCAGGTATTACGGAAGTTGGTGAGTTGATGTCGTCTAACGAGGACGTTGACGATTGGTGTGTCAACGCAGGCTTTTTCTTCGGACTGAAGGTCGCACAGGAAGAATATATTGACCTCGCATCATTAGGATTCGGCCTTCGTCTAGGGTTATTAAAAGCGCCCGAGACAATGTTTGCAGGTGGTTCAAGCCGTGGAATCTGCGCCATATCAAGCGAGGTAATCTGATCCTTCGAATCTACCGGGTGATGCGAAACACTTGAAGCGGATGAGTGCTTTTGGCAGGTTTCCATAGCGCCGTTGCTAGAAGAAGTACCCAGCGACACCGTTGCTTGTCCCATCTCCAACATTTCCCGGATTCGTGCGCCATTGACGTGACGCTGGCGAGGCGAAGTTGATTTTTCTACCTTAGGTGACCTAGTCGTTTGTTTGGGAGTGCGACGGACTGCTTTCGGAGAGGAAGATAGTGAATCTCGCCGCGAAAAGACGTATTTCCCTTCAGTGGGATCGAATTCCCAGTCCCTTTCAACTTTGGCAGCCGCATAAGACAGCCGCACACAAAGTTGAGCAGACAACTAGACAATTGGGAACAGAACAAGGTTAGTACCTCAATCTGTTCAAAGGAGGTCGGAGTCCAGGATGGAAGTGTTTACCTCTGCAATCCTGTTAGCGTTGGTCTCGGTACTCATCGTCAGGGAGTCGCCGGAAACGCAAACTGTGTGCGAGACGGGACAGGAGAGGCTTTCACCCGCTGCTGTAGCCGGTCGTTATCGGTACTAGCTCCCGGTTCGATAGAAGTGCCGGTCAGCGGCTAGATCGTCGGCCCAGGGCGTGTGTTATTGTCCCGTCATTTCTGCAGATACAACTCAACTTTAAACGCGCAGTCCAACGCGTGACGGCTGGACCACGTGCCAAGCCCGACAACACCACCGTCAGCGCAGAGCCGTCGAGACCGCCAAAATCTACCATCCAACTACCAGAGTTCACACTCACTGTTCGGTGGCTTCACTTACAATGCAGGACTCCCCTTGGAAACAAAGAATATTGATGATAAATCACTGAATTAACTATTTTGGGCTTTCCTGAATATTAACCATGACAAATAGTGCAAGACAGCGATCTCAACAATTGAACAACTTGGAAAGAAAATAGGAAAAGAAGGCAAGCTGGAACAAACAACATTGCAAGAACATTAATTTCAACCCCCCCGGCTCTGGGTATTCTTCCGTCCCCATGTGCGGGAGGATTCAGGATGGAGCTGAGAACAGCAGGCAACAAGAGCAGTCCTTTGGCCGAGCTCCCTTTCTTTTAATTTTTGGTTTTTTCCCTCTTAAAACCCCATGCCATACGAAATATCCAGACAACCCTGGCCAAGTTTTATCGTTTCCTCGTTACCAGATACATTCCCAGGTCATCGACATCGTAAAACGGACCATTAGCAACAATGGATTCCTCTTTAGGCGTCTATTTCTCGCAATGAAATGTTTACAACTTGTCATAATACTGGAAATCACGTTAGTCAGCACCCTCCCAGTAACAAACGGGCAATATGTAATAAAACTTACGTTCTCAACACCAGGAACAACTTCCTTGATACCCTTACGCTTACGCATCTCTTGAACGATCTGGCCGGGCTTGGTCGTTGGGTCAAGTGGGGAACCACCTGGGAGGATCTGCCAGTGGTCGAACACGGACTGTGGGAAGGCTTGACCACTAGTGGCGGAACGGAGATCAGCGGAGAAGCCAAAGGACTCGTTGACTGGCAGATAGGCCTTGACTGTGAAGAGAGGAGTGCCAGGTCTCTGCTCCTCAGAAAAGACGTGACCTCTACGGCGGGTAAGGACACCATAGATACCACCCATGGCCTGCTCGGGCACTTGAATCTCGACCAAGAAAACGGGTTCGAGAATTCCGGGTTCAGCCAAGAGAGTAGCAGCATAGATAACACGACGAGCAGTGGGGATGATTTGGCCACCACCACGGTGGATAGCGTCAGCATGAAGAGTAACATCCAAGATGTTAAAGCGAACGGATCTCATTGGCTCTTCAGCGATCGGACCCTCTCTAGAAGCCCACTGGAAACCGGAGACGACGGAATCCTTAATTTCATTGAGGTACTGAACAGCCTTAGTCTGGTCAACAACCAAGTTGGCACCAGTCGTGTCAGGGCCGAAACACCAAATCTTTCTCGCATCGGTAACGTCCCAGCCGAACTCATCAGCCAAGACACGAGCACGGGCCTTGAAGTCGTCACGGGGGCTGATCTTTCCAGCTTCAATAGCATTCGAAACCTCCTCAGCAAGTGGCTCAGCCTTGACATAGAGACGGTTATGTTTGTTGGGAGATTTAGAGAGAGCAGTGATGCTGGATTCGGCACCAACAGTCTCACGGTAGGAGACAACGGGGTCGGAGACACGGAGAGGAACACCCGCATGGTCTTCCTCAAGATCCTTCAAGCAAATTTCCAAGTGCAATTCACCAGCACCGGCAATGACGTGCTCACCAGATTCGGAAATGTAGGTCAAAACGCATGGATCAGACTTGGACAAACGCTTGAGACCTTCGACGAGCTTGGGCAAGTCGTTGGCGTTCTTTACTTCAACAGAGCGCTGGACGACAGGAGAAACGGAGAATTTCATGACCTTCAAGTTGTGTGCGGTCTCGCAAGTGGTGAGGGTACCAGACTTGAGCAAGAACTGATCAACACCAACCAAACCGACGATGTTACCAGCAGGAACGTCCTCAATTGGCTCGATGAAGCGACCCATCATAAGAATGGTCCGCTGGATAGCCTTGATATGCAAGTCCTCCTTCTTTCCAGGAGTGTAGTTGGGGCCCTGGATGCGGACCTTGAGACCAGAGCGGACGGTACCGGCGAAGACACGGCCGAAGGCATAGAAGCGACCCTTGTCAGAGGTCGGCACCATCTTGGAAACGTAAAGCATGAGAGGAGCCTTGGGGTCGCAGTCACGGATACCGATGCAGACCTCATCATCAGGGGGACCCTCGTACAGAGTCTCGGCACGGTATTTCTGAGCAGTGACGGGGGATGGCAGATGAAGCACCATCATTTCCAAGAGGGCATCAGCAGCGGGAAGGAACTTCTTCATGACGACCTTAAGAAGGGGTTTGCCCTCCAAGTCCTTCTCATCACTGCTCAACTTAATTTCGAGCTTCTCGAGGAGGACGGAGATCTCATCCTTCTTAGAGTGGGTGATGGCGTTGAAGATCTTGAAGATGGGGTCGAGGATAAACTGGTTGAAAGCACGCTCGAGTTGCTTGCCTTCATGCTCTCCGACCTTGGTCCACTTCTTGGTCTTGGGGTTAAAGTAGTTGTCGCCCTATACGCAAAATTAGAAAATGATGCAGCGAGAGACAAGCCAGACGTGATTGACTTACCCAGAGACGTTCCATCATCTTGTTCCTGTCAACACCGAATTTCTTGGCATACTTGACAGCGAATTGTCTGACAGTGAAAGCCCAGCCGTGAAGACCGGAGCCGAAGGCAACGGTACCCTTGTAGGGGTAGACTTGGACATCACCGAGGGCAGGGTCGAAGTAAGTAGCGATGATAACGTTGACGGATTCAATGGTACGGGCGAAAGATTGGTAAAGATCTTCCTTGGAGACTTGAAGTTCGAGAAGGGCACGGTCGACCTTGTTGATGATACAGACAGGCTTGATACGCTCGCTCAGGGCCTGACGGAGCACAGTCTCGGTCTGGACGCAGACACCAGACACGCAGTCAACGACGACGAGAGCACCGTCGGTGACACGAAGAGCAGCGGTGACCTCAGAGGAGAAGTCAACGTGACCGGGAGAGTCGATCAAGTTGATCAAGAACTCGTTACCGTCGACCTTCTGAGGGATATCCTTGATGTCTTCTGGGTCGGACAGATGGGCATAGAGGGAGATAGCAGTGGACTTGATGGTGATACATCTGTCCTGCTCGTCCTGACGAGTATCTGTGAAACGGGCCTCGCCAGCTTTGGCAGCCGAGATGATACCCGCACGTTGCACCATCGAGTCGGTCAAAGTAGACTTTCCGTGATCGACTGTTCCAATGATTATTAATATACGTGCTAGCTAAGATGCACACATTGCAGCAACTCGACGTACCGTGAGCGATAACGGACATGTTACGGATGTTGGCGGGACGGTCCATCAATTGACGGATCTATGCGATTGCTTGTCAATACCCATAATGTCGACGGCACCACCGTCTCGAAAAGCAATCGCGGTGTGTCAGTCTCTGGACGTACCTCCTCGACCGTGAAGCTGGAGAGGGAAGACACAGTTAGCCAAACAATTCATCTCGAGTACAAGAAAACCAGGAAAATGCGGTTCAGTAGCCATATCGTCCTGGGCGCGAGCAAGGAGAGATGCTGAGATGCGACTTACTTGACCATCTTGACGGTGTTCTAGGTTTTCAATGCCCTAGAGGCGGGGTTGGATATCTGTGAAAAAAGAAAAAAAAAAAAAAAAAAGTTATTCAACCAAAAAGTAATCAGGATCGAGAGTGCTCCCGACCTGACCGTTTTCTTAGTTGAAAAAAAAGAGAATCAGCTCAGTACTGGATTCACAAGGACCTGAAGCTGGCGAGGGAAGACGGTGGTGAGAGGAAAGGAGAGGGAGAAGAGAGGGAGAGGGAGAGTGGGAAGACGAAGCGAAGTGGGCGATGGTTAGGTAATTTTGACGATTCCGTGCATGGCGGGGCTTGTGCGGTTTTCGCCGGCCGCGCGATCCCTGATTGGGCAATCGGAATTAGTAAGCACTGCCTCGTCGCTTTTTTGCGTGGTGGTTACCCCGCACCGGTACCTCCCATGTACCCCCCACCACCGCTTCTGCACCACGTCCGCCGTCAGGGTACATCGAGTGACATCGCGGTGATGCTGCCTGCTGTGAGTCGTTCTGCAGACGCCTGTGCTGGTCGAACGAACAATTGGTTTTGAGTCACAAATAACTACACAAATTGACCCAAACCAACCGTCCAGTAAAGCTGCGGGGAGAAGCCAAATACGCAGCATCCTCGGATGCATGACGGAACTGACGCAGGAAAGCGCGTCAACGGGTTAAAATTTCGGTGAACCTATTTTCAGGCTCACCGCAAGATCTCGGTTTCTTACTCGCTGGAAGGCTTGAGAAGCAAAAACACACACACTCAGAAAACAAAAAGAGGGAAATGACGTTGGGATAGCTAGCTCCCACGAGCGTTCCCACGTTAGCTGGTTAGCTGAGCACTCCAGTCCATAAGTGAGGACAACGACCATCAATTACTCGTGAATTATTATTACAGATTTCTTATCTCTAGGAAAGTAATGAAATCTATCCTGCCATTCCCCCCCTTAAAAAAAAAAAAAAAGGAAAGGAAAAGGAAAAGAAAAGAATATATATATTGAAACGCCTTGTTCTATGAGCCCAGAATCTTAGAATAAGCATCCTCCACGTCCTTTGCCACTTCCATCAACGTAACAATGATGATTTGATGCGTGATGTTAGGAAGCTTATCTCTATGCAACCCGATCCATTCCAACGGCGGAGTGGCCTCGCCCATGTCGCGCAACTGGGGCGTTTCGATCACTGGTGTCTCCAGTGCGGTGTACGTGTATCTCGACTGGGGTACATTCACCACGGCGGTGATCTTTTCTTGCCCGCTATACTCCCCATCATCGCCTTGTGGCCCGCCGGTGATCTGGACAGCAGCCTGCGGAAGAGGCTTGCCCAGCCGGTTTGCAAGAGCACGTGAATGCGTATCCCACATGCCGCGAATAAACGCGATGCGCGAGTAGTTCCAGCCGACGTCGACTTTGCCCTCGAAGGAGCTTTTGAAGATGTAGTCAATATGGTTCGATGTTGGCAGTTGCCAGGTTTCCATCGTCGCCACGAGCCGTGGTACCTTCAGGATAGTTCCGCCACGCGAACTAGTGGCCCGACTGACGATTTCATCAATAGGGAGCTCTTCGGGAATGACTTCAGTCGGCCGGTTGACGCTGGAGAGGGCTACGCGTAGCTGGCCAAGCGTTAGACCCAGGCCACTGTGTATCTTCCCAGATTGGATCGCAACAGAGAACCGTGCTTCGGCATCAAGAGCCTCGAGTTTGAAGATCTGGCTGTCTTGGAAGGTGCTTGGAAATGTGCCAATCTTGATTTCTTCCAGCCTGACAACAACGTTCGTTTGGAGAGATATCGGCATTTTAATTTCACTGTAGTCACTCTTCGCTGTGGATTCCGCCTCTTGATCCGTAGAAACTAAGCCCAGAGTGGATTTGCGTCGTATAAAACCTTCAATTTCCTTTAAAGAGGCTTCATATGCGGCTTGCTTGTCTTGGATCAGTCGTTGTAGCGTCTGGAAGAGAGCTAGCCCTTGCGACGCAGTCAAGGTTGTGCAGAATACTTGTAACTTTCCGCCCTCCAGAATGCTCACAAGGCGGTCACTGTGTTCCTCCGAAGTGTCGCGAACATTATACATCAAGAAATTGAACGAACTCACGTCTGCCACTAAAAACGGCTGGTACTCAAACGATACCTTCGATTGCAGTCGACTGAAGCCGACAGCGGCTTGAATCAAGGGAGTATGGTATGCCGAGTTCTGTCCGTCTATCCATTCGATAGAAGTACGAACCTTGAACTGGGAGAGCTCCACAAACCCGCTCAACCGACCGATACTTTTTATGCTCGCAGTTTCAAACCCAACGCAGAGGTTCTGTTCCCAGTCGGAACTTTTCTTCGACGAAAGCCAAAGGTTTGTGATTGTAAACTCCGACTTTCCAAGTGTTTGGCCTAAGTCAAGTTGAACGTCCAGTTGCTCGATTGCAATCGTCGAGTTCCATGGAAATGCTTCGGCTGACGCCATCTGCTGGTATTGCTGAACAATATATGCTTGTCCTTCAGGAGATGACGCTTTGACCTTTTGCGATTTGGTTGGACTATCGGGAGCCATCCAAATTTCTTGAAATAACATGAAATCTTGCATTTGTTTAGCATTAATCTGCAATCGCATCGGACTGATTTTGAGAATCGCCGAAATGCCGCTGCTGGAGCTGACATGCTTGCTGTTCATCATGGACACGACAATTGAGTCGATATCAAAACTCGCCGTAGATTCGCTGGAGTAGACGTGTTTGATAGACGCCTGGAACTTGTTGAATGCTATCAGAACAGCAAAGAATCTTCTCTGCTCTGCGGATTGTACTGTGTTTACCGTGATATAGCTATCATCAAAACGTGCGCTGGCTGCCACGCGAGCAATTGGCTGACAGCTAAGCGTAAATTCCTGCTTGCAAATTCGTAATCCCATATTCAGTTTGCAGCGTCCAAGGATAGTTGTTGGGTCATTTGCTCCAATGGCTTTGGCTTGCAACCCTTTTTCTGAGACTTGGGCATGAAGGCCTTCACCATCCTGGTTGGATTCTCCCACCACCTCTTTTACACTCGCCGTTATTTCCGTGATCAATAGCACAATAGTTGGGTGGAGCACATTGCAGGATGCCGCAACTTTAATCTCAGCATTCAACGTTGGGTCTTGACCATCGGTGTTCTCAAATTGGACTTTAATAGCAACCCCTGGAGCACGCAAGGTTGCCACCGACACTGCATCTTGCGAGGAATATTGACCATATTTACCTCCGCTCGATCCCAAGTGAGTGCTGGAAAATGCGACATTATTTTCATCCTGCTGGTAATTCCTGCCTTGCAGGCTGACCACGGCACCGGCGAAATCAGCATCCACGAGGAGTGAGCTCAAGTTAATGGTGTGGCTGCTGCTGGTTTTCTTTTGCTCTTCCGATGGCATATCGCTTTGCCATCGAAACTTTGCTTCCCGAAGGCTCTCACTTGCCGAGGCAAGGGATCGCTGAAGGATACTTGCAGGGAGAATAAAATCGGATGTCATCCGGATGTCTAACACTTTGCCCGCCGCTTGAAATGCGAATCGACGTTCGCTTCCTAGCGCCAAATATGCGACATCGAACACCGCTTCGGGCAAGAGTGCGGAGTTCTGTGATCGATTTTGTTTAGCGTCAGACAGCGGCACCATTTGCAATTGCATATCCTGAATTCGTAACCGAGCTACGCTTTGTCTTCCAGTAGCCAGTTCAATCCTCTTGATGGAGAATACAAGATCCTCTGCCTCCCTTCCTTGTGGTAGCTCCGTACACGAAGAGATTAACCAGCTTAGTTGAATGTTTGAAAGGTCAACAGAGTAAATAGCGTCAAGAAACCCGCCCCGAGCAGTTGATTCAGCCACACTGATTTTAGGAATTCGTGCCACCACACTTTTGCGTCTTGATCTAATTCGTCGCAGCTTTCGCAGGTGTTTAATTTCTTGGGACATGTCGAGGGTTTTGAGACGCTCCTGGAGATGGGTAGCAATATCAACCATCATAGAAGCGGTCTCAGCAGACAGCTCAATTTGTAAACATTTGCTAGAAAGATGATAATACCGTACGCTCTCACCCCTATCATTTTTATTTGATGTTCCTGAAAGCTGGGCGCACAGATCCAGGTTCCCGAATGATTGTATTTGACCTGTTTGGCGTCTCCTCAGGTCGAAAATCACTTGGGAAAAGCTTACGTCGAGCTGAGGTAAGTCGGACCCAAAATCTTGGGACTCCAGGTTTATCTGAACAATACCGAGACCAAGATCCATATCGGCAAAAGAGTTCTCAATCTGTAAGCTTGGGGCACTAGAATGAACATTGATCCCTGCAAGTGTCAGCCGGAGCTTATATGCGAGAGCCAAACTTTCGGTGCTAGGCTGTTTATTAGGCGGAGCAGACCGACGAGGAACAACCTGGCTGATATTTTCTTTCAGAATTTGCAGGTCGTCTTGCAAATCAGATACAAAATGCGATATTTCCGGCCCGCTAATTGCTCCGAGTATATTCCTTACTGAGTCTGCATCCACCTTGATAAGCTCGATAGTGGAGTAGATATCCAACGCTGTCTGGCCGTTCAAAGAAGATTTGACGACGCGTCCATTGATCGGAGGAATGGTCAATGACGAGATGACGCGCTCTCTACCATCTTTACTAGATCTTAGTGAGTGGGTGCTGCTTTTGATATCAAAATCAACCTCTAGACGGGATTCAGCTGCTGGAGCAAGAGACAGCCGAACCACATCGCCCGAAATCACATATGCGGTCGTTGGGAGCAGCATAAGATAAAGCTCGTAATCATCGAGGAAAGTGGTAATATGGCACTGGTGGATGCTGTGGTCCTTTTGTTTCAGCTGTGGCTCATCGGACAGACCTAATTTAGCTGTCAGGCGTAGTATGTGCTTGACTTCGTCCTCCACAAGACGATCAGCGACCTGAATTAACCCGACAGGGTCTTCTGCCATATCATATCTCAGACTCTGGCACTGTGCACTGCATTTCCAATCATGGATGGTATCGGAATTATTTTTTGTCGAGCTGTGAGACAGGTAAATATTTGGGCTGATTAGTGTCCATAACATGAGGCCTTTTGCCCGACTTGTAAATTCCGCCGTTGACGTTTCGGCAGCGAAAAGAACATTGCTCTGTCCGGGCTGGCCGCTTGATTCAGACTGGTGACAAATAGAAGTTTTAAGTGCATTCCCTAGCAAAGCGATTCTCAAATTAATGCCATCGAGAATAGTAGAGGCATTGTCAGCGACCAGAAGAACATGGATGGCCTGGAGGTCATTCTTGCTAGCTGTCCCGTCTGACTCCGCAACACTACCGCTAGTCTGGGGAAAGACCTCTAATATAGCGTCCAACCCTTCCTCAAGCACTCTAATAAGTTCCCATCTTAGCTTTATCGAAATATCTGAACAATAGTTTTGGATGGTCAATGTTCTTTTTGGAGATTCCCTTTGGAAACTGGGCTTCATCTCAATTAATGTTGAAAGCTTATCAACCATCAGGAGATCTACGCTTGCAAGGGGGTCTAATGACACCCGAATCGAATGAACAAAAAGCGATATATCTTTCTGAGAATCATCTGATATATGTGAGCTCGCTAGCTCATCTGGTCCCCAGACCACATTCATCACGTAGCTCTTCTTGACATGAGCGAGGTCCCAAGTCCGCCATTTGTCAAAGCTGGACAAAACGATTGATCGAGGGTCTTGCGGGCAGGGGATAATATTCTTAACGCAATTTGATATGAGTTGCTGCGCTGCTTGGTCTGGTAAGGACTTGAAGATATTGCGAAGCCTCGAAAGGATCTTCCACGAGTCATTCACTCGTAAGTGTTCTTCAGCCGCCCGCAGGACATAAGATGGTCTCGTTAAAAATTGAGGGTCAGGGGTCTGAGAACCAAATTTGGTAAGGTGATAGATGAGGGAATGCAGCCGCTTTGCCCGAGATATGGAAATACCCTTGATGGTTGGGATAACTGAGGTTACGAGTGTAGATGCTCGCCTGACAAAGCTAGGTAGATGCTGAACAGATTCACTCTGGAACACCAAGTTGATATCTTCAACTTGCATCCGTGAACGTATAGCTTTATCAGCGACAGACCAGAACACAATGTCTTCTATTATAAAATGAAAGATTGCGCTGTCTCCAAGGACTTCAGTGACCTCCGTAATGGCGGACAAAGATAGAGATTGAGCTTTAAGGTGCATCGTCATTCCCATTTGCTTGTCTTTTACCGCATCTTTTTCGGATTCAGACTTGCTACTTAGTAAGGCACGCATCTTCAGCACTTGCAAATCTAGTTGATCTCTAGGCGCCAGGGTTCCATGTTCTTTCAAAGTACTCGAAGTGTTGAGAAGCTTCACGCGACATACCGGCAGTTGCAGACTCAAATTCGTAACCCTTCTTGGCCTTGCCAATCGTTTCGTATGGCTGAGGATGTCTGATACAACTGCTGATTGAAGATCGTCGAGAACTTCAATGGGATGGACAGGCTGGAAATTTTCAAGCAAAGTGGCCACAGAAAAAAAAGCCTCAGGATGGCAAAACCCTTTCAATCCTGATATTAAATCGAGAAGAAAGTAGGTTTGTGTAACGTTTACGTCCGTCTCACCACTGAAGATGTCGGATTCGCCATCTCCATTATCCTCGGTCCTGTTAAAGTCGTCAAGAGATGGCAATGGAGGAAGATCGCTGAGATCTAGGACCATTTTGTGCGAACGAAAGGTAGGCGCCAACCAGGCACTAGCAAGTCCTTTCTTAGGAGTGGCCATTTTGCGAAAATAATCTTTATCAAGAACGCTGCGAGATTCACTCTCTAAGCTAACTTGTCTTCGAGGGCGCGTTGAGCGACTGGTAAGAGAATCTGCATTCGGCGATAGAAGTGCACTGTGAGGTACTGCGGCCAGTGAATGGTCCAGCCCTTGTGGATAACCATTCAACCCGCTCTTTTCTTCATACCTGAAGGGAGGCATGGAGCCCTTTATTGGGTCGGTAGAATATTGACTGGCGAAGTCCGATGATAAAATGGACACTGCATCAGGAATAAAACCAGGCATCTCTCGAATAGGTAGAGGCATGGATGGAACCGACATAGCTGCCGTGGTCTGCTTATCTCCACTCTTTGATATCCCAACGCTGTCGTCTTTATCATTCCAAAGTAACCATGGAGTTCTCTGGGTGCGACGGTCATGGGTTCTAACATGATGCTGTTGAAGGTCCCGGCTTGCCACAAAGTTTGCCTTGCGTTCCACCATTCTAGCACTGACAGAAGTGTGGACGTAGGCATACGTTCGGACTGGGTGATAGGCCTTTTCCACCCGAGCTGATGAATTTTGATCAACGACGGCAAAAGTTATATCTAGAAGGCTGAGGTTGAGGTGCTCGGAGAATTTTGGGCCAGCCCAGTCATTGAAGTCGAGGTCCAGGGTACCTGAACTAAAGAGGCATGCAGTTGTGCTCAATAGTACCCAGATTTTAATCGACTCAACTTTCGCTCGCAGAAATATAACGTCATATAACACAATGGGATGGAGCGGAGGTAAGGAGTTTTCTTCGTCGTCGATGGAATAGATGAAGGATTTCAGCGCAGACATAAAATTCCTCACAAAGTCGACCGAACATTCTCCCATTATCCGGCCAACGTCAAAATCCCAATTGCAAACGTAGGTCGGCTCAGTGGGCGGCAATCCAAACAGTCTATGTCCATAAATGCTCAATCCGTCTATAAAAAGCTCGGTCTGGGATGGGGAATCGTCCGGACGTAATGGTCGCAGAGATACTGCCAAGGGGCTAAAGGATGCCTGAAGATCCATGTAGTAGTTCGTAAATCTCACATCGGTATCAAGGGAAGCCGCTTCGATACACACACAATTAAGCCGATCGTAAATGTTGCTTGGGAGTAAGACCTTGCAAAAATCTGCATGAATATGTAAAATGACATCAAGGTCATTAGACTTGCTTAAAACCGTATTCGACAGTGGCGGATTGTCTGGATTAGCCAGTTCTTGAAATTCTTCCAGGGTTCTAAAATGCAAATTCTCGCCAAAGTAGTTTTCCTTTACCTTTAAGAAGGTATTCACGACAAACCCATAAAGATACAGTTCTGGTGAGCTTCCCGTGAGGTCGAGAGTAAGAACATCCGTCAACGTAGGAGATGTGAGAGTGTTGAAATCGTAATTGCCCTTCATACTAAGGCTATCCAGAGATGCAATGGATGGATGATCCAAGAATGACCGGTGAGTATTCCAAAGAGGAACCGAAAATTCCATTGTTGCATTGGAGAGCGTGAGATCAAACGGGATGGCATTGCGCTTCGGTCTGTAATTGACTGTCGGGATCCGTACATTGCAAACCAAAGATTCTGGTTTGATAATAAGAAATGAGTTATCATCAGTGTCGGTTGGATTGTTGATTATATTTGAGTCGTTGACATTTAGGAAAAGCTTAGCACCGGTGAATGAGAGACGGATATCATATTGGAAAGGAACAAACGTATAAAATTCCGGGAACGGACCCGAAGTCCAATCGTTAACGAGATCGGTGAGCAAAAAGATATGATCTCGGATCAGAAACAACTCCAGATCGTTGCTATCGATGGCGAATGACCAGGTGTGCAAAGTATTCCATTCCAGGGGATTGGATAAATCACAGGAAATTTTTTGGCGGCCGGAATGCCACAAAACACCGTGGTTCACGCTCGACGTCAACTTGCTTCCCTGTAAATCAAGAACAAGCTTATTGCAGTACCCTGCTTGGGTTGCCACCATGTCCATCTGGTAGTCAAGCTTTGACCCTCGTTCTATCACCAGGGCGAGCCAACCGAATGGTCGAATATCAGGGCCATGACTTCCTTTATCCCCTTCCTTGCCCCGGGGATGTTTCTTTTCTTTCTGATTTTTAGTTTTTGAAGCACCTTTAGCCACCTCCGCTCTACCCTTCCATATCCAGTCCTTAGAAGGTTCTCTGGTAGGAATTCTTAAATTCGTCTGATCCTTAAAGTCCACTGTGAAAGTGAATTTTGTGCTCTGTCTCCATTGTCCCAAACTCAGGGGAGATGCAGCTTGGGAATCGCGATAAGGGTTAGGGAAAAGAATTGCCTGGAGGTTGGCACGCTCCCTATCTGCCCAAGGGCCGTAATTTATCATCCCCCCTTTCACCGACAAATGAATGCCCCATTCAGGCGGCTCTGCACCATTTATATCATCCAGCATTCTGCGAACTGATGATGCTGGGCCAATGCGCTGCGCTAATACTCTGCCGGGAATGTCCCAGTGATACCTGACCGTGATGCTAGGACAGTCTAGTATGGTCGAAAAGCGCCCATACTCAACAGCATTCCAGCCCTCATGCTCATTGCGGCTCTCCTCGTCGAGGTATCTCGTAAGGCCCAACCAATGCGATTCCCCTGGCAAGGTATCGAACAAACTTCGTGTCGACCTAGGCTGGTTCGAACCTTGATGGACGCGAAATGATTCAACAGACCTTTGAAAATAAGGGATGAGATCACGAAGGTTATTCCATAACTTTTTTCTGCGATGTCGAACTGCCCAATGTAATCGTTGTCTTCGGCTTTGTTGGTCAGTATCAGTATCATGCCGCATGGATTTCGCCGCAGCCAATTGGGAGTGTTTGAAATCTGGATTTGGTTTAAGTTGTACAACAGGGTGGAGCAACTCAAATTCAAAGATTTGCTTGAATATATCAAGCGGACCCGAATTTCCAGCGTCTATTTTTCCAAATCCCCTTTCAAAGGTTGCTGCCAAGATGGATTTGGTGTGCTCATTACCAACAACCAAAGCCCCTTTGTAACAATTAACCCAGACAGGGAGCAACGAAAGAAATTTGGGTAGTTTTAGATCAGCACCTAAATCACACACAGAGTCAGACTCTGGGAGACTTTGCGGAGTGGGGGCATCTTTTTGATTGCCGGACTGAAAATCATCTTTCTGTTTGTTCGACACTTCGACCTGGGGCTCCTTGACTTCTTGTATGGACATGCTACCCCGCTTGTCTTCTCCAACTTCGTTCTTGACATCGTGGGGGTTGGTTTGGGTCGAACTCCGGAACCCATCAAGGATTGTATCATATGCTGCGCTTCTATTATAAACAAACCATTCTACTCCATGGAGCGTGATTTCAATGCGGCAAGGACGTTGGTTTTTCTTCTTAATATTCTCAGTTTTTCCGGTCCTATACTCTGGGCTTCTCCCATTTCCTCGCTGACTTGTTGTGGACGTCCCGCAAGAATCATTACCGGCTTGACGTGTTCGTTCTTGAATAAGTTCGGTATCTCTAACGGAGCGCAGCCAGTATTTCCAGGTAATATAACCCCACTGGACCAATATTGTCTCATTCTCTCCATGGTATTGGACGCCTTTGAAAAATATTCTCCCCCCTAACAGCGATATCTGAAGGGCATGGATATCAATATAGATACGATAGTAATGCCACGTATAAGCCCGGATTCCATAAGATAAGAGCGTCGCAAATAATCTGTTGAAATAGAAGAGGAAGAATAGTGTCCTGAAGCATTTTTCCATTAGTTAGTTTTCAAGCTATGGCGTACCAGGAGAACTTACAGGATACCGCAAACGATGAGCTCAACCAGAAACACCCTAGCAAGTGGCCATCAGCATTGCCAATTACACAGTCTCAGGGCCGCTATTTACTTACCAGTTGAACTGAGGGACAGCATCCAAGGGCTGAGCAGTTAGCTTGCCCTGCGCGATGTTTGGCAGTCGGGTCGGTGACGACATTGGACCCGTGCATTTCGTATTCTCGAAATCATCATCGGAAGACAGAAATAGCACCGTGCACTTCTAGAGATTCACTTTGACAGTGGCTATCATTCTTTGTCTCGAACGTCGAGGTGACTGACTATCGATTGACTACGGGGAATTGCGTTGAGAGCTCGGGCGGACCGTGGTTCGTCGCCCGGTCTTGGCGGTCCAATGACGCAGCGCGCGTGAGCTGGACTCACCCGTCAACTCTGGCAGCTCCACTCCGCATTGAGAGCTCCGTGCTTCAAACGCCAGTGCAACCTTACAGATTTTGACAACAGAATTGTCTCGCAGTCATGCTGGTCAAATTGCTCTAACTATAAGCAGCAGCTTTGGATAATGATATAGACCGCAACGCGATCGCCTGCGCCTAGGCATGGACGTGTTGTGTTTCCGTCTCATTATATCTGCATTTCGCGAACAATGTCGACGATGGAGTTTCGAGCCTTGTCTGGTGGCACAGGCTCGAGCCTTGCGAGGGCCACTGTGATAGTTGCTGGAGTTGCTTCATTAATTGCGTCCCTGCTCTCCATCGTGTACGTTTGTTTCTTCCACTCCTGCGATTAGGCATCCGCTAACATAAGCTCTTGACTAGGTCTATCTGGCTCCAACTGTGAGAATTTCCCGTTTTATTACAGCATCGAGCTGGAAATTGACCAAACTATGACAGGAAAAACTATCGCAAGCCTCTTCTCCAGAGATATGTCGTTCGAATCCTCTTAATGTACGTGCATCTTCCTGCGTCGCACTTTGATGACACCGTTTCTAAACAGCTTCAGGGTGCCCATATACTCAGTGTCGTCGTGGACAAGCATAATTTCATTACAAGCTTCATCTTGGACTGCTCCAATTCGCGATATTTATGAGGTACGACCGCCTCCTCTCCTCGGTCGCTTTCGGACCTAAGCGCTGACATGAGTCTCCAGGCGTTCACAATCTATACCTTCTTTCAACTCCTGATAAATTTCCTTGGCGGTGAACGGGCCCTCATTATTATGACCCACGGCCGCCCGCCGGTGCAGCACACATGGCCGCTCAATCAATGTCTCTCAAAGGTTGATATTTCTGATCCTCTTACCTTCCTGGCGATTAAACGCGGCATCCTTCAGTATGTATGGCTGAAACCTATCCTTACGGTAATCGCTATTATCTTGAAAGCGACAGGGACATACCAAGAAGGTTACCTTGGGCTATCCTCTGGCTACCTGTGGACCGGAATAGTGTACAATATCAGTGTGACCGTCAGCCTGTATTCACTGGCTCTCTTCTGGGTTTGTATGCACGATGATCTTAGACCATTCCGACCTGTGCCCAAATTCCTTTGCGTAAAACTTGTTATTTTCGCGTCGTACTGGCAAGGGTTTTTCCTATCGATTCTTCAGTGGCTAGGAGCGTTATCGAATGGACCTCTAGGCTACACTCCGGACAACTTGGCTGCGGCAATTCAGGATAGTCTAATTTGTTTTGAAATGCCCATATTTGCGGTCTTTCACTGGTATGCTTTCTCATGGCACGACTATGCAGATCCGACAATATCTGCTGCACGGATGCCGATTATATACGCCCTTCGGGATGCATTTGGAATAAAGGATCTCATTCAAGATTCGAAGGAGACATTTCGAGGGGAGAACTATGAATATAGAAAATTCGATTCTGGCGATAACGTTATTGCACATGAAGAATCGCACTCTCGCGTAGCGCGGGTGATGGATGGGATGAGGTATGAACGAGGTGGAAAGGCAAAATACTGGATTCCCAAACCCGGACAAGCAAATAGTAGAACGCCATTGCTACAATCGCCATCCAGCCGGCGAGAATCTCTACCCTGGTCAAGAAGAGACAGCAGGGGTGACGTTCGCCAGTCATATACAGATTGTGACGAAATCACACTTGATGACGAGGACGAAAGACTGTTTACAAATGCGCGGGCGTTGGAGTTTGGTGATTGGCATGTGAGTATGGTCAAAAAGCAGAAATTGCCAATCCATCTAATATAATCATTAGTACCCTGTTATTACGGCGAACGAAGTCCCCAGAGATCAATTGCTGCCATCGCGATCAAGATCCTTTACCGCAATCAAGTACCAACATCCCCCGGAAGGAAACCAAGTCAAAAGATCGTCACGACACCGATGTAGACGCATCCAAGGCGAAGGCTCCCAGGAGCCATCCGCGGATAGTATAGCTAAGAAGCCTAGAAGAACAAGACGAAGCCGGCAAAACGTGGAATCTGGATCATCGAGTAACTCGAAGCCAACAAACGACCAATTGGTAGACATAGTGGATGATGTTGAAAGTGCTGATAAGGAAAGGGGACGCGCTCGTGCTGCGGGAAAAGAGTCACATCACTTAGCTGAATCCCGATTGATGTAAGTTGATGGGTATTCCTGGGCCCTCTTGAGTTGAGCAACGTTAACGTATCTCTCTATAGAAGCCGATCCTCTAGTGGAACGTTGGTCCAGAAGGATGGGCCAAACGAAACTGAAGCAGGACCCTCAACGTCACTTCCTGGCGAGGATGATGACTCCCAAGACGAAAGACAAAGGCTTCTTGGCCACATCGAAGACGGCATATTCAATGAAGAACGGGCTGCTTGGGGCTAGGCTAATGGCAGAACTTTCCTTTCAATGAGAAATAGGGCTTGCGAGCAGGTCATTCTATACTTCTTATCTGTTTGGATACATTATTATTTCAAAGGAGTTAAAATTTTGGTTTGGCGTGCGGATTTACCTCTTCGAGTGTTTCCTCTGTACTTTTGATGTAGTTTGTTTTTTTTTTTTTTGTTTCTTTTGGCTGTGGACTCTCTGCGTCCACGACAAGTATCTTCTCAGTTGATGATTCACTGGACTATCATATGATACCAAATTTAGCACATCTTGTGCAATAGTTTGATCCTCTGATAATAAAGATGCTTGGAACGTACAAGGATGATCAGAGCACGCGCACGGCTGGGATCTCCTGATCTGGACGTGAAACATGGGCTCACGCGGCCGTTCCCTGATAGGTGCGCTCAAACTAGCCCCTGGCGATGACACACTTCGCTATCATCTCATACACCCCCCAAGCGCGGCTGGAAGTTTTCTTTCGTCCTTTCATTAAATTATGAAGGAGAAAGCGAAGTACTAACAAAAAGAGAGCCTTAAAATCTCTCGACTCAATAGCTCAAGATTGCAAGTCCAGCTGTCTCTGAATGGCCATTGTGTTTTGCATGGGTTACGTTGGACTTGCATGGCCATGACCTGTCCACCAGCCAATCGACAATGATGGTTCTGGGTGACGCTAAACAAAACCCACAGGACGCCTCGCCGTCACCATTCAAGACACTGCATTAGTCGCCGGCACAAACACTCGCAAATGGCCAGAAAGTTTGTCCCGCGCGTGAGATGGCCTTGGTTGCCGTGTCAAGTTCCACAATTGGCTGGTTCGCACGTCCTGCAAATGATGTCCAACACCATCACACCAAGTCTTCATGGCTGAGACCCCCACTATCAAACTGCCAGTTGGTTGCTATTCCTGGCCTGCCATGGCCGACTTGGGGGTTCCATGCCTCCCGTCTGACACAGGGTTCCCTGTGGAGGACCGTGTGAAGGTTTATATCGCTTGCAAGCTCCCCATCCTCTTGAACATTCTCCTTTCCACATTTTCCGGGTTCCTACCTCTAACCACTGTGTCTACATTCCAAGGGGCTGTTCTTCTGGCTGAATTGCCATGGAACCGGCCCGCTAGATACAGTTGTGTTGATGGAGTGGGTAGGCTCAGCGTTGAGGAAATGGGCCGGGTCTTGCTTCCCGTGCGTTTTACCGGAAAATGAGAGGCGCACTCCTATTCATCGGGAGCAAAGGCCGGGTGAGTGACCCAGACACGAGTCAACTTTTCCCATCTCTGCATCTTGCTGACTCGGCAACCAGGCGTGGAGCGAGTCGTCCCAATCTACAATAATCAGCAACCGAAGGCAATTCCGCCTATGAAGCTGGTTATCTACGGCGACTTGCCCAGTCCAAACGAGCCCCATCCGCCCTTTCTGAACATCTCCAAATGGAAAACGGAGGGCAGGGACCTCGCGTCTAAATTGAACAAACGAAAAGGCCTGCTGAGCAGGGTTTTGTCTACAAACGAACAAAAACGGCGCATGATAAGCGCGCCCACAAATTTCAGGCGGGTTCCAACTCAAGTTAACCGACGTCTATCTTTTCGACCTTTGGAGCTGAGTATATATTTGCCTGGAAACCGACTTCCAGATTTACCCGAATTTTGTGATTTCGACCTTGACGGTCCAAGGGTGCCGCCCAAGGCGATATGGTCCCCATCCTTCAATTCTCATCATCGTCGATACTCCGACACACCTTCTACCTTCAGCGTTCCTCGCAAGCCAGTTGGTTCTCTAAGGAACAGATCATCTCTGATCGGCGACCAAGATAGTTTCATCGGACACCGAAGTACGCTCTCCGACTCGAGGTTATCTCAATCCATGTCTTCTCCTTCGATAAATAGATTCAATAGTAAACGGATTGCGCTGCATAATAGATCGCAGAGTTCACCCGTTGCTAGCCCTACGTCACCTATAGGGTCAAACATCAACGAGGAGACACCTCCTTTGGTTGGCGGAAATCTGTTGTACTCCCCGGTGGCCAACTCATCCGCTCCATCATCACCCCTTTCAGATTTCGCCATGTCAACCGTTCCCAAAACCCCTCCCACTCGTTCTGACTCGTTCGCACATTGGCTTATGAACTCCCCTTCATCGCCAAATTCTGTGCAACAAACACTTCCAAAACATTCCTCATCTTACACCAAACGATGCCGCCAAATTAGCGACTCCACTGTGTCAACAGCTACGTCCTTTACAGCTGCTTCTCGAAGGACGCACTCGTTGGCTAGTTCAATGACATCCGCTGGAACTCTATATCAGTCCACACCCGTCAGAGATGTCAGTGACAAAACGTATGAACTGCCGTTGGACAACGTCTCCAGAGGAAAACTAGACTATCCACGCTACGAAGAAGTGTATCCTACTATTTACGAAAGCGGACAATATCGTTTTAGTCCAACGTTGCCAGACTCTCCACGGACATTCGGTACGGCTGATATTGGGCTAGCTTTTTGACGTATGACGTGTAGGAGTGGCAGATGGACATGAGTTATTGGAAGACACTCTTGTGCTACGTCGACTCAAGATTTTGATATGATTTTTCATCCGCGAAAAGCGGGCTAATATACTACTTCTATTCTATATACCCGGTAAATAATGCCTTACTACTGGTACATTCAGGTTTGCGAGGACAAAAATTCAATGGGGCGGCTAGAATCAGATTTGATAGTTAATCTCGGCTCTTCTTAATCAATCGTTCTCAAGCCTTTCCTGTTTATCTCTTGCTCTCGCGTAACTAACTATCCAGTCCTGTTTAGCTATGTAGCTACCAGCTGATTTCCAATCTCTTACGAGGGTAATCTTCCGCACTTTGGAGTCCACGTTTTCCTCAGGACTAGCTCTGCAGTCTCAACCGGCGCTGTCGAGGGCAGACCACAAGGAAAAGGAAGGTCGAGCAGGATTCCGACCCGTCATTCAAGGTTTCACGATGCGGAGTTGAAAAGAGGGGAACTGGACGGGGCGCGACGATCTGCGTCCTGGCTTTTAGCGCCATAATTCTTTAATTAAACGGGTTAACGATCTGTCTCAGGCTGACGGTGATCTGGAGTGCGAAGACCGTGTGTTTTCCTTTTCCGAACAATCGTCTTGCGATTTCGAATGGGCCGTTCATTATCGTATTTGTTTCTGCTCGAGACGACGAGTACTATCACGATCCATGCCCCCAGGTTACCAACCTGCAGGAATCCAGGGACCTCGGCAAGCTAAGCTTCGGAGCATGGGTTACGAATACCCATGTCCGGGATGGATGTATAAGCATGGCGCTAAGTGTGCTCAGTATACTCCGTACGGAGTACGGAGTACTCATATTCGATATTGCTGGCGGAGGACACACACGAGACGATACAATGGGTTAATTATCAATCATCAAGATCCCACGTCGTTGTCTCCCTCCACCATGACGAATCGCACAGAACAGGCATTGCTTCAACGATCTACCATGCGGACTGTGTCCATACTTGTGAGGCCGACACATTTCTGAGACTAAAAGAATTAGAGGTAGAAGACTCCGGGTTATGGATGCTCCATCCAAGATTCGAATAGCACTAGGAGCCCCGTACATAACGCTACTAACACAAGATAGGGACCTATAGATCCGGAATTTTCAGCCAGTATTAAGGGCAGAAAAAGTTATCTATCAAGATAGCTGACGAATCAACCCAGAGTGCATATGCCAACAAACATGTGAGAAAAGGTCCAGGGTAGTCTAAAACGGGCTCCCATAAACCTCAGCAAGCCAAACCAGGGGGAGAATTACGCATGGGTATATCGCTTCAAAGTGACAAATACAAATCTCGGTAAACTCGATGGGTATCTATGAATCAACAATTGCAACGCCCTCTGACGAGCCATAAACCGGCACATGCTGGGGAACTTCGTCTTTCTGCATTCCAAGCATTTTCCATGCGCGGTCCATGGCACCCGTATTCCTCGAGGACAAGAAGCTGTTACCGCTATCCACGACAGAGGATTGATTAACCCTGTGTTTTTCCAAACAGAAAATTGATTTTTTCCATTCTTTCCGTCCTCGAGCCCGTTCTTGATGTACAATTTCATCCTTCCATTGACTCCACTGCTCATACTGTTCTCGTTGCTTTATCGCATGGTATCGCACCGTAGATTTAATGGGTCTCCACGCCAAACGATTAGAACCGTCTGCCGGAAGACTAGATTTTATATCGACGAGCTTAGATTCTTTCGTCAATTTGACGAGGTAGCTCAACACATCTTGACTCTCTGACGTTGGCAAACGCTCACCCGATCCGGAATGAGGAGTAACTTTGGGGCGCACCAAGGGTGTATCGAGCCAAGACTGTATATGGTTCGCTCGCTGCACAGAGTATGGATCTAGGAGATGTGCTCTGCGGTTATCATCACGCAGGAACCGCACTGCAGCTTGGAGACTGGCAACCTCCGCGCGAAGTGCATCATTCTCTCGAATGACGGATAGAGATGCTGCAGCGTTCACGGGTATTGTTCCGTCTGGGCCGACCGAACTCCCATCAGAGCCAGATGCTCTCTTCAATTTCTCCCATTTGTTCCGGTAATCGTCCCGTTCCTTTGCAATGTTTTGGATATCTCCCGATTGCCTATCCATAATGTCCAGTAACTCCACTTCCTTCGAGTGAGACGCTTCCAATTTGGACTCCATTTCTTTCACCAATGCCGCTTTCTTCCCAGCTTCACGCATTCGAGATTCCAAAAGCTCGATCTTGATAGTTTGCTCCTCAAACACTTTATCCTTGAGGCCCAACGCCGTGGATGCTTCATTGAGCTCACTCCTAAGACGACGGAGCTCCTCCTCGGTATCCGGTGACACGGTTTGATTGGATTTAAGTTCTTTGGCGCGGGATATCCATGGAGCAGGCAGGCGCTCAAATTCAATAGTCTGAGAAAGATCGGATGAGACGGAGCTGGCTTCATCAAGGTATCCCCCTAGCATACGAATCTTGTTTGCAAGGAAAGAAAGTGCGTCACTGGTGTCAAATTGGGGCGCGGATGGTTGGCACACAGACGCAACAGTCTGTGCCATCGAACCGACAATCTCAGCATACGTGATGGGCTCCGCACGACCCTCCTCAGTAATAAGTGGAAGTAGATTTTCTCCTAGCTGTCTTGCAACTTCCGATATCTCCTTCGCAGCTTGTTCCGTCCTCTCAAAAACTTCCGCAGAGAATTCTGACAAGGACAACGAACTTGATCTTAATTCGTCAAAAGAGCGAGTGATTTTCCCACTAATGACCTTAGAGCCTCTTGCCTGTCCGGCTAGTGTATCTATTTTTTGAAGCAAAAATGGTCCTTCCTCGTCGTCCTCTTTTTCAGGCAATCTGGTCTGGAGTACCAGCTTCAAGTGAGATAGCGAGGAAGCCGTGTTTTCCATATAAGTTTGTGTCAAAACGCATTGCATATAAACCTCATCAGCGGAAGCTGCGGTAGACGGAGGAATGAGGGTCTCCGCAAGATGCGAAAGGAGCGCGATGGACCGCTGGAGCTCTTCTGCGCATTTCCTTTCATTCAACTCGCTCCTTTTTAAATTCTCAATCGAAGTGTTCAAAATCCGCTCAACAGGATCGAGCTCATAAAGGGCGCCTTCAAATTTCGCAAATTCTTCACTTGAGCAGCCATGGACAAATTTTACAAATCTCTCACACAGTAGCGATATCCATGTGAGTTTCTCGAGGAGATCATATGCTGTGAAACTATCGGGTTCCAACGCGACAGGCGAGGAAAGTTCCGCTACTCTTTCGCGCACAGTATTGCCCATTAATGAAGACTTGAACCCGACCCTTTTGAAGCGGAGAAGGGCTAGAATTGGGTTCTTTTCGGTGTCAAAGTATTCTGGCAAGTACTCCTTCATGATAGCTAAATGTTGTGCAGATTCTTCGGCTTCCATTCGACCCAATTCCAAGTCAATAGTCTTTACTTGTGCTTTGGCCGCGGAAGCCTGAAGCTTGAGATTCAAGTCAATCATGGCTCTAGACCGGGCTGATAGGTCGTTCGCTTCCGTCTCCGAGATTTGTTGAGAAACGCGCATATCTTCTAGGTCGCTTTGGAGATTGGTCACTAGTTCTCTGAACTTTGACAAGGTATACTCTAGATCTTCGATGACCTCGTCTTGATGGGCGATTTTTCGGTTTTGCTCGTGATAAATGCTGTCGCGATAGTCAAGTTCATCCTGTAGCTGCTTCTCAGTTTCCACGTGAGTGATTTCAAGCTCATCGCTTAGCTCCTTCAGATTCTCCAGGTCCTCTATCGCAGCCTTCAACTCGCTGATTTGCTCTTGGTATTGCATATTCTTTTCGGAGAGTTCTTCAATCATTTCTTCGGCGCCCAAAGCCTCTACTTGCTGCTTCAGCTCTTCCATGTTAGCCTCTGTTACCGTCAACTGCTCTTTTGTGCTCTCATATCTGGCCTTGAGGGCAGCGTAGCCCTCTAGATCCTCTTCGAGCTCCTTTATCTGACTTTTCAGGTCTGCCTCTTGCTGCTGAGTCATATCACGGAGCCGTATCAGAGCCTCACGTAACCTCTCGTTGGTCCTTTCCATCTGTAACCATCCTTGGCTCGACCTTTCTTCCGGACTTGTCACTTGGCCTAATTCTTGATTCTCCTCTCTCAGAACCTCCACTTCCAGCTCTAACTCTTCAGTCCTCATCTTAAGGGCCTCATATTCAGCCTTAATGGCTTCCGCGACTTCTTCGGCCATCTCTCGGTCTAGGGCAGCCATCTCTAGAATCGAATCATGTTCAGCCTGGAGCCTCTCAATTTCTTCGACCCTTGACTCAGCCTCTTTTAGCTGTCTGCGGAGATGTGCGATTTCCTGCTGCTGAGGCTGGTACTTAGCTTGTAGTTTCTGAATAATTCCTTCGTATTTCTCCTTCTCGGCCTGTATCGTCTCAAGCAGTTGCATTTTCTCTCGATCTTCTGCGCGCTTCTTCTCCATAACGCGTAGCTTAGCTTTCAAATCCTCAAGCTCCTTAGCAACTGAACTACTGTTGGAAAGGGACCGACGATGTGCCGCAGGAGAGAGTGACAAACGGGAAGCGCCTGGGGATTGAGAAGCGTCATGGCTTGAATCGAGAAACGAAGAGTCTATCCTCACAGAACCCTCGTTCGTTTCGCTTGACGGGCTTCCCGTACTCTGTGGACTCGCTGATTTTGCTGCTGTTTGTCTCAGGGACATCCGCTTTGCCGGGGAGATGGCACTCGAGCGTGGTTGAAGTCCTGGCTTAGACAACCTGTTAGGAGTGGCCAATGGTGATTGTCGAGGTGCTTTGGCGGCAGGTGTAGTTGTAGCTGGGGGCGGCATTGATGCTCGGTTCGGTAAACCTGGTCTGTTTTTCGGGGTTGAAAGAGGTGGCTTTGAGATAGAGGGAGTCGTTCGAGATAGAAGAGCGGACTTTTCCGACAATTGATTTGTCGGGGATTTCGTAGGTGACTAAGTAGAAATCAATTAGTTGCCGCCATTGATCATGCAAGGATGGAATAGTTTACCCGCAGTGAACGACTTTGCGCTGCGAGTTTAGAAACCGGTGATGGACTGCTAGTATTTGAGCCCTGCCGTTTCACCGCAGTCGTAGATAGCACGCTTTGCCTCCTGGTTCCAGTCTTACTTCCTGCCGTAGTGCTGGGGGCCCTGCCCCTGATATCCTGCGACAAATGTTTTGGCGGTGGTTTCGCATCCTCTTTTCTCGGCTGCTCGAGAACCGCAGTAACAGCAGTGGGACGAATGAACATGCCATAGTTCTGCTCGCAGTCAAAGTAGCGTTCTCCCTGAACAGCTCCATCGTTCTTCCCTGTCGGCTCTTCCAGCTCAATTCCAATCCACTCTCCAGGGGCGAAATGCGTTGCTCCGATAAAGCGAATTATGGCGCGTCGACGGTCAGGCAGGCTGATAACTTGACCAACAACCTGGCCCGCCATTGTTGCATCCCTCGGTGCCAAAGAACCACACGGCTAACGCGTCGGTTTTATCGACCTACCTCCCAGCGTTGCTTGTTTCATGCACGATAACATTGGAAGTACCTCAGGCACCCCCTAAGCCCAATCTGGCAAAGCGCCATTAGCGACCGGGAAGGTTCCAATTCCGATAACTGACATGCCGCTTTTGCTTCGTTGATTAAGCACTCACGAAAAGGCCCCGCTGCTTTTATTGTAACACTATGTACGTGACACATTGCCTTGTCCGGAGCAAGCCACCAACATTCGACAACCAAGGGGCTACCTCCGCAACCCAGCTACCCCTAACTCACCCCTCCCTCCTCTCCCAAAAAAAAAAAAAAAAAAAAAAAAAAAGGTCCCATTCCTGGGGGCCCTCATCCCTAGGATGGCTAGAAATGGGATATAGGCAGCCTGTGATGCTGCGGCTAATACATAATTACAGGCGGGGTGCCAAAATGCCGAGACGTTTAGCACCAGATGCTCGTGGTTTCGAGCGAAATCTCCAGTCGTGCTTGAGCCGTCTCGCTTCAGCCCATGGGCCGGATCGTGGATGACCATTGACAACGCGGCAAGTGACAACAAAGTGACTCGTGGAGCGGCATCCAGGCTCGTATTCAAGCTCGAGAGAAGCGCAACACGGATGTCGGCGAACTGGTTGGAGCCACCTGTGCGATTTTTTCCCATTCCGTTCGCTTGGCTTCGAGTTGAGCGGAGCCCAATTCGGATAGCCCGACGTGTCGCGTTGCCGAAAAGCTTCAGCCTTACAGTGCACTTATGTATCCGTATTGTGCGGAGGTCCAGCGCACATCAGGACCCTTGCATCGTCCCATTGGCCGTTGTTGCAACAAAAGAAAGCATTCACGCAGTACGGAGAACAGAGTATATTTCCCAAAAATCCAAATCCCGGCAGCCGAGATGATAAATAGGACCGACATGCCCTTCTCTTCCGCCGGGATGCTTCAGGCATCGACTTGACTTCGATTTTGTTCCATTTTTATTTTATCTCAGTGGCTCACCTTTCGCTCGAAGATGTCGAACCCTTGGGCAGATACTCCGCTCTCTTTGATATCTGAAACCGGAATCAAAGGTCGACCGGATATCCCTCTAGATCATGCCGCAGTGGAAGGGGCTCAGAAGATGGCTGCTATACATAACATCCTTCTCAGATCTTTCAATGCATCCTATAATCAGTGTCTCGGCGTGAAGCGGAACACCAAGGAGGCTAGCGACTTCTTAGTCTTCAATCAGGTCCTGTATGAAATGACTTCACACCATCACCACCTTGAAGAGACATGTTTGTTTCCGGAAATCGAGAAGTTCACGGGAGTCAAGGGCCTCATGGATAAAAACATTCGGGAACATAAAGATTTCGAAGGAGGCCTTGAGAAGCTCCGTGAATTCTCCTTTAGCACCGATGCGAGCACATACGACGGAGAGGCTCTGAAAGCTATCTTGGATATACTGGGGCCCGTCTTAGAGAAACACTTCCATGGGGAAATTTCCACCTTTCTTGATCTAGCAGAATATGACTCGAAAGCAATGGCGAAAGCGTGGGATTTGGTAGCAAAAAAGGGGGCGTCTAGTACGATTAAGTCTAGGTAACATGGCTCCATTGTTTGTCATCTATTGTGCATTACCCCGATCACGCTTCATTTATTGACCTCTTCTCGCAGAACCGGAGTAATGATTCTTGTCTGCTCGGACAATACGTTCGCCATAGATGAGAAAGAAGGTGGCTACCCACCGTTTCCGGCCTTTGTACCATATTTAACGAAATGGGTATTTCAGTGGCGGCATGCCGGTACTTGGCATTTTGCCCCGTCAGATGTATTTGGCAACCCTAAACCGCTAGCGTTTTTGAACCCTAAGACGACATGATTAAGCAGCGCCGCTTGCTTCTTTCTTGTTTTGGGGAGCGTTGACCCTTTTGGAATACTGGTACTGGATTGAGATTGGTGTGGAAAAGTGTATAATAATGTGGTTCTCTTGATTGATGTCTAACGAGCCGATCCCTTCGATATGACACTTAACTGCCCAGTGCACATAAGACTTATAATGCCTTTATATTCTCACCGATCTTTGGTTTGAAAAATTGCGGAAACAGTTCCCGTAACTCTTCGAGATTTCTGATCATGAATTTCGATGCCGGTATTGGTGGGACCGGGAGGCCTGGCTCCACGAAATGAACGGTAATCCAGCCGCGAGCCTGGGCATGTCGACAATTCAATTGTGAATCATCTGCAAGAAGCTGATTAATGACTGAATACAGAGTGGATTGGAAGGAGCCTGCAGAAAATTAAAAAAAAAAAAAAAAAAAAAAAAAAAAAAAAAAAGCATAGATTTTGGGGTTGCAATCCTCACCAACAAAGAAGCACTGGTCAATACCTGGCGCATGCGCCTCCCTTTCCGCTTTCTCGAACATTTTTGCATGTGGTTTGCAAATGAGTGGTTGTTGAGCATAATCACAATATGTGATCCCCTCAAAAAGGTCATCCACTCCTAAAAGTTTAACTACCCTTCTGCCATGATTGATATAGGCGTTGGTAAATAGCCACAATTTGACCTTCGAGGTGTCAAAATCTTCAAGAAATCGACGCAGCGCCGGGTCAAATTTCAAAATAGAATCAAGCGGGAGAGCATCATCCACTCCGCTATTAAATTCCAATGGGTCAATTTTATGATTCCGCGTTAACCCTTCTATCGCAAGGCCATATTCCTTGTAGTATTTATTATGAAGCATAACCGCATCGTCGATACTGAGTGATAGGTGTTTGGCAAAGAATTGATCTGGATATTGGCCGGTCAGAAGCTTGTCTTCCACAGCTAGAAATCTCGGATTACAGACCGATGAGCTCTTGCATTAGATCATGGATTTTACTGTCTAGTGATTAAGAAAATTGTTAGCTACATGAACCATCAAAGAGGAAGAACCCCGCTAAAGGCTTACCACGGGAATATAGCTATTCCAATCAACTCTCCAGTCAGCCTTAGAACAATCACTTGCTGTCATCATAATTGCCTATGCCAAACAAAAAGTAGCCCAGCATTGCTCCTGGTTTAATGTGTGCACACATACACAGTTGTCAATATCAAAGAAAAAGACAGGGCGGGTATCTTCGCTACCCCGCTGTTGGTCCATGCTATACACAGAGACGGTAAGAGAGATCCCTCGAAGAAATTGCCCTTGTGTTCGACGTGTGGAAATGCAGAAGATGGAGGATAAGCAACTGATTCGGGGGAAGAGGCATTTCTGGTATTCTGGCTTTTCTTGTCTATTCAGTCCCGTTCAAGTTCCAGTTGATGCCTTCTGCTGTCCTGGTACAAATGCTCCACTATATCTATCAGTAAGTCCACAGCCGCTATGTTTCATGGAGCGTGGCTTGGCATTACGCTTACGCATCCTGTCTGCTGTCTTGCGCAGAGGCTTTCATGGCCATTACAAGACCATAACCACCCAGAACAGCTTAACATGCAGTGTGTTTAACAAGAGGTGCAGTGGCCTTTAGCACTTGAGTCTAATCTTTCAGGGGGCTCTGACGTTTACACTAAGGCCAATCTGGTTTAGTGCATGTAATCATGTTGGCTGCACACGCAAAACGACTTTCTTCACATCTTGGGCTGGGGACACAACATCGATTTTCTCAAAAGGTCCCCGAGACAAAAAGAACACCCAGCTACCCATTTCTTGCGAGCGAGAGATAGGGTGATGCACTGTTTTAATTGCCTGTGAGAATTGTTAACCTACACAGCTGATTAGCCACCAATGATCGCGTCAGAGTTGGCCCGGAAGCCCGAGCAGGGCCACGGCAGCCCATTGTCGGGCTCCAAAGAGATCCTTGAGTACGAGAAAATCTTGAATATTCGGGACCAGATATTCTCTGGAAATCACCCGCGATTAAAGGTTCCTCAGCATGTCATCCGCAACTTCACTCCTCGATCAGTTCAAAGCCCCTCAATACCTACTACTCCCTCCGGCCCAGCAGAGACGGCGACGGCCGCGCAGCAAAAGGAAAGCCAGCTGCCGAGCAGTGTACAGAGATCTCCTCCAGCGAATGAATCTTCAGCGGTAGGGACAACGATAGCTGGCAATGGTGCTTTTAGTCATTTGTCTACTACTTCTGCTACGAAACCAGCTTCAGAAATTGACCCTATTTTCTTAACTAAATCTGATGATCTCATCAGAGCCGAGATGCAATTACAGCGGCAGAGGATTGAACGTGCTCTGCGTGACCAGGTGGAGCAGAGGAGGATAGATGCTAAAACAAAACCTTCACCACAAGAACTAAATCCTGATTTCGATGTTGCAGTGGTTTTTGCAAAAGCATTGGAACTTGTTAAGCCAGTTTCAGAGATTGATACAGAAGGGGCTAATGGGAACATTGCAGCCAGTGATTCCTTTGATGAGAATTCTTTCTATTCGAGTAGAGCCCCTGATTCTCCGCAGAACGAGCCAGTAGTGGCATCGCCTATCACCGAACGACAACCCCAGCCGGTGCTCATTGACGACGCGGTTCCTGATACTCATGTAGCTCGTCATAATGGTGGACCTCGATATTTGGATAATGGGAATCGGAACTTAGTGAATTTGGAATCACATCCTCCGTCGGGACTGGCTGAAAAAAACATACCTCCAAGGAGCACCGATAACACGCCCGTCCAACCTGGTATGCCACCAGAGAGACAACAGGGCCGTGAAGAGCCAGAGCCATTTGAAGAACCGGAATATTCGCCGCCTGGCCCTACTACTGTGGACACCCAAAGGGAAGGTGGTGCTCATCCACCTATCTCAGAACGGGCCAATGGGGGACACGCTCATCGTGTGCCCACCCAACCTCAGCAGGACTCCCAACGGCATCAATACCTAGTGCAGGATGTGAGAGTAGTCAGAAACCATATTACATCCCCTGCCGCCCCGCAACCATCAAGGGTGTCACCGCTTGCAGTGTCAAAAGTACCAGGGACCCAGCGGCAGAATCGCCGTCAAAGGAAGGCGGAGAGAAGACTGGCTGCCCAGGCTTCAGAACGTGGCAGCCCTGAAGCACCAGTGCAACCAATAGTTCATCGTAAGCGTCGACGTGAACAGGAATTCAAAGATAGTGCGCGCTCTATGGAGGAGAGAAGACCGGCGGTGTCGCCAGATATTCCTCACATTAAACCAGAGCCCGTGTCGCCACCTCCATTTATTGAGGTGCCGCCGGCGTCATACCTGCGATCCCACGCGCCCCAAAGTGGTAGTACATATGTTGAGATTGATTCTCCCCGGTATACCCCTGTTGGCGACCGACGTGAAAGTGGTGGCCGCCCTAGCTATTATGATGAAAGGCACGCCAGAGGGTACGAGATGGATGGTTCTACTGACGTGAATATCACGCGTTCGTCCTCGAGATTAACTTACAAGAGGCCTTTAAGAGAAGACCGCGATCTTCGTCGGGTTGCAACCATGCAACATGCACGCCAATCAGAATATGTTCAGGATTATCCCGAGCCCATCCCCGAGACTACGCCACGTTATGTGCGAGCGGCCTCCTATGCTGTGACAGATCGACCGGTGCAGGTTCAGAAACCAAGGTACTATGATGAGCTCGCTCCATCATATCCGAAGCCATACAGTGCAAGTGTCCGTCCCGCCTCTCCAAGACTACGCGAAGAATATATCGAAACCCATCCCGAACCCCGTTCTATGGGGCCTCCTCCACAACGCAGAATTGTTATAGATGCTGAGGGAAATAGATACTACGAGTCTCTGGCGCCTTCGTCCAGAATGCACCCTCCATCTACCCGGTTGGCGCAGGCTGAGGCATATGATGAAGGGCCACCCATTCGCACTGCACCCGTTCGAGCGATGTCAGTTGTCGGGAACACATATCCGGATCACAGATATGCTCACGACATGCCTCCGCCAGTCACCTATCGACGGGTCCCTGAATATACGCGAGTGGCACCGAGCGAACATGGCGTCTACGATCGAGAAATAGACGACAGAGCTCGAGTGCCTCGCGGCGCAAGTGTGCAAGTTATTGACTATCCACGTCGTCATCCAACATATGTCGAGGAACCGGCGTATCCGAGGGAGGAACTGGTGAGAATGTCAAGCGTACGACCACCTCCAAGCCGCTATGAAGACCCCGTAGAACCGCCGATGCGTATGCCGAGCGTCAGGCCTGTTCGACGCGAGGTGAGCGTGTACATTGATGATGAGCCTCGTCAATCCCGAGAGTACGCTCCTGTGGATCACGTTAGTTACCCTGCTGCCAGGCAAGCGAGAGAGGAGCGTTACTATGATGACGAGGACACTGCGAAACTGGATCTTGAAGGTGGTCAGGGGGTGATTAGGAGAGTTTCTCGAAGATATTAATCCTGGGTATGACCATGGCTCTTAGTGACAACAATCACTGTTCACGATATTTCCTTGTTTCTCCTTTTGATGGGTTAGTTTTGATGTATGGTTCTATGACGCTTCTAGTACCTTCTTGGCGCCTTGTTGACCTAGCCAACCCCTTTTTGTGTTTGTGTCTGCGTGACTGGGGGGAAAGCTACAGTGGTTACTTTGACATGTATATTTGTCTTCTGCGTCTGTTTGACCAGAAAGCTGTTTGAGTACTCTGTATTTAGAACACTGGAAACATAGCTTTTGTTTTGGCGCTGAATATAATACACGGGTCAATGTTAAAGTTCATTGACACTAAGTGAAGCCAATTGCAATTACCATGCACATCGCTGTAGGGCATTCGCCGGGTTTGAGGAAGATTATATAATGTCAATTCCTGTGATGATCTGCTTTGCGCATCCGTCTTCCAAGAAGGAAGCTGGGCGTGGGATACATTATTAAATGCATTCGTCTACTACGTACTGAATGCTATTACAGTTCTAAATTTGGTTCCACACTAGGATACAGTGGAGACGGACCGAAATAACCTAAAGTAGGGTCCTCCTGCTTCGGATTCGGAAATCTCGAAAAAGGGTCTTCATCAGCTGGGCCAAGTCTCGGAAGCTGTGTGCGAGAGAACCGGGAAAGGGGCCCTAGGAGCACCCGCAAGGGAAGTGAGATGACGTGCTAGGGAGTGTTGGTGGTATCCCATCTACGTTGCGTTGCCCTTGAGAGTTTTGAGGAGACTCTATTAGGGGGAATTTTCACATGGCACACCTAGGCATCACATTTCGTTCCGCCATGGTCCGCGAGGTGGGGTGGAGCTCACCTGGGAGGATTGGAGCCGAGGGAGGGCTTGTGTTAGTTTGAATCTCATATGAAGCATACATCCCTAGCCGGAAAATCAGGGCTCTGGGCCTGCTAGCCAAAATTATTTGTTCGCTGGTGAGGAATAATTGGAGGGGGGGCGCGGCCTACCTAGACCGGGATCAAGTTAGGAATTGCAGCTTTTAAGAAATGAAGAACAGCTTGTCCAGGAAGAAAAGGGAAAGACATGCTGGTTCCGTTTTGGGAGCAAGCAGCAGCAAAGTGGGCCGGGTGCTCCCTCGAAAACACCGGGCGGTTCGATCAGTGGTTTTTGTTTTGAACCCGAGAGAGAGTGTGTGCCCTGCTGGCAAGTTTTCCAGTTCGTCCGGCGCCCCGAGCTTGATTCACCGCCGTGGTCTCCGTGTTCGCCCAGGCAAGGGATGGATAACGTCATATACTGGCCCCGGCGGAAAATCAACCTCCTTGCATTCTGGAAAACGGGGTGTAGGACAGCATCGCAGGGCCGGCAGACAGGGCCACCTTCTGCCGGCAGCAGACAGCTCCCGGCCTGCAGCCCGACGGCCCAACTGCACCGGGAGTGTCGCGAGAGGCAGCTCAGGGCTTGCTCCGGCCGTCGCGTCGTCCGTGAAGTTCGCCCAGCGGCGGCCCGTGCACGTCCCGATCAGGAAAAGGCACAGGTGGTTAGTCCCGATCGGGTCTAGCGCGGATTCAGAGGCTCATGTAACTGAAAAAGGCCGCTAAAAGCCTCAGCCCAGCCCAGGCCTTGCTTCGAAGTTCCCTCCACACAACACCCTCCAGCACCTGCACTGCGACGGGTGCTTAATTGCCGGTTCCCAGCGCTCCACGCCCACGCCCACGCCCTCTCCGTCTTCCTCTCCCTTCGTCTCGCCTCTTACTCCTCTCCATCTCTCCCTCGACGTGGTCGTCGCGGGTCTGTCGTCGCCCTTTCCTCTTCTCCCCCGTCCGCCCTCTGCGAAATCCCACCCTTGGAACTCCCCCCGTCCACCGCCTCTTCCACCCTCCCAGAGTGCCGCTGAGGAGCGGGATCCCACGCTCCAAACTGGCACCATGCA